CAGTGTGACCCTGTGTGTGTGACAGGTGGAGGTCCCAGGAGCTCCGCAGCCGAGGGCCTGGACAGCTCCGTGCGGGGGACCACTGTGGTGGACCTGAACCCGGGACAGGAGCAGGACCCTCTGTCCCAATGAGCCCTGACTTCCTGGTGTGTCTGCGGCTGGAGAGGAGCTCTGTCTGGTCAGTAGTCACTCTGGTCTGTGCCCCTTCACCACAGACCGGGACTGACTCACACACACACTGCTTTCACTCTGACGTCTCACTTTCTATTTATAAAGTGCTTTCATAAGGAAAATGCAATACAAAGTGAAAAACAATCTAATAGACCCATGAGCCGTCACCCAGACCACCCCAGAATACATACTGTATATCAGGGGTGTCAAACTTATTTTGGTTGAGGGCCGAATAAAAAATGAAAGGGCTGGTCAGGGGCCGAAAGAATAAGTGGGTTTCAATTATTATCCTGTTTATAATATGACGGTATCTATATAAATGACTTTCACATTAGTCAGATTGGATATTCGTTACTGATTAGAAGTAGTTCAGTTTCTGTGGACTGAACCAAAACTGGACCAAATATTGAAGGTATACAGGGTTTTCTACTTCCGGGTGCATCATCAAGACTATTGGTCCTCCCAACTGTCAATCATTCTGGTGATTTGTACTCGTCAAATAAGACCAGAGAGTTTTGTTCAAAAAGTGGAGAGGGCAGTTCTTTCCTAAGAAAATCGGGGAAATCCTCCTTCAAATCTGTAAGAAGAAATGTAATTGAAGACTGGTAAAAAACACAACAAAACGATACTAACTTCTAACATTGGCTTCACATTTCTTATGGAATAGTTTTTGTTAGTATTGGATAACATGCCACTGTGGCCTAACAATGCTGCTGTTTAATTGCATTGATTGTTTACTTGATGCATCAGAATACAAAATCATGTCAACTAGAGTTTTAGATCCACTTTATGAATTAAAATACTATCTATATTAGGGCTGAACGAAATTGGAAGGTTTGTACGATATTCGATATGAGTGTTTAGTATCGCGATAACGATATTATTGCAATATTTTTGCTAATGTATTCCAATGTGGTGTTTTTACTGCAAATGTTAAATAAACTGAATCTGAATCTGATTTTTGTCTTTCACCTAAAATTACATCTGCATTGAAACGCAAGAGACAAATAACAAAAACATTAATGACCTTCAAATGCTTCTTTGTTTGTTGTTCTTGTTGAATGTTGATGTGTCTGTCTGTTTTGTTGTCTTTAATAAAGTAAAAAAATTAAAAATAATGTAAAAAGAACATTTTAAAATGATCGCGTATCTTTTCGATATCGCACGAACCAATATCACGACAATTATATTTTTTCCATATATCGTGCAGCCCTAATCTATACTATACTGTCAGTATTTTATACGACTCAGTATTTTATACTAAGTATAAAATAGTATTTTACACTAAGTATAAAATACTGACTCACAGGGACAGTGAGAACCCGACTGGTGGCTCACAGGGACTCAGCCTCGCCCTTTGCTTCCTGTCTCTGTGAGCTGTGATTCAGTCTCTATAAAAGCACCGTGTTTTCTTTACTGTTGCTCACAAATCTACACATTAATGAGAGCGTAACGAGCCGTGGAGCCGTGTTTGGGTGAGTGAAGCTCTGACCTCAGACTTTGGGCTGTTGCACGTCTGTCTAAAGCTGTTCTAGTAAAAATATGTTTGAAAATGTTTATATAACCGAACGTGGAGGAGAAACTTTCCGTAGTTTGTTCAGATGGGACTCGTCGTGTGACTTTCAAAAACATATTAGAAAGTGGGAATTTTTTTGTGACAATTTTATTCTGACTCTTCCCAAAGATGAAACAAACCGTCCTTTCCCTCGGGTCGACACAGCCGTTCAACACAGGTCAAAAAACCCAGGTCTACCGTCTGTGAACACCTTATTATCATCACAGCAGCCAGGAGCCACATTTGTGATCCTAGGGTCGAAATAGAAATAATATTCAGTATTTTTTGTGACAATAAAAACAGTCCTGTCCTTCACTATCTGGATCCAGACATAAACTTTCCATTTCCCTCTGTAGACCTTTTGTTATCAGCCCCAAAAACAACCTCCGCCGCTCCTCCTCTGGGACCTCTGCACTTCTTTGTCAGCCCCTGATAAAAGGCAGCTCTGAAGCTCCTGGGCATGTGGAACATAAAAGGCCGCAGTTTCCTACTTACTCTCAGTCAAATCATATCAAACATTCTCATGAGGGGGAAAAAAATGAGAAAAATACATAACAGTGGAATTGAAACAGAATATTTCATTTCCAACACTACCTCCCAAATAAGTGTGTGAGAATCTGTCCTTGGCCCAAACATAGAGCTGAATTAGGGACAGTCTGGCGTCATGTGTGGCCTATTGCAACGGGCGTTTTGTGTTTCAAGAAATTCTCAGAGAAAATCTTGAAAAAACGGGTCATAAATGCTTTGATGTCATCAATAAACTGATGGTACCTAACTTTCCAACCACAGAAGAATTAACCCTATTCAGTGACTTCTAACTGAGAATGAGGAGAATGTTCCCAGCATGGATAGTGTTTGGGTGAAACCGTTTAAGTTAAGATATACTTTATTGATCGCACAATGGAGAGATGTACTTGTCACATTTGGCATGGATAGAATCAGGTTGTGCAAAAAGACAGGAAGTGTGAAAACATGTTAAAAAAGTTGAAAATATAGTCTCTTTATTGTAAATAGTTCGCTTTATCATGTAAGCAGAGGTGAACACAGAGTGGGGCGAACATGCAAACTGCTTTTAGGAAGTGCCAACCCAGTACCGTATACGTGTGATTTTCAAAAGGACATTCACTCATCATTTATGTGAAAAGATAAAGAGTAAATAAGAGAGTAAAGTGCTGTGGTCTCTGCCTCCCAGGTGCCAGTCGCAGCAGCTGGAGCCGGGACGAGGCGGGGACAGTGTGTTTGCAGAGGACGTCTCTGGGCTTCCACACACACAGCTGCACAGGGGGCGGGACTTCCTCCTTCTCTTCATGGGACCTCACAGAGAGACAGGCTCCGGACACTTCATGAGAACAGTTCTGTGTCTGCAGCTTTCCAGTGTCACGCCATAAGGACAGGCAGCCGGACCGACTCTATGGACCGGCTCTATGGACCGACTCTATGGACCGGCTCTATGGACCGGCTCTATGGACCGACTCTATGGACCGGCTCTATGGACCGGCTCTATGGACCGGCTCTATGGACCGGCTCTATGGACCGACTCTATGGACCGGCTCTATGGACCGACTCTATGGACCGGCTCTATGGACCGGCTCTATGGACCGACTCTATGGACCGGCTCTATGGACCGGCTCTATGGACCGGCTCTATGGACCGGCTCTATGGACCGGCTCTATGGACCGGCACTATGGACCGGCTCTATGGACCGGCTCTATGGACCGACTCTATGGAACGGCTCTATGGACCAACTCTATGGACCGACTCTATGGACCGGCTCTATGGACCGGCTCTATGGACCGGCACTATGGACCGGCTCTATGGACCGGCTCTATGGACCGGCTCTATGGACCGGCTCTATGGACCGGCACTTAGGACCGGCTCTATGGACCGGCTCTATGGACCGGCTCTATGGACCGGCTCTATGGACCGGCACTATGGACCGGCTCTATGGACCGGCTCTATGGACCGGCTCTATGGACCGGCTCTATGGACTGGCTCTGCGGACGGTCCACGGACACGGGGGCGTCACCGCCGGCAAACCCTGTTTTAAGAGCACACTTTCCCAAGCACTTTAACTCGTCCTCCCACTTTTGGATTTTCTAAGCAATAGTATGTGGACTGAACGCTGCTGCTGCCGTGGTCCCGTCGTTTGTCCTTTTCATCGTATATAAAACATTATACACGTCCGTTCAGCCGGATTTTATGATTTCATAGTAACAAATGTGGATTTATAATAAACAAAGATATTTTTCTGCCAGTTTTTGGAGTGGTTTGTTGTAAGGATTGCTGAGATCTGGGTGATGTTACTTTTCAGCTTAAAGCTACGGTACCTAACTTTGAAACCACAACAAATGTATAAATAATAAAATCCATGAAACTCGTTCCTCATTTACTCAATAGATCTGTTTTCTAATGTTGTGGTCTGATTTATTCTACTTACACTTTGTGGGAACAAACATGGATTGTTAATGAACAAAGGTTAAGTACCCCAGCTTTAATGAGGTCATATCGTATTGAAATGAGTCTAGCAGGAACGTGACCATGTGTCCTACACTCACTGTAAAACTCTTTTTCCAGAGTGTGTGTAGTGTTGAAAATGGACATGGCTGTTGTGTTGCAGTGTGTGTTGGTTGTAACATGTTGTAAATGTTTTTGACCAAAGGTTTACAGAAGGAGAGTGTTGCAGCTGAGACACAGATCTCATACAAACTTATTTATTAAGTTTTACATGTTGTGAACAGACAGAAGATCGTTTGGAGACAGTGTCTTCATAAATATATTCTATAATTATACAATGCATTAATCATTCATTCCACACATGGTGGCGGTAAAGTATTGCAGCCACAGCTGCCTTGGGGCAGGCTGACCGAGGGGAGTGTCTCTGGCCACAGTCTACAGCAGTGAAGTCCGAGCGGCTCAGGCATCATCACAAATGTCCCAAACTAAAGCTTTGACTATGAACTTTTGGAGTTCATCGACATGTTAAAGGTAAAAGCACACTCTGGATCCTGACAGACACGGCTCAACAATCCTGCTCCTGATTGGCTCTTTGAAGCTGTGAGAAGCACAGGAGCAGCCATCAGAGAGCCTGAATCATGATCTACTGGTGGCAGCGGAGCGCCATCTGCTGGAGCAGGACGAGTCTGATCCGTTTTAGCCTCAATGGAATCATGCTGAGATTAAGATACAGCGGGAGAGAAAAGAAGGATAAAGGGTGTAGTTTATGAGTCCATCTTTCTTCAGACTCTACAGCAACACGATCAGAATAAACAGAAGTCAAACAAAAGGACAGAGCTGATATAAACAGAACACTGCATTTACAGAGAAGGCAAAAGTACCTGAAACCCACGGTGCGTACACACGGTGCGTGCACACGGTGCGTGCACACGGTGCGTGCACACGGTGCGTACACACGGTGCGTACACACGGTGCGTACACACGGTGCGTACACACGGTGCGTACACACGGTGCGTACACACAGTGCGTACACACAAAGGCATTTAAAACACAGATGACATAAATACAAAAAGAGGATCATACAGATGAAGAAATGACGTCACTTTTCACACTTCTCTGATCCACTGCAGAAGAATGGACATGTGTTTTAAGAGACCGGGGCCAGGGAACGAGGAGGCCCTGGGCTGACACAACCAGACCGCAGCATGAGTGAGGCCAGTGTGTGTGTGTGTGTGTGTGTGTGTTAAAGAGGCAGCCGACTTAGAAACATAATCCATATATATAACAGTGTAACACTTTCCTGACCAGAAGATCGTAACAACAAAGAAGAAAAACACTGGAAAATAAACTAAACTGCTTTAAAATGTCAGAAACAGTCAGAGGAGAACACTTAGACGAGGTTTCCTGGATTCTCCTCAAGTATTGTCAGATTATTTGAGCGATACGCTGACTCCAGTCATTACCAGGACCTTTGTTTTGGAGCACGTTGGCCGCACGTCTTGAGCGTCACTTGCGCGTGTATGTGTGATGCTTGGGGCGGGGCGTGGTGCGCAGCATGGCCAGGGCGGTGCTGGAGAAGTCCCGGAGCGTGTCGACCGTCTGCCGCTGCAGCTGCAGAGACTCCTGTGTGAAGAGCTGCTGTCGCTCCTTCAGCTGCTGCAGAGACCGGGCCAGAGTCTCTACAGAGCGCCCCACGGAGGCCAGGAGGGTGCGCGCCTGCCTCTGCTGCTGCACGCACACGGCCACAGGGGACAGGTCCTGTGGCGGCTGCGACTGCCCTGGCTCTGGCTCAGGCCGCTGTGGGGGCTCCGGGCTCCGCTGGGGGGCAGGGGCCGGCTGGCTGGAGCTGCTCTCCTGTCGGGAGTAGGTGTAGGTGGGTTTGGAGCGCAGGAAGTCGTCCGGCTCCGTCAGGAAGCCCTGGTCATCGTCCTCCTCCTCCTCAAAGTCCAGGCCGTACTCCGGAGACTCGCAGCTCATGTCTGAGGTCCACAAAGAGGAGGATTTATTTGTATGGCACGATTAAACAGAATCAAAGCAAAATGTGCAATCCTCTGTGTCGCAATTAGCAGATCACAAAGACTGCAATTAGTTAAGTTCTTTGCAAACAAAAGAGAGACTTTGATGTTTAGTTTACTTTGAAGATTTTTCAATGAAATCTTGGCAGAAGAATTAATTTCTCATTTAAACTGAGACTCATGGTTTCAAAAGCAGATCTAAGGATTTGATGGTCCAAACTGGTCCAACTGCACTTTCTACCTTAAAGTTAAAAACCGAGCAAAAAGCGTGGACCATCCTCACTCGGCCAATCAGCTCCGAGTATGTTCAAATGATTTGCAGGTTGTGGTCTTGATTGGGACCAAAAAAGGTACAGACTAGAGCTTTACGCACACATGGTATCGCTGATCACATACGCACACATGGTATCGCTGATCACATACGCACACATGGTATCGCTGATCACATACGCACACATGGTATAGCTGATCACATACGCACATATGGTATCGCTGATCACATACGCACACATGGTATCACTGATCACATACGCACACATGGTATCGCTGATCACATATGCACATATGTTATCGCTGATCACATACGCACATATGGTATCGCTGATCACATACGCACACATGGTATCGCTGATCACATACGCACATATGGTATCGCTGATCACATACGCACACATGGTATCGCTGATCACATACGCACATATGGTATCGCTGATCACATACGCACACATGGTATGGCTGATCACATACGCACACATGGTATCGCTGATCACATACGCACACATGGTATCGCTGATCACATACGCACACATGGTATGGCTGATCACATACGCACACATGGTATCACTGATCACATACGCACACATGGTATGGCTGATCACATACGCACACATGGTATGGCTGATCACATACGCACACATGGTATGGCTGATCACATACGCACACATGGTATCACTGATCACATACGCACACATGGTATCGCTGATCACATACGCACACATGGTATGGCTGATCACATACGCACACATGGTATCACTGATAACATACGCACACATGGTATCGCTGATCACATACGCACACATGGTATCGCTGCATTTCAGGTTCATTAACAACAACTGTATTATATTGCGCAGCTCTAGTAAATACTTAATTTTTTTCATCAAATGCACAGTATTTGTAATGACTTTCTAAAAGGGTAGAGGTTTGTCTGTGTTGGGAAAGGTGCATTTGACCCGTCTTTCTCGAGGGCTGTCAGGAGCAGAGCTTAGAGCAGACTCCTGGTGCTGCCAAAGATCAATATAACAAGATTTTCCATATTTCATCAGCCGATCGACAGATTAGTCACAGCAGCGCGTCCATAACCAAACCTCTTCACTCCTCCACAACGGCACAGGCTCATTAGCCCAACATCAGCTTCTAAAGATTCTCAGAAAAATCACATAATTTAATAAAAACATTTCACCAAAATTGCTATAAATAAATAAAACAGAGGCCAGTGGAACAGAACGGTCTGTGTACCAAACTATTAACTCATTTTTCTAATTTAAATAAATCAAGAAAATATCACAGAAAGGCTTGACTTTATTGGGACGAGGCGATCGTGAAGCAGTGTGTGTGTGTGTGTGAGAGTGAAGCAGAAGTGGGAGGAGCCTCACCGTCTGCCGTGCGATCGGAGCTGAAGGCCTCGCTGTAGGAGTTGACGCTGGTGGACGACAGACTGAAGTCGTCGGGCAGAGAGATACTGGCGAAGCAGCGGTCCTGGTCCAGGTCAGCGTCACTGTCCCCATCTGAGGACGCACAACACACAACTGAGGACGCACAACACAGAACTGAGGACGCACAACACAGAACTGAAAGCGTGTGTATACTTCCCTCCCCTCCCCTCCCTCTCACAATCCACAGCAGAAATCCTCATCCACGCCTTCATCACCTCCAGACTGGATTACTGCAACAGCCTCCTCTACGGTCTACTACAAACTACAAAACATCCAGAACATCCTAACCCGCCTGCTCACCCACACTCGCTCAGGAGAACACATCACCCCCGTCCTCAAACAACTCCATTGGCTCCCTGATCCATAACGCCTAAAATACAAGGTCCTCCTCCTCCTCACCTACAAGTCCCTCCATAACCTGCCCCCTCTTGCCTCACAGACCTCCATCATCACTGTCCCTCCCGCCGCCTCAGATCCACAGACTCCAACCTCCTCACTCCTTCAGGACTAAACACCAAACCTTGAGGACCAAGCCTTTCCTGCAGCCGCCCCCACTCTCTGGAACTCACTCCCTCAACCATCAGAAACTCAGACTCACTACAGAACTTTAAATCACTTCTCAAAACAACTGTACATTATCTCTCTGCTGCCGGCTTTGTACGGTGGCTACGCAAGGGTCTGATGGTGATCCTTGCGGTGATCCTTGCGTTGGTCATGTGACACCGCAAGCTCAGCGCCACGTGAGAGGACGCACAACACACAACTGAGCACGCACAACTCAGAACTAAGAACGCACAACACAGAACTGAGCACGCACCCAGGAGAGTCGTTAAGTACCTACTCTTTGCTACTTTATTGTAAACACTACCAACACTATCAACGAAAGCAACACGCTGAGGAGCTGTAGTAAACAGTCTTTTTGATCATCCAAAGGCCGATTATTGATTTGATTAAATTGGTCAATAAATTCATTTCATTTTCATCCCTTTATTATCCATTTCTGTGTTAGGGGGGTGGAAATCAGAGCTGCACCCAATTCACAAAGCACCAGTCCCTAGCTGTCCCTCCTGCAGGTGGCTGCTCCTTCAACGCAGATACGGCCTTGGTGTTTCAGGGGGGCCTTCAGGCAAAGTGGGGTTTAGTGTCTTGCCCAGGGACACAACGGCAGCAGACATCAGTGGGAGCAAACTACATGAGTTGTGGTGGGATCGAACCCACGACTGTTAAGTCCAAAGACCAATGAGCCACTGTCGCCCCAAAAAGTATGTGTCAATCATATCGACTGTAATTACAGCTGTTGGGAGTCAGTTTAAAGCAGACTTAAATCTCACTCGTTTCATTGTTTACCGATAAACCCATAAAAATAGGGTTTTTTCCCCTTTGAAGCAAATCAAACATGGACCTGATAATGGAACTTGTACTTTATGCAGTTTGAAAAGTAAATCCTGCTTTAGAACTCATGATTGAACAACGAGGAGCCGTGTGGATGAATGTTTAAACTTCCAGAACGTCTGATTCTCTGCAGAGTGGGATTAAATAAGATCATTTTGAGGTCTCCAAATCCTATTAATTGCCCGGGATTTTACAAAATAAAATTTTACATTTTATTTTGGGCGGCACGGTGGCTGAGTGGATAGCACTCTCGCCTCTCAGCAAGAAGGTCATGGGTTCGAATCCCGGTCGGACCATGGCCTTTCTGAGTGGAGTTTGCATGTTCTCCCCGTGTCTGCGTAGGTTTCCTCCGGGTACTCCGGTTTCCCCTACCACTAAAAATATGTCCAATAGTTCTGGCATGTGCCTCCTGTACTGGCCCCGCCCATCTCTGTGTGGAGTGAGAGACAAATGCCCAAAATTAACAATTGTGAACCGCTTTGAGACTCAGATCTGCAGTGAAAAGGCGGTATATAAATAAAAGATTACTTACTTACAGATTTACAGGACAGGCTTTTTAAATTATACTTAAACATAAAAGAAATCCCATCCCTCCATCTCAACTCTAACTCTTTAATAAATATATAATAATACTATAAGACATTTAATAAATGCTTTGCTTTCCATCTGACAGGTGAGTGACGGGTGAGTGAGGGGTGAGTGATGGGTGAGTGACGGGTGAGTGACGGGTGAGTGTCCAAACCAAAGTCTGCCCCCCCCGGAGCAGGTGAAAGTGCTGCAGCTGGTCCTGTGGCCTGTCGGCCCCTCTGCTGTGTTCAAGCACTTTGCTGAAATCAAACAATCCTGATCAACCTCTTAAACACCGCCTCGTTTTAGCTCGTGCACAAAAGTCGGGAATACCCAAATGTCTTTGCTTAAAAACACGTCTTACATCTCACATGCTTGTGTGATGCATCATATTAAAGCTAGAGCCTTCTAGTTTATGTAAATATACACTGAAATAATGTGTGAAGTTTGAACTTTGTTTGGGGAAAAAACCTGTTTTAGATTCGCCTAAATAAATATAAAAAAAATGTCAAAGTTTCAGAGGGCGACAGTAGCTCAGTTGGTAGAGCATTGGCCTTTGAGCCAGAAGGTTGTGGGTTCGAACACAAACTTCATCATCGACTCCCACTGTCTGCTGTCGTTAACCTCTGGGAACACCAGGTGCAACAGTGGGGCGGCTGTGGCTGTAAAGTGCCAAACTGCCGTTGTGTCCTTAGGCAAGACACTTCACCCCCCTTGCCTGGAATGAGTGGTGTGTGTGAATGGTTGGTGGTGGTGGGAGGGGCCGATGCCACAGACTGGTTGCCTCGCTTCTGTCAGTGTGCCCCAGGGCAGCTGTGGCTACAGTAGAAGTTTATCACCACCGTGTTTGGAGAGAAAGAATAATGACATGTGAAGCTTCTGAGTCCAGAAAAGCCCTGTATAAAACCGATTCATTTTTATTATAAAGTATTCACAAGTGATTTATTTTGTGCCCACATTATGTGTTATATCTTTTGAATGCAAAGTCTGATGTAGTTTACACTTGTATATAAATATAGATAATAAAATAAGCTTTATAATGATAAACCCTTTGGGCGGTTTGGTGTTCTATTACCAGCAGAACATTCTACAGATAAACATCCCATGGGTTTTGTTTTATAACATAAACCTAACGTCGTGTTCATCTCTGGAACCTTAACGTTTGTAAAGCCTGATGGGATATTTACAATCGCTATGATTATCCCCAAAGTTCATTTAGTGGAGGAGCCCTAGTTTCACATCGTCCCCGTGTGGTGTTGTATTTTATTTTATTTTATTGTATGTTGTTATTTCTTTTGTATTTTCCTGCCAAGAAAATACATGTTTTTTCTTATTAATGTGCATTGTCCCTAAAAAAATACATATATAAATAAAATAAATACATTTACAACGGGGCGACAGTAGCTCAGTTGGTAGAGCACTGGCCTTTGAGCCTGAAGGTCGTGGGTTCAAGCCCACCACGGGACCTTCTCCACCGACTCCCACTGATGACTGCTGTCGTTGTGTCCTTGGGCAAGACACTTAACCCTGCATTGCCTGAAGCCCCCGCTGAAAAATCAAGGCCGTATTGTCACTGACAGAGCAGCCGTCCTCCTGTGGACTCACCACCTGCAGAGGATCAGTGAGGGGCTGGTGCTAAGTGAATTGGGTGCAGCTCTGACTGCCACCCCCCCGACCCAGAAATGGATTAAGGGGAAGAAAATGGATGGATGGATGGACATTTACAACGTGGGATGAAATACAAGCAACATGTACAAGGAAAGTCTTTTTTACTATAGATTTGGAATCTGACGCAGTTTAATGAGTGTATACTGGGTTCACTGTAAAGGGTTAAATCTGGACTTTTAAAAAGGTTATAACTCAAAAACTAAAATCCCTATCCTTAAGATTGGAAAGAAGATTCTAACACAGACAGATCAAAGAGATTGTGTGCATAAAAACAAAAGGAAAGATTGACAAATACATTTTTGGCGACATCTTTAAAATCCAGATCAGCTTCTGATTGGATCATTCTGTGACAGAGAAAATAAAAGGTCCTCAGTCTGAAAAAGATGAACTCCACAGATTCACACATCAGGAAATCACTTGATTAAAAACAGAATCATAGAAATTAAAACAATCTAAACAAATGTAAATGTAAACTTTATTGTCCACGTAGGGAAATTCAACCTCTGCATTTGACCCGGACCTTACATCTGGAGCAGTGGTCGCCGTAGTAACAGCGCCCAGGAACCCATCTCCAGATGTTGATGCTCGGCTTGGTCAGGACCAGAGCTGGAGGATTTGACCTATTGTGCATGTTTTTAGTGGTAGGGAAAACCAGAGCACCCAGAGGAAACCTACGCAAGCACAGGGAGAACATGCAAACTCCACTCAGAAAGATCCTGTTCTAACCGGGATTCGAACCCGGAACCTTCTTGCTGAGAAGCGAGAGTGCTAACCACTTAGCCACCAAATAACCCTTGAAAAATGTATAACGGACGTGATGGCTTCCGTCAATTCTTTTCAAAAAATTAAACTGTAAATAAAATAAAATAAAATAAAATAAAAAAGAAATTCTGGTTTCACATTTGGTTTACTAAATGAAAGTAACCATTTTGTTTCTACTTGTAAAAAATCTATGAATCAAATGTGGGTCTAAAAATATAAACTTTCTACTAGGGCTGCAACTAACGATTATTTAGATAATCGATTAATCAGGCGATTATTTTTACGATTAATCGATTAATCGGTTTATGTACTTATATTTTAGTTTTGCCAATTTTTTTCCAAGTAAATTGTTAACAAAGGGCCTTCATCATTCAACATAGACTTTTTAGAGATTTTAACCATTTTACATATTCATATCCACATCAAAAACTTAACTGGAGCTGTTTATTATGTCTTTGTAATCCTTTAGTGAACTCAATGTTGACCATCAAAACAAAACACTGACCGTTACATAGTCTAGCAAATTTCACAAGGAGATTTCCAATAATGTTTTCACCATGAAAATCCTTAGGGCTTCTGAAGTAGTTTAAAATCCCGAACAAGGCTTATTTAAGTTGATAAACTGATAAATGTTTTTTTTTTTTTACATCTTTGTGCAAATTATTTGAAAGATCAACTTTATGCCTAAAACAGTGAGTGTGGCGCCATCTTTTGCAAACAGTCAGTACTGCAGAGAGATGGTTTAAGGTGCTCACGCAGAGACGTAGTACTCCCGTGCCAGGCCAAGTCAGTAGCGCAGAGTTTACAGGTTACTCTTCTTTTTTGAAGGTTCAAAGTAAAGTGCTCCCACACTTTGGATGACTTCGTTCGATTAGGTTTGTCTTCTGCTTTTTTCCTTTTTTTTCTCGAGCTTACTCCGCTTGCCTCCGCCATCTTGCTGTATGCTGAAGAGAAGCTGTGCGCGAAGCATGTGACATAAAAGGAGGCCAGCTATTGGCTATTCGCTACTTCTCCTGCTGTAAAACCTCCGGTGGCTCATTACTGCCACCATTTGGTCACCGCAGAGTTAAAATATGCACGAAATGAGCCGCTTACGGCAAAATAAAAGTTATTTAGCAACTAATCGATGACTAAATTAGTTGACAACTATTTTAATAATCGATTTTAATCGATTAAATCGATTAGTTGTTTCAGCTCTACTTTCTACACAAATAAACAGCCGCTTTAGGAAAATTGACTAATGTATAAAACAGTTTTGTTCAAACAACTTCTCGTGGACTGAGGAGGGATTTGAACTACAGACCAGACCAGGACGAGTCTATTTTGCACCGAGGCATCAGAAAATTGCCCAATTAGTTAAAAATGTCTGTAATCGAATCATTCTGAGGAGAAACATGAAAGGACCGGGGCTCATTTTGTAGAGCTTTGGCCTTTGAGCCTGAAGGTTGTGAGTTTGATCCCACCACAAGACCTTCTCCATCGGCTCCCACTGATGTCTGCTGCCGTTGTGTCCTTGGGCAAGACACTTTACCCACTTTGCCAATAAGGAGGCATCAGAGGAGCATCAGGTCGTGCTGTAACAGAGGTGTCCCTGAAGAGCAGCCAGATCACGGCCCAAATGAGTCCTGAACTGAATTGAATGGAATCGTTGCTTTAATTTGAAGTGAATCTAATTGGACACAGATTCTCCACAAAGGAACGATGGCTGCGCCTCGCTCTACTCTGGGGCAATTACTCTGCACAGTCAGACTAATACAGAGGAGCAAAGAAGGCTTTTTGTTACACGCAGCACACTGGGCAGACTGCAAAACACTTCAACAAATCTGGAAGTGGTCGTGACCTAAAAGAGTAAAGAAGAACACGGTATTGAAATAACATGAAATAAATCATATCGAGCGCAACACGATGTCCTGCGAAGATTGATTCAGAACTTTAGAGATTTATGGACTAATAACGTAATTGTGGATTCAGAGAGATGCAGACTCTGGGATGATCTCCCCGAGGTTTCTCACTTTTCTCCCACTGGGTTTCAGAGTTTTTCCTCTGACGCAGGAGTCTGTTGGACAGTTAGAGTCTAACAAGAAGGACTGTGAAGATCCAGACACTTGAACATTGTAAACATTCATGGACGTTGGTCTCTCTCTATGGTCCAATATATGGTCTATCTTTTTGTGTCTTAACTGTTGATTCTCTCATCTGTGTTGGTGATTTCAATAGTTTTATTAACTCCTCTGAGAAACTGCTGTTTTGATTTAGGGCTGTACAAGAAAAAATTGAATATTTATATGTTCTCCGTGATCCACAGGAGGAGAGAGGATCCTGCAGAAACATCAGCTCTGTGCAGTCCACAAACTCACACGATTTACTAACACTGCCACTTCCACAGTGTTGTGTGTATCTCCACAGTTGTGTGTCTCCACAGTTGTGCGTCTGTAGTGTTGTGTATCTCCATTCACAGTTGTGCGTCTGCAGTGCTGTGTGTCTGTAGTGTTGTGTATCTCCTGTGTTGTGTGTCTGTAGTGTTGTGTATCTCCTGTGTTGTGTGTCTGTAGTGTTGTGTATCTCCTGTGTTGTGTGTCTGTAGTGTTGTGTATCTCCTGTATTGTGTGTCTGTAGTGTTGTGTATCTCCTGTATTGTGTGTCTGTAGTGTTGTGTATCTCCTGTATTGTGTGTCTGTAGTGTTGTGTATCTCCTGTATTGTGTGTCTGTAGTGTTGTGTATCTCCTGTATTGTGTGTCTGTAGTGTTGTGTATCTCCTGTATTGTGTGTCTGTAGTGTTGTGTATCTCCTGTGTTGTGTGGCTGTAGTGTTGTGTATCTCCTGTATTGTGTGTCTGTAGTGTTGTATATCTCCACAGTTGTGCGTCTGCAGTGCTGACCTGGGTTGGGGCTCAGGGTGAGGATCTTGTGGACCGCTCTCTCGATGGGTCCGAGGTGTTTCCTCCTGAAGTTCTTCCTGTTGGGTCCCGTCATGCGGCGTTTTGCATCAAACTTCAGGTCGGCCCATTTCTTCATGATCTGCCGAACCTGCAGCACACACACACGGGTGTGTGTCTGTGTGTGTCAGCGCACGTCTGTTTCGTCATGATCTGCCGAGCCTGCAGCACGAGTCTGTGTGTGTGTGTGTGTGCAACTGCATGCAAGTCTGCGCGTGTGTGTATGCGTGTATGTGTCTGCATGCGTGTGTGTATGCGTGTATGTGTCTGCATGCGTGTGTGTATGCGTGTATGTGTCTGCATGCGTGTGTGTATGCGTGTATGTGTCTGCATGCGTGTGTCTGGGTGTTGAATTTCAGACGCTTGAGGGACACAACATCATTTAAAGTCAATTATCAACAAATATAAAAATATAAAATGGTATGACTATTTTTTTTCTCTTTTCTATATATTTATTTTTGCTTATTTTCTACTTGTATTTAATAATTTCAAATAACTGGTTGTATTGTTTGTGGAATGTTTATTGATTCATGTATGACTGCAAAAGAAAGGTGATCAAATATAAATTACAATATTTTTTTATGACAATCCACTGGAACATCCTGAGGCTTCCCGTTTGTGACTAAATATGACTAAATATCCATAAACACAAACCCTCAACAAGACGTGTCCATTCTGTTCAAACACATGACACTAAACTCTGCTCCGGTGAAGATGGACGTGTGAGGTTCTGTGGACGTGTCTTTGGGTCGATCCTGGCGCTGAGGGACCACAGACACTGCTTCACTGCGGATCATTTATAAAGTCATTTAAGGAGCACCGTGTTTCTGTCCGTGTCCTTCAAGGGGAGCTACCATAGTCCTCCAGCGGTCCCACATGGTTTGGTCCATTTAGAACATAAAGGAGGCACGTGGGGGAACCATGTGGGAAGATGGCACCAGTGTGTATCGTCAGCCACTATCAATGTAGGCTGGTATTTTATTGTGTCCTGGTATTTCAATGCCATGTGTCCTTAGGCAAGACACTTCACCCACATTAGAATGAGTCTGGTGTGTGTGTGTGTGTGTGCGGTCGCAGAGGGAGGCTGCAGTCAGTTTATTATCTGTGTTTGGAGTGAAAGGATAATTTCTTTCTTATTTTGTTCAGCACTTTGAATTGCCTTGTGTATGAATTGTGCTATATAAATAAACTTGCCTTGCCATAATGATGTGAAGCGTCTTTGAGCGTCCAAAGAAGCTCTGTAGAAAACTATTATTATTATTATTGTTATTATTGTCAATGACAGTGACGAGAGTATTTTAATCTGTCTCAAATCTTTCTCAAATGTCCATCAAACTCCTTACTTGGCTTCTATCCCACCGTACTGCCACAGCGCAGAGGAGGTGGTCCCTCACCGCGGCAACAGCGGGAACACTGAGGATTCCAATGTGTCATTTGCCCAAAGAGTTTACCCATGATGCATCATGTGGACAGGGTATTGTAGCTAAGCCGGGCCCCGACATGGTGCTGGACCACCTGCAGTACTGCACACTAAACTCACCAGGGCCACACAGGAATGTTCCCATAGATGTGAACAAATATGATTGTAAAGTGCACAACATCAGTCCTCTGCTTTAGTGGAACCTGCTCTGAGTGACAGCTGCTGCAGGAAACTGTTTTGTTTAACAGACTTGTACATTATGGACGTGGTGGTCCTGTTTCAAAACACTGAATTATGGATTCATGAATAAAGTGAGGCGTACTTTAAAGCAGAGAGACGCTGGATCCTTGAATATTTATAAAGACGTTCTAAAGGAGTTAAAATTACTGCTAATGGCCGCACTCCTCGGGGTCTGTTTAATTCCCTCATCAAACCATGTGACACTTCTATTGTGGTTAAACACAGCTCTAAGGCCATCGCAGAACAGCTGTAATCAGACAGAGCAGGTCAGACTCAGGTGGACCACTTCATAGTTAGAGTGAAACGTAAACCCACTTAGAAAAGGGGTTTGAATTCTTGTGAAAGGCAGTGATGGGTGCAGCTCCTACCTCCCGCTGGTTCTCCCCGAGGCTGTTGATCTGATCCGTGATTCGACACCAGATCATCTTCTTGGCGTCGGCGGAGACGCCCTGGTTGAACTTCCCTGTGGAACATCAGACATCACAGGTCAGGCCACAACAAATCCAAAATAAATAAACACATATTAAAAGGATATTTTTATTTTTCAATTAAATCCAATGTATTCTTGTATCCTTCTTGTGTGTCCTTGGGCAAGACACTTAACCCCACTTTGCCTGAAGCCCCCACTGAAAGATCTAGGCTCCTGTGGACTCACCACCTGCAGGAGGATCAGTGAGGGGCTGGTGCTATGTGGACTGATTGCAGCCCTGACTGCCACCCCCAACCCAGAAATGGATTAAGGGGAAGAAAATGGATGGATGGATGGTATTCTTGTATCGCCCTAAATCATGACAGTCGTTTTCTCAGAGGACTTTACAAAACAGTTGATCCACCAACACAGATCAGAGAATCAAACAGAATCAAACAAAAGAAATGCAAAGGTACAAAACACATTGCTCCTTATCTCCAATGGCTCTGAGACCAATGTCCATAAATGTTGAATGTGGACTGGAGGGTCCTGGATCAGACATCACCACGGTCTGACCCTCCTGCAGCAGCAATGACAAACTCTAAAAACCCAGTGGGAGAAAACTCAGAGTGGCCCACATTGAGAACCGGGACTCAGGCTGTAGAACGAGGACAGAGGCCATACGGGGGGGTGCAGAAAGTTTATGTGTACCGACATAAAAGCCCTGAGAGGATAACTCCCTTCAGCCCTTCAGGCTGAGCCCGGCCGGGCTCAGCCTGAAGGGACAACGTGGGCAGTCCCTCCTGTGGGCCCACCACCTGCAGAGGGGTCCGTGGTGGCGCGGTGCTAAGAGGACTGGGTAGCAGTCGAAGCCGGAGACCTCGGCGACCCAGTCCACACACACAACATCTGGCTCTTGGGACGTGGAATGTCACCTCACTGGGGGGGAAGGAGCCCTAGCTCGTGGGGGAGGTCGAGCGATACCGACTAGAGATAGTCGGCCTCACCTCCACACACAGCTTGGGCTCTGGAACCCAACTCCTTGAGAGGGGTTGGACGCTCCACTTTTCTGGTGTTTCTTGCGGGGAGAGGCGGCGAGTACTAATTGGCCATACTAATTGCCCCCCATCTCAGCCGCCACGTGTTGGAGTTCTCCCCGGTGAATGAGAGGGTCGCATCCCTGAGCATTCGGGTGGGGGACAAGTCTCTCACTGTTGTGACGGCCTACGGGCCTAACAGCAGTGCAGAGTACCCGGCCTTCTTTGAGTCCTTGGGAGGGGTACTGGACGGTGCACCAACCGGTGACTCCGTTATTCTCCTGGGGGACTTCAACGCCCATGTGGGAAATGCCAGTGATACTTGGAGAGGGGTGATCGGGAAGAACGGCCCCGCTGATCTGAACCCGAGCGGTGTTCAGTTGTTGGACTTCTGTGCCAGTCACGGTTTGTCCATCACGAACACCATGTTCGAGCACAATGGTGTCCACCAGTGCACGTGGCACCAGGACACCCTAGGCCGGAGGTCGATGATCGACTTTGTTGTCGTATCATCTGACCTTCGACCGCGTGTCTCGGACACTCGGGTAAAGAGAGGGGCGGAGCTGTCAACCGATCATCACCTGGTCGTGAGTTGGATCCGCTGGCAGGGGAAGAAGCCGGTCAGACCTGGCAGACCCAAGCGTATAGTGAGGGTCTGCTGGGAACGTCTCGCTGAGCCCCCTGTCAGACGGATTTTCAACTCGCACCTCCGGGAGAGCTTCTCCCAGGTCCCGGCGGAGGAGGGGGATATTGAGTCTGAGTGGACCATGTTCTCTTCCTCTATCGCCGATGCGGCGGCTCGTAGCTCTCTGGTCTCTGGTGCTGGTCCCGGCGGCAATCCCGAACCCGGTGGTGGACACCGGCAGTAAGGGATGCAGTCAGGCTGAAGAAGGAGTCCTATCGAGCCATGATGGTTCGGGGGACTCCTGAGGCAGCTGTCCAGTACCGGCAGGCCAAGCGTGCTGCGGCCCGGGCTGTTGCAGAGGCAAAAACCCGGGACTGGGAGGAGTTCGGAGAGTCCATGGAGCATGACTATCGGTCGGCCTCGAAGAGATTCTGGCAAACCGTCCGGCGCCTCAGGAGGGGGAAGCAGTGCTTTGCCAACACCGTTTATGGTGGGGGTCGAGAGCTGCTGACCTCGACTGGGGATATTGTCGGGCGGTGGAAGGAATACTTCGAGGTTCTCCTCAACCCCCCCGTCACGTCCTCCGCCCCGGAGGCAGAGGCTGAGGATGTTGGGGCGGATACTTCCATCTCCCTGGCAGAGGTCACCAAGGTGGTTGGTAGCCTCCATGGTGGCAAGGCGCCGGGAGTGGATGAGATCCGCCCTGACTATCTAAAGTCTCTGGATGTTGTGGGACTGTCTTGGCTGACACGTCTCTGCAACATTGCGTGGCGATCAGGGGCGGTGCCAATGGAGTGGCAGACCGGGGTGGTGGTCCCTCTCTACAAGAAGGGGGACCGGAGGGTGTGTTCCAATTATCGTGGGATCACACTCCTCAGCCTCCCTGGTAAGGTTTACTCCAAGGTACTGGAGAGGAGGCTACGGCCGATGGTCGAGTCTCGGATTCAGGAGGAGCAGTGTGGTTTTCGTCCCGGCCGCGGAACACTGGACCAGCTCTATACTCTCCATCGGATACTCGAGGGTTCATGGGAGTTCGCCCAACCTGTCCACATGTGCTTTGTGGATTTGGAGAAGGCGTTCGACCGTGTTCCCCGGGGTGTTCTTTGGGGGGGGTTCTCCGGGAGTAAGGGGTCCGGGGTCCTCTGCTGAGGGCCGTTCGGTCCCTGTATGACCGGAGCCAGAGCTGTGTTCGCATTGCCGGCAGTAAGTCAGACCTGTTCCCGGTGCATGTTGGCCTCCGCCAGGGCTGCCCTTTGTCACCGGTTCTGTTCACTGTATTCATGGACAGAATTTCTAGGCGCAGCCAGGGGCCGGAGGGGGTCCGGTTCGGGGACCACAGGATTTCATCTCTGCTGTTTGCGGACGATGTTGTCCTGTTGGCTCCAACAAACCAGGACCTACAACATGCACTGGGACGGTTTGCAGCAGAGTGTGAAGCGGCTGGGATGAGAATCAGCACCTCCAAATCTGAGGCCATGGTGCTCGACCGGAAAAAGGTGACTTGCCCTCTCCGGGTGGGTGGAGAGGTCCTTCCTCAAGTGGAGGAGTTCAAGTATCTCGGGGTCTTGTTCACGAGTGAGGTAAGGATGGAGCGTGAGATTGACAGGCGGATCGGTGCAGCGTGCGCAGTGATGCGGTCGCTGTATCGGACCGTTGTGGTAAAAAGGGAGCTGAGCCGAAAGGCAAAGCTCTCGATTTACCGGTCAATCTTCGTTCCCTCCCTCACCTATGGTCATGAGCTTTGGGTAGTGACCGAAAGAACGAGATCGCGGATACAAGCGGTCGAAATGAGCTTCCTCCGCAGAGTGGCTGGGCGCTCCCTTAGAGATAGGGTGAGGAGCTCGGTCACACGGGAGGAGCTCGGAGTAGAGCCGCTGCGCCACGTCGAGAGGAACCAGTTGAGGTGGCTCGGGCATCTGTTGCGGATGCCTCCTGGACACCTCCCTGGGGAGGTGTTCCGGGCACGTCCCACTGGGAGGAGGCCCCGGGGAAGACCTAGGACACGCTGGAGGGACTATGTCTCTCAGCTGGCCTGGGAACGCCTTGGGGTCCCCCCGGACGAGCTGGAGGAAGTGTGTGTGGATAGGGAAGTCTGGGCGTCTCTGCTTAGACTGCTGCCCCCGCGACCTGGCAACGGATGAAGCGGAGGAAAACGGACGGACGGACGGACCAAGAAAAACGTCACCACAACGCAAGAAATGGCCGGGGAGAGGGCCGGGGAGAGGGCCGGGGAGAGGGCCGGGGAGAGGACTGGTCTGCAGCTGGTACTCACGCAGCAGAATGTAGCGGTGTTTCTTGATGGCCAGCAGCAGAACCTTGACCTCGGTGTGGGAGAAGCGGGGTTTGCTCCTCATACCCACCAGCGCTGGGTCCACTCTGAAGTCCTCATCAGGAGTGTAATCAGCAGAGTTCATGTCGGCGAGGGAGCTCATCGCACACTGGGCCTGGGTCTACAGCTCACAGGGAGGGGACCTGGGGAATGAGGACGGGAGAAAACAGTCACTATTGTCGCTGTTAAAGCTGCACTAACTGACTTTATTTTTGTATTCATTACGAAAATGCTATCCATGTCCATGTAGTGCATTGGGATATACATCATTTTGAAGAAAAAGTAGCGCAGATTTGTGCTGGCGTCACATTATATTTTAGATCGAGTTTTGATGAAACAAGGAAGAGAATGTGTTTCGGGTCGCGGATTGTGACCAATCACAGTGGACCACTAGCCCCCACTTTCGTGAGAAATCTACAGGTCCGTTAGCATAGACGGCTGAGTTAGCACAACAAGCCGAGGAGCTAACCTGAAGCTTCGTCTCTTCGTCACCGGTTACTGCTTACACAGCGAGACAGCCATCCAAAAGAAAGCCCCATTCCTCCGCTCTTCACGGTTCTATCGTTCTATGGTCACGCCATCCACGTACAAATCCATATTCGTGTATTATCCATATTGGGAGACGCTAACTCCGATAGCTTCGTGGGTGCGGGGAGGGGAGCAGAAAGAGAGAGGCCAGCGAGTCCACGGCTTCAAAATCCCAAAGTCAGTTAGTGCAGCTTTAACTTTGAATACTTAGAGCGTTTTTCTAACAACAATTCTATAACAATTTTCTAACCACATGCCGCATTTTTGTAAACGCCAAATGTGAAAATACTGAAAACAACTCTCACAGATTCTTAGCCCCACAGCAAGAAGCTCATGTGACCCCCATATTCTGGCTGCACAAGGACAGTCTCAAGTCCCCACAGAGGCAGGTACGCCTAAGGTTTGATATTTCTAAACAGGGTCATTCTGATCCGGCTTCAGAATGGCTCCGTTTAGAAATGTCTCTTCTTAACAATAAAAGAAGAATTATAAATGTTTTTAATCATTTTAACCATATCACATGTGGTGTAGGTGCCTCCTCCCCTGTTTGCAAAAGAATAAGTGGTGCAAATAGATCCCTCTGTTAAATCAGACGCCATTAGGGAACAGCGGCTCTACTCCGAGAGCTCGTACTGATGCATGATTTAAGTTCTGCACTTTCTTGTCTGTTGAAAAGTATTTAGATTGATTGATTACATTTTCGGTCACTGTGCAACTTGGTTACATCAGATATACAGTGCCTTGCAAAAGTATTCGGCCCCCTTGAACGTTTCAACATGTCGCCACATTTCAGGCTTCAAACATAAAGATATAAAAATCATTTTTTGTCAAGAATCAACAACAGGTGGGACACAATCGTGAAGTGGAACGAAATGTATTGGATAATTTAAACTTTTTTAACAAATAAAAAACTGAAAAGTGGGACGTGCAATATTATTCGGCCCCCTTGCGCTAATACTTTGTAGCTCCACCTTTTGCTGCAATTACAGCTGCAAGTCGCTTGGGGTATGTCTCTATCAGTTTTGCACATCGAGAGACTGGAATTCTTGGCCATTCTTCCTTGCAAAACAGCTCGAGCTCAGTGAGGTTGGATGGAGAGCGTTTGTGAACAGCAGTCTTCAGCTCTTTCCACAGATTCTCGATTGGATTCAGGTCTGGACTTTGACTTGGCCATTCTAACACCTGGATACGTCTATTTGTGAACCATTCCATTGTAGATTTGGCTTTATGTTTTGGATCATTGTCCTGTTGGAAGATAAATCTCCGTCCCAGTCTCAGGTCTTTTGCAGACTCCAACAGGTTTTCTTCCAGAATGGTCCTGTATTTGGCTCCATCCATCTTCCCATCAATTTTAGCAATCTTCCCTGTCCCTGCTGAAGAAAAGCAGGCCCAAAGCATGATGCTGCCACCACCATGTTTGACAGTGGGGATGGTGTGTTCAGGGTGATGAGCTGTGTTGCTTTTACGCCAAACATATCGTTTTGCATTGTGGCCAAAAAGTTTGATTTTGGTTTAATCTGACCAGAGCACCTTCTTCCACATGTTTGGTGTGTCTCCCAGGTGGCTTGTGGCAAACTTTAAACGATACTTTTTATGGATATCTTTGAGAAATGGCTTTCTTCTTGCCACTCTTCCATAAAGGCCAGATTTGTGCAGTGCACGATTGATTGTTGTTCTATGGACACTCAGCTGTAGTTATCTGTAGTTCATCCAGAGTGATCATGGGCCTCTTGGCTGCATCTCTGATCAGTCTTCTCCTTGTTTGAGATGAAAGTTTGGAGGGACGGCCGGGTCTTGGTAGATTTGCAGTGGTCTGATACTCCATCCATTTCAATATAACTGCTTGCACAGTGCTCCTTGAGATGTTTAAAGCTTGGGAAATCTTTTTGTATCCAAATCCGGCTTTAAACTTCTCCACAACAGTATCTCGGACCTGCCTGGTGTGTTCCTTTGTCTTCATGGTTCTCTCTGCGCTTTAAACAGAACCCTGAGACTATCAAAGAGCAGGTGCATTTATACGGAGACTTGATTACACACAGGTGCATTCTATTTATCATCATCAGTCATTTAGGACAACATTGGATCATTCAAAGATCCTCACTGAACTTCTGGAGTGAGTTTGCTGCACTGAAAGTAAAGGGGCCCAATAATATTGCACGCCCCACTTTTCAGTTTTTTATTTGTTAAAAAAGTTTAAATTATCCAATACATTTCGTTCCACTTCACGATTGTGTCCCACTTGTTGTTGATTCATGACAAAAAATTAAAATTTTATATCCTTATGTTTGAAGCCTGAAATGTGGCAAAATGTTGAAAGGTTCAATTGGGCCGAATACTTTCGCAAGGCACTGTACCAATAAAACATTTGTATTGATGATAGAGTAAACAAGCATGGACAAAGCCCTAGCCAACCCTGCAGGAGCTCAGGAGCCGAGTCCAGGGCACATGGTCACGGGAACATCTGAACCAGGACCAGGACCAGGACCTCCGCCCACAGCTGGACACTACAATAACATACTCTATTATGCATCCATGACACTACACCGTGATGAACCTGGAACCTGGAGCCTGTCACAGCACAGGCCCTCACCAGGTTAGAAGAGCTCCATGTCGGGGACTGGTCAGGGAAAAGCCCGTGACCGTCTCTTCGCGGCTCTGTCCGGCTGCTGAGGCTCCTGCACCGGTCTGGGCTGGTTCTGCACGGGGGGCAGCTCTGTGTCGGGGTCTATGCGGGTTTAGGGACTGTAATCGGGGTCTGACACTCACCGTGTTCCGCTGATCTGCTGTGGGTTTCTGCAAACTACCGGACGACGAACCAGTCCTAATATTTTCCCCAACGCAATTATGCTGCATCTTGTTACAGAGAGCAGTTAGTAAATGCTAGCAAATGCTTAATTCTGACCAAATATCCTTTATATTGGTTTTTATCTTAAGCATAGGACTCTGTTAGGTTATGAAATGGTTAAAGTCAGGGCTTGGGAAGAGCGTTTTAGACAGAAGTGCAGTTGGGGGAAATAGTTCTTACTTTTTCCCTAAATCAGTTCTGCTATTTGACTGACATTAGAGACACACCAAATGTGTATTGTTTTGTACTTACGTTATTACAATTTATAGCAGTGACAGTGCTAAACGTATTAATAGTTAATGTGTTTCTAGATGCAGTTTTTCAGTGTATACACAAAAAGCGGGAGAATTGTGTTGGGATTAAACGCAGCTTTCCCAAATCAAACTCACAGCGCAGCGCCCTCTTGCGTCCACAGGAGGTAGAGCATTGTGTGCACAAGACACCTCCGATGTGTTACTTCATTATATTATGTATGAGCTTCTGTGTCCAAGAACTTTCCTTTAATCAATAAATATAGCCTCAATCTATGTGTTTTCCCACCTCCATAAAGTTATTTGAAGATTTGTATCATAGCGTGACTATAATAGATACTTTTTTGAAGAAATAAAGTGAAATATAACTCAATGAGAATGTATAATAATTACATATATATTGCATAAGATAAAAACGTTTTTATGTTGCTTAAACTAGTACTGATTTTCCACCTGTGTCTTTACATAATGGCATAATGACGTGCTTAGAGTCAATTTTAATATTTACCATTTTGAATTGTACTCAGCAACTTTATGGGAAGGAAGAAACATAGTATGAGAAGTTTTATACCCAAACACTACAATCATAATACTCACAATGTCATTGTTTATTTTATCATTGTTGTAATTTGATCAATTCATATTTTATTTGTTAATAACTACATACAAACTATTGAATCCTTATGGCCGTAGGTGATCTAAGTATTACCCTCAATGTTTATGTGCAATTCTGGCTTCACTAAGAATCCCACTTGACTGGTTTAAAACAATGATAAAACTATCCCCACAGGACCGTGTTGTGTGGATCCTACAGAGATATGAAGGGACGCTGCAGAGGAGCAAACATGGACACGACTTTATTATGGATCATTGATATCACACACAGAAAAGGCAACACTTGGTCCCGTGATGAGCTTCCTTCCAGTCCGCTCAGGAGTACATGGTCAGCTGCAGCCACTGGACACAACATACAGTAAATATACAGTACTTTCAACCAGGCACTGAGTCATAATTTAGCTTATAAATACATAAATAAATAGCATGAAATACAATATACAGCTACAACACACGCACACAGACAAAGACACAGACACACCCAGACAGAAAGACACAGACACACAGACACAGACACAGACACACAGACACACACCCAGACACACACGCACACAGACAGACAAAGACACAGACACGCACAAGCACACACTCTGAAACACACGCGCACACACACACCCTTAGACAAAGACAGAAATATACAGATGCACACACACACACACACACACACTCTGAAACACATACAGACACACAGACACGGACACACAGACACACAGACACAGACACACAGACACACAGACACAGACACACAGACACACACCCATAGACAAAGACAGAAAGACACAGACGCACACACATGCACACACACACACACGCACACACTCTGAAACACATACAGACACAGACACACAGACACAGACACACACCCACAGACAGAAAGACACAGACACGCACACAGACAGACAAAGACACAGACACGCACAAGCACACACTCTGAAACACACGCACACACACACACCCATAGACAAAGACAGAAAGACACAGACGCACACACATGCACACACACTCTGAAACACATACAGACACAGACACACAGACACACACACAGACACACACAGACACAGACACACACACACACAGCAGTCTGACCTCCTCTATGCCCAGGTCGATGGAGCCGCTGTTGCTCTTGTCCAGAGTCTTAAAGGCTCCTACAGAGAGAAACAAAACTCAAACAAAGAAGCTGGAACATTACAAAACAATCCTGAGAAGAACGAGCTCAGTATTTGACATAACTTTTTTGAAATGTGTTTATTATTTGGATTTGACCAAAACTGGACCAAATATAAAAGATACTTGGATTAAAATGTTAGTTTAAGTTTTACAATAATACTTTAAATAAATCCAAATGTCTTGATTTGGAGGAGAATATATTTATTTGATATTTTAAGTTCTGCTGTTCAAACTCTGACATGGGCTTACTGCACATGGTATCCAGTCGCACCAGTCGCATCACTTACTGCACATGGTATCCAGTCGCACCAGTCGCATCACTTACTGCACATGGTATCCAGTCGCACCAGTTGCATCACTTACTGCACATGGTATCCAGTCGCACCACTTACTGCACATGGTATCCAGTCGCACCAGTTGCATCACTTACTGCACATGGTATCCAGTCGCACCACTTACTGCACATGGTATCCAGTCGCACCAGTTGCATCACTTACTGCACATGGTATCCAGTCGCACCACTTACTGCACATGGTATCCAGTCGCACCAGTTGCATCACTTACTGCACATGGTATCCAGTTGCATCACTTACTGCACATGGTATCCAATCGCACCAGTTGCATCACTTACTGCACATGGTATCCAGTCGCACCAGTTGCATCACTTACTGCACATGGTATCCAGTCGCATCACTTACTGCACATGGTATCCAGTCGCACCAGACAGCCCACGAAGCTGTCGAAGTCCATGCTGCCGTGCTGGTCTGCGTAGCGCCGCACGATCAGAGCGTAAAGGTCGCCGGTGCCTTTCTTTGGGTCGTTCAGATTGAAACCTGTTCAAAGGAAACAAAAACAAATGAAATAATTATAATGAAATGTTTTTATCTTCAGAGTTTCACCAAAACAAAGACATTTCACTTTCTCTGGATCTGTTTTGTTAAAGATCACACCTGCAATGAACGAGCTAAACAAAAGCACATACTGTAGCGTTTATACACGACAGACACACACACAGACAGACAGACTCACACACAGACAGACAGATACACACAGACAGACAGATACACAGATACACACACAGACAGACAGACACACAGACACACACAGACAGATACAGACAGATACACACACAGACAGATACACACAGATACACACACAGACAGATACACACAGACACACAGACAGACACAGACAGATACACACAGACGACGCACAGACAGACACAGACACACAGACAGACAGATACACACACAGACAGACTCACAGTCACATCACAGTCACAGTCACACACACACACACACACACACACACACACACACACACACACACACACACACACACACACACACACACACACACACACACACACACACACACACACACACACACACACACACACACACACACACACACACACACACACACACACACACACACACACACACACACACACACACACACACACACACACACACACACACACACACTGCTGCTGCCGTCAGTGCTGAAGGCAGCTCCTGCTCACTGATGCACCCAGACCTGTCCCGGTCGAACTTGACAAAGATCCCCTACACACACACAGACACACAGACACACACACACACACACACAAAGACACAAACATTAGAAAAACCTCATGTGGTTTTGTTATCATATATAAATGTAAATCTGAACGTGTATGAAGTTAAGGCAGTTGTGTTGACAGCAGAGTGACCCACCTGCCATTTCTTTATATTGTTCCAGAGATACTTGAACTCATGGAAGCCCAGTTTACCTGTGCTGTCACTCTGTGCGGGAGTCAAGGACATGACACAGAGAGAAGGACTGAGAGACACAGAGACACAGAGAGAGAGAGACACAGAGAGAGAGAGAGACACAGAGAGAGAGAGAGACACAGAGACACAGAGAGAGAGAGACACAGAGAGAGAGAGAGACACAGAGAGAGAGAGAGACACAGAGAGAGAGAGACACAGAGAGAGAGAGACACAGAGAGAGAGAGAGACACAGAGAGAGAGAGATACAGTGAGAGAAGAGACAGACACAGAGAGACAGAGACACACAGAGAGACTGAGACACAGAGACACAGAGAGAGACTGAGACACAGAGAGACAGAGACACAGAGAGAGAAGAGACAGAGACACAATGACACAGAGAGACAGACAGAGACACAGAGAGAGAGACAGAGAGACACAGAGAGAGAAAGACTGAGAGACACAGAGACACAAAGACACACAGAGAGAGACTGAGAGACACAGAGAGAAAGAGACAGAGACACAGAGAGACTGAGAGACACAGAGAGAGACAGAGACACAGAGAGAGAAAGACAGAGACACAGAGACACACAGAGAGACAGAGAGAAAGACTGAGAGACACAGAGACACAAAGACACACAGAGAGAGACTGAGAGACACAGAGAGAGCGAGACAGAGACACAGAGAGACTGAGAGACACAGAGAGAGAGACAGAGACACAGAGAGAGAAAGACAGAGACACAGAGACACAAAGACACACAGAGAGAGACTGAGAGACACAGAGAGAAAGAGACAGAGACACAGAGAGACTGAGAGACACAGAGAGAGAGAGACAGAGACACAGAGAGAGAAAGACAGAGACACAGAGACACACAGAGAGACAGAGAGAAAGACTGAGAGACACAGAGACACAAAGACACACAGAGAGAGACTGAGAGACACAGAGAGAAAGAGACAGAGACACAGAGAGACTGAGAGACACAGAGAGAGAGAGACAGAGACACAGAGAGAGAAAGACAGAGACACAGAGACACACAGAGAGACAGAGAGAAAGACTGAGAGACACAGAGACACAAAGACACACAGAGAGAGACTGAGAGACACAGAGAGAGCGAGACAGAGACACAGAGAGACTGAGAGACACAGAGAGAGAGACAGAGACACAGAGACACACAGAGACAGAGAGAAAGACTGAGAGACACAGAGACACAAAGACACACAGAGAGAGACTGAGAGACACAGAGAGAAAGAGACAGAGACACAGAGAGACTGAGAGACACAGAGAGAGAGAGACAGAGACACAGAGAGAGAAAGACAGAGACACAGAGACACACAGAGAGACAGAAAGAAAGACTGAGAGACACAGAGACACAAAGACACAGAGAGAGACTGAGAGACACAGAGAGAGCGAGACAGAGACACAGAGAGACTGAGAGACACAGAGAGAGAGAGACAGAGACAGAGACACAGAGAGACTGAGAGACACAGAGAGAGAGAGACAGAGACACAGAGAGAGAAAGACAGAGACACAGAGACACACAGAGAGACAGAGAGAAAGACTGAGAGACACAGAGACACAAAGACACACAGAGAGAGACTGAGAGACACAGAGAGAGCGAGACAGAGACACAGAGGGGCACGGTGGCTGAGTGGATAGCACTCTCGCCTCTCAGCAAGAAGGTCCTGGGTTCGAATCCCGGTCGGACCAGGGCCTTTCTGAGTGGAGTTTGCATGTTCTCCCCGTGTCTGCGTAGGTTTCCTCCGGGTACTCCGGTTTCCCCTACCACTAAAAATATGTACAATAGGTCTGGCATGTGCCTCCTGTACTGGCACCCCCAACCCCATCTCTGTGTGGAGTGAGAGACAAATGCCCAAAATTAACAATTGTAAACCGCTTTGAGACTCAGATCTGCAGTGAAAAGGCGGTATATAAATAAAAACTTACTTACTTACTTACTTACAGAGAGACTGAGAGACACAGAGAGAGAGAGACAGAGACACAGAGAGAGAAAGACAGAGACACAGAGACACACAGAGAGAGACTGAGAGACACAGAGAGAGCGAGACAGAGACACAGAGAGACTGAGAGACACAGAGAGAGAGACAGAGACAGAGACACAGAGAGACTGAGAGACACAGAGAGAGAGAGACAGAGACACAGAGAGAGAAAGACAGAGACACAGAGACACACAGAGAGACAGAGAGAAAGACTGAGAGACACAGAGACACACAGAGAGAGACTGAGAGACACAGAGAGAGACTGAGAGACACAGAGAGAGCGAGACAGAGACACAGAGAGACTGAGAGACACAGAGAGAGACAGAGACACAGAGAGAGAAAGACAGAGACACAAAGACACACAGAGAGAGACTGAGAGACACAGAGAGAAAGAGACAGAGACACAGAGAGACTGAGAGACACAGAGAGAGAGAGACAGAGACACAGAGAGAGAAAGACAGAGACACAGAGACACACAGAGAGACAGAGAGAAAGACTGAGAGACACAGAGACACAAAGACACACAGAGAGAGACTGAGAGACACAGAGAGAGCGAGACAGAGACACAGAGAGACTGAGAGACACAGAGAGAGAGACAGAGACACAGAGAGAGAAAGACAGAGACACAGAGACACACAGAGAGACAGAGAGAAAGACTGAGAGACACAGAGACACAAAGACACACAGAGAGAGACTGAGAGACACAGAGAGAAAGAGACAGAGACACAGAGAGACTGAGAGACACAGAGAGAGAGAGACAGAGACACAGAGAGAGAAAGACAGAGACACAGAGACACACAGAGAGACAGAGAGAAAGACAGAGACACAGAGACACAAAGACACACAGAGAGAGACTGAGAGACACAGAGAGAGCGAGACAGAGACACAGAGAGACTGAGAGACACAGAGAGAGAGACAGAGACACAGAGAGAGAAAGACAGAGACACAGAGACACACAGAGAGACAGAGAGAAAGACTGAGAGACACAGAGACACAAAGACACACAGAGAGAGACTGAGAGACACAGAGAGAAAGAGACAGAGACACAGAGAGAGAAAGACAGAGACACAGAGAGACTGAGAGACACAGAGAGAGAGAGACAGAGACACAGAGAGAGAAAGACAGAGACACAGAGACACACAGAGAGACAGAGAGAAAGACTGAGAGACACAGAGACACAAAGACACAGAGAGAGACTGAGAGACACAGAGAGAGAGAGACAGAGACAGAGACACAGAGAGACTGAGAGACACAGAGAGAGAGAGACAGAGACAGAGACACAGAGAGAGAGAGACAGAGACACAGAGAGAGAAAGACAGAGACACAGAGACACACAGAGAGACAGAGAGAAAGACTGAGAGACACAGAGACACAAAGACACACAGAGAGAGACTGAGAGACACAGAGAGAGCGAGACAGAGACACAGAGAGACTGAGAGACACAGAGAGAGACAGAGACACAGAGAGAGAAAGACAGAGACACACAGAGAGACAGAGAGAAAGACTGAGAGACACAGAGACACAAAGACACACAGAGAGAGACTGAGAGACACAGAGAGAAAGAGACAGAGACACAGAGAGACTGAGAGACACAGAGAGAGAGAGACAGAGACACAGAGAGAGAAAGACAGAGACACAGAGACACACAGAGAGACAGAGAGAAAGACTGAGAGACACAGAGACACAAAGACACACAGAGCGAGACTGAGAGACACAGATAGAGCGAGACAGAGACACAGAGAGACTGAGAGACACAGAGAGAGAGAGACAGAGACACAGAGAGAGAAAGACAGAGACACAGAGACACACAGAGAGACAGAGAGAAAGACTGAGAGACACAAAGACACACAGAGAGAGACTGAGAGACACAGATAGAGCGAGACAGAGACACAGAGAGACTGAGAGACACAGAGAGAGAGACAGAGACACAGAGAGAGAAAGACAGAGACACAGAGACACACAGAGAGACAGAGAGAAAGACTGAGAGACACAGAGACACAAAGACACACAGAGAGAGACTGAGAGACACAGAGAGAAAGAGACAGAGACACAGAGAGACTGAGAGACACAGAGAGAGAGAGACAGAGACACAGAGAGAGAAAGACAGAGACACAGAGACACACAGAGAGACAGAGAGAAAGACTGAGAGACACAGAGACACAAAGACACACAGAGAGAGACTGAGAGACACAGATAGAGCGAGACAGAGACACAGAGAGAAAGACTGAGAGACACAGACACACAGAGAGACTGAGAGACACAGAGAAAGAGAGACAGAGACACAGAGAGAGAGACAGAGACACAGAGACACAAAGACACAGAGAGACACAGAGAGAGACAGAGACACAGAGAAAGAGAGACAGAGACACAGAGAGAGAGAGACAGAGACACAGAGAGAGAGACACAGAGACACAGAGACACAAAGACACAGAGAGAGAGAGACAGAGAGGGTTTTGTGTGAAGGATACGTCCATGACAGCCACCATGCTGCGACACGTCTCGATACTGAAGCCGCCCTCGCCGATCGCCACTCCACCTGCAACACCACAACACACGCTCAGCCTTAAACTCAGCCGTAAACCAGACCAACTGAGCTAAAGTTCATGCTGTGTTTGTGCTTCTGCAGATGTTGATGATTGTCCAATGAGATCCATTTCTGAACTATTACTAAACCTTCAGTCTACAATTTTACTGGAACATTTTTGCGGTACAAAACTTATATGCCATTCAACAGGACGCCACTAACATGAAGAACAACGGCAGTGAACTCTGCTATAACCTTATAACACACAAATAATAAACATTCAGTGTCACTCTCAGTATACCACAGTTTTCAGGCAGGAGAACAGCGCCATCTGCAGTCCGACACCCTCAGGACAGTCTCCCAAATGTGTGAGGTCAACAAACACCAGCACTAAACAGGGACGAGGGGGCCTTCCTACTCTCGCATCAAGTCATGTGACCACGCTGAGGTCCTCACGCCAGCGTCAGAACAGTCAGGAACAAAATCCTCTGAGCAAAAGAACTGCTGTAGATTCCGACGTTATAAAGGATTGAGAAGTTTTACTTGAGCCATGTACAGAACCAGAGTAGTTGTACTTATCCTCTACTTTACTTGTGTGTGTTTTTATGTCCCCCTGCTCTGTCCCACACTCACTCTTTCTGCAGACGTCGTCCAGGATGTTCTTCAGCTCCATGGGGCAGATCTCCATGTCCTGTCACAACAACAACAACAATCTTTCAGACGTCAGATTAACACTAAAAACTGCATTACCTCACTTTATTTTTCAATTCATTACAAAAATCCAACCCATGTCCATGCAGTGCATTGGGATCAGTGTGGGCGGGTCCCGGCTCAAAAGTGGCCAAAATGACGTGCGCTGACATGCTGCAATACCACCCCGGGCCTGTGGGGGTGGACCCAGAAGTAGAATTAGCCAATGCTAACATATAGCGTTGGCAGACCTCTGGAAAACGTCTTTACAGGATGGTCCAAAAGTTGTCTCTTGGCCCAAAGCTCCGTCCCACATGTGTGTCAATGCTGAGGGGGGTGTTCTGGTCCACTCTAGTTTAGTCGCTGTGAATTTGTGAAGTCTCTCGTTCAAATGAATGGAGCTGCGCCGGCTGACGCATGCGCAGATGCGTTTTTTCACAATTTTCTTGTGGGCGGGACCACTCGCGGCCATTTTGGATTCCTCCAGTAGAGCAAATTTTTTGGCCCATTAGTTAGAACGGCGGAGATAGACGTGACTCTGTCCATTAATATATACAGTCTATGATTGGGATATACGTTCTTTTGAAGAATAAGTTTCGCAGATTTGTGCTGGCGTGTCATTTTATTTTAGATCGAGTTTTCGTGCAACAAGGAAGAGAATGTGTTTTGGGTCCAGATTGTGACCAATCACAGCGGACCACTGGCCCCCGCTTTCTTGAGAAAAGCCACAGGTCTGTGGTTAGCACAGACAGCTGAGGTAAACAAGCGGCGGAGGCTAACCTGAAACTTCTGTGTCTTTGTTATTTCTATTTCAGCGAAACAGCCAAAAGAAAGTCTTGTTCCTCTGCGCTTCCCGGTTCTTTCATTCTATGGTCACGCCACGTTCAAATGTGCGATCCATATTGAGAAACGTGAGCTCCGTACACACATAAGCACAGGCTGAGTGGGGGGGGTTGGTGTAGTGGGGGGTTGGTGTAGTGGGGGGCGATAGCTTCGTGAGTGCGGGGAGGGCGAGCAGAAAGAGCGAGGCCAGCGCTCACATTCGAAACTTTCACAAAGTGAGTTAGTGCAGCAACACTAAAGTGTAAATGAATAAGTTATCCTAAAGTTCAGTCAGTTTGTCAGATTCTCTTCACTTGTGACTGTTGTTGCCACGGAGACTCGTTTGTTACGTGCTCCTCGTCCATCCACAGAATTAGCACAAACAGAAACTCAGCCCAGAAAAGGTCACACCGATAACAGATCTATTGAGGCAGAAGGACAGAAGACTGCAGTGTCTTGTTTATCTATTTATTTATTATGAAATCAAAGGTCCGTGGTGGACTTCTCTCAGAGGCCGTGGCATTCCTAAATATGATTTATTGTGGAAGTTACTCATTTAAGTTTCACGCTGATGAGGAGAGACTCGGGACAGGCCTGACAGTCAGATAACTCCTCCCTCCTGGATCTCCACGGGGCGTTGGTCTGGCTCGTCAGGCTCCACTGGATCAGATTGGATTGTTGTATATTTTACGATAAAATATTCACATGTTACTTGATGAGATGCGGACGAGGGAGGGTCCACGGGAGACTCATAATGAAGCCTTTCTTTAAAACCACTGACATACAGTATTCTCAGTCACCATTACGTCTAGATTCATCTCAAATCAACATAGCAATACAAAAATGTTTGAAAATTAGTTTTAAATAGCAAAGAGGAAATGTAGTTTGCCAATGATACAAGCTTTAGATTTATTCTCCTCATTCCTGTTATGTGGAAACTGTTATCCATTTTATATATGTATCTATCCCAGTTTTTAACCCTATTACTGCATGTTTACACTATAAAAAGTCATGAAAAATAGGTCAAGAATTGCTAGAATTTGGCAAAATGTATCTTAACTTGAGCACATTTTGACAATCAGAATTATCTTTTGTTAAAAAGGCACAAATGTCTCTCTTGGAATGAGAAAATAAAACTAAATGTCTTTGTCCCATTGGAGAATCTTGTTTTCAGACATAGAATTTACTCAGATTAAGATGAAAACTCGATTCAAGCATTTATTTCGTCACGTTTTATCATTTTTTGCATTCTTCATCGATACATTTGTGACATAATAATAGTTTCGGAGCCGTACTGAATGAATGAGGAAACAGACGCCTGCACACTTCATACAAACAGTCGACATATTTGTGTAAAGTGTTTGGCAGCCGCGCTCTACACGATACTACAGCAGTAACATGGTTCATGGAGACGCAGACGGAGCGTGTGGGCGTGTGCGGTGAGTGCCTCTGTGGTGCGTGGACCGGCCCCAGACGGGACGGGCCGGTCCAACAGCTCTGCCCTGTGAGTCACAGCTGCCCCGCCTGACAATGCCTGGAATGTGAGCTGCAACCCCACCTCAGGCCGCTCGGGCTGCGGCGCTCCGGAGACGACTGCTGAGGAAGGTTCGAGTCGCCCGTGGATAGATTTGTGAGATCATTGGATTTAAACTGATAGAATTTTTATTTTTCTCTCTGTAAATGTCTTGGTTTCATGGTTTTCAGACCAGACCAGAGCAGAGCGGATGGTCCAAACCAAACAGATCGAGCCGGATCCACTGGAGGCTGTTTACTGTTTTTTTGTTGTTGTTGAAAAATGCTTATTAAGTATATAGAATTTCACTCTGAACCAGAGCAGAGGAAATGGTCCAAAACAAGCAGACTCTGCAAACATCAACCAGAGGAAGCAGAGGAGGCAGTTCGTCACCAGCGGCGTCAACACCTGCTGCTCTGGACACTTCATTACTATTGTTAATAACTTTTAGATGTATGTATTTACTTAAGTATTTGTTTGTTAGGACGTTTCTGCGGCTGGACTCTGCATTTTCCAGCGCAGAAACCTGGGCTATACAAGAATAAATTGTATTGTATTGTTATTGTATTTGGTAAAGTATGTATTGTATTTCTCCGAGCAGGGATTAATAATAAATAAATAATCTCTATCGATATTATTCGATTATTACAGTTACTATAAACTACCAATTAACGACAAGGCATTTAGAAAGTATACAATATTTCTGCCCTCTGAATGAGACAAGACAACTATAGCTTAGCGCAAAAGAAACACATCCCGACTTCTCTCTAAACAAATAACCAACTGAGCTCAGAGGAAAACCACATCCAGACCGTCAGTAAGTACGTAATCTTTTATTGTAGAAGCGCTTTTCACAGACCTTAGAGCCTACAAAGCGCTTTACTATCGTGTGGGCAGTTTTCTCTCACTCCACACAGAGATGGAGCGGGGCCAGTTTCAGGAGGCACAGGCCAGAGGACAGGTTTTTAGTGGTAGGGAAACCGGAGCAACTCGGAGTGAAACCTACGCAGACACGGGGAGAACATGCAAACTCCACTCAGAAAGACCCTGTTTCGAGAGTACTAACCACACAGACACCGTGCAGCCCGTTGAGTCTGAATATGGTGGATATAAAGGTTTGTTGTCCGACGGATCGATGTCCGTTTAGCCTCAGAGCCAGCTTTGCTTAGAATAAGTCTGGTGTGTGTGGGAAGGTTTGGTGGTGGTGGGAGGGGCCGATGGCACAAGACGGGTCACCTTACTTCTGTCAGTGTGCCCCAGGGCAGCTGAGGCTACAGCAGTTGTTTATCACCACCGTGTTTGGAGTGAATTAATAATGATGTGAAGTGTTTTTTATATTTTAATATTTGCACAGCGCTTCTGTAGCTTCAGTAGATTCTGTAAGCTTCTGTAGTTCAGTAGCTTCTGTAGCATCTGTAGCTTCTGTAGCTTCTGTAGCTTCAGTAGCTTCTGTAGCTTCAGTAGGTTCAGTAGCTTCAGTAGCTTCAGTAGCTTCAGTAGCTTCAGTAGCTTCTGTAGCTTCAGTAGCTTCTGTAGTTCTGTGTAGCTTCTGTAGCTTCTTCAGCTTCTCGTAGCTTCTGTAGCTTCTGTAGCTTCTGTAGCTTCAGTCGCTTCAGTAGCTTCAGTAGCATTCAGTAGCTTCTGTAGCTATCTGTAGCTTCAGTAGCTTCAGTAGCTTCTGTAGCTTCTGTAGCTTCAGTAGCTTCAGTAGCTTCAGTAGCTTCAGTAGCTTCAGTAGCTTCAGGTAGCTTCAGTAGTTCTGTAGCTTCTGTAGCTTCTGTAGCTTCTGTAGCTTCTGTAGCTTTCAGTAGCTTCAGTAGCTTCAGTAGCTTCTTAGCTTCATAGCTTCAGTAGCTTCAGTAGCTTCTGTAGCTTCTGTAGCTTCTGTAGCTTCTGTAGCTTCTGTAGCTTCTGTAGCTCAGTAGCTTCGAGTAGCAGAGAACTTCTGTAGAGAACTTCAGAGCTTCAGTAGCAGAGCATCAGTAGCTTCTGTAGACTTCAGACTGAAGACACAGAGCTTCTGTAGACAGAGACACAGAGACTGAGAGACACAGAGAGAGAGAGACAGAGACACAGAGAGAGAAAGACAGAGACACAGAGACACACAGAGAAAGACAGAGACACAAAGACACACAGAGAGAGACTGAGAGACACAGAGAGAGCGAGACAGAGACACAGAGAGACTGAGAGACACAGAGAGAGAGACAGAGACACAGAGAGAGAAAGACAGAGACACAGAGAGAGACTGAGAGAGACACAGAGAGAGAACTGAGACACAGAGAGACAGAGAGACTGAGAGACTGAGAGACACAGAGAGAGAGAGACAGAGACACAGAGAGAGAAAGACAGAGACACAGAGACACACAGAGAGACAGAGAGAAAGACTGAGAGACACAGAGACACAAAGACACACAGAGAGAGACTGAGAGACACAGAGAGAGCGAGACAGAGACACAGAGAGACTGAGAGACACAGAGAGAGAGACAGAGACACAGAGAGAGAAAGACAGAGACACAGAGACACACAGAGAGACAGAGAGAAAGACTGAGAGACACAGAGACACAAAGACACACAGAGAGAGACTGAGAGACACAGAGAGAACAGAGACAGAGACACAGAGAGACTGAGAGACACAGAGAGAGAGAGACAGAGACACAGAGAGAGAAAGACAGAGACACAGAGACACACAGAGAGACAGAGAGAAAGACAGAGACACAGAGACACAAAGACACACAGAGAGAGACTGAGAGACACAGAGAGAGCGAGACAGAGACAGAGACACAGAGAGACTGAGAGACACAGAGAGACTGAGAGACACAGAGACAGAGACACAGAGAGACTGAGAGACACAGAGAGAGAGAGACAGAGACACAGAGAGACAAGACAGACACAGAGACACACAGAGAGACAGAGAGAAAGACTGAGAGACACAGAGACACAAAGACACACAGAGAGAGACTGAGAGACACAGAGAGAGCGAGACAGAGACACAGAGAGACTGAGAGACACAGAGAGAGACAGAGACACAGAGAGAGAAAGACAGAGACACACAGAGAGACAGAGAGAAAGACTGAGAGACACAGAGACACAAAGACACACAGAGAGAGACTGAGAGACACAGAGAGAAAGAGACAGAGACACAGAGAGACTGAGAGACACAGAGAGAGAGAGACAGAGACACAGAGAGAGAAAGACAGAGACACAGAGACACACAGAGAGACAGAGAGAAAGACTGAGAGACACAGAGACACAAAGACACACAGAGCGAGACTGAGAGACACAGATAGAGCGAGACAGAGACACAGAGAGACTGAGAGACACAGAGAGAGAGAGACAGAGACACAGAGAGAGAAAGACAGAGACACAGAGACACACAGAGAGACAGAGAGAAAGACTGAGAGACACAGAGACACAAAGACACACAGAGAGAGACTGAGAGACACAGATAGAGCGAGACAGAGACACAGAGAGACTGAGAGACACAGAGAGAGAGACAGAGACACAGAGAGAGAAAGACAGAGACACAGAGACACACAGAGAGACAGAGAGAAAGACTGAGAGACACAGAGACACAAAGACACACAGAGAGAGACTGAGAGACACAGAGAGAAAGAGACAGAGACACAGAGAGACTGAGAGACACAGAGAGAGAGAGACAGAGACACAGAGAGAGAAAGACAGAGACACAGAGACACACAGAGAGACAGAGAGAAAGACTGAGAGACACAGAGACACAAAGACACACAGAGAGAGACTGAGAGACACAGATAGAGCGAGACAGAGACACAGAGAGAAAGACTGAGAGACACAGACACACAGAGAGACTGAGAGACACAGAGAAAGAGAGACAGAGACACAGAGAGAGAGACAGAGACACAGAGACACAAAGACACAGAGAGACACAGAGAGAGACAGAGAAAGAGAGACAGAGACACAGAGAGAGAGAGACAGAGACACAGAGACACAAAGACACAGAGAGAGAGAGACAGAGAGGGTTTTGTGTGAAGGATACGTCCATGACAGCCACCATGCTGCGACACGTCTCGATACTGAAGCCGCCCTCGCCGATCGCCACTCCACCTGCAACACCACAACACACGCTCAGCCTTAAACTCAGCCGTAAACCAGACCAACTGAGCTAAAGTTCATGCTGTGTTTGTGCTTCTGCAGATGTTGATGATTGTCCAATGAGATCCATTTCTGAACTATTACTAAACCTTCAGTCTACAATTTTACTGGAACATTTTTGCGGTACAAAACTTATATGCCATTCAACAGGACGCCACTAACATGAAGAACAACGGCAGTGAACTCTGCTATAACCTTATAACACACAAATAATAAACATTCAGTGTCACTCTCAGTATACCACAGTTTTCAGGCAGGAGAACAGCGCCATCTGCAGTCCGACACCCTCAGGACAGTCTCCCAAATGTGTGAGGTCAACAAACACCAGCACTAAACAGGGACGAGGGGGCCTTCCTACTCTCGCATCAAGTCATGTGACCACGCTGAGGTCCTCACGCCAGCGTCAGAACAGTCAGGAACAAAATCCTCTGAGCAAAAGAACTGCTGTAGATTCCGACGTTATAAAGGATTGAGAAGTTTTACTTGAGCCATGTACAGAACCAGAGTAGTTGTACTTATCCTCTACTTTACTTGTGTGTGTTTTTATGTCCCCCTGCTCTGTCCCACACTCACTCTTTCTGCAGACGTCGTCCAGGATGTTCTTCAGCTCCATGGGGCAGATCTCCATGTCCTGTCACAACAACAACAACAATCTTTCAGACGTCAGATTAACACTAAAAACTGCATTACCTCACTTTATTTTTCAATTCATTACAAAAATCCAACCCATGTCCATGCAGTGCATTGGGATCAGTGTGGGCGGGTCCCGGCTCAAAAGTGGCCAAAATGACGTGCGCTGACATGCTGCAATACCACCCCGGGCCTGTGGGGGTGGACCCAGAAGTAGAATTAGCCAATGCTAACATATAGCGTTGGCAGACCTCTGGAAAACGTCTTTACAGGATGGTCCAAAAGTTGTCTCTTGGCCCAAAGCTCCGTCCCACATGTGTGTCAATGCTGAGGGGGGTGTTCTGGTCCACTCTAGTTTAGTCGCTGTGAATTTGTGAAGTCTCTCGTTCAAATGAATGGAGCTGCGCCGGCTGACGCATGCGCAGATGCGTTTTTTCACAATTTTCTTGTGGGCGGGACCACTCGCGGCCATTTTGGATTCCTCCAGTAGAGCAAATTTTTTGGCCCATTAGTTAGAACGGCGGAGATAGACGTGACTCTGTCCATTAATATATACAGTCTATGATTGGGATATACGTTCTTTTGAAGAATAAGTTTCGCAGATTTGTGCTGGCGTGTCATTTTATTTTAGATCGAGTTTTCGTGCAACAAGGAAGAGAATGTGTTTTGGGTCCAGATTGTGACCAATCACAGCGGACCACTGGCCCCCGCTTTCTTGAGAAAAGCCACAGGTCTGTGGTTAGCACAGACAGCTGAGGTAAACAAGCGGCGGAGGCTAACCTGAAACTTCTGTGTCTTTGTTATTTCTATTTCAGCGAAACAGCCAAAAGAAAGTCTTGTTCCTCTGCGCTTCCCGGTTCTTTCATTCTATGGTCACGCCACGTTCAAATGTGCGATCCATATTGAGAAACGTGAGCTCCGTACACACATAAGCACAGGCTGAGTGGGGGGGGTTGGTGTAGGGGGGGTTGGTGTAGTGGGGGGTTGGTGTAGTGGGGGGTTGTGGTGGGGGGGGCGATAGCTTCGTGAGTGCGGGGAGGGCGAGCAGAAAGAGCGAGGCCAGTGCTCACATTCGAAACTTTCACAAAGTGAGTTATTCATTTACACTTTAGTGTTGCTGCACTAAGTTATCCTAAAGTTCAGTCAGTTTGTCAGATTCTCTTCACTTGTGACTGTTGTTGCCACGGAGACTCGTTTGTTACGTGCTCCTCGTCCATCCACAGAATTAGCACAAACAGAAACTCAGCCCAGAAAAGGTCACACCGATAACAGATCTATTGAGGCAGAAGGACAGAAGACTGCAGTGTCTTGTTTATCTATTTATTTATTATGAAATCAAAGGTCCGTGGTGGACTTCTCTCAGAGGCCGTGGCATTCCTAAATATGATTTATTGTGGAAGTTACTCATTTAAGTTTCACGCTGATGAGGAGAGACTCGGGACAGGCCTGACAGTCAGATAACTCCTCCCTCCTGGATCTCCACGGGCGTTGGTCTGGCTCGTCAGGCTCCACTGGATCAGATTGGATTGTTGTATATTTTACGATAAAATATTCACATGTTACTTGATGAGATGCGGACGAGGGAGGGTCCACGGGAGACTCATAATGAAGCCTTTCTTTAAAACCACTGACATACAGTATTCTCAGTCACCATTACGTCTAGATTCATCTCAAATCAACATAGCAATACAAAAATGTTTGAAAATTAGTTTTAAATAGCAAAGAGGAAATGTAGTTTGCCAATGATACAAGCTTTAGATTTATTCTCCTCATTCCTGTTATGTGGAAACTGTTATCCATTTTATATATGTATCTATCCCAGTTTTTAACCCTATTACTGCATGTTTACACTATAAAAAGTCATGAAAAATAGGTCAAGAATTGCTAGAATTTGGCAAAATGTATCTTAACTTGAGCACATTTTGACAATCAGAATTATCTTATGTTAAAAAGGCACAAATGTCTCTCTTGGAATGAGAAAATAAAACTAAATGTCTTTGTCCCATTGGAGAATCTTGTTTTCAGACATAGAATTTACTCAGATTAAGATGAAAACTCGATTCAAGCATTTATTTCGTCACGTTTTATCATTTTTTGCATTCTTTATCGATACATTTGTGACATAATAATAAGTTTCGGAGCCGTACTGAATGAATGAGGAAACAGACGCCTGCACACTTCATACAACAGTCGACATATTTGTGTAAAGTGTTTGGCAGCCGCGCTCTACAACGATACTACAGCAGTAACATGGTTCATGGAGACGCAGACGGAGCGTGTGGGCGTGTGCGGTGAGTGCCTCTGTGGTGCGTGGACCGGCCCCAGACGGGACGGGCCGGTCCAACAGCTCTGCCCTGTGAGTCACAGCTGCCCCGCCTGACAATGCCTGGAATGTGAGCTGCAACCCCACCTCAGGCCGCTCGGGCTGCGGCGCTCCGGAGACGACTGCTGAGGAAGGTTCGAGTCGCCCGTGGATAGATTTGTGAGATCATTGGATTTAAACTGATAGAATTTTTATTTTTCTCTCTGTAAATGTCTTGGTTTCATGGTTTTCAGACCAGACCAGAGCAGAGCGGATGGTCCAAACCAAACAGATCGAGCCGGATCCACTGGAGGCTGTTTACTGTTTTTTTGTTGTTGTTGAAAAATGCTTATTAAGTATATAGAATTTCACTCTGAACCAGAGCAGAGGAAATGGTCCAAAACAAGCAGACTCTGCAAACATCAACCAGAGGAAGCAGAGGAGGCAGTTCGTCACCAGCGGCGTCAACACCTGCTGCTCTGACACTTCATTACTATTGTTAATAACTTTTAGATGTATGTATTTACTTATGTATTTGTTTGTTTGGACGTTTCTGCGGCTGGACATCTGCATTTCCAGCCGCAGAAACTGGGCTATACAAGAATAAATTGTATTGTATTGTATTGTATTGTATTGTATTGTATTTCTCCGACAGGGATTAATAAATAAATAAATAATCTCTATCGATATTATTCGATTATTCACAGTCTATAAACTACCAATTAACGACAAGCCTTTAGAAAGTTAATTATTTCTGCCCTCTGAATGAGACAAAGACAACTATAGCTTAGCGCAAAAGAAACAACCCGACTTCTCTCTAAACAATAACCACCTGAGCTCAGAGGAAAACCACATCCAGACCGTCAGAAGTAAGTAATCTTTATTTGTATAGCGCCTTTCACAGACCAGAGCCACAAAGCGCTTTACTATCGTGTGGGCAGTTGTCTCTCACTCCACACAGAGATGGAGCGGGGCCAGTTCAGGAGGCACAGGCCAGAGACAGGTTTTTAGTGGTAGGGGAAACCGGAGCACTCGGAGGAAACCTACGCAGACACGGGGAGAACATGCAAACTCCACTCAGAAAGACCCTGTTTCGAGAGTACTAACCACACAGACACCGTGCAGCCCGTTGTGTCTGAATATGGTGGATATAAAGCGTTTGTCCGACGGATCGATGTCCGTTTAGACCTCAGAGCCAGCTTTGCTTAGAATAAGTCTGGTGTGTGTGGGAAGGTTTGGTGGTGGTGGGAGGGGCCGATGGCACAGACGGGTCACCTTACTTCTGTCAGTGTGCCCCAGGGCAGCTGAGGCTACAGCAGTTGTTTATCACCACCGTGTTTGGAGTGAATGAATAATGATGTGAAGTGTTTTTATATTTTAATATTTGCACAGCGCTTCTGTAGCTTCAGTAGCTTCTGTAGCTTCTGTAGCTTCAGTAGCTTCTGTAGCTTCTGTAGCTTCTGTAGCTTCTGTAGCTTCTGTAGCTTCAGTAGCTTCAGTAGCTTCAGTAGCTTCAGTAGCTTCAGTAGCTTCAGTAGCTTCAGTAGCTTCTGTAGCTTCTGTAGCTTCTGTAGCTTCTGTAGCTTCTGTAGCTTCTTCAGCTTCAGTAGCTTCTGTAGCTTCTGTAGCTTCTGTAGCTTCAGTAGCTTCAGTAGCTTCTGTAGCTTCTGTAGCTTCTGTAGCTTCTGTAGCTTCTGTAGCTTCAGTAGCTTCAGTAGCTTCAGTAGCTTCTGGCTTCAGTAGCTTCTGTAGCTTCTGTAGCTTCTGTAGCTTCAGTAGCTTCAGTAGCTTCAGTAGCTTCAGTAGCTTCAGTAGCTTCTGTAGCTTCTGTAGCTTCTGTAGCTTCTGTAGCTTCAGTAGCTTCAGTAGCTTCAGTAGCTTCTGTAGCTTCTGTAGCTTCAGTAGCTTCAGTAGCTTCAGTAGCTTCTGTAGCTTCTGTAGCTTCAGTAGCTTCAGTAGCTTCAGTAGCTTCAGTAGCTTCTGTAGCTTCGTAGCTTCATGTAGCTTCTGTAGTTCTGTAGCTTCTGTAGCTTCGTAGCGTTCAGTAGCTTCTGTTCTAGCTCAGTTTCAGTAGTTCAGTAGCTTCGTAGCTTCTGTAGCTTCGTAGTTCTGTAGCTTCTGTAGCTTCTGTAGCTTCTGTAGCTTCGTAGCTTCTGTAGCTTCAGTAGCTTCAGTAGCTTCAGTAGCTTCAGTAGCTTCTGTAGCTTCTGTAGCTTCTGTAGCTTCTGTAGCTTCAGTAGTTCAGTAGCTTCAGTAGCTTCTGTAGCTTCTGTAGCTTCTGTAGCTTCTGTAGCTTCAGTAGCTTCAGTAGCTTCAGTAGCTTCAGTAGCTTCAGTAGCTTCAGTAGCTTCTGTAGCTTCTGTAGCTTCTGTAGCTTCTGTAGCTTCTGTAGCTTCAGTAGCTTCAGTAGCTTCAGTAGCTTCTGTAGCTTCTGTAGCTTCTGTAGCTTCAGTAGCTTCAGTAGCTTCAGTAGCTTCAGTAGCTTCTGTAGCTTCAGTAGCTTCTGTAGCTTCTGTAGCTTCTGTAGCTTCAGTAGCTTCAGTAGCTTCAGTAGCTTCAGTAGCTTCTGTAGCTTCTGTAGCTTCTGTAGCTTCAGTAGCTTCAGTAGCTTCAGTAGCTTCTGTAGCTTCTGTAGCTTCTGTAGCTTCTGTAGCTTCTGTAGCTTCTGTAGCTTCAGTAGCTTCAGTAACTTCAGTAGCTTCAGTAGCTTCTGTAGCTTCTGTAGCTTCAGTAGCTTCTGTAGCTTCAGTAGCTTCAGTAGCTTCAGTAGCTTCTGTAGCTTCTGTAGCTTCTGTAGCTTCTGTAGCTTCAGTAGCTTCAGTAGCTTCAGTAGCTTCAGTAGCTTCTGTAGCTTCTGTAGCTTCTGTAGCTTCAGTAGCTTCAGTAGCTTCAGTAGCTTCTGTAGCTTCTGTAGCTTCTGTAGCTTCAGTAGCTTCAGTAGCTTCAGTAGCTTCAGTAGCTTCTGTAGCTTCAGTAGCTTCTGTAGCTTCAGTAGCTTCAGTAGCTTCAGTAGCTTCTGTAGCTTCAGTAACTTCAGTAGCTTCTGTAGCTTCTGTAGCTTCTGTAGCTTCAGTAGCTTCAGTAGCTTCAGTAGCTTCAGTAGCTTCAGTAGCTTCTGTAGCTTCTGTAGCTTCTGTAGCTTCTGTACTAACTTCAGTACTTCAGTAGCTTCGTAGCTTCTGTAGCTTCAGTAGCTTCTGTAGCTTCTGTAGCTTCTGTAGCTTCTGTAGCTTCTGTAGCTTCAGTAGCTTCTGTAGCTTCAGTAGCTTCTGTAGCTTCTGTAGCTTCAGTAGCTTCAGTAGCTTCAGTAGCTTCTGTAGCTTCTGTAGCTTCTGTAGCTTCTGTAGCTTCTGTAGCTTCAGTAGCTTCAGTAGCTTCAGTAGCTTCTGTAGCTTCTGTAGCTTCTGTAGCTTCTGTAGCTTCTGTAGCTTCAGTAGCTTCAGTAACTTCAGTAGCTTCAGTAGCTTCTGTAGCTTCTGTAGCTTCTGTAGCTTCTGTAGCTTCTGTAGCTTCAGTAGCTTCAGTAACTTCAGTAGCTTCAGTAGCTTCTGTAGCTTCTGTAGCTTCTGTAGCTTCTGTAGCTTCAGTAGCTTCAGTAGCTTCAGTAGCTTCAGTAGCTTCTGTAGCTTCAGTAGCTTCTGTAGCATCAGTAGCTTCAGTAGCTTCTGTAGCTTCTGTAGCTTCTGTAGCTTCTGTAGCTTCTGTAGCTTCAGTAGCTTCAGTAACTTCAGTAGCTTCAGTAGCTTCTGTAGCTTCTGTAGCTTCAGTAGCTTCAGTAGCTTCTGTAGCATCAGTGTAGAAGTACAAAATAGCCCCCAAGACCTGCCCCAGACCTCCCTCAAACCTGCCTCAGACCTTCCCCCAGACCTCCCCCTGAGGACTCACATCTCCAGCGAGCTTTTCGAAGGTCCTCCTGAACCTCTTCTCCTCTTCATTCTCGTGGCTCTCAGCGTTCAGTGGTCTGCGGGGAGGGGGCTGACACACACACACACACACAAATGTGATTGAGAGTGGACTAGTGTGTGTTTGTGAGTGGACTAGTGTGTGATTGTGAGTGGACTAGTGTGTGATTGTGAGTGGACTAGTGTGTGATTGTGAGTGGACTAGTGTGTGATTGTGAGTGGACTAGTGTGTGATTGTGAGTGGACTAGTGTGTGATTGTGAGTGGACTAGTGTGTGATTGTGAGTGGACTAGTGTGTGATTGTGAGTGGACTAGTGTGTGATTGTGAGTGGACTAGTGTGTGTTTGTGAGTGGACTAGTGTGTGTTTGTGAGTGGACTAGTGTGTGTTTGTGAGTGGACTAGTGTGTGATTGTGAGTGGACTAGTGTGTGATTGTGAGTGGACTAGTGTGTGATTGTGAGTGGACTAGTGTGTGATTGTGAGTGGACTAGTGTGTGATTGTGAGTGGACTAGTGTGTGATTGTGAGTGGACTAGTGTGTGATTGTGAGTGGACTAGTGTGTGATTGTGAGTGGACTAGTGTGTGATTGTGAGTGGACTAGTGTGTGATTGTGAGTGGACTAGTGTGTGATTGTGAGTGGACTAGTGTGTGATTGTGAGTGGACTAGTGTGTGATTGTGAGTGGACTAGTGTGTGATTGTGAGTGGACTAGTGTGTGTTTGTGAGTGGACTAGTGTGTGTTTGTGAGTGGACTAGTGTGTGTTTGTGAGTGGACTAGTGTGTGTTTGTGAGTGGACTAGTGTGTGTTTGTGAGTGGACTAGTGTGTGATTGTGATTGTGAGTGGACTAGTGTGTGATTGTGAGTGGACTAGTGTGTGATTGTGAGTGGACTAGTGTGTGATTGTGAGTGGACTAGTGTGTGATTGTGAGTGGACTAGTGTGTGATTGTGAGTGGACTAGTGTGTGATTGTGAGTGGACTAGTGTGTGATTGTGAGTGGACTAGTGTGTGTTTGTGAGTGGACTAGTGTGTGATTGTGAGTGGACTAGTGTGTGATTGTGAGTGGACTAGTGTGTGATTGTGAGTGGACTAGTGTGTGTTTGAGAGTGGACTAGTGTGTGTTTGTGAGTGGACTAGTGTGTGATTGTGAGTGGACTAGTGTGTGTTTGTGAGTGGACTAGTGTGTGTTTGTGAGTGGACTAGTGTGTGATTGTGAGTGGACTAGTGTGTGATTGTGAGTGGACTAGTGTGTGATTGTGAGTGGACTAGTGTGTGTTTGTGAGTGGACTAGTGTGTGTTTGAGAGTGGACTAGTGTGTGATTGTGAGTGGACTAGTGTGTGATTGTGAGTGGACTAGTGTGTGTTTGTGAGTGGACTAGTGTGTGATTGTGAGTGGACTAGTGTGTGATTGTGAGTGGACTAGTGTGTGTTTTGTGAGTGGACTAGTGTGTGTTTGTGAGTGGACTAGTGTGTGTTTGTGAGTGGACTAGTGTGTGTTTGTGAGTGGACTAGTGTGTGTTTGTGAGTGGACTAGTGTGTGATTGTGAGTGGACTAGTGTGTGATTGTGAGTGGACTAGTGTGTGATTGTGAGTGGACTAGTGTGTGATTGTGAGTGGACTAGTGTGTGTTTGAGAGTGGACTAGTGTGTGTTTGTGAGTGGACTAGTGTGTGATTGTGAGTGGACTAGTGTGTGTTTGTGAGTGGACTAGTGTGTGTTTGTGAGTGGACTAGTGTGTGTTTGTGAGTGGACTAGTGTGTGTTTGTGAGTGGACTAGTGTGTGTTTGTGAGTGGACTAGTGTGTGTTTGTGAGTGGACTAGTGTGTGTTTGTGAGTGGACTAGTGTGTGATTGTGAGTGGACTAGTGTGTGATTGTGAGTGGACTAGTGTGTGATTGTGAGTGGACTAGTGTGTGATTGTGAGTGGACTAGTGTGTGTTTGTGAGTGGACTAGTGTGTGTTTGTGAGTGGACTAGTGTGTGTTTGTGAGTGGACTAGTGTGTGATTGTGAGTGGACTAGTGTGTGTTTGTGAGTGGACTAGTGTGTGTTTGTGAGTGGACTAGTGTGTGATTGTGAGTGGACTAGTGTGTGTTTGTGAGTGGACTAGTGTGTGTTTGTGAGTGGACTAGTGTGTGATTGTGAGTGGACTAGTGTGTGATTGTGAGTGGACTAGTGTGTGTTTTTGAGTGGACTAGTGTGTGATTGTGAGTGGACTAGTGTGTGATTGTGAGTGGACTAGTGTGTGATTGTGAGTGGACTAGTGTGTGTTTGAGAGTGGACTAGTGTGTGTTTGTGAGTGGACTAGTGTGTGATTGTGAGTGGACTAGTGTGTGTTTGTGAGTGGACTAGTGTGTGTTTGTGAGTGGACGAGTGTGTGTTTGTGAGTGGACTAGTGTGTGTTTGTGAGTGGACTAGTGTGTGTTTGTGAGTGGACTAGTGTGTGTTTGTGAGTGGACTAGTGTGTGTTTGTGAGTGGACTAGTGTGTGATTGTGAGTGGACTAGTGTGTGATTGTGAGTGGACTAGTGTGTGTTTGAGAGTGGACTAGTGTGTGTTTGAGAGTGGACTAGTGTGTGTTTGAGAGTGGACTAGTGTGTGTTTGAGAGTGGACTAGTGTGTGATTGTGAGTGGACTAGTGTGTGATTGTGAGTGGACTAGTGTGTGTTTGTGAGTGGACTAGTGTGTGTTTGTGAGTGGACTAGTGTGTGATTGTGAGTGGACTAGTGTGTGATTGTGAGTGGACTAGTGTGTGATTGTGAGTGGACTAGTGTGTGATTGTGAGTGGACTAGTGTGTGTTTGTGAGTGGACTAGTGTGTGTTTGTGAGTGGACTAGTGTGTGATTGTGAGTGGACTAGTGTGTGATTGTGAGTGGACTAGTGTGTGATTGTGAGTGGACTAGTGTGTGATTGTGAGTGGACTAGTGTGTGATTGTGAGTGGACTAGTGTGTGTTTGTGAGTGGACTAGTGTGTGTTTGTGACTGGACTAGTGTGTGTTTGTGAGTGGACTAGTGTGTGTTTGTGGTGATACTCACAGGGTCTGAAGGAACGAAGTCTGCAGGGTCGATGTTACTGCAGAGAAACACAACATGTCAATCAGCATCAGGAAAAGAACACACAACTGCGGCTTTAGATGTGACTCATTCATTCATTCAAGAGGTTTAAACTGTTCCAGATGTTCCTTCGTGTGTGTGTGTGTTTGTGTGTTATAGGAAGTGAATACAAAAATTTAAAATAATAAAAATCAAATTGTGTTTTTGTCATCCATCCAATTTCTTCTGCTTTATTCATTGTTTAGATGGTTTGATTCTCTGATCTGTGTTGTCAAATTCAACTGTTTTGTAAAGTTCTCCGAGATAACTACAGTTGTGATTTAGGGTGATACAAGAATATTGAATTAATTTGGTTGGGCAGCAGTTTAAGCAGAGACCCAGCCTTTCCTCTCCACACACACTTCCTCCAGTTCTCCCGGGGGAATCTTGAGGTCTTCCCCTGGTCTCCTCCCGGTGGGACTCGCCCGGAGCACCTCCCCAGAGAGGCGTCCCAGACAGATGCCCGAGCCACCTCCACTAACTCCTATAGACGTGGAGAAGCAGCGACTCTACTCCGAGCTTCTCCCAGCCACTCTGCGGAGGAAGCTCATTTCGACCGCTTGTATCTGCAACCTCGTCCTTCCGGTCAGTACCCAAAGCCCATGACCGTAGGTGAGGGAGGATTTCCCAGTAAATCGAGAGCTTTGACTACAGACTCTGCTCCCTCCTCACCACGCCCCGATACTGTACCAATCCAGTCTTGTTGTAAATGTGGAAAGGGATCACATACATAATGAACACATCACTCCGGATTGTAGCGTTGGGCTAATTTCCACCCGTCGTCCCACATTTGCACTCACAAACACACACTCATTCACCTCAAACTATTACACATGTACCTGGAGGAAACCTACACAGACACAGGGAGAACATGCAAACTCCACTCAGAAAGGCCCTGTTCCATTATTGACATTTCTGGACATTGGTCTCTGCTCCTTATGGACAAGTGTTTTTACATCATTGCATTTCTTGTCTTTGAACGGTTTTGTAAAGTTCTCCGAGACAAATACTGTTGTGATTTAAGGCTGCACAAGAACACTTTGAATGGATTTGAATTTCCACAAACCCGGCTCCTGCGTCACTCTGAATGGGACGTCCCACTGAAGCAGAGGTGAACACTGCAGGAGGTGCTCGTGGCTGGAGTTACATTAGTTGGGGACTTGTGACTGGACTTGGACTGGATTTGAAGTTAGTCCTGAGTAAATCCCTCATGTTGAAGTTGCACCACTATGAGCTGCTAAACGACAGGGACTAATGGGCCACTTCAGACTTATTTCAGACCTGGTCCATGCGTAACGAGTCAGGTTTGTGCAGATACAAGCTTTTACCTTCAGCGCAAACATATAGTCTCCACTTTGGCTTTAAAGTGACACAGCAGGACTTTAAACAACTGTTATTTCAACCATCAACCAACATATTGAACACACTTTATATTCAGCCGTGTCCAGAGTCTGCCACAGGAGCCCGGAGCCTCCACACGTTTATCAAAGGCCCTTTGAGGCTTTCCCCAGTTCCTCCAGAAACAGGCCCAGCTTTACATGTGTCATAAAGAAGCTGCTAATCACTGATCATAGAATTTCACATAGATGTCCGGATGAATCTGTCACATAACTGACTTTTTTGTCCTTTTTGAAAACGAATACATGTTTTAATAGCTTATATTTTAGATACAGTTACATTTATTTAGAATAGACTCACATTTATGTATTTATGTGTATTTATTTTCACAGCTCTATCCAATGAACTGTGAGTATGTCAGCATGTCCATCCAACAAGTACATCTATCCAAGAGGAGACTACATATTCACAGCAGTAATGAACTCAATCTGTGAGTTTGAAGAGAAAAATAAATGACTCCTAGACTTTTATTAGTTCCTTTTTCCCCAGATGTAGAGGACGCAGTTGCAGCCCTCCCGTGGCACACAGAGGGTTAACGGGTGTTTACGTCCGGCTCTGTGGCTATAACACATCCATGGAAAGAGCAGAACAAGGGCAGACTCTCACCTTATAATTTTGACGAGGCCTCCCAGGATTCCCTTGGCCAAAAACATGATGCAGGAGGATCTGTGTCACAGCGTGGGACAGTAGAGCTTTAGTTATCCACAAATAAGAAAGAGGAGTTGTGGGCGTGGTTCGGATCTAAAGTTTCCACAGCTGAGATCCAGTGTGAACCAAAGCCCAGAGCTCGCGTTCCCCGGGACAAAGGCCTTACCTGGAGCGGTGACAAGGGGAAGGAACAGCGGCCGCGGACTGGAGCGCTCTGAGCTGAGGAGAGAACTTTACCTCTGCGCCCCCGGAGCAGTGCTGTCCCGCCCCGCCCCGTGCCGGTCCTGCCCCAGGGTATGGTCCAGGGACGATCCACCCATGCAACCAGACGCACAACTGCAGGAGCGCACGGAGCAGGTCCTAGTGCCCCATGTCATAACGTGTGTGTGCGTGCGTGTGTCTGCGTGCATGCGTACGTGTGTGCGTTCGTGCGTGTGCGTATGTGTGTGTAGTAAAGTGCATATAACAGGAAAATACCATATAAGAGATGAAGAGATCCAGGGACCCCCAGTGCAAGAAGGAGCGCTACCGCAGGGCCTTTATCCCCACCGCTGTCAGACTGTACAATAAGTCACTTTAAGCAACTTGCACTAGGACTAAAAACCTGCACTACGATTGACAGTTTCTTTAATTGCCACTTTTTGTATTGTACATAATATATCCTGAAAATACTGTATTGTTTTTTTCCTTTAACAGGTTTTCACACTTACACTACCTCCCACAGGGGGGGAAATGTCAGTGTTGCATCACAAGTTACTGCACAGTAGGAATGAGGAGCACACAGCACAAAAAATAACTCTATATACCAATTAGAAAAAAACTACATTTCTAGCTATAGCATCAAAGAATCTATATCTGTATAAATCTATATCTTGAACATAATAATAATAAAGAAGTAATATACCTTATCTTTCACCTTTGCCATCAGAGTTCTGTATTTTGATGATTTTTTTTTCAATAAATAGATAATAGTATCGGCCAAAGTATAAACTACAGACTGTATATAGTGATACACGCTGCATGGACAGTGAACACATGTCACTTTATGTCAGAAACTGTATTCTCACTAATCCGCAGTGTCCTCCGTGTCCAGCAGGTGGCAGCACCGTCATGAGGACAGCACAGGATTCCCGCAGCTCAGAGAGACAGAGGGACAAAACTTTATGGTCGATTGTGGAAGTTGTGCCTCCTTAAAATATGAGAGAGGTTCTTCCTTCTACTGTGAGTGAAAGAATGTGGTGAAATCATCAAAACATTGTCTGAGTTTTAAAGAAACTGAAACAACGAGATCCACTAAAGGACATCTTAAATTAGCAACTTCTGAGACAAGGCCAAAGAGAACATAAATACAAAGGATGGACACATGACGAGGGGCCTTCACCTGGTCTCACACCTGGTCTCACACCTGGTCTCACCGCTAAAACACCATTTTAAAGTAAATCAGTCCTGCACTCATTTTAAGAACTGTAATTATATAATTGTATATTGTCCTTTTGTATTATTGTTGTTGTGTGACCTGCCTCTGGACTACGGATGTAAATTAGCAGTTTTGCTACAATTCACATTTACAATTTGTGTACAACTTGTATATTATTGTTCATTAATGTGTGGTGTCCCGATCAATTAAATAAATAAATAATTAAAACACCGGGTGTCACACCTGGTCTCACACCAGGTCTCACACCAGGTCTCACCTGGTCTCACACCTGGTCTCAGTCCGCTCCAGCCTTGTCCCGCTGGTCGCCTGAGCTTTATCAGTTTTATCTGTTCACCTCCTCAGCTCTGGACAGAGCGCCCTCACCTCCTCCTCTCCTCCTCTCCTCCTCTCCTCTCCTCCTCTCTCCTCCCCTCCTCCCCACCTCTCCTCTCCTCCCTCCTCCCCTCCTCCTCTCCTCCACACCCTCCTCTCCTCCTCACCTCACCTTCTCTCCTCACCTCTTCACCTCCTCAGCTCTGACAGAAGCGCCCTCACCTCATCCTCTCCTCCCCTCCTCCCCTCCTCTCCTCCTCCTCCCCTCCTCCTCTCCTCCACACCTCCTCTCCTCCTCACCTCACCTTCTCTCCTCACCTCTTCACCTCCTCAGCTCTGACAGAGCGCCCTCACCTCCTCCTCTCCTCACCCTCCTCCTCTCCTCCTCTCCTCACCTCTTCACCTCCTCAGCTCTGACAGAGCGCCCTCACCTCCTCCTCTCCTCCTCTCCTCACCTCTTCACCTCCTCAGCTCTGACAGAGCGCCCTCACCTCCTCCTCTCCTCCTCTCCTCACCTCTTCACCTCCTCAGCTCTGACAGAGCGCCCTCACCTCCTCCTCTCCTCCTCTCCTCACCTCTTCACCTCCTCAGCTCTGACAGAGCGCCCTCACCTCCTCCTCTCTGGGTGAAGCTTTACTGGTTGAATAGTTAAGAACAAAGCACATGTCTATAAGTGTGTATAAAAACCGGATGCAGGTCTGAAGTGTGAAAATGGCTGCAGCCCCAGCTGCCCTGGGGCAGACAGACAGAAGCAAGGCCATTAAACCTTTAGGCGACAAAGAAAGATTTTTTGTTTTCGGAAACATGTCTTCCTACAAACCTCTCACTACATTTTCACATATTGTTGTATTGTATTTTATTGACAGCTTATCACCAATGTGTACGGAGAGAAAGAATAATGCGATGTTCCAAAATATATCAATGTGAACCAGACCGAGATACACACGCACACGTTTTACTGCACCGTTCACTCCGCAAACCCCGTGCGCGCGTGTGGTTGTGGGCATGTGCACGGGTGTGTGTGTGTGCGTGCGTGCGTGCGTGCGTGTGTGTGTGCGTGTCTCTGTGTGTGTGTGGGTGCGTGCGTGCGTGCGTGTCTCTCTGTGTGTGTGTGCCTGTGTGTGTGCGTGTGTATGTGTGTGTGTCCATAATCCACTGATGTGTAGTGGACACATGCTGCAGTGTAACTGACATTATGGAATTATCTGTCTGCCTCCGTCTGAAGAGCTCTGGGCATGTTCCTCAGAACAAAATACCTTTTTTTATTAATTAGAATTGTATTCTGTTGCTCAGAATAATTGGTTTGAAGACCATTCAGTTTCAAATAAAACAATCTTTTCTCACCTCAATGTTAAAAAAACAACACTAAAATACAAGATTAAATGAAGTCTCTATAATCTCTAGTTTTATTAAGATGTTACTCCCTGCGCGGCTCTGGCCCTGACTGTCCTCCGCTTCAGGCCACAGCTGCCCTACTCCCTCTGCTGGAGCAGAGGGACTCCTACAAGCACCACCGTGTTCTTCCAAACCACACTTCTAGCCTTGAACATAAAAAAGACAAGTATTTTTTGCAGTGCAAAGTCTTATACAAAGTCCCATGTGTAGAACCGTAATAAAACATACATTGGAGAAACAGGAAGAGCTTTGCAAGATCTGCCAAGAAAAAGGCAACACAGGAAAAGCGGCTCTACTCCGAGCTCCTCCCGTGTGACTTAGCTCCTCTATCTCTAAGGGAGCAGCCACTCTGCGGAGGAAGCTCATTTCGACCGCTTGTATCCGCGATCTCGTTCTTTCGGTCATTACCCAAAGCTCATGACCATAGGTGAGGGAGGGAACGAAGATTGACCGGTAAATCGAGAGCTTTGCCTTTCGGCTCAGCTCCCTCTTCACCACAACGGTCCGATACAGCTCTGACTGCAGACGCTGCTCCCTCTTTACCACAACGGTCCGATACAGCTCTGACTGCAGACGCTGCTCCCTCTTTACCACAACGGTCCGATACAGCTCTGACTGCAGACGCTGCTCCCTCTTTACCACAACGGTCCGATACAGCTCTGACTGCAGACGCTGCTCCCTCTTTACCACAACGGTCCGATACAGCGACCGCATCACTGCGCACGCTGCACCGATCCGCCTGTCAATCTCACGCTCCATCCTTCCCTCACTCGTGAACAAGACCCAGAGATACTTGAACTCCTCCACTTTAGGAAGGACCTCTCCACCCACCTGGAGAGGACCAGGACCTGTAGAGGGCAAGGCACCTTTTTCCGGTCGAGCACCATGGCCTCAGATTTGGAGCTGATTCTCATCCCAGCCGCTTCACACAGAGCATGCTGCAGGTCCTGGTTCGTTGGAGGCAACAGGACAACATCATCCGCAAACAGCAGAGATGAAATCCTGTGGTCTCTGAAAGTGATAGTCTGGAACTCTAAATTAATTACAAATTTTAGAATTATATCAAATTGACCTCCTGGCCTTAAATGTTGATAAGAAATAAGTCATTTTATGAATTCTAATATTACGGGTAAGTACCGCCTTCCCTTCTCTTAGCTATAGCTCAGAATCCACGATGCTGTCCACGTGAACCAATCGACTGATGCCAGCATATTTCAGTATATAAATTATTCAGTATATAATCATTTATATACTGAACCTATATCCATAATCATTTATATACTGAACCTATATCCATAATCATTTATATACTGAACCTATATCCATAATCATTTATATACTAACCCTATATCCATAATCATTTATATACTGACCCTATATCCATAATCATTTATATACTAACCCTATATCCATAATCATTTATATACTGAACCTATATCCATAATCATTTATATACTAACCCTATATCCATAATCATTTATATACTGAACCTATATCCATAATCATGTATATACTGACCCTATATCCATAATCATTTATATACTAACCCTATATCCATAATCATTTATATACTAACCCTATATCCATAATCATTTATATACTGACCCTATATCCATAATCAGATCCTCTGCAGATGTTCCTATAATGTTCAATTAATGTTAATAGCTACAATCGCTTCTTGTGTGCATTAAAACATAATTTTTTGTCATGAAAACGTGAACAGATAATTCTGAAAACCTCTGTGCATGTGTGTTAATAATGTATATATATAATGTGTTCTCAGATTAACATTTAAATCTGTTGATTGATTGTTACAGACACGTAGGTGTAGACCAATCAGAAAGGAGGGGGAGGAGCTTGAGTCTTTATTTTTCAAATCATGTACCTCTCTCCTTTTTTCTGACAAACTCCAGACAGTCACTTGAACCGGACCCTCAGGCCCCTTGTGGCTTTCTGTTATTCACAATGACAATATACAGTAAATAATTCTGATTCTGAATAATAGTAGTGGTAGTATTATTATTATTATTATTAGTAGTAGTACCAGTAGCAGCAGTGGTAGCAGTAGCAGCAGCAGTAGTAGTATCAGTAGTAGTAGTAGCAGTAGCAGTAGCAGTAGTAGTATCAGCAGTAGCAGTAGCAGTATCAGTAGCAGGAGCAGTAGTAGTATCAGCAGTAGTATCAGTAGTAGTAGTAGCAGTAGTAGCAGTAGCAGGAGCAGTAGTAGTATCAGCAGTAGCAGTAGCTGTAGCTGTAGCAGTAGCAGGAGCAGTAGTAGTATCAGCAGTAGTAGTAGCAGTAGCAGCAGTAGTAGCAGCAGCAGTAGCAGTAGCAGCAGTAGTAGTATCAGGAGTAGCAGTAGCAGTAGCAGCAGTAGTAGCAGCAGCAGTAGCAGTAGCAGCAGTAGTAGCAGTAGTAGTAGCAGTAAGACGCATATACGGAGGCAAGACGCATATACGGAGAGCGCACACAAGCCGCCCGCCCTCTTAGCAGACGCCAACGCCAGCAAAGGGGCAGTCTTAAAAACCCCCTGCGTCATTCCGTGTGCGCCGGGGGCGGTCACGTGTCCTGCAGACCCAACGTCATAAGTCCGGGCCTGCTCATGCCATGTGACTCGACTGCTCCACCCCCCCCTGGCTCTTGCCTCATGGAGGGGGGGGGGGGGGGGGGGGGGTGCGAGGCCCTGGAGTGGGAAACTCCGTGCTTAGCCTCGTAGCTTAGAGGAGCTAACACGTGTTCGGCCGAAGCACACACAACACTACTCACCAGATCCCTCCGCTTGACCCCTCTCTCGGAGGGCATAGCATGGATCAGTGGACCGGAGCTCGTAGCCCGCGTAGCACACTGCACACCCTGCTCTGGGGGCTGCAGGCCTAGCGGGGCAAAGTTATGGGTTCGGGAAGTAACACAAGCACATGACACATTACACATGTTACGTACCCCCAAATGAGACTCAGACAACGAGTACTGATGAAATGCCGGACGGCCTTTATTAGCAAAAGTTATGCCACCCCGGCCTCCTCTACTGTAGGGAGGCCGGCGGTGGGTGCGCTGCTCCCTCGGGCCTCCCGGGGGTCTCGTCAAAGGGGGACGATGTATGGTGGAGCGTGGGTAGGGAGCGGAGGCGAGCGCTCTCTGCCTCTGTCCAGGCTCCGTGCAGCTTGGTGGGCCTCACGCCTCGGAGCTAGGTGCGGTGCTAGCCTAGCCGAGTCCTTGGCCGCAGACTCCAGTCTGTCCACCAGGGCCGAAGAGGGACGTCTGGGACACGGGCAGGTCCAACAGTTGCCTCTCCTCCGCCTCCCTGATGTTTGCTAGCCCAAGCCAGAGGTGCCTGGCCCCGACTTGGGCTGCAGCCATGGTGCGGCCACCATCCACGGCAAATCAATCAATCAATCAACGTTTATTTATAGAGCGCCTTTCCTACACAAGGCAACGCAAAGCGCCTCACAACCCATATAACATCATGCATAAATCATCAAACATTAGAATTTAAGTAAACATAAAAAGACAGATTAAGAGCACAAGATATATAAAATCACACAAGTAGTTAAAAACCGTAAAACATTAAAATCACACAAGGGATTACAATCATAAATAATCATAAATAATCATAGCGCATTAAAAAGATTAAAGATAAAAACAAATATAAAATCATTCACTTGTATGCACAGCTAAAATGAACTGTTTTCAGTTCAGTTTTAAAAGTAGACACCTGTCTCACACTCTCGGGAAGACGGTTCCAGACTCTAGCTGCATGAATCTGAAACGCAGCCTCCCCATGTCTAGTTCCGACTCTTGGCACTAACAGAAGTCCAGTCCCTGTGCTCCTCAGAGCCCGAGTTGGTTCATATGGCACCAACATGTCGCGGATGTACCCTGGTGCGAGGCCATGGAGAGACTTGTACACAAGTAAAGCTACTTTAAAATCTATTCTCTGAGCCACAGGAAGCCAGTGCAGAGACCCAAGCAAAGGCCTGGCTCATGCGCAGGAGAGCCGCGGAGGTGGTCCTCGTCTCTGTCAGCAGGTCTCCGCTGAGCGCCTGACCAGCGGAGAGCGACCTATCCAGGGCCCCCGTGATAAAGGCCATGTTGTTAGCCAGGGCGACGACCTGAGCCGCGTTGGCATAACACCTGTCCAGCATAACACCTGTCCAGCATAGCCAAAGACATCCTGTCCCGCTCGGAGGGAAGGAGAGGTCTGGCGCCGGGCCACACGGATGCGGAGGGCAGCAGAGCCATGCGGACTGAGTCCTCGATTTCCGGGACACCACCGGCCCAGGACCAGTCCTGCATGCTGCAGTACATGCCGTACCCCAGAGCAGGCCTCTTGGCTGCTAGGGGCTTTGGCCACTCACGTGTCGCGTAATGGAGGATCGGGTCCATCCGCGAGCACAACGTGGGTTGCTTCCTCCTCCTCCCTCGAGTGGTGGCGCCCACCGAGGTGAAGCTCTGGGGAGAGCGAGACACGAGGCGCAGCTAGCGCTCTCCGCCGCATGGCCCGAGCCCAGGCACAAGAACAGCGTGGATGCTGGTCCGTGCACGGGAGCGTGACCCGACACGCCAAGCAACGACGACGTCCGACGCCGGAGGGCGAAGGGGAAATCGGACAAGCAGTTGAGGCAGACATCTCAGCAGACAAAGTAGAAGTAGTAGATGTAAGTATGATCTCAATCGGCGCCAGAGTGAAAGAGGGGGCGCGGCCTTGTGCGGGGGCTTTTATAGAGGAGGGTCGCTAGTGATTGGAGCATATTTTATATATTTGATCTCTCTGGCGTGTGACCTGGGGGTCACGTGATATCCCACTAGCGAAGTCCTAAGGGACGTAGCACCATGACGTAGAACTGTGCTCTACAAATAACATTTTAAACACACAATATTCTATAAAAGAGCAAGCAGTACAGACCTTTTAAATGACATAATTCCTCTGTTGAACTCAGCGCAGACTTTCATTATTGTCAAGTGTGTAAGTCTTGAAAAACAGAAGTCATTGTAACGACTTATAGGTGTGTGAGATAAGCTTAACAAAGATAGAAAGAACAGCGCTATATAAATAAACTTGACTTAACTAACCCTAACCCTTACTCAAACACACAAGGCATTACTTAAGACATGATGTGGATAAACTCACTGACCATATGTGATGTTAGGGAAAGTCATTTTTTATTTTTTATTCAGACTCGGCTGTGAGTTTCTGGAAACCTGCCGAGGACTTTGAATGTGGAAAACAAACTGTGTTATTGCGTTGAAATATAACTTTACCTTAACGTTTGCGAAGCTTGTCAAGACCAAAGCAAAACAAAGAAAACTCCAGAAACCGCCATCAGACGAAAAGAGAAATCACACAAAAAGCAGATGTAAAAACACTGCACCTTCGCATGATTACCACAACACCTCATCAAAGTTGGCTTTAATTTTAATTTCCACGACTTTGAACCGAACAACAGCCACAAAACAACAATCTTTGATAATTTTGCTCACATTTTTGCCATTTGAAGGAGGTTGCGTGGTAATGGGGTTGGCTTGTCATTTTACTGGAGTCTTTGTTTCTGGGGAGAACAGCTGTGTGGCGGCGAGATTGTCTGGCTCCAAGATAAATCAAAGAAAACCGGCAAGGATATGAATGTTGCGGTGAATCCATGAATTTAGACGCCTGTGGGTCACCTGCACCAGTCACAGAATTGGAAGATGCATAAAGAAGCTGAAGGGAAAGAGAATTTAGACGGAAATTTTACAACTCAATACATTATTCGTCCAAGAAAATTCAGAAATGACGTCTAAAGAGTGTCGCTTGAAACAATTTTTTATTGTTTATTATTTATATTTGTTTTGTAAAGCATCTTTGAGTGACCAAAAACACTATATAAGTTTGATGTATTATTTTTATTATTATTTGATTGAGCTGTTAATGTTTAGACCAAAGCAGAACTATTTCACCAAGTAAGTATGTATCAAGTAAGTAAGTAAATTTGATTTGTTTAGTAAGTAAGTAATGTTTATTTATATAGCGCATTTTTTTACAGACCAAAGCGCTTTACAATGTTCAGAGTTCAGATATTGTTCCAATCATTCCAAACACACTGGTGCATCAGCCCCCAATCAACACCATCCATTCATTCTCTCATTTACATTCATACCTATTGTGCATGTTTTTAGTGGTAGGAGAAACTGGAGTACCCGGAGGAAACGGGGAGAGCATCTAAACTCCACTCCACTCAGAAAGACCCTGTTCCGACCAGTATTTGGACCGAGGACCTTCTTGCTGAGAGACAAGAGTGTTATCCACTCAGCCACCGTTTAGCGCCATTTACAGACCAGAAACACAGAGCACACAGTTTAAAGACAATTGTGATAGTTTTATCAGTAATTTTCTGAAAGAGAGTTTTGCATGACACAGGGCCAGAAAAGATTCAACCCTATGAACTACTCTGAAATAGCAGCAGGTTATACTGACCTCATCAGAGTCCAGAGAGTTTCTGTATCGGATTTCATCCATCTCGTCCAACATCATGGAGTAGATAGACACTGCATCCGCTTCACTCTTATCACTCAGTCTGCTTACAAGAACCTCAGCCTCATCTTTGTTCAGGCTGGAAGATCGGGCAACTGTTACTGCTGCTTCATCCAGGAGCTCTTTCATCTGTAAATGAAAATAAATAAATGACTCAAATGCAGATGCAATGCTGGCCTGAGAAGCTGTTCTTGAAACTGGAGGGAGTAGAGATTGAGTGGCTACATTGGAATCCTCCTCAGATGAACTCTGACTGCTCTCCTCCGAGTACGCTTGACATGAGCACCAGGTGTTTACAGAGCTTTGAGTCACTCTCTTCCTTTTTTCTTGTTGTGCAGCAGCCTTCATTGCTTTTTGCTGCTTGTTTTCAGACAAGATCAATCAATCAATCAATCAAAGTTTCTTGTCACCAAAAGACTCTGAAGGAGAAACATAGCTCTTTTTAGGGGAGGATTGCGTATGTTCTTCCTTTGATTGCACAAGGCAAGGGCGAAGGGAAAGGGGCTTGCTCTGGGTCTGCTCTGGGACTCGCTCCTCCATCTGACACAACCCTTAGGTACAGTTTTCTGGACTAAAGGTGCAACCTCTTCACTCAGAGGCATTGAACAAGCTCCTGGAAGATTTGGCCAAATAATCTCAGAAGTAAATGTACCACTAGAGCTGTGAGTGGTCTGTTTGGTTGTCTCCTGCTCAGTTTCTGTAGGGAGACTCTCCACTTGTGTTTCTTGTGTCTCACTGGTTGCAGAGTCGGATCTGGGTTTGATCTCTGGAACAAAACTCGAAATCCCAGAGGCACCGTTCTGAGACAGGTTTGCAGTCTCCACAGATTCGGCCACTCCCAGCCCGTTCCGTCTGAGTTCATTTCTGACTTTGAGACGTTTGGCCTCTCTTGTAGCTCTTTGTCCACCGGCTTCTCCTCACCTGAGATCTTTGTCCTGCATGGCCAACAGCATTGCATGAACTTCTGGGCATTGGAGACGATGCTGAGGAGCTTGTATCTGGATGGGGTGTAGCCTTGTTCTTTGTCTACTGTCAGTTTGCTTCCAGGAGATCCCACGCGACTCAGAACCGAGTTGACAGTGTCAGTCACCTCAGCACTTATCTGCTCATGGGCCTTCTCAAGTGCATAATACTCATCAGCAGAACTGGTCTTGAAGCTGGTTCGGAGGACAGCGCTCAGGGCGTCTTTCACGGCATCTTCCGAGAGCACAGCATCACTTGACGAAAGCTGTTCCCGGGCGATGATTTTCCCCACACCACTGAGGATTTGATCAGAGAAGTTCATGATAATATCCATGAACAGCTGTGACATGTGTGTGCGAACCTCGTGCTCGCTGAAGCCTGCGGTCTGCACAGTCCTCCAGAAGTTGATCAGAGGTTGGATCTGGTCCACGTTGATGGTGGGTATGGCGTTGTCCAGGGGTGAGCTGGGACGCTTACTCATCAGTTGGAATGATTGCATGAACTCTACTTCTCTGATCGGTTGCATTAGCTCATCCGTTCTGCTATGAAACCTTAAGTCTTCCATTCTGGGCGGTGGCGTCGGGTCAAAGCCTCTTTCTTCGTTCGTTTTCTTCGTTCTTCCTTGTGAATTATAAACGTGGATTCTAATCTGCTGTGACGCTGTGGGCGGCGGCTTCAGATGTGGGTTTTGGCAAAAGTGGACTTCCTGGACTGACCTAGCCTCCACCACAATATAATTATGTGGATTCTAACTGATGACATCACAAAGCTGTTATGACAAGGTAATCGGTATCCATGGTAACCGGCATCCATGGTAACAGGTCTCTATGGTAACGGGTCTCCACGGAAACTGGTACAATGGAACACTGGGCAGTCTGGAGCCAGCAATAAGGAAAAACAATGAGAAAAGAAATGATTTCTTTTCCTGGAGAATTTAAACATCACAGTGTATTGTTTAAGATTACAACTGACACCATACGCTGAGATTATGATTTTCTATCTATTCTTTATTTTAAGTATTTATTCTGTTAACAGGAACACTGATTAATAAAATTATTGTGAAGACAGACAAAGCTTATTTTCATCCGTAGTTTCTGGGGCAGACCTTGTCACAACTTAGGTTTATAGTTTACAAAGAATTAATCACAAAGAATTAACGTTTCCTTTTGTGTGAATTAATAGTTACCTAATGTAACTTAAGTTCTACGAATAGGTGCGTAATAGTCCCTTAGGACTATGTTAGTGGGATATCACGTGACCCCCAGGTCACACGCCAGAGAGATCAAATATATAAAATATGCTCCAATCACTAGCGACCCTCCTCTATAAAAGCCCCTGCACAAGGCCGCGCCCCCTCTTGAACTCTGCCAAGCCGGGCTGGCCTGATGGGCTCGTAGCTAAGGGACTACGCACCTATTCGTAGAACTTAAGTTACATTAGGTAACTAATATTTCTACGTCATGGTGCTACGTCCCTTAGGACTTCGCTAGTGGGACACAACGCGGAGGCCGTAGGAACATGTACTCCCAGCAGGCCAGCAAAGAGTGATTGGAGCCCCGCCCGAGCAAGACCCTCACACAGTGAGAGGACTCAGGGCAGAAGAATAATCAATTGCGTGTTACAGGGCCGCTCCTCCCAAGGACACCCCCAAGTAACAGACCGAAGGCCACCCGTAGTCCCAGGACGCCTCTCCCAAGAGCTCCTGACGTGGACTACCTAACTGACCAAAAGCACACACATACTGCACCTGCAGGACGCCTCTTCCAAGAGCTCCTGAACCAGGGCGGACAAGTCAACCGTAGACCCCCTCAGAAGAGGAACCTCACGGTTTCAACTCAATCCGCTGCACTAAGCACGGAATGGGCGGCCGTAGAGGCCGCCACCCCGCGCGTGGAGTGCAACCTGAAATCCACTGGGGGGGCCAGGCCCTGAGCCTGATACGCCCGCCGCACAGCCGTGGCGACCCAGTGCGCCAGCCGCTGAGACGACAGCGGGGCGCCCCTGTTCTTGGGGCCCAGACACACAAACATCTGAACAACCAACCTGAAGGAAGATGTCATGGCCAGGTAACGCCTAAGCATTCTGACAGGACACAGAAGGTGCCGCCGCTCCTCCTCTGGGGAGGCATGTGGCGGCGGATGGAAAGCCCTAATCCTGATCACTCTCGACCTGAAGGCCGAAGTGATGACCTTTGGGAGAAAAGCCGGATTGTCCGTCACCCTCTGTGAGTGGACTAGTGTGTGTTTGTGAGTGGACTGGTGTGTGTTTGTGAGTGGACTAGTGTGTGATTGAGAGTGGACTAGTGTGTGTGAGTGGACTAGTGTGTGATTGTGAATGGACAAGTGTGTGTTTGTGAGTGGACTAGTGTGTGTTTGTGAGTGGACTAGTGTGTGTTTGTGGTGATACTCACAGGGTCTGAGGGAACGAAGTCTGCAGGGTCGATGTTACTGCAGAGAAACACAACATGTCAATCAGCATCAGGAAAAGAACACACAACTGCGGCTTTAGATGTGACTCATTCATTCATTCAAGAGGTTTAAACTGTTCCAGATGTTCCTTCGTGTGTGTGTGTGATTGTGTGTTATAGGAAGTGAATACAAAAATTTAAAATAATAAAAATCAAATTGTGTTTTTGTCATCCATCCAATTTCTTCTGCTTTATTCATTGTTTAGATGGTTTGATTCTCTGATCTGTGTTGTCAAATTCAACTGTTTTGTAAAGTTCTCCGAGATAACTACAGTTGTGATTTAGGGCGATACAAGAATATTTAATTAATTTGGTTGGGCAGCAGTTTAAGCAGAGACCCAGCCTTTCCTCTCCACACACACTTCCTCCAGTTCTCCCGGGGGAATCTTGAGGTCTTCCCCTGGTCTCCTCCCGGTGGGACTCGCCCGGAGCACCTCCCCAGAGAGGCGTCCCAGACAGATGCCCGAGCCACCTCCACTAACTCCTATAGACGTGGAGAAGCAGCGACTCTACTCCGAGCTTCTCCCAGCCACTCTGCGGAGGAAGCTCATTTCGACCGCTTGTATCTGCAACCTCGTCCTTCCGGTCAGTACCCAAAGCCCATGACCGTAGGTGAGGGAGGATTTCCCAGTAAATCGAGAGCTTTGACTACAGACTCTGCTCCCTCCTCACCACGCCCCGATACTGTACCAATCCAGACTTGTTGTAAATGTGGAAAGGGATCACATACATAATGAACACATCACTCCGGATTGTAGCGTTGGGCTAATTTCCACCCGTCGTCCCACATTTGCACTCACAAACACACACTCATTCACCTCAAACTATTACACATGTACCTGGAGGAAACCTACACAGACACAGGGAGAACATGCAAACTCCACTCAGAAAGGCCCTGTTCCATTATTGACATTTCTGGACATTGGTCTCTGCTCCTTATGGACAAGTGTTTTTACATCATTGCATTTCTTGTCTTTGAACGGTTTTGTAAAGTTCTCCGAGACAAATACTGTTGTGATTTAAGGCTGCACAAGAACACTTTGAATGGATTTGAATTTCCACAAACCCGGCTCCTGCGTCACTCTGAATGGGACGTCCCACTGAAGCAGAGGTGAACACTGCAGGAGGTGCTTGTGGCTGGAGTTACATTAGTTGGGGACTTGTGACTGGACTTGGACTGGATTTGAAGTTAGTCCTGAGTAAATCCCTCATGTTGAAGTTGCACCAGTATGAGCTGCTAAAGGACAGGGACTAATGGGCCACTTCAGACTTATTTCAGACCTGGTCCATGCGTAACGAGTCAGGTTTGTGCAGATACAAGCTTTTACCTTCAGCGCAAACATATAGTCTCCACTTTGGCTTTAAAGTGACACAGCAGGACTTTAAACAACTGTTATTTCAACCATCAACCAACATATTGAACACACTTTATATTCAGCCGTGTCCAGAGTCTGCCACAGGAGCCCGGAGCCTCCACACGTTTATCAAAGGCCCTTTGAGGCTTTCCCCAGTTCCTCCAGAACCAGGCCCAGCTTTACATGTGTCATAAAGAAGCTGCTAATCACTGATCATAGAATTTCACATAGATGTCCGGATGAATCTGTCACATAACTGACTTTTTTGTCCTTTTTGAAAACGAATACATGTTTTAATAGCTTATATTTTAGATACAGTTACATTTATATAGAATAGACTCACATTTATGTATTTATGTGTATTTATTTTCACAGCTCTATCCAATGAACTGTGAGTATGTCAGCATGTCCATCCAACAAGCACATCTATCCAAGAGGAGACTACATATTCACAGCAGTAATGAACTCAATCTGTGAGTTTGAAGAGAAAAATAAATGACTCCTAGACTTTTATTAGTTCCTTTTTCCCCAGATGTAGAGGACGCAGTTGCAGCCCTCCCGTGGCACACAGAGGGTTAACGGGTGTTTACGTCCGGCTCTGTGGCTATAACCAAGGGCGTAGGTTTGCGTGGGGACCATGGGGACATGTCCCCACCAATATTTGGTGAGGACTAAAAAGTCCCCACCAAAATGACATGATGTCCCGTGACCAGTGGCGGAGCCAGAGGGGTAGCCAGGGTGGCCACTGCCACCTCTAAAAATATCCTTGCCACCCCCAGTGCCCCCCTCGGAAGACGGCAATGTAATAATGTTAATCTTGAGAATCTTCCGCACTTTTTCCGGCAAAAGCTAAAAATTCCCACGGTTTCCCCCGACTGTGAACGCACCTTGACTCCGTGGAGCCGGTGCTGTATGCTAATGTTTTGGGTTGTTGGACTCACATGTGCCCAAGTCGTGATGAAAACAAAGAGGTAAGTTAGCGATGCAGAGCCAACCGTTTACATTTGACACAAAGTATAGACACACGTACTGCAGCGCATTACTTGTTCAGTTTGTAGAACTTTTAGTGTGTGTATGTGTGTGTGCGTGCCTGTGTGCGTGCCTGTGTGCGTGCCTGTATGCGCGCCTGTATGCGCGCCTGTGTGCGTGTGTCAGCGTGCCAGTGTGTCTGCGTGTGTGTGCGTGCCTGTGTGTGCCAGTGTGGGTCTGCGTGCCTGTGTGTGTGTGCGTGCCTGTGTGCGTGTGTGCGTGCCTGTGTGTGTGTGCGTGCGGGGTGCATGCGTGTTTATTTTCCATTATTAATTGCCCATCGTATCATCGCCCTCTTCCCTTTAGTCTAAACATTAAAAGAAAAGGAGGAAACATTGCCTACAGGCCTTTTTTTGTTAGGAAAAGGCTTGTAGATCAGCCTGAAGGTCAGACTCTGAGGCAGTATGTTTTAAGATGATGAGGAATTTGTTGTGTTGTATTAAAATATAGCTTATATAATTGAGTTTCAGAAAATGAGAGGGTGTCGCAGACAGGTGCAGGATCGTCTGTTGGCAGAAGGCGTTTTTTCACACACAAAAAAAGAAACAAAATAGCTAAGATTATGGATGATGTGCAGTTGCTTAACCCCAAAACGGGGAACGTTTGGAAAGTGTTTCATGAGCTTTTTTTTGAGGCTTGCAAAGATCTTTTTAATACCTGTCAGTACTGCGTCTTGTGAAATAAGTTTCTCTGTCCTAAAACTTATTAAAAACCATCTCAGAACTATGGCAGATGATTGAGTCATCTTGGTATCCTCAGTGTAGGGTAAAGGAGGGCTCAGGGCTGAATATGGATGAGTTTGTCAACATCTTTGCTGCTTTACACCAGAACCGTAGGAATTTGCTAAATTTGTTAAAAGAAAAAATGTAATGCAATGTTTGAATGATGTTATTTTGCACTTTTTTTGTTCAGACTACTATTTAAATACACTTTTTTTTTTTGCTTTGTAGTTTCCAAGTGCATGGGGCGACAGTAGCTCAGTTGGTAGAGCATTGGCCTTATGGCCAGAAGGTTGTGGGTTCAATTCCCACCTCTGCACCTTCTCCACCGACTCCCACTGATGACTGCTGTCGTTGTGTCCTTGGGCAAGACACTTAACCCCACTTTGCCCAAAGCCCCCACTGAAAGATCAAGGCTATGCTCACACTCAGAGAGCAGCCGTCCTCCTGTGGACTCACCACCTGCAGAGGGTCAGTGAGGGGCTGGTGCTATGAGACTTGGGTGGCATCTCTGACTGCCACCCCCCTGACCCAGAAATGGATTAAAGGGTAGAAGATGGATGGATGGATGGATGGAGTTTCCAAGTGTGCTCTCAGTTCACTTTATATTAAAAATAATGACAAGATTAAGATTAAAATGTATCGTTTAGCCAGTTTTTGTGCGAAATAAAATTTCGGAATAGTATAAATGTGGACCCCTCAAAAAAACCCTTGCCACCCCCTGGCCACCCTCTGTTTAAGAGTCTGGCTCCGCCACTGCCCGTGACCCGGACGGTCCGGGACACATGTCTTCCGTTTGTGCATACGTCGCGCCTCCTCCTCGCCTCCAGAGCAACAGCAGCAGCAGCAGCACGTGACCCGTTCCGTTCTCTGCAGTGATTGGCTGTCTTCTTCAGCGCCAAACTGAAGCACTGAGCGACTGTTTAATTTTTTAAAGTTAGCCAGCGTGAAGCAAGTGTTTTTTTTCGTTCCCTGAGCGTTGTAGCACGTGAGTAATCAGAGGAAAGTACTGTAGATCTATTACCATTCAAAGTACTTACGTTATTTATAATCTGTCAGCGCACTGTTTAATGTTCCGAGGAGCTCACACGGCACAGAGACAGAACAGAACTGGCTCCAATAAAGAAACAGGTTGGTTGAAAGGCTGAAAAAATACTTATTGTGCTCTTACTATCCAAAATGTATAAGTGGGTGTGTTGTGTGAATCAGGATAAACTAGGGATGAAAATATTCCACGGATCCACGATTTACAACCTTTATCTGCTGATAATGTAATTTCTGTGAAATGTGTGACAGCGGGCACTTGCTGTTATTTGCTCTAAGCACATTCAAGAGATGCACTCGAATGTGCACGTCCTGGTGCAGCTGCTGCCGCTTTGTAATGACAGCCGCGGCGCTCAGTGAAAGCACAGCTCTAACATGGTACCGAGCTCGGACCATATGCAGACAGAACCATGTTGCAAGTGCGGGTCTCCCTCGTATCTCCCCCGTTTCTCCCCTGTGTCTCTGACATGTCTCTCCCCTGACTCTTCCCAAAGCGCAACCAGCGCTTCCGAAATTAAAGCTCGGATACCTAAATTTTCCATTGCGTTAACGATGCATGCTGGTTGTGCGCAAAACACACCACAACAGGTCATTTAAGTTTTTATTTTGCATACTTGAGAGCCCTGTGAGTCATTAGTTGCCTTTTTGGGTTGAGAGTGGAATTAAAAAAAAGAAAATATAGAAAGATCCACACTGTTACTTATTGCCAAACTCTTGTTAACTCATTGTATTGAGAAATACTATGTAACTTTTGACATTGGCCAAGTTATATAAATGATTCTGCAGTTCATGTATATGAATGTCTGTTTTTGATTGTCTATACCTTCTTATATAATTTAGAAAAAATGCCACCTCCACAAAAAAAGATAAAAGATATCAGGAGCTTTTTTAACAGTTGGAAAGTAAGTAAGAGAAAGCACAAGTAATAGCAAATTATGAATTGTGATGATTAATCTTCTGTTAACATACATAGGAAACTCAACCAACAAAAGAGAACAATATAGGGAATGTTGAGGTAGAAGCAACAGGCCCTTCAGTGCATCAGGCGAGGTTGGAATTTTGTAGGTATGCATGGGACTATGAATTGTTTTTAGAGATTGATCGTATATGTCAAACAATGTAGTGAGCTACTCACTGTAGATTCTAATTCAATATTTTCTCCTCTGTTTTTATTTATTATAGGAAATTGAAAGATCAGAGCATGATTTATTTCAAGTATCGAGAGCAGTTCCTGAACTGTTAGAGCCTCAGGTGAGGGCTATTATGTAGATTTGGATTAGGTTTAAGTCAGTATAGAATGAACGCAACACAAAACTCAGAAGCTCTGATCCAATTGATTTTGTTTTAACTATTAGAAAAAATCCTTAACTGCTTCTCATTCAGTCTACAGCTGAGTTTAGTATAGAAGGCAACATACTATTGCAAATATAGTGTGTGATCACACAACAAATTCTGGGGGAGAAACTCTGGACCCCGTGTCAATGGGTGTAGACTCAGGTCGTAGTGAATGTCCCCACCAAGATTGGAACCAAACCTACACCATTGGCTATAACACATCCATGGAAAGAGCAGAACAAGGGCATCTCTCACCTTATAATTTTGACGAGGCCTCCCAGGATTCCCTTGGCCAAAAACATGATGCAGGAGGATCTGTGTCACAGCGTGGGACAGTAGAGCTTTAGTTATCCACAAATAAGAAAGAGGAGCTGTGGGCGTGGTTCGGATCTAAAGTTTCCACAGCTGAGATCCAGTGTGAACCAAAGCCCAGAGCTCGCGTTCCCCGGGACAAAGGCCTTACCTGGAGCGGTGACAATGGGAAGGAACAGCGGCCGCGGACTGGAGCGCTCTGAGCTGAGGAGAGAACTTTACCTCTGCGCCCCCGGAGCAGTGCTGTCCCGCCCCGCCCCGTGCCGGTCCTGCCCTGCCCCTGTCCTGCCCCAGGGTATGGTCCAGGGACGATCCACCCATGCAACCAGACCAATTAGAATAAAACAAAATTTCTAGCTATAGCATCAAATAATCTATATCTGTATAAATCTATATCTTGAACATAATAATAATAAAGACCTTTGCCATCAGAGTTCTGTATTCTGATATTTTGTTTCAATAAATAGATAATAGTATCGGCCAAAGTATAAACTACAGACTGTATATAGTGATACACGCTGCATGGACAGTGAACACATGTCACTTTATGTCAGAAACTGAATTCTCACTAATCCGCAGTGTCCTCCGTGTCCAGCAGGTGGCAGCACCGTCATGAGGACAGCACAGGATTCCCGCAGCTCAGAGAGACAGAGGGACAAAACTTTATGGTCGATTGTGGAAGTTGTGCCTCCTTAAAATATGAGAGAGGTTCTTCCTTCTACTGTGAGTGAAAGAATGTGGTGAAATCATCAAAACATTGTCTGAGTTTTAAAGAAACGGAAACAACGAGATCCACTAAAGGACATCTTAAATTAGCAACTTCTGAGCTCATAGAATGGACTGAGACAAGGCCAAAGAGAACATAAATACAAAGAATGGACACATGACGAGGGGCCTTCACCTGGTCTCACACCTGGTCTCACACCTGGTCTCACCGCTAAAACACCATTTTAAAGTAAATCAGTCCTGCACTCATTTTAACAACTGTAATTATATAATTGTATATTGTCCTTTTGTATTATTGTTGTTGTGTGACCTGCCTCGGGACTACGGATGTAAATTAGCTGTTTTGCTAAATCTGGCACATTTATAATTTGTGTACAACTTGTATATGATTGTTCATTATAATGTGTGGTGTCCCGATCAAATAAATAAATAAATAATTAAAACACCGGGTCTCACACCTGGTCTCACACCAGGTCTCACACCAGGTCTCACCTGGTCTCACACCTGGTCTCACACCTGGTCTCACACCTGGTCTCAGTCCGCTACAGCCTTGTCCCGCTGGTCGCCTGAGCTTTATCAGTTTTATCTGTTCACCTCCTCAGCTCTGACAGAGTGCCCTCACCTCCTCCTCTCCTCCTCTCCTCACCTCTTCACCTCCTCAGCTCTGACAGAGCGCCCTCACCTCCTCCTCTCCTCACCTCCTCCTCTCCTCCTCTCCTCACCTCCTACTCTCCTCCTCTCTCACCTCTTCACCTCCTCAGCTCTGACAGAGCGCCCTCACCTCCTCCTCTCCTCACCTCCTCCTCTCCTCCTCTCCTCACCTCCTACTCTCCTCCTCTCCTCACCTCTTCACCTCCTCAGCTCTGACAGAGCGCCCTCACCTCCTCCTCTCCTCCTCTCCTCACCTCTTCACCTCCTCAGCTCTGACAGAGCGCCCTCACCTCCTCCTCTCCTCCTCTCCTCACCTCTTCACCTCCTCAGCTCTGACAGAGCGCCCTCACCTCCTCCTCTCCTCACCTCCTCCTCTCCTCCTCTCCTCACCTCTTCACCTCCTCAGCTCTGACAGAGCGCCCTCACCTCCTCCTCTCCTCCTCTCCTCACCTCTTCACCTCCTCAGCTCTGACAGAGCGCCCTCACCTCCTCCTCTCCTCCTCTCCTCACCTCTTCACCTCCTCAGCTCTGACAGAGCGCCCTCACCTCCTCCTCTCCTCCTCTCCTCACCTCTTCACCTCCTCAGCTCTGACAGAGCGCCCTCACCTCCTCCTCTCTGGGTGAAGCTTTACTGGTTGAATAGTTAAGAACAAAGCACATGTCTATAAGTGTGTATAAAAACCGGATGCAGGTCTGAAGTGTGAAAATGGCTGCAGCCCCAGCTGCCCTGGGGCAGACAGACAGAAGCAAGGCCATTAAACCTTTAGGCGACAAAGAAAGATTTTTTGTTTTCAGAAACATGTCTTCCTACAAACCTCTCACTACATTTTCACATATTGTTGTATTGTTTTAATGTATTTTATTGACAGCACACGCACACGTTTTACTGCATCGTTCACTCCGCAAACCCCGTGCGCGCGTGTGGTTGTGGGCATGTGCACGTGTGTGTGTGTGTGTGTGCTTGTGTGTGCGTGCGTGCGTGCGTGTGTGTGTGCGTGTCTCTGTGTGTGTGTGGGTGCGTGCGTGCGTGTCTCTCTGTGTGTGTGTGCCTGTGTGTGTGCGTGTGTATGTGTGTGTGTCCATAATCCACTGATGTGTAGTGGACACATGCTGCAGTGTAACTGTCATTATGGAATTATCTGTCTGCCTCCGTCTGAAGAGCTCTGGGCATGTTCCTCAGAACAAAATACCTTTTTTTATTAATTAGAATTGTATTGTGTTGCTCAGAATAATTTCTTTGAAGACCATTCAGTTTCAAATAAAACAATCTTTCCTCACCTCAATTTTAAGAAAACAACACTAAAATACAAGATTAAATGAAGTCTCTATAATCTCTAGTTTTATTAAGATGTTACTCCCTGCGCGGCTCTGGCCCTGACTGTCCTCCGCTTCAGGCCACAGCTGCCCTACTCCCTCAGCCGCTGTCAAACATCTTAAACATGACTGACAACACTGCGCCGCTGGGCCTTTAAAGGACACATATGATGCAGATCTTCTCTTCTGAGCCTTTGACAATGATACAATACACAACAACATGTTGGTCGGAAAACTACTAATTTTAATAAAGACAACGCCTTCTTTGTCAAATCGGATATTTGCATTTTGGCTTCAGTCTTTTCTATTGGCTGACAGGCCCTGTTTGTAAGAACCAGGGACTGAGGTCCTGACCTCACTGGTGGGGGCTCCCCAGGGGACCGCCCTCGCACTGTTCCTCTTCACCCTCTGCACTGTGGACTATGAACAAGCCCCAGTGATCCAAGGTGGCGCCGTATTCAAATGAATGGCTTGTGCTCAGTAGTTCATGGGACTTCATGGAGACCGGGAGATTAGCAGAACTCGCCTGTATTTGGGCATCGTCTGGTCCTCCCGGTTCTGTTCAGTGGAGGAGCTCCCATGATGCGTTGCGCCAAATACGCGTGTGTGGCTCTCATACACGTGCACAGAGGGGCTCGCCCGCGCTCTGACCAATCAGAGCTGCTGATCAGAGCAGCAGCAGAGCGGAGCCTGAGCGGGAAGGAAACGAGCAGAGTTTGTGGCAGTAAAGTGTGGATTTAAAGAAAACCGAAGGATTTGAGAAGAAGAAAAGTTCAGGATGACAAGGGACACAAAAGTCCAATTCTCTGTCACCTCAGGTGGAGCTGTTTTAATTTACCTTGAGTTCTACGGGATGTTTTTCTGGGTAGCCCGCGTGAATTTAGTTTGCAGTACCACGGGCGCCCCCTGCAGCCCATGGGTGGGACAGCTGTAAGCTAGTAGTACCCTATCCAGTTATTATTATAGATTCATGACTATGAACCACCTCCTCATCACCGCGGGACGTCACTCTGCTGGAGCAGAGGGACTCCTACAAGCACCACCGTGTTCTTCCAAACCACACTTCTAGCCTTGAACAGTATTATTTTTTGCAGTGAAAAGTCTTATACAAAGTCCCATGTGTAGAACCGTAATAAAACATAAAGAACAACATGGAGAAACAGGAAGAGCTTTGCAAGATCTGCTAAGAAAAAGGCAACACAGGAAAACCGGCTCTACTCCGAGCTCCTCCCGTATGACTTAGCTCCTCTATCTCTAAGGGAGCAGCCACTCCACGGAGGAAGCTGATTTCGACCGCTTGTATCCGTGATCTCGTTCTTTAGGTCATTACCCAAAGTTCATGACCATAGGTGAGGGAGGGAACGAAGAGCTCGGTAAATCCAGAGCTTTGCCTTTCGGCTCAGCTCCCTCTTCACCACGACGGTCTGATACAGCTCTGACTGCAGACGCTGCTCCCTCTTCACCCCAACGGTCCGATACAGCTCTGACTGCAGACGCTGTTCCCTCTTCACCCCAACGGTCCGATACAGCTCTGACTGCAGACGCTGCTCCCTGTTTACCACAACGGTCTGATACAGCTCTGACTGCAGACGCTGCTCCCTCTTCACCCCAACGGTCCGATACAGCTCTGACTGCAGACGCTGTTCCCTCTTCACCCCAACGGTCCGATACAGCTCTGACTGCAGACGCTGTTCCCTCTTCACCCCAACGGTCCGATACAGCTCTGACTGCAGACGCTGCTCCCTGTTTACCACAACGGTCCGATACAGCGACCGCATCACTGCGCACGCTGCACCGATCCGCCTGTCAATCTCACGCTCCATCCTTCCCTCACTCGTGAACAAGACCCCGAGATACTTGAACTCCTCCACTTGAGGAAGGACCTCTCCACCCACCTGGAGAGGACCAGGACCTGGAGAGGGCAAGGCACCTTTTTCCGGTCGAGCACCATGGCCTCAGATTTGGAGCTGATTCTCATCCCAGCCGCTTCACACAGAGCATGTTGCAGGTCCTGGTTCGTTGGAGCCAACAGGACAACATCGTCTGCAAACAGCAGAGATGAAATCCTGTGGTCTCTGAAAGTGATAGTCTGGATCTCAAAATTAATTACACATTTTAAGAATTATATCAAATTGACCTCCTGGCCTTAAATGTTGATAAGAAATAAGTCATTTTATGAATTCTAATATTACGGGTAAGTCCCGCCTTCCCTTCTCTTAGCTATAGCTCAGAATCCATGAGCCGCCCACTTTAACCAATCGACTGATGCCAGCATATTTCAGTATATAAATTATTTATATACTGAACCTATATCCATAATCATTCATATACTGAACCTATATCCATAATCATTCATATACTGAACCTATATCCATAATCATTCATATACTGAACCTATATCCATAATCATTCATATACTGACCCTATATCCATAATCATTTATATACTAACCCTATATCCATAATCATTTATATACTGACCCTATATCCATAATCAGATCCTCTGCAGATGTGTCCTATAATGTTCAATTAATGTTAATAGCTACGATCGCTTTTTTGTGCATTAAAACATAATTTTTTGTCATGAAAACGTAAACAGATAATTCTGAAAACCTCCGTCCATGTGTGTTAATAATGTATATATATAATGTGTTCTCAGATTAACATTTAAATCTGTTGATTGATTGTTACAGACACGTAGGCGTAGACCAATCAGAAAGGAGGGGGAGGAGCTTGAGTATTATTTTTTTTCAAATCATGTACCTCTCTCCCTTTTTCTGACAAACTCCAGACAGTCACTTGAACCGGACCCTCAGGCCCCTAGTGGCTTTCTGTTATTCACAATGACAATATACAGTAAATAATTCTGATTCTGAATAATAGTAGTGGTAGTATTATTATTATTATTATTATTATTATTATTATTATTATTATTAGCAGTAGTAGTAGTACCAGTAGCAGCAGTGGTAGCAGTAGCAGTAGCAGCAGTAGTAGCAGGAGCAGTAGTAGTAGCAGCAGTAGTATCAGTAGTAGTAGCAGAAGCAGTAGCAGCAGTAGTAGCAGTAGCAGTAGTAGTATCAGCAGTAGTAGTAGTAGTAGCAGTAGCAGGAGCAGTAGTAGTATCAGCAGTTGCAGTAGCAGCCGTAGTAGCAGTAGCAGTAGCAGTAGCAGTAGTAGTATCAGCAGTAGCAGTAGCAGCAGCAGTAGCAGTAGCAGCAGTAGTAGCAGCAGTAGCAGTAGCAGTAGTAGTATCAGCAGTAGCAGTAGCAGTAGTAGTAGTTGTAGCAGTAGTAGTAGTATCAGCAGTAGTAGTATCAGCAGTAGTAGCAGTAGCAGTAGCAGTAGCAGTGGCTGTGATGACGCCTGTGATGATTGGTCAGAGTTCAGGTCAATAGTAGAACATGACACACACACAGCTGAGGGCCACGTTTGTATATGAGTATGAATGAGGGCCTGCTGACAGCTAGTGTGTGTGTGTGTGCGTGTGTGTGTGTGTGTGTGTGTGTTCGTGGGTGCACGCTTGCGTGTACGTGCGTGTGTGTGTGTGTGTGTGTGCGTGCGTGCGTGTGTGTGCGTGTGTGTGTGCGTGTGTGTGTGTGTGTGTGTGTGTGTGTGTTCGTGGGTGCACGCTTGTGTGTACGTGCGTGTGTGTGAATGGAAGCAGCTTTGTGCTTGAATATCATTGGACGCTGTGTAATCTGCCACATAATCCCATGTCTTTACATAACACTGTAATGAGCATTAAACATGCACATGCACACACACACGTATGTATGCCCACGCGCACACACACACACACACACGTTGCACATCGATAAACATTCATCGCCTGGAGACTGGGATTCTGGTTTTAAACATGATTTGGCCGATGATGACGTAAAGGCAGTATTTTTGGGTCCAGGCGAAAACAAACTAGAGACAAAAGAACAGTTATTTCCCATGAGGTCTTTAGGAAAAAGATACTTTTCAAAACTTTTGGCCGGGATAAAAATCAGTGCAGATCCATTACGATCAAGTCAAAGTTAAGACCTCATTAAGACATTTTAATTCTGTGTAAGTGGCTTTTCCAGGACTTCCACAACACTGTGAACTCCTTATATTGTTTATGGGAAATGTATGACATGTATGTGTGGCAGAAAGATCATTTCAATTGGATCTAGAAGCTGTTTTATGGGGGGGTTTCTGCCTTTAGATACAATGGCACAATCTCCCAAACATACTGCTTTCTTCTATACAACTTTTTACGGCCTTGTCGTCTGAAGGTACATTCTGACATGATTCCGCTCAGCTGTGTGTGTTGTCTGTGAAGCCCGAGGTGTAGCTGGTGAAGAGAAATGGTGAGAGGATGGTGCCCTGAGGGACCCCAGTACTGCAGGCATGGATCTATTATATTAACTGCAGGCCACAATCTCAGACTCACACCTGCGCAGCCGCACGTTCTGTGGTCAGTCCGAGAGGTGGTCCATGGTCCATGCAGTGAGGTAATAATCATTTAAGATAAGATAAGATAAGATAAGATAAGATAAGATAAACCTTTATTAGTCTCACAGTGGAGAAATTTCAGTGTCATCGTTCCACATTACAGCAGAGAAAGGAAATAAGAGCACTCAGATTGCACACATTAAAGTCTATTATTTAAGATAATAGGCAATAAATTTAAGATAAAATAAATAAAATAAAATAAGAAAATCTGGGCTACAATTGACTGTGGTCAGTCCGAGAGGTGGTCCATGGTCCATGCAGTGAGGTAATAATCATTTATATACTGATCCTATATCCATAATCATTTATATACTGACCATCCATCCATCCATCCATTTTCTACCCTTTAATCCATTTCTGGGTCAGGGGGGTGGCAGTCAGAGATGCCACCCAAGTCTCATAGCACCAGCCCCTCACTGACCCTCTGCAGGTGGTGAGTCCACAGGAGGACGGCTGCTCTCTGAGTGTGAGCATAGCCTTGATCTTTCAGTGGGGGCTTTGGGCAAAGTGGGGTTAAGTGTCTTGCCCAAGGACACAACGACAGCAGTCATCAGTGGGAGTCGGTGGAGAAGGTGCAGAGGTGGGAATTGAACCCACAACCTTCTGGCCTTAAGGCCAATGCTCTACCAACTGAGCTACTGTCGCCCCTTATATACTGACCCTATATCCATAATCATTTATATACTGACCCTATATCCATAATCATTTATATACTGACCCCCACATTTAAATCTGTTGATTGATTGTTACAGACACGTAGGTGTAGACCAATCAGAAAGGAGGGGGAGGAGCTTGAGTCTTTATTTTTCAAATCATGTACCTCTCTCCTTTTTTCTGACAAACTCCAGACAGTCACTTGAACCGGACCCTCAGGCCCCTAGTGGCTTTCTGTTATTCACAATGACAATATACAGTAAATAATTCTGATTCTGAATAATAGTAGTGGAAGTATTATTATTATTATTAGAGTAGTATTAGGAGTAGTAGCAGTAGTAGTAGCAGCAACACACACACACACACACACAGACAGTAGTAGTAGTAGTAGCAGTAGCAGTAGTAGTAGCAGCAACACACACACACAGACACACACACACACACAGAGGAAAAGCACAGCCACCCGACTTTAGTTGTTAGATTCGACTCTTTTATTTCATTTTTTTGTCTCGACAGTTTGCTATCCAACATATGAAAACCAACAGAAAACATCATTAATACCCAAATAACAGAATATGGGATCGTGGAACAAGTGAGAAGATTTTTTTGTCTTTTTTACAAAATGAGAGAAATTACAAAGCAAATTCATCGGGAGGGCTTGACCGTTTTGCACACACAACGAGCTAAAACATGACACGTGGAGCGGGTGCAGTGGAGGTGGCAGTCCATATGTACAGTCCATGGTGCTGCAGTCCTACGGGGCTGACGACGGGGCGGGGCCAAGGGGGGCGGGGCCAAGGGGGCGGGGCCAAGGGCGGGCCGGGCGGGACGAGGAGGGGGGTGGGGCTACCAAACTAACAGTCTCTGCAGGCAGGTCGCACAGTGCTCCAGCCTTAGTTTTATTTTTTTTCTATCTTCAAGACAATATAAAATGTCACAGGAAACAAAATGGAGGTCGTTACAAATAAGAAAGATCTAAATTATTGCTTTGTCAGAAACGATCATAATATATTTTTTTCCGTCTATGTTAATTGCATCTCACACGGTGACTGTTTACAAAGGGGTTATTGTGTGTTTGTGCGTGTGAAGGACCGGAGAGAGCTGCGGTGGGAGCTGTTGTGCTGCGAGATTCTTCAAAGAACTCAAACAAACTCATAAGAAACAAGACTTTAATTTTTTTTTTTTTCTGATGAAGCTAAAATCGAATAAAAAAATCATCATAATTCTGTTGTAAAAGAAACATGTTGTGAACAAATCAGACCACAACATGCTGTCTTCATCTCATTAGAAAACATGTTATCTTTTGCACACTTGAAAGAAAGAGCTGAGAGCTGATTGGCTGATCTTAAGATGTGGGAGGGGCCAAAAGTACATGCATGAGAAAACTAGTGATAAAGGGTTATGAGAGAGGAGAACGACATGGATATTATTACATAGTTGAATTTCTGTTTGAAAGTTAGGTACCCCAGCTTTAATATCAATGTTTTGCAATACTAAACAAAGATTATGATCATAGTTAAAGCCATTTTATGTAATGAATCTTATTTGGATGCGTTTCAACATTTCATCAGGACTTTTTCCCCATTCAAAAATATAATGTATTCTTTTTATGATAATTGTGATTTCATTTGGCATCAATTACAGAACATTGCAGCGATTTAGAGTAAAACATATTGTAATGTCTGCATTTCAAGATTCTCTGCATCAATAGTTTATCATTAATGTTATGGATGTGTCATTAGACCGTTGTACACTGCCCGTTGGAACTCTTTCAGCCTGTTTTTATAAGTAGTTGTATGAATTTTGGAAGTGCAAGACAGCCGCCACTATTTCCAACAGAACCCGCCTTTTCTCCAGTCCCTTATTGTGTGTGTGTGTGTGTGTGTGTGTGTGTGTGTGTGTGTGTGTGTCTGTCGGGGCGTGGGGGGTCAGAGCTCTGTGCCCAGGGTGAGAGAGAGGGCGGTGAGGGGAGGGGGTGTCGAGGAAGGGGGTGGGGCTTCTGGGAGGTGCTCAGCGGGTCCCAGGCCGTATTAATCCTCTTTGTGTTGCCTCACACGTTTTCCGCCTTTTTGTCTGGTGAACGATATAACAGAAAATAAGGATTAAATCAGGTCTGCAGTCACAGCCACATGAACATACTATCGTGCAGAATACACTGGCCATGTGCTTCTCTTCTACCAGGAGGGCGGCCGGATTCTGACTCCTTGGGTGTCCACTTGGTTGCTCACATTGGAACACAACATTATTGCCTCAACTTCTTTCAATTCCTGAAATCGTCACTAGTTTCTTACGTCTGTGTTCCTGGTGCTTTTTGCTTTGGGTCATTTTCCTGCAGCAGACCCAACACTCCGCTTTCAGGAGTTGGAGACGGTCGTGTTGGACCCTGGGTCTGCAGCGGGTCCAGACCATTTGTTGCAATGATTCATAATTGTTTCTTTTCATTTTCTAATGTTTGCTGTGGTCGTCACACTGCCCTGGGATAACTCAGAGACGACCAAGAGGGACCCAAAGAGAGGCTCTCACCACCTTGGCTTGTTTCTCTCTATGTGGAGGAGCAGCAGCTTTACTTCGAGCTCCTCCTATATGACTATGATGAGTATGATGATACTAAAGAACCAGCTCATGTTACTTGCCACAGGTGGGTCTTACAAATTAAAGTCTTGAGATAAATTTATATAATTTTGATAAAGTTCCTTTTACTTTGTCCAGTCCATTGTTGGACTTCTCTGTCGACCAATCAGATGAAGTCTGCTTTTTATGTAGTTCCAACACAAACAGAAGTGAACATGTGAATACCAAAGGATTTGTCATTTCTTACATTTTCTGGGAGAAGTGCGCCATGATCTGACAGAAGCACAGGCCAAAGTTTGTCCACGATCGAACACAGACATGAATAAGTCCTGTTTCCACCAGCACCTGAGCCCGGTTATAGTTTGAACCAGAGATCAGAGAAATATAAGGGACTAGGAAGAGCACAGGTCCCGCTGTCGTGGCAGAGTGGCTGTCGTCCTGCACCTTCACAACATCATCATCAGATTTACAAACAGTTGTATATTTGTGTCCGAGCTTTGTTTGTGACGCTCACGGATCATTCATGCGTTCACTCCTACAACTACAAGACTCTTTGACTTAATACAGATCGAGAACATGGGGTACAATAAAAAGCACTAAACTGGAAAAGGCCAATTGTCGATTATTTTAAAAAATTAGTCGTAGAATGTTGCATCACGACAATCAACGTGTTGTTTTTTCTACAGGCCATTTTTTGGGTGTCCATGGGTTCAGTAGAAGATTCGAATGTGGAGTAGGGCTGGTGGAAACAGGGCAACAGTCGTGGTGAACAGAGGATCCGTACACCATGAACGTTGCAATCAATGAACATACGATGAATGGTGAAAACTGAGATTATATTTTGTGGCACTGAGAAAAATGAAAGCAAAGCAGGTATCATACGGCATCACACTAAAACAAGTCAGCTGCTAGAATAAAGTAATAACTAGGATTTGAAATGAGTTCATCCAACTTTCTATTGCCTGAATGTTATTGTATTTGTGAAAAACTCCAAAACGTGTCATTTCTAAGGACAGACTGGCCGCCATTTGTTCTACAAGATGAGAGGAGACTGGCCCCTGATTGGCTGCTTTCGCTCCTGTGTCATGTGTCATTAAGCATTAGTTTGAAATTGGTTCTAGTTAAATAATGTTGGGCCAATCATGAAAGACATTGGGCGTCAATCAACCAGTCAACACCTGCCATCCTGTACTAACAAGTGTTTGGCCAGAGGGACTCAGAGGGGGTGAGGGGGTGAGGGGGTGAGGGGGGTGTGGCCATGGCCTGCTACAGTTTCACTTGTCCTATTTTAGGTTTAACATTGCATGATCAAATCTGGTTCTTGGCTTTGTTCTGACTGTGCTGCCATTTCAGAGTAAAACAAAGCGATCGCGTCTTTTGTGATATGAACAATTGCCCTGAGTATTAAGAATAAACGCCTGCGCTTTAGCTCCACGCGGCAAACCTGGAGCCAGAGGAATGTCTGTGTTTTCTTAGTGGAAAAGTTCATGATTTTGCCGCTTATTTCAAAGTAACAATGTGATTACCTTGACGCTAAAACCCTTGCTCATCAGGTCACACATGATGTTCCTTATCTCTCTGATCAGCGAATGGGACATCAATGATCAGGCGACATCGTTACAAATGCACTTTATGAACTGGGACAACACAAGAATCATGAACTAGGCGTCCCATGAAGAACTGGGTCAATCAGGAAATCAGATACAAACGGAATGAACCAAGACCAGGGTTTCTTTCCATCTCTCCCGGACATGCTCTGCTTAGAGGCCCCGCAGTGGAGAACCCTCTAAACCTCACTGACCAAACCTGGGAAGATCAGCGGATACGGCACATCATGGGGGACGCCACGAGGCAATTCTAACCCCTCATCAAGGTTCTCCTGATGAGGGGTTAGATGTGAGGTTCTCCTCACATTGGAGGAGATGTGAGGTTCTCCTCACATTGTTCTCCTGCCAGAGACCAGTGCGACCCCTGGAGACTCCCAAGAGACTCCCCGGAGACTCCCAGGACACTAGTCCCTGGAGACTAGGGCTGGGCGATATGGCAAAAAAGTAAAATCTAAAATGTTTTTCCTGCTTTGGACGATTTTGATTTTAAACTGATTTTCATTAAAGTCACCGAAAACAGACTTTGCCCTTAAAAATATTGTTTTGATCTTTCCGCTCTATTTGATGTATTGCCCAGTCCTACTGGAGAATAGTCCCTGAAGACCCCCTGGAGAGCCCCTGGAGACTCCCTGGAGACTCCCTGGTGAATCAGCGGTGGCCGTTGGACATGCACAGCTCTCGCTCTAACTGATCTGTTGCCGCTGACATCACATTCTGAACTATGACCACGGCCGCTTCACGTAGCTCCGCCCTCTCGCCGTCGGGCCGCCCCTGTGCCCCCCACACTACAGCCCCTTCCTGCGGCCCGGACTCACCGCTGTTGCATGGCGCTGCAGTGTTGATGATCTTGCCATCCTCTCCCACCGTCTTGCTTTTCTTGACGGGACTGCCGTTAGTCGTGGCAGTGGTGGTGGTGTTGTCGTCTTCGTCGTCATGGTGATTGTGGGCGCTGTCATCGGTTCCGTTGGAGCAGCCGTTAGTCTCACAGTTAGCCACGGGGGCGTCCTCTGCCGGGGCGGGCTTCTCCTCTGCTGCAGGGGTCTCGGTCGGGGCCCGCTCGTCGTTCGGCTGCTCGCTCCCCTCGGCAGCGGCCTCGGTACTGGCTGCGGCCTCTTCCTCTCCATCAGCGGCTGCAGCCTCCTCTTCCTCCTTGGCTCCTTCGCCCATGTCCACGCTTGTCGACTTGCCCTTTCGCAGGATGAAGTTTTTCAGCGACACAGCGCGGCCAAAGTGGGAGCGTTTTGCTTTTGCCGATTTTCCCTCCTCGGAGCCTTCCTCACCTACGGAGCACAGGGGTCAGACAGTTTGGCAACATTACAAACTTTACTTTATAAGAAGAAGCTGAAAATGTGCGTGGAGTGTAGTAATCTCAGTACAGGGTGCAGGGTCAGAGAGTGTTTGGGCCTGTGTCATCTTGTATGTGTGTGTGTAGGTTTTGTGTCAAGGGGTTGGAGCCACATAACAGTCCACGTCGTCCAACCCCTTATTTCTGTTTTGAATATTTTCAAGACTTAATTTTTCAGTTTTTGTAGAAATAAATAATTACTATTCTTTACTTTTTTATCCTTGAACTAGTTCTTTGTGGACAGATTCAAAAATAAACATGATGTTCAATGTTATCCTGATATAAGAAGAGAGTTGAAGAGAGAAACATTTATTATCTTGATTTGAAAGACGTTTAGTCATAAATGATTCTGAGATGCTTCTGGTCATGAGAAAGGTTTAATGGTAAAGTAATGTTCAAAGGTTGAAATGTGAAGAAAGGGTACAGAAAGGGCACAGAAAGGGCCCAGAAAGGATTCAGAGGTTTTCTGGGGGACCGTTACCTATAGCGTCCTCGTCCGGGGCACACTCTGTGTTGGTGCGCTTAGACTTGGGGGTGACCCGTTTCTTGAAGGATGTCCAGATCTCGTTGGCGTGTTGAGTGACTGCTCCCACTCCCGCAGTGGTGCTTTTCTCTTCCTCTCCTCCCTCTGCTGTGGGCCCCTGGGCTCCTTCTGCCGGGGCCTCTCCTGCCGCCTCCTGTGCCTCGTCCTCTGCTTTGCCACCCTCAGTTGCCTCTTTGTCTGAACCTTTGGCCTTGCTGCTGATGCCAACTATGGACGGGTCTCTTTTCAGGCCCTGGAATGTCCAGGAGCGCTTGAGCTTCCAGCCCTTCTGACCGGACTCTTTAGAGTCTAGTGTGGACGAGTCTCCACCTCCCTCTCCCTCGGCCTCCTCTCCTCCTCCGCTGCTCTTCTTGTGAGTCTTCTGAGCCATCATCTTCTTAAACGAATGCCAGCGCTTCATGTGTTTGGCCTGGGCGGAGGAGGCTCTGGGCTCGCCCTCCTCCTCTGCTCCTCCTGCAGCTCCTCCTTCCTCTGTGCTGGCGTCAGTGGTGTTCAGAGCCTCTGCATCTTCAATTCGATCCAAGGATTTAGAGCGAACCTTCTTCAAGGGCTCTGAACTGTCCTTTTTTTCAGTGCTACGATGGGAGAAGATGCGGGCCACAGGTTTTCGGATCAAGTCTCTGACTGTAGACTTGGTTTCTGCGGTTTTGCTCTTGTCTTTTTTGTCCTCCTCTTTTTCAGAACTCTCGTTGTCCTTGTCGGCAGCAGCAGCAGCAGCCTCGCCCTCAGCAGTGGCCTCGGTCTCCTCGCTCTTCTCTGCACTCTTCTCTTCAATCTTCTCCTCGCTCTTCTCGCCTCCTTCTGCAACGCTCTCCTCGGCTCCTGACGTCGTGCTCTGCTCTTTCTTCTTGCGTCCTCCCATCACTTTGCCCAGGCCACTCTTGTGGAGGAAAGAGTCCAGTAGTGAGGTCTTGTGGTCAGCGGTTGAGGTTCCTTGGGTGTTTTCAGTCTGCTCTGCTGCATCAGTGGCCTCTGCTGCATCAGTGGCCTCTGCTGCATCTGTGGCCTCTGCTGGTTCCGTGACAGCTGCGGCTTCAGCTCCGTCGGCCACCACCTCCTCCTTGTTCACAGTGTCTTTGCTGTTGGCCTCGGCGCTGACCTCAGGCTCGGGCGTCTTGTCGGAGGTGGTGGTTGGCTCTGGCTCCGTGGGCTTAGTCTCTGCAGCTTTACCATCCTGGTCCACGGCCTGTGCTGCGCTCGCCTCGGTCTCTGCCATCGTGGCGACTGAAAAACAGACGTGAGAAAATGTGCCTCCTCAACTTCTGCCTGGTTTGATTCTCTTGGATCCTGTGAGCGCTCTCAGGTCATACAGAAGAATGTGACGATGAGGAGCAGAGATGAAGGGTTCTCAGCATCGTACTCCTGCGCCTCAGAGCTTCTGTGCACACACACACACACACGTACAAACACGGATTAGTTAGATGTTACCTCACAAACAGAATGCCATATGCATTAAATGTACTATAGATATTATTCATGTGCAATTTATCTTGAAGAAGTGGAACAACAACATGTTCTGAACCAAATCCATCATGTTCCAACTTCATATCCCACCACCCAGTGACGAAGCCCAAACACTCTCTCCAGTTACAGTCGATGGTGTGATACACGTCTCATGTAAAGTCAGTGATTAGCATCTGTCTGATATTTGAAACATCAGGGAGTGGTGTGGATGTCAGGCCAAGAGTCGTTAGACTGTATTTCACTGCCTGCTCCAAGTAGAAAGACTCAAGTCACACCTGATCAGACACAGCAGCATCAACAGCAGCTGATGAAGACCTGATGAAGACCTGATGAAGACCTGATGAAGACCTGATGAGCGTCATATGCAACAATGTAACACAACCATCAGCTGTGTGAAGTATCTGCTGGACCCGACAGACCGTGACACACACAGCTGTGCAGGACTCTGAGGGACCGCGGTGACTCAGGGACACTCAGGATGAATCAGGTGACACCAGGAAAGGCCGTCTCTCTCTCTTTCTCTCTCTCTTTCTCTCTCTCTCTCTCGTGTTGTTTTTGTTGTTGTGGATTAGGGACTGTGCCCTGGCAGCAGGTTACAGGACAGGTCTTTTAGTGTAAAGGTATTAGGCCCATGTCTAATCCAGAGATCGGAGAGCAGCCAATTTAGGCTGGTACACACTGGCAGCGCAGCACTGCTGTGAACTCCTGTCACTCAGCCGTTAAAGCACATAGCACTTAGGACCACCTGAGGCCACATCCTGCACGTGTGGCTTTCTCAGCATCCGGGACAGGAATGTGACCCATTATATGATACTCTAGTCCAGGGGTGTCAGACCGGTCCTCAAAGGGCCAGAGTGGCTGCGGACTCCACCCATTTACTCAAATCTTCAGGTTAAAAACTGGACTCACCTGAGGAAATGGGTGGAGTCTGGGGTGTTCCTGCTCAGGTTGGAACTAAAACCTGCAACCCTTTTGAGCCCAGTGAGGACCGGTTTGACAGCCCTACTCTTGTCTGTGACACGACATTTGACACAGAAGTACAATTTTACAAAAACTATTATTCAGCTCTTAGTGTCGAACCTGCCCTGCACTCGGTAAAATCGAAGGTAGAGCCAAAGCCGACTAGAACCATCTATACTAGAACCATCGATACTAGAACCATCTACTAGAACCTGTTACTTAGTGTGCGTGATGCCGTGCAATCTGCTGTGGGAGTCTCTATAGCACAAACCCAGAACCAGAACTCGGAACCAGCACCTGCATCAGTGCATGCTGCTGTGGGGGTCAGATCCAGTCACGTCTCGGTCCCGATCCACGGTGCAACCACAGCCACACACATCTTTCCAGTTTTCTTCCCTAATTCAGCTCAAATCTGTGTCTGTGGATGGGACCACTTCACCTTTTCATTTGTCTGTGAGAGGAGTTTAAGTGATTGATTTCATCCAGGTCCTTGTGCAGCAGGACACGAGGAGCAGGACATGAGGAGCAGGTTTGTGGAGGAGAAAGACAAGAGCAAGCGCAGAAATGGGGCAATGCAAAGGAAAAGAGTAATTATTTTTTATCAGTTCATTCATTCCGTCCCCTTTATTAGTCCATTTCTGGGTCGAAGGCTTTAAGATAGTTTTACTAGTCTTAGAATGATTTGTTTGTTAAAAATCACTAGAACATTCATCTACTGTTTGTTCTGATTCCAATATTTTCAGATAAACGCAGCTTTTTTAAAAGATGAGACAACATCAAAACCTGTTCTGTATATAGAATATCATTTCATTTCATTTCATTTTCAACCCCTTTATTTGTCTGGGTCGGGGGGGTGGCAATGAGAGCTGCCACCCAACGCTCATAGCACCAGTCCCTCACTGATCTTCTGCAGGGGGTGAGTCCACAGGAAGATGGCTGCTCCATCAGTTGAGAAACTGCCTTGGTCTTTCAGCGGGGGGGCTTCAGGCAACGTGGGGTTAAGTGTCTTGCCCAAGGACACAACGACAGCAGTCATCAGTGGGAGCAGTTGGAGTAGGTCCCATGGTGGGAATCGAACTCACGACCTCCAGGCCCAAAGGCCAATGCTCTACCAACTGAGCTACTGTCTATATAGAATACTTTTATATTAAATTCAATTCTCTTTATTTACAAAACATTTAAACACATCCATACATTTATTAGTTTGTGCTTTACAAAAGGGGACTCACGATGCTTGATTATAAACATGTGTTGTATTGATCGCAGGCCTCTTCAGCGCCCGCTGAACTCTTTCGGCACATGTATCAAGGCTCGGTGAGTTTAAAGGGTTCTCAGCCCTGAACATTGTCTTTCAGAACAGAAGCACAGTTTTACTTAACCTGAAGGTTAACTCCTGGTTTGAGAAATATGCTCCTATGTGTTATGTAAAGAGGAGCTTTTCCTCCAGAGTGCCCCCTACTGACAGCTTTAAATGTGGATTAGCATTTATATGAGATCTGAGCCACTCTCAGTGTGTACCAGGCACACGCTTTCTCACACGTCACGTTTCTCTCTTTCATGTGGGCCTGGCCTACATACAGCTGCTCAGTGATGGCACTTACACTATCACGGCCCATGTTGTACCTGCTCTGGCACAAGGAACGCTTCATTTGCTTGGTGTCGTCAGGATGAAAGCATCAGCAATCCCCGCTCACAGCTGTCAGTCTGTAGAACCACAGCTGCTCGTACAGTTGATTTTTAAATCAGATTTGTAAGAACTCATTTCTATCTAAAGTCAGACCACAGTCATTCATGTTGTGTGTGAACACTGCAGAGGAGGATGGTGCAGTGTGGGTAATGACACTGACCTGCACAGGTGCGGTCCCCCATCCCTGTATTAACCAGCCCCAGCCTTGCTTCGCTTCAGCCAGCAGACAGGTGTCATCAGGTGTATGCACTGGGGCTATATCTGTCAACATGAGACAGAGTATGTGCGAAGGCTCTACAGACTCTACAGCTAAGCAGGTCAGGACTCTCAGGACTGTGATGGGAGACCTACTCTCTTATGAAGCTGGTGGGGATACGCTGCCTCTTCCCCGTCAGTCTGCCACAGGGCAGCTGTGGCAACTGCAGTCACTTGCCTCCATCCAAAGTGGATTATTAATGGTCAATGCTGCTTTGAGATAATAGGAGACAATAACAATAACGATAACGTGACCTCAGACTGATGTTTACGTCTCAGTGTTTACACCGTTCTTCACACTGAGCGACAGCAGGAGGAGAGTCCAAACCTCCTGCATCTGACCTCCTCAGACCCTACACTCAGTGGGAACACTCTGACCCCAGGAAGAGGAACCACCGTCACCACAACCTCCGACCACTGAGACCTCACAGCAGGAGCAGCTGAGCAGGTATCGATAATATACTGTAGATAGATCATAGATAGATAGATAGATAGATAGATAGATAGATAGATCATAGATAGATAGATAGATAGATAGATAGATAGATAGATAGATAATAGATAGATAGATAGATAGATAGATAGATAGATATATAGATAGATAGATAGATAGATAGATAGATAGATAGATAGATAGATAGATAGATAGATAGATAGATAGATAGATAAATAGATCATAGATAGATAGATCATAGATAGATAGATAGATAGATCATAGATAGATAGATAGATAGATCATAGATAGATAGATATAGATAAATAGATCATAGATAGATAGATCATAGATAGATAGATCATAGATAGATAGATCATAGATAGATAGATAAATAGATCATAAATAGATAGATAGATGGATCATAGATAGATAGATAGATAGATAAATAGATCATAGATAGATAGATCATAGATAGATAGATAGATCATAGATAGATAGATCATAGATAGATCATAGATAGATAGATAGATCATAGATAGATCATAGATAGATCATAGATAGATAGATCATAGATAGATAGATCATAGATAGATAGATCATAGATAGATAGATCATAGATAGATAGATAGATCATAGATAGATAGATCATAGATAGATAGATCATAGATAGATAGATCATAGATAGATAGATCATAGATAGATAGATCATAGATAGATAGATAGAGTGGATCATTAGGAGCCTATTATGTGCTCCCAGGGGCCCCTCGTGGCCTCGCACACAGAGCTTGTGTGTGGACTCTTCATTATGCCTCCTCTTCCTCCCTCCCCTCACTCTCACACAGACAGCTCTTTATCTGTCGTCACGTGCTCCTCTCTCTCTCTCCTGACCCTGTGAAACTCGCCGCCTGGAATCTGTGGGAACGTGTAAAAGGACATCAGTGTCCACCGTCCTCCGTCCAGAGACCAGAGTCCAGGGACCAGAGACCAGAGACCAGAGATCAGGGACCAGACCAGAGACCAGAGTCCAGAGACCAGAGTCCAGAGACCAGAGTCCAGAGACCAGAGTCCAGAGACCAGAGATCAGGGACCAGACCAGAGATCCAGAACCAGAGACCAGAGACCACAGACTACAAACCAGAGACCACAGATCAGGGACCAGACCAGAGACCAGAGATCAGAGTCCAGAGACCAGAGAACTGAAAGTGTCTGTAACAGGTTGGACTGATTGATCACATGACTGTCCGGGTTTCACGTTGAAACCTTTTCTCCATCAAGTTGAACACATTTTGATGTTTTCTTTCACAAATGTCGTCATGAACTGTTTTTCTTTTGAAATCCATTGGTGTTCTTTAAATCCACATTTTTGTCCAACTGACGCTCACCTGGTACTCTTGCTAGTTTTTTTTGTAGTGACCGACTTTGACCATGCACGCATGTAAGGTTGTGTAATCAATGATGCCCAACAGGGAAGTGCTCATTGATGAAGTTTTGCTCCAACTCACTTTGGCTCGTATTCACTAAAATTAAAATGTTAAGAGTCACAGTCACCGTTTTGACCTGAAGAATCAGTGGTTTAGTGCTCTCTGTGATCCTCATGTTTAAGTTTGATATTTTCATTCGAAATCCCAATATGAGCCACAAGAATGGACCAATCCGATGCCTTCTTGAGCTTGACTCAGCAACTATATTAAAAACTACATCTGTAAAGTCCCCATGGTCCTAAATGTTTGTTCAAAATGGCTTCTTCTGCATTTGGCAAAAACACGATGGGAATGGTAGAGATGGGCGTGGCCACTGCTCTACGGTCTATGGTCCAGACATGGTTAAGGAAAAGAAAACTTCTACTTCACGGGTTTCAACTTGGTGGAACCTGTTTCCCAAGTGTATGATGTGTTTTGTGAAAAGTACAGTCCAACCTGTAACAGACACTTTCAGTTCTTACACTCAAAGTACTAACGATCCCAAAATACTTGCGATCCCAAAGTACTGAAGATCTCAAAGTACTAACGATCCTAAAGTACTGAAGATCTCAAAGTACTGAACCAATGAGGAGTAACTTGGAGACTATTGTAAGGGTAACTATGACGTCACAGCTGGGCTAAATCCAAAACTGATCTTGGAAGGACCATGAAGGGCATTTGATGTTTCTTCCATGGTGGAGGAGGGGGCTGCCCTGTCCCCCTCTCACGCCCCCTACAGGCTGCACCAGAACATTCCTCTAAAAACACTGCAGCTCTGTGTTCGCTGGACCCTCGCGGTTTTCACACAAAAGTAGCAGGAAGTCAAAGCCAGCAGTGAAGTCCGCAGGCTGTGACCGGAGACAGGCATGACACTGTCTGTTGGAACTCACTACAGTCACAAACACATTTGTCTGCTTTGAAAAGGTTTTAAGTGACAGACTTATCTGACAATGGAACGAGAAATACTGTCCTTAAAGCCAGGGTCCCTAACTTTTGTTCCATAAATAATACTTTTGACCAACAGAGTGTGGTAACAATTACATGTGCTACAGGCTTCGACTTCTAAGAAAGATCCCTGTGAGTCACAATGTGATGCTTTGGGTTGAGATCTGATTTTTAAAAACAAATAACAACTTTGAGTAATTTTAATAGTTTCATTTCGTGTGGTTTGAAGCTGCCCCAGCCCAAAAGGGAAGGTACAAAACCATCTCAATGAATTTGATTTGACTTTTTAATTCGATAAATGTTATTGCTAATTATTTTATTTATTTATTTTACTGATAATATCTGTTGTGTTCATGATCATCTTTGTTCTCCCAACCCCACGTTTACTCATATTGATTTTATAAAGAAAATAAAAACATTAGATAATTAATCCTATTGCACAGTCATGGATGAAGACATAATAGATCTGTAGAAGTGACGTTAGAGATTTAGAATGAGCTGCTGCAGTGAGACCTCAGAGAACTCTTCCAGATCAGTGTAAAACATTTCCCGGGGCTTTAATGTGCCAAAAATGGACCTAAAGCGTTTGCTTAATAAGAACATTGTCTGTAAAGAGAACTTGTCATCAAACATTTTAGTTAGTTAGTTTAGTCTTTATTTGAAGGGACAATGTACAGAGACATAAGCTCAAAGACAGATATGTTCTGCACCAGATTATAGCTAAACAGCTAGTTTCTATCTGCAGTCCCTGACGCTTAAATGAAATATTACTCGGTCTAAAGATTGTCGACATTGATATAAAAACTGGGATCACGCAAACAGCACGTTTTCATGTCTTCAATGTCCACGATGTTCACATTTGAGTCCACATATGAGTCCACATGAGTCCACATATGAGTCCACATGAGTCCACATATGAGTCCACATGAGTCCACATATGAGTCCACATATGAGTCCATATGAGTCCATATGAGTCCACATGTGTCCACATATGAGTCCACATGAGTCCACATGAGTCCACATATGAGTCCACATATGAGTCCATATGAGTCCACATATGAGTCCACATATGAGTCCATATGAGTCCATATGAGTCCACATGTGTCCACATATGAGTCCACATGAGTCCACATATGAGTCCACATATGAGTCCATATGAGTCCACATATGAGTCCACATGAGTCCACATATGAGTCCACATATGAGTCCACATGTGTCCACATATGAGTCCACATATGAGTCCACATATGAGTCCACATATGAGTCCACATATGAGTCCACATGTGTCCACATATGAGTCCACATATGAGTCCACATGTGTCCACATATGAGTCCACATGTGTCTGACCCAGATCTGCGCCTCACTGTACAGAGCTGCGCTCACGTGACGCCTCCTCTCCTCACTCCTCACTCTTCTTAAATATGAAATATGAAGTAAATGTGTCCTCTGTGAGTGTGAAAGGACCCAAGTGTCCCGGGCCACAGGCTGCAGCCGGAGAAGAGCACTCTGAGGCGGCCACAGCAGGTGCCGAGAGCCCAACTCAAGGGCCTCATTTGCATTGCTAATGACCAGCTCCTGAGCGTCCCCCTCCATTTTGTGAAAGGGGGGTAACTTCTGCTAATATGGCGTCTATATGAGCTGCTGCTGGTACAGGCCAACTTCAGTGAGCCGCAGGAGCCACAGGAGCCGCGCAAACAGCGTGAGCCGCGCGCCCATTACAGAGAGGATGTAAATGTGAGTGTCCATTATCCTCAGAGCGCGCACCTCAAACATGTGTCCAACAGTCTCCTGCGCGTCCCCCGCGTGCACAGCGCTCCTCCGCGTGCACGTGCATTGTTCGGTCCGCAGCCCGCGGTTCCGAGGCTCAAACATGGAGCAGACACCAGAGAACCGGACACAGTCCCGCTGCTCCAACAAAGACAGGTCTCTGTCCCCGCGGCTGCATGCATGACATCACCGCTGCCCCAGGACGCGGACCAGAGCTGGACCCCCAGCAGACCCCCAGTAGACCCGAGCAGACCCCCATAGACACCAGCCCAGGTCCAGAGCAGCGCGGCTCATGTGGTCCGTGTGAAACGCTCCAAACATGTTTGTGCGCTGCTCCACACGCTGCGCGACACAAACACAGAGAACAACAACAGACGCGCCGCGCGCCCCCCGCGACCCACAGACCCCAAAGCCCCGCTCCAGCCCCAGCATCAAGTGTAGCAGAGAAACCCCCAGGACCCAGCAACGACACAGACACAGACAGAGAAGCAGAAGAGAGACGCACAGACCTGTTCTCGCGGCGTAAATCCGCTGCGTGCGGCGGACACACAGATAATAAGCTTGTTGTGTTGGACGGGAAAAGACGCCGAGCTAAATCCCAGCAGCCATCTCTCCTCTCTCTTGTCGTGAACGCGTCTGCTGGTCGGCGCGCTCCGTGCGTGCGGAGGAGCGTCAAAAGGATGGTAGGACAGCACAGGGACAGCACAGGGACAGCTTCTTTACGCGGGCCACGTACAAACCCAAGGCTCCAAACAAAGCGCCTCAACCCGCTCAATCCTCTCCGTTGCCACGGACAACAGAGAAGACTGCTGGAGACCCCGCCCTGTGCACCTCAGCCAAAAGCGCTCATCCAACGCGTGCACGAGCAGCAGACGCGCCGCGCGCACGCGCACCACGTGAATGGTCAGACAAACCCGTGAGCCGCTGATGGAGATAAACCAGAGCAACGCGCGCCAAAAGCATAAACTGTGGCTCCATTCACCTCTGCTCTGCGGGGTGAGCCTAATGTGAGCCTATTGTTCAGGCCGCTCGTGCGCGTACGAGCGCGCGCACAGAACAATGGGGGCTCAGCAGTGTGGGTGTGGGGAGGGGGCGCACAGTGGGGGTGCTCACCCCCATCTTTTCATCCATGAAGCAGCCGTTTACAGAGCAGTGACGACCGAAGCATGGGCCTTCAGGGCCACCGTCGCTGTAATGTACAGGGGCCCAAGATAAACTCATGGGGCCCAAGAGCCGATGATAAACTCACGTGCAGGGACCCAAAATAAACCAGCCCAGGCCCAGAGCTATAGCTTCAATGTAATTCTCTATTAGCTTCATTATTGTTCATCGTTATCTTCAATTATAGATCCTGTTTGGTGTAAGCATGTCCTGAGTCTTTTTTTTCCTTTTATTCTGATTTTAGGAACTAAAACATTTCCCACTGAGAGACAAATAAAGGCTTATTTTATCTTAAATAAAGCCTCAAACATAGGTGACCCTATGTGACTTTCTACGGTGGATGGTCTGAGTCTAAAGTCACAGGTTTTCACAAACAAACTGTGAGATTTCATAACACTTTGAAGCAACTTTTGTTAAAGTTAAACTCATCATTCTATCAATGTGCAGAAGCCTGTACTTTTCCCTTGTTTTGTCTATCTGAAGGCCAAGCTACATGGCACCGTGGAAGCTGCTGATTGGAGGTCTCCATGCCTCCGCTCTGTATAATACACTTGCATTCTGTTGTCCGTGTTGTTCGTGCTGTCTCTACCATCGACAATAAAACATGTCTTCTGTCTGAATGAAAGACGCGATCCCAGACATGTCATCTTCTTCAAAACTATAGGTGGTGTTTACACAGAGACGCTGCGACAGTAAAACGTTAGAGTTGTGTTTGGGTTTGGCCTTTTGTTTACACGGAGACGGTGTAACAGCGGGGCCTGTTTCACTCTCGTGTGAAGAAAAAGGTATGAATTCTCTGCTGCTATGACCTCAGCACTTCCCCCAGTTTCCATTTTCACTGCTGCTGTGAAATGCAGAATGATGTTCTTTCCCGTCTTTGCGGCGGCCTGAGGAGGATGTTGTCGAGGAAGTGGTTGTACTGGTGAGTGTCACGTGTGTTGTGTTCCACAACACTGCCCCCTATAGGCCAGAAGCTCACGTGTGTGAAAATGCACGTCACAGCAGGCGCAGCAGGAAGACGTAATGTTCACGCCTAACATCAGGTCCCCACGTCGCCCCCTCATCTGGGCTTTATACAACCGTGCTCAGGCCCACGTCTCTAAACCGCGCTCAGCCCGGTTATTGTAGTCACACGGCACCTAAAGCCCGGATCTAAACGCCTTCTGGGCCAAGGCCACTTTAAGTTGTGCGTGTGGTTGCAGCCTGGTGTATCCTCCGCACAGTCTCTGCAAAACCATCACTGCCACAGACGGAGACAGTACGAGCAGCGATTGGTCCTCTAAAAACATCATTTCTATAATTACTAGACTAATAACAACAATTGACAACAAATCCAGTCCGAGGGACTCACATCAGTCTCTTGTTTGCGTTACCAAGGTGATGCACTACATTTGAAACAACAAATGGACCTATGTACAATCCATGTATAGTTCCTGAATCTAAACGGTCGTTGCTTCTTTCACTGGTTCTCACATTGTGCTTTCCTCTGTCACATCTTTAGATCAGAAAAGTGAAACATAGAGGACCGCCCTCACTCAGCCAATCAGCTCTCAGCTCAGAGAGTCAGGTAGTGACTCACTGGGCTGTTTGCAGTAACAAACAGCCCAGTGAGTCGCTATAAGGATGAAGACAGCATGTTGTGGTCAGATTTATTCTTCAAATTTTACTTCAAAAGTCTGTTGGACCAATTGCATGTTTTATTCAAGAGTACAGAGGATTAACTCAGGACTCAGTGGAACCACCTCTTCATCAACACGAGGAAGACCAAGGAGATGGAGGTGGATGTCACTCTGTCTCCATTCCCAGTGAACATCCATACTTACAAGTATATGTTCCTTTGAATCACAAACTGGACTGGACTGGACTCAACACAGACGTCCTCTTCAAGACGGGCCAGAGCCGACTGAGGAGGACCAGGTCATCAGGAAGACACAGTGCAGCAGGTGGGGGACTGGAGGGTCCTGGACAAACTAACATCTATGCTGGACCATGACTGTCGCCCCCTGCAGGACACTCTGTCTTCTCTGGAGAGCAGCTTCAGTGACAGACTTATCCACCGCCGCTGTGGGAAAGTGAGGTTCCGCAGGGCCTTCCTTTCTGCTGCTGTCAGACTGTACAATGAGAACTGCTGAGCCTGGACATGTGGCTTTCATCTGTCTGATAATTCAGTCACTTCACCTGCGGATATTATCACTAATGTTTATTCTGGGCTTATTCTCTGCTGCTAAAGTACAATATAAACATCTGTAAATACCTCCTGCTGACTCCAGTCTCCAGACTCCATGTTTTAGTATCATCAGTGTTGCCTCTGGAGGAGCCTTCTGTGCAGGGAGTGGTCCTTCCTGGTCCTGGTCGATGTCTTGAGTCTCCTCTATCCTCTGGGTCCAGTGGAGGTCTGGCTCCTGGTCTTGGAGGTCTGGGGCCTCCTCTCTGCGCTCTGCTCCTGGTGCAGACGGCTCCTCTGGCACTCAGCCCTACATTCTTTTATGATTTTCTCTTTTTTACTCACAAACCGTTATGTAAATGTTCCCACTGCTCTTTTTAAATCCAGTTTGAGCCACTTTCTGTCAGTGTGAGATGGACCCAAAGAGACCCGGGTGATTCCTGAGACTGGACAGGTCTGGATCCTGGTCCTGGTCTGTGTCTGACTCTCCCTGTGCGGTTTGTAAAGGACACTTTTAATCTGCTAATTATTTTCTTTGTCCATATCCTAATGCTGCAAATGCACAACAGTTAGAGCCATCACTGCGGACACTAGTCTGGAACCTCCACCGCTGAGATACTGGGCTTACTTTTAAAGGCTAAATTCACTTTTTGCATTCAAAGCCAAATCCATTTCCTTCTCTGAAATCATTCTAACCTACATGACTCTAGAGAAAGACAAAAATATGGAATAATAAACAATAACTACTACATTGCAAACAATGATGAAAAATAAGTTTAAAAATTATGAAAATATATATAATCAATCTTCATTTTAGCACATTCTGATTGAGCCTTAAGACAAGATTTGCCAATGAGACAAAGCAAAATGATCTTGTTATAAAAATATATACAAGAGATGTCTCCTTTGGAATGAGAAAATAAAGCGGCAGTTCTTGAAATAAAACTGAATAACTTTGTCCCACTGGAGGATCTTGTTTTTAACACAGTCAGAATGTGTCAGATTGAGATAAAAACCACTGGATACAAGCAATTAGTACCTCATATTTTATCATTTTTTGCAGCGTTCGACTATAATTCAGCAAATAATGTGACACTGCTGTTGTAGAAACACAAAAAAATGTCTCTAAACATTGGATTTATGTCATTAAAACTAAACTTTCAGCACTCTGGTCAGCGCCCGCGTATACAGAACAGTCGTCCCTGAACCTCTAGAAGTGTTTTGATGGTGTGGAATGAACAAAGTAGATTTGGAAAGGAAGGTGCAGGAGGCTAAAGTTTGACAGACGGAGAGAGACGCGGGCTGGAAACACGAACAGCTGCTTTATTAGTTTCACTGATATGATGCATGCAGCGTTTACACACGTCTACATGTACAAAGAAGCAGCCAACAGCCAACACTTCTGCAGGTCGCCACGACAACGGGTCTGTGGCTGCATCCCAATCCACTCATCACCATTTTTGTTTGATTTCAGATGCAGCCTCAGCGTGTACTCTTACTCCGAGGTCACTCAATACAAATACTCACATCACTGTAACTGTGTGTGTGTGTGTGTACATATTTTGGCCATGTACCTGTACGCTTACTCGAGTACAAACTTTGGCGATACTTTGGCCACCTCTGCGTGTTTAGTGGCACTGGATACTACACACATATCAGTTTTTTCTGTGGTGTTGGGACAGAAAAGAACTTGTTGCCAGGTGACCGTGGACACGTGTCATACACATCACGTTACCATAGTGACAAGAACGTGTACACTGTAATAATAAAGCTAAGGTTGTCCATGTTTCACACTCGGGGGAGACGTGGACAATAATATTCTATAAATACCACAATATTAAAGAAGACGTAACATGCTTCAGTTGGCTAAATTCAATTACAACTCGATTAAAGCCGCGGTATCTATGACCTCTTTGGTTCATTTTAATCTTAAATGTTTGTCCCAACAGAAAAAGTCTGTGAAAAAATCAGACCACAATATTCTGTCTTCATCTGATTAGAAAATATGTTGTCTCTTGTGCAAGAAAGAGCCTTGCGAGTCACTAGCACAGGCTTTGGGCTGAGAGCTGATTGGCTGAGTGAGGGCGGTTCTCTCTTTTTCATTTTTCTGTCTGAAAAATTGGATCTAAAGAAGTGAGGTCAAAAATACATGCATTTGGGAACTAGTGATAGAAGCAAGAAGTATGTTATTTTAGTGGTTTGAAAAATAAAGCAGCAATATGTAAGATTTTCAGGTCTAGTCATCATTAAAGGGCCCTAATCTGTCATAATAATAAACCTGCTCTTTTCCAATACTTCTTTAACTGATAACTGTAGATCAGAGATATTTGGATTTCAAAATTACTTTTACCGTCCCTAAATCTGTTATTGTTGTCATTTTGATGTCCCGCCCTCCACCGTTTCACCAATCAGAAAGTCTGTGATCCGGGCGCCAGAACTCACCGCGTGGAGCTAATCTCACTGGTAAAGTACCATGTGGCGCAGAACTAAAAAAAGTCTTGTTATGATTTTCAAATCATTAACGACAAAACAAGGAATAAAACCAGGATTTCTATATTTGTGAAAAAGGTGTTGGTTATAGATTTGTTGTTGACAAAACTCTTGTCTATTCAGCTGTTATGGTCCCAGCTGGATTCGTCTGCATATCTGGCAACCGGAGTCAGGGAGAGTGGGAGAGGCTGCAGTACCACTTTTGGCCACATTTTTACACACTGCTGCTTTAAGTTCCCCATGTTTTGATAATGATCCAAAAGTCCTGTCAGACTGTAGAAGTTAGCATGAGGCTCTACACCGCGCTAAAGGCCACGGGATTGTATAGAACTTTAGATGCAGAAACTCCACTATGAATCATACTTTTTCCTGAACATATACTTGATATGGATTCAAAGATGCGGCTCAGGCTTGTATACAGTATGATGAGGAAAAACTACAACAGAAATTGAGAAGTCCACAGAGCATGATACGTCCCCTTTAAAGACGTCCCTAAGACTGTACAGAATGTCACCAGAGATCAGTCTCTCATAATAATCAACATTATTCTCAGTGTATAGTCACAACACACATCTGTTTTTGTCCATTACACAGCCCCCGCACACGCTCCCAGTCCCAGGCAAGTTTGCGGTTTTCTTCCAGGGACAAACCCAAACTTTTACTCTGTACATTTGAAGATTTGAAGTGAAACATGGACCCTGTATTCTTTTGTGGCTCATACACACAGCCACCATTTTGACCACGTTTTGACCACTCAACCGATGCAATCTTTACACGTGACGTTGTCCGGTTGAGATGGTAAGAATGTGGATGTAGTAAACGTATATTGCTTTAACACTGGACCGAGTGACCGACAGGGAAAGGAATGCACGCAATCACAGGCACAATAACATATCAATGAATGAATATACAGGATCTCATTACAACATGTGTTTGAAGACGAGCATCTGTAATTACCCAAGGGCGGCACAGGGGGCGCTCTAGGGCACCCGAGTCCAACAGAGCTCGGGATTCATGTTGTTTGAATAAAAGCAACGGTGTAACTTTGGGAGGCAGTACGTCACCTCATTCCGCTGTTATTAAGCCGTTTTACATCAATATAGTGAACAATGAATGATCTCTGTGTCGTGGTTAAAAGTCCCTCGGAACAGAAAGAGCAGAGTGGGTCTTCTCCTCGCGGTCCTCATGATCCCGAGCTCCATGGGCAGTGGGAGCGCCCTGTCTGCTCTGTTCGCAGCCCCCCCCCCAGAGAGCGCACACGTCTGGTACAAGGCACTAATCTGCTGACAAATGGCTATAGTTGAAGGAGCGTCTCAAGAACACGATGACACCGGTGAGAGGAGGTGGGAGGAGGTGGGGGGAGGTGGGGGAGGGGCTTAGGAATGCATCTCAGCGCGGAGCATCCAGGGGAACCAGCAGCAGAACAGTAACCTGCCAAAACACACACACACACACACAGTCAGCAATGGGGTCGGCTTAGAGAGGACCAGGACCAAGACCAGGACCTCTGTACTTGGAGAGGACCAGGACCAAGACCTATGCACTTGGAGAGGACCAGGATCAGGTTCAGGATCAGGATCAGGACCAGGACCTCTGCACTTGGAGAGGACTAGGATCAGGACCTCTGCACTTGGAGAGGACCTGGACCAGGACCAGGACCTCTGTACTTGGAGAGGACCAGGATCAGGTTTAGGATCAGGATCAGGACCAGGACCAGGACCTCTGCACTTGGAGAGGACCTGGACCAGGACCAGGACCTCTGCACTTGGAGAGGACCAGGATCAGGTTTAGGATCAGGACCAGGACCAGGACCTCTGCACTTGGAGAGGACCTGGACCAGGACCAGGACCTCTGCACTTGGAGAGGACCAGGATCAGGTTTAGGATCAGGATCAGGACCAGGACCTCTGCACTTGGAGAGGACTAGGATCAGGACCTCTGCACTTGGAGAGGACTAGGATCAGGACCTCTGCACTTGGAGAGGACTAGGATCAGGACCTCTGCACTTGGAGAGGACCTGGACCAGGACCAGGACCTCTGCACTTGGAGAACCAGGACCAGGACCATCCACAATGTAAACATCTGTAAACACCTTCTGATGCTGCTAACCACATGGTATCCTCCACTGGTGACTTTTCCTTGAACCAAGTGCATTTATTGCCCCAGAGTTTTATTTTTAATTATCTTATTATTTGTATTGTATTATCTATTATCTTAAATGATAGATCCTGTTTGATGTGCGTACTCTGAGTGCTCTTACTTGCTTGATGTACAAAAGGATGACATTGAAATTTCCCAACTTTGGGACGAATACATAAAGTCTTATTCATATTGTATCTTATCAAATGTATTATTATGGTCCGTACCGAGATATGGAGCTGTCCGAGGTCAGGTCCTTGGGAGAATGCAGTGTGTTGAAGTTGCGTTTGGGCTGAGACACTGCACACAAACACAAAACAAATACATAATTAGGGTAAAAAGATATAATTATAAACTCCAGTGGCCTCAAAAGTACCGACACACCTTTAGCTTTGCACATTTGTCATGTTTACAACCATAAACATAAAGATTGTATTTAGATAAGTTATGTTATTCACACTGTATTCATAGTGCATTAAGGTCCAACATTTATCGCAGATGCAGCCACGAGGCCCATGGTTACTATGGAGGAGCTGCAGACATTCACAGCTCACTCGGGGGAATCATACACTTCACACATCCGGGTTTGTAGTGGTGTAAAGCGGGGCCAGAGCTTCAGATCTCCAAACCCAGCATAGAATAGGGGGTGGCAGCATCATGTTATGGGGCTGCTATTCTTCAACAGGGACAGGGCAAAGTGTCAGAGGTGATGAGAAGGTGGGGGGAGAACATTGCAGGCCATTTTTGGACAAAAGTTCAGAGAGCTGGAGAGTCCACATAGTATTAACTTTGGTGTATGAATACTTCTGCAAACCAGACTAGAACAGGACTAGAGCAGGACTAGAGCAGGACTAGAGCAGGATTAGAGCAGGACTAGAGGCGGGCTAGAGGAGGACTAGAGCTAGACAAGAGCAGGACTAGAGCAGGACTAGAGCAGGACTAGAGCCGGACTAGAGCAGGACTAGAGCAGGACTAGAGCAGGACTAGAGCAGGACTAGAGCAGGACTAGAGCAGGACTAGAGCAGGACTAGAGCAGGACTAGAGCAGGACCAGAGCAGGACTAGAGCAGGACTAGAGCAGGACTAGAGCAGGACTAGAGGAGGTCCAGAGCAGGACTAGAGCAGGACTAGAGGAGGACTAGAGGAGGACTAGAGCCGGACCAGAGCAGGACTAGAGGAGGACTAGAGGAGGACTAGAGCAGGACTAGAGCAGGACTAGAGCAGGACTAGGGCAGGACTAGAGCAGGACTAGAGCAGGACTAGAGGAGGTCCGGAGCAGGACTAGAGCAGGACTAGAGGAGGACTAGAAGAGGACTAGAGCAGGACTAGAGCAGGACTAGAGCAGGACTAGAGGAGGACTAGAGCAGGACTAGAGCAGGACTAGAGCCGGACTAGAGCAGGACTAGAGCAGGACTAGAGCAGGACTAGAGCAGGACTAGAGCCGGACCAGAGCAGGACTAGAGCAGGACTAGAGCAGGACTAGAGCAGGACTAGAGCAGGACTAGAGGAGGTCCAGAGCGAGACTAGAGCCGGACTAGAGGAGGACTAGAGGAGGACTAGAGCCGGACCAGAGCAGGACTAGAGGAGGACTAGAGGAGGACTAGAGCAGGACTAGAGCAGGACAAGAGCAGGACTAGAGCAGGACTAGGGCAGGACTAGAGCAGGACTAGAGCAGGACTAGAGGAGGTCCGGAGCAGGACTAGAGCAGGACTAGAGGAGGACTAGAGCAGGACTAGAGCAGGACTAGAGCAGGACTAGAGCAGGACTAGAGCCGGACCAGAGCAGGACTAGAGCCGGACCAGAGCAGGACTAGAGCAGGACTAGAGCAGGACTAGAGGAGGACTAGAGGAGGACTAGAAGAGGACTAGAGCTGGACTAGAGCCGGACTAGAGCAGGACTAGAGCAGGACTAGAGCAGGACTAGAGCCGGACCAGAGCAGGACTAGAGCAGGACTAGAGCAGGACTAGAGCAGGACCAGAGCAGGACTAGAGCAGGACTAGAGGAGGTCCAGAGCAGGACTAGAGCAGGACTAGAGGAGGACTAGAGGAGGACTAGAGCCGGACCAGAGCAGGACTAGAGGAGGACTAGAGGAGGACTAGAGCAGGACTAGAGCAGGACTAGAGCAGGACTAGAGCAGGACTAGGGCAGGACTAGAGTAGGACTAGAGCAGGACTAGAGGAGGTCCGGAGCAGGACTAGAGCAGGACTAGAGGAGGACTAGAGCAGGACTAGAGCAGGACTAGAGCAGGACTAGAGGAGGACTAGAGCAGGACTAGAGCAGGACTAGAGCCGGACTAGAGCAGGACTAGAGCAGGACTAGAGCAGGACTAGAGCCGGACCAGAGCAGGACTAGAGCAGGACTAGAGCAGGACTAGAGCAGGACTAGAGCAGGACCAGAGCAGGGCTAGAGCAGGACTAGAGCAGGACTAGAGGAGGTCCAGAGCAGGATTGAGCAGGACTAGAGGAGGACTAGAGGAGGACTAGAGCCGGACCAGAGCAGGACTAGAGGCGGACTAGAGGAGGACTAGAGCAGGACTAGAGCAGGACTAGAGCAGGACTAGAGCAGGACTAGAGCAGGACTAGGGCAGGACTAGAGCAGGACTAGAGCAGGACTAGAGGAGGTCCGGAGCAGGACTAGAGCAGGACTAGAGCCGGACTAGAGCCGGACTAGAGCCGGACCAGAGCAGGACTAGAGCAGGACTAGAGGAGGACTAGAGGAGGACTAGAAGAGGACTAGAGCAGGACTATAGCAGGACTATAGCAGGACCAGAGCAGAACTAGAGGAGGACTAGAGCCGGACCAGAGCAGGACTAGAGGAGGACTAGAGCAGGACTAGAGCAGGACTAGAGCAGGACTAGAACAGGACTAGAGCAGGACTAGAGCCGGACAAGAGCAGGACTAGAGGAGGACTAGAAGAGGACTAGAGCAGGACTAGAGGAGGACTAGAGGAGGACTAGAGCAGGACTAGAGCAGGACTAGAGCAGGACTAGAGCCGGACCAGAGCAGGACTAGAGCAGGACTAGAGCAGGACCAGAGCAGGACTAGATCAGGACTAGAGCAGGACTAGAGCCGGACTAGAGCAGGACTAGAGCAGGACTAGAGGAGGTCCAGAGCAGGACTAGAACAGGACTAGAGCAGGACTAGAGCCGGACCAGAGCAGGACTAGAGGAGGACTAGAAGAGGACTAGAGCAGGACTAGAGGAGGACTAGAGCAGGTCTAGAGCAGGACTAGAGCCGGACTAGAGCAGGACTAGAGCCGGACCAGAGCAGGACTAGAGGAGGACTAGAAGAGGACTAGAGCAGGACTAGAGGAGGTCCGGAGCAGGACTAGAGCCGGACTAGAGCCGGACTAGAGCCGGACCAGAGCAGGACTAGAGCAGGACTAGAGGAGGACTAGAGGAGGACTAGAAGAGGACTAGAGCAGGACTATAGCAGGACTATAGCAGGACCAGAGCAGAACTAGAGGAGGACTAGAGCCGGACCAGAGCAGGACTAGAGGAGGACTAGAGGAGGACTAGAGCAGGACTAGAGCAGGACTAGAACAGGACTAGAGCAGGACTAGAGCCGGACCAGAGCAGGACTAGAGGAGGACTAGAAGAGGACTAGAGCAGGACTAGAGGAGGACTAGAGGAGGACTAGAGCAGGACTAGAGCAGGACTAGAGCAGGACTAGAGCCGGACCAGAGCAGGACTAGAGCAGGACTAGAGCAGGACCAGAGCAGGACTAGATCAGGACTAGAGGAGGACTAGAGGAGGACTAGAAGAGGACTAGAGCAGGACTATAGCAGGACTATAGCAGGACCAGAGCAGAACTAGAGGAGGACTAGAGCAGGACTAGATCAGGACTAGAGCAGGACTAGAGCAGGACCAGAGCAGGACTAGAGGAGGACTAGAGGAGGACTAGAGCAGGACTAGAGCAGGACTAGAGCAGGACTAGAACAGGACTAGAGCAGGACTAGAGCCGGACCAGAGCAGGACTAGAGGAGGACTAGAAGAGGACTAGAGCAGGACTAGAGGAGGACTAGAGCAGGACTAGAGCAGGACTAGAGCAGGACTAGAACAGGACTAGAGCAGGACTAGAGCCGGACCAGAGCAGGACTAGAGGAGGACTAGAAGAGGACTAGAGCAGGACTAGAGGAGGACTAGAGGAGGACTAGAGCAGGACTAGAGCAGGACTAGAGCCGGACCAGAGCAGGACTAGAGCAGGACTAGAGCAGGACTAGAGCAGGACTAGAGCCGGACTAGAGCAGGACTAGAGCAGGACTAGAGCAGGACTAGGCCAGGACTAGAGGAGGACTAGAGCAGGACTAGAGCAGGACTAGAGCAGGACTAGGCCAGGACTAGAGGAGGACTAGAGCAGGACTAGAGCAGACTTGTGGCACTCACTGGAGACTTGGTGGACCTTTTTCACCGCCTGGTCTTTCTGGGAGCCGTCTTTGGGGCCTCCGATTCTGAAATGATTCCATTAGATTTAGTCATGAATCCACATTTTAAACATTGACAGAAGCAGCTACACGGAAGATTCCAGCAGGTGCAACAAACCAGAAGCTATTTTTATATAAAATGGCTAAAATTTTCACTTTTTCCCACACATTTCTGCTGCTCCTGAACATGTTTGCAATTTTCTACAATAATCCAACTAATAAAACATAAAGGTCTGATCTGATCCCTATGTTCCCACAAAACAAAGTAACAAACTGTCTCCACACGTCTCATGATCATGTGATAAATGGGTCATATTTGCTGCTCACACGTGGTCCATGTTTCAAATCACTGAGGAACATCCGACCAAATTGTTTACACATTTTCCCAAATTGATGAAAATTAATTGTTTCTCTCAAAAAGTGTTTTCAAATTGATTTAGAATTCTTTGTGTGTGTGTGTGTGTGTGTGTGTGTGTGTGTACCTCTGCACGCGGGAAGGCGGGGCGAACACTCCATATTTGGGCAGACAGCTGAAGTAGCGCACACCGAACACGGAGCCGTCATGTTTCCCTGTGGCTCGGTCCAACTCGATTCCAAACCAGTCTCCTGCAGCAGAGAGCGTCAGTCAGACACACAACAACACACACTGTCAGACACACAACAACACACACTGTCAGACACACAACAACACACACTGTCAGACACACATTAACACACTGTCAGACACACAACAACACACACTGTCAGACACACATCAACACACACTGTCAGACACACAACACACACTGTCAGACACACATCAACACACTGTCAGACACACAACACACACTGTCAGACACACAACAACACACACTGTCAGACACACATCAACACACTGTCAGACACACAACAACACACACTGTCAGACACACAACAACACACACTGTCAGACACACATCAACACACTGTCAGACACACAACACACACTGTCAGACACACAACAACACACACAACAAACCTCTGGACAATTGGCATCAATGTCTAATAAAAGTGATTTTGTATTTTAAAGAACTGGGTTTCTCACTCTACACACACAACACACTTCAGACAACACACAAGGCCGACACTACACACACTGTACACACTGTACACAATGGACACACTGGACACACTACACACACTGGACACACTACACACACTGTACACACTGGACACACTACACACACTGTACACACTGGACACACTACACACTACACACACTACACACACGGTACACACTGGACACACTGTACACACTGGACACACTCAAACTAAGTCTTCTAAAGGTGATCTCACATTAATGAACTATCGGCTCAATCGTCCTCATGCAGCGACATGAACACATTTTCAAAAGACAACTTTATAAAAGCAAGAGCAGCACTTCATGTGTGTGTGTTGTGTGTCTGTGTGTGTGTTGTGTGTCTGTGTGTGTGTGTCTATGTGTGTGTGTGCATGTCTGTGTGTGTGTGTATGTCCATGTGTGTGTCTATGTGTGTGTGTGCATGTCTGTGTGTGTGTGTGTGTGTCCATGTCAGTGTGTGGTGTGTGTGTGTGTCCATGTCTGTGTGTGTGTGTGTGTGTGTGTGTGTGTGTGTGTGTGTGTGTGTGTGTGTGTGTGTGTGTGTCTATGTGTGTCCACATCAGTCTAGTTCCTCTCTGGTCTCAGTCTCAGCAGCAGCCCCTCGTACCTGGAGCGAACTCTGTTTTCCCGTAGAAACGAACCACTCCCAGTTTCTGTCCGGCCACCAGCACATGGTCCCCCAGCTCGGCCACGCCCGGCTCCACAGGGACACACAACGACTTCTTCCTTTGCCCTGGAAGCAACACACATGTCAATCATCCCACACATCACAACAGCGGGTGTAAACATGGCACATGCTGCAGGTGAGTCGTCAGAGATGTATTATTAATCCATGTCAGAACACAGACTTTTATTTATGCTAGTTGTGGGTCTATAGTTAGAGATTTTATTTTATTTTGCTTTAGAGTTCTTATTCATTACTCCTCATTCCTACTGTTTTGTGACAACACTGAAATTTCTCTTCTGTGGGAGGAATAAAGCATCTCTTAATCCTAATCCCAGTGTTTTGAGGCTGAGGCTGAGATTAACAGTGAAGAAATGGGGCGACACTCACATTTGTCCTTCTCCTTGTCCTTCTTGTCCTTCTCCTTCTTCATCTTGGCGGTGAGGCGGGAGGCCAGGTCCATGTGGGGGGTGCGGGGGGTGGAGGTGACGGAGGTGGGGGTCTGCACCTCGGCTTTGGAGATCTTGGACACTGGAGTGAAGACACCTGCGATGACAAAGCAAAACAACTCAAACACAGAGACTAAAGCTGTGAAGAGTCTGTGTGATCCAAGATGGCGTCCTGTTCAACTGAATGGCATGTGTTCATTAGTGCATGGGACATGAAACAAGCAGAGTTTGTGGCACTAAAGTGTGGATTTAAAGAAAACTAAAGCATTTAAGAAGAAAAAAAGTTCAAGATGACAAGAGACACTAAAATCCCCACAAAATCTGACTTTTATGAAAGCTGTAGGTTCTCTGTCAGGTTCTCTGTCAGCTGAGGTCGAGCTGTTTTAGTTTACATTGAGTTCTATGTGACATTTTTCTTTGGTCTGCAGTACCACAGCGCCCCCTGTGCCCGTTAGTGGAACAGCTATAAGCTAGCAATACCCTATCCAGATATTATTATAGATCCATAGTTTTTCCTTCTGAGGTGAGTGTGAGGCTGGGGGCTCTTACCCAGTTTGGGGGGGCAGATGAAGTAGCGCACTCCCCCCACACTGCCGTCGTTCTTGCCCTCAGGCTCGTCCAGCTCCATGCCCACCCACAGGCCGCTGGCGAACTCCGTGGGACCACAGAACCGCAGGGTGCCTGCCTGCGGACCACACCATCAAGTTCAAACCATGCAATTACCAGAAAGACACATGCTTAGTTCATATGAGTGGGTCAGTTGGTCTGTGTGTGTGTTGTGATTTTTTTAATAGTTTTTTTTACTGTCTTTTGGCAGCAAGTCCTAAGTGTCTCTGAAACAGTTGTTGTTTTTATGTTTTACAGTTGTTATTTTTCATGCTTTTTTCTACCTGACATGTTGCTGCAGTACAGTGTTCATGGTTTTACACTGGTCCAGACCAGAGCAGAGAGGATTCATGGTCCGAAAGGGGATCACGTAAAAATCCACTGCAGGAATGCTAACTTTTTGAAAAATGCTAATGAAGTATTTAGCATTTACTTTGGAACAGAGAAAATGGTCCGGACCAAGCGGCTCCTCCACCTCTGCTGCTGTGACCTAAAGTGCTGTTGCTTACTTTTACTATTGTTAGCTTTTTAGAATGATCAAAATGATATGTTTTGTTCATTTGGATGTGTTTTTGCTGCTACTGGACAACTGCACTTCTCCAACATGGATCAATAAAGTATCTATCTACTGTATCTGTCATGTTCTGTCAGGCCTTGAAATAATGCAAATAAAGTGCTAGTGATAGAGAAGTGGGCGGAGTGAAAGTGCGGCACCTTGTGGTTGTCGAGGAGCACGCGGTCCCCCAGTGTCAGCCCCATGGAGGACAGCATGAGGGTGCCTGGGATGTTGTCGTAGTTTGGGAGGGTGACTCGGGGCAGGTTGCAGCTGAGGGGAACGGCGTCCTGTAGGATCTGCCTCAGCTCCTTGGCCACCAGCGCCGCCTCGGCCTTATCCAGACTCATGTCCATGGGGTCCGGGACCACCTCGGCCGGCACATGCCCGCGCTCGTTCTAAACACACACACATACATAGTCAGAGGAGTCGCTGGGGTTCACACTGACAGCAAATGAGGACGGTTGCTATAGCGATTGACAACTAAATGCACAATTTTAAATCTGTTCTTGTTTTTATTAATATTATTATTATTAATAAAGCATTCAGAATTTCACTCTGAACCAGAGCAGAGAAAATGGTACGATCTAAAATAGACTCAGCAAACATGTTGGTTAGTTCTCATTGTTCGTTGTACAGTCTGACGGCAGCATAAAGGAAATACCTGTATCAATCTAAGTATCTATCTTTATAATTATGTGTGAGTGAGGGGTGAGACATGTGTGAGTGGGTGAGTGAGGGGAGAGACGTGTGTGAGTGGGTGAGTGAGGGGTGATACGTGTGTGAGTGGGTGAGTGAGGGGAGAGACGTGTGTGAGTGGGTGAGTGAGGGGTGAGACGTGTGTGAGTGGGTGAGTGAGGGGTGAGACATGTGTGTGAGTGGGTGAGTGAGGGGTGAGACATGTGTGTGTGAGTGAGGGGAGAGACGTGTGTGAGTGGGTGAGTGAGGGGAGAGACGTGTGTGAGTGGGTGAGTGAGGGGTGATACGTGTGTGAGTGGGTGAGTGAGGGGAGAGACGTGTGTGAGTGGGTGAGTGAGGGGTGATACGTGTGTGTGTGAGTGGGTGAGTGAGGGGTGAGACATGTGTGTGAGTGGGTGAGTGAGGGGTGAGACATGTGTGTGTGAGTGAGGGGAGAGACGTGTGTGAGTGGGTGAGTGAGGGGAGAGACGTGTGTGAGTGGGTGAGTGAGGGGAGAGACGTGTGTGAGTGGGTGAGTGAGGGGAGAGACATGTGTGTGTGAGTGAGGGGAGAGACGTGTGTGAGTGGGTGAGTGAGGGGAGAGACGTGTGTGAGTGGGTGAGTGAGGGGAGAGACGTGTGTGAGTGGGTGAGTGAGGGGTGAGGGGAGAGACATGTGTGAGTGGGTGAGTGAGGGGAGAGACGTGTGTGAGTGGGTGAGTGAGGGGTGAGACATGTGTGTGTGAGTGAGGGGAGAGACATGTGTGAGTGGGTGAGTGAGGAGTGATACGTGTGTGAGTGGGTGAGTGAGGGGAGAGACGTGTGTGAGTGGGTGAGTGTGAGGGGAGAGACGTGTGTGAGTGGGTGAGTGAGGGGAGAGACGTGTGTGAGTGGGTGAGTGAGAGTGGTGAGGTGGGGTGAGACATGTGTGAGTGGGTGAGTGAGGGGAGAGACATGTGTGAGTGAGTGAGTGAGGGGTGAGACATGTGTGAGTGGGTGAGTGAGGGGTGAGACATGTGTGTGTGAGTGAGTGAGTGGGGGAGAGACGTGTGTGAGTGAGTGAGTGAGGGGTGATACGTGTGTGAGTGAGTGAGTGAGGGGTGATACGTGTGTGAGTGAGTGAGGGGAGAGACGTGTGTGAGTGAGTGAGTGAGTGAGGGGAGAGACGTGTGTGAGTGAGTGAGTGAGTGAGGGTGAGAGAGACGTGTGTGAGTGGGTGAGTGAGGGGAGAGACGTGTGTGAGTGGGTGAGTGGAGGGGAGAGACGTGTGTGAGTGGGTGAGTGAGGGGAGAGACGTGTGTGAGTGGGTGAGTGAGGGGAGAGACGTGTGTGATTGGGTGAGTGAGGGGAGAGACGTGTGTGAGTGGGTGAGTGAGGGGAGAGACGTGTGTGATTGGGTGAGTGAGGGGAGAGACGTGTGTGATTGGGTGAGTGAGGGGAGAGACGTGTGTGATTGGGTGAGTGAGGGGAGAGACGTGTGTGAGTGGGTGAGTGAGGGGAGAGAGGGGGGAGTCATGGGGGAGTACGTACCCGGACTGAGGGGTTGGCCCCGTGCTCCAGCAGACACTTGGCGGCCCCCAGACACAGGTTGGAGGCTGCGATGTGGAGTGCGGTGCCGTAGTGGAAGTCACTGCAGGTGGAGTTCAGCACTGAGGAGCACAGGTACAGGTCAGAGAGGAGAGAGGAGGAGACACAGGTACAGGTCAGAGAGGAGAGAGGAGGAGACACAGGTACAGGTCAGAGAGGAGAGAGGAGGAGACACAGGTACAGGTCAGAGAGGAGAGAGGAGGAGACACAGGTACAGGTCAGAGAGGAGAGAGGAGGAGACACAGGTACAGGTCAGAGAGGAGAGAGGAGGAGACACAGGTACAGGTCAGAGAGGAGAGAGGAGGAGACACAGGTACAGGTCAGAGAGGAGAGAGGAGGAGACACAGGTACAGGTCAGAGAGGAGAGAGGAGGAGACACAGGTACAGGTCAGAGAGAGAGAGGAGGAGAGACACAGGTACAGGTTAGAGAGGAGAGAGGAGGAGACACAGGTACAGGTCAGAGAGGAGAGAGGAGGAGACACAGGTACAGGTCAGAGAGGAGAGAGGAGGAGACACAGGTACAGGTCAGAGAGGAGAGAGGAGGAGACACAGGTACAGGTCAGAGAGGAGAGAGGAGGAGACACAGGTACAGGTCAGAGAGGAGAGAGGAGGAGACACAGGTACAGGTCAGAGAGGAGAGAGGAGGAGACACAGGTACAGGTCAGAGAGTAGAGAGGAGGAGACACAGGTACAGGTCAGAGAGGAGAGAGGAGGAGACACAGGTACAGGTCAGAGAGGAGAGAGGAGGAGACACAGGTACAGGTCAGAGAGGAGAGAGGAGGAGACACAGGTACAGGTCAGAGAGGAGAGAGGAGGAGACACAGGTACAGGTCAGAGAGGAGAGAGGAGGAGACACAGGTACAGGTCAGAGAGGAGAGAGGAGGAGACACAGGTACAGGTCAGAGAGGAGAGAGGAGGAGACACAGGTACAGGTCAGAGAGGAGAGAGGAGGAGACACAGGTACAGGTCAGAGAGGAGAGAGGAGGAGACACAGGTACAGGTCAGAGAGGAGAGAGGAGGAGACACAGGTACAGGTCAGAGAGGAGAGGGAGACACAGGTACAGGTAGAGAGGAGAGGAGGTACAGGCAGAGAGGAGAGAGGAGGAGACACAGGTACAGGTCAGAGAGGAGAGAGGAGGAGAACAGGTACAGGTCAGAGAGGAGAGAGGAGGAGACACAGGTACAGGTCAGAGAGGAGAGAGGAGGAGACACAGGTACAGGTCAGAGAGGAGAGAGGAGGAGACACAGGTACAGGTCAGAGAGGAGAGAGGAGGAGACACAGGTACAGGTCAGAGAGGAGAGAGGAGGAGACACAGGTACAGGTCAGAGAGGAGAGAGGAGGAGACACAGGTACAGGTCAGAGAGGAGAGAGGAGGAGACACAGGTACAGGTCAGAGAGGAGAGAGGAGGAGACACAGGTACAGGTCAGAGAGGAGAGAGGAGGAGACACAGGTACAGGTCAGAGAGGAGAGAGGAGGAGACACAGGTACAGGTGTCAGAGAGGAGAGAGGAGGAGACACAGGTACAGGTCAGAGAGGAGAGAGGAGGAGACACAGGTACAGGTCAGAGAGGAGAGAGGAGGAGACACAGGTACAGGTTAGAGAGGAGAGAGGAGGAGACACAGGTACAGGTCAGAGAGGAGAGAGGAGGAGACACAGGTACAGGTCAGAGAGGAGAGAGGAGGAGACACAGGTACAGGTCAGAGAGTAGAGAGGAGGAGACACAGGTACAGGTCAGAGAGGAGAGAGGAGGAGACACAGGTACAGGTTAGAGAGGAGAGAGGAGGAGACACAGGTACAGGTCAGAGAGGAGAGAGGAGGAGACACAGGTACAGGTCAGAGAGGAGAGAGGAGGAGACACAGGTACAGGTCAGAGAGGAGAGAGGAGGAGACACAGGTACAGGTCAGAGAGGAGAGAGGAGGAGACACAGGTACAGGTTAGAGAGGAGAGAGGAGGAGACACAGGTACAGGTCAGAGAGGAGAGAGGAGGAGACACAGGTACAGGTCAGAGAGGAGAGAGGAGGAGACACAGGTACAGGTTAGAGAGGAGAGAGGAGGAGACACAGGTACAGGTTAGAGAGGAGAGAGGAGGAGACACAGGTACAGGTCAGAGAGGAGAGAGGAGGAGACACAGGTACAGGTCAGAGAGGAGAGAGGAGGAGACACAGGTACAGGTCAGAGAGGAGAGAGGAGGAGACACAGGTACAGGTCAGAGAGGAGAGAGGAGGAGACACAGGTACAGGTCAGAGAGGAGAGAGGAGGAGACACAGGTACAGGTCAGAGAGGAGAGAGGAGGAGACACAGGTACAGGTCAGAGAGGAGAGAGGAGGAGACACAGGTACAGGTCAGAGAGGAGAGAGGAGGAGACACAGGTACAGGTTAGAGAGGAGAGAGGAGGAGACACAGGTACAGGTCAGAGAGGAGAGAGGAGGAGACACAGGTACAGGTTAGAGAGGAGAGAGGAGGAGACACAGGTACAGGTCAGAGAGGAGAGAGGAGGAGACACAGGTACAGGTCAGAGAGGAGAGAGGAGGAGACACAGGTACAGGTCAGAGAGGAGAGAGGAGGAGACACAGGTACAGGTTAGAGAGGAGAGAGGAGGAGACACAGGTACAGGTCAGAGAGGAGAGAGGAGGAGACACAGGTACAGGTCAGAGAGGAGAGAGGAGGAGACACAGGTACAGGTCAGAGAGGAGAGAGGAGGAGACACAGGTACAGGTCAGAGAGGAGAGAGGAGGAGACACAGGTACAGGTTAGAGAGGAGAGAGGAGGAGACACAGGTACAGGTTAGAGAGGAGAGAGGAGGAGACACAGGTACAGGTCAGAGAGGAGAGAGGAGGAGACACAGGTACAGGTCAGAGAGGAGAGAGGAGGAGACACAGGTACAGGTCAGAGAGGAGAGAGGAGGAGACACAGGTACAGGTTAGAGAGGAGAGAGGAGGAGACACAGGTACAGGTCAGAGAGGAGAGAGGAGGAGACACAGGTACAGGTTAGAGAGGAGAGAGGAGGAGACACAGGTACAGGTCAGAGAGGTGGAACTGCTTTGGTCTGGTACTTGTGGTCTGGTACCTCTGGGTCTGGTACCTGTGGGTCTGGTCCCTGTGTGTCTGGTACCTCTGGGCTTGTCTGCCCGCAGCAGCACTCGGATGAGCTCAGGGACGTCAAAGTAAGCAGCGTAGTGCAGAGCGTTCATGTTTGTCCAACGGCTCCTGAGGCTCACGTCGGCTCCGAGCGCGATGAGCCGCGAGGTGAGGCGCAGCGCGGCCCCTGGCTCCCCTGCATAACCACGGCAACCGTTACCAATCACAGTCACGGCAACCGTTACCAATCACAGTCACGGCAACCGTTACCAATCACCACCATGGCAACCGTTACCAATCACAGCCACGGCAACCGTTACCAATCAGAATCACAACCACGGCAACCGTTACCAATCACAACCAGAGCAACCGTTACCAATCACAATCACAACCACGGCAACCGTTATCAATCACAACCACGGCAACCGTTACCAATCACAACCACGGCAACCGTTACCAATCACAACCACGGCAACCGTTACCAATCACAACCACGGCAACCGTTACCAATCACAGCCACAGCAACCGTTACCAATCACAATCACAGCAACCGTTACCAATCACAGCTGAGTACCAATTAAATTTCAATTCAGATCAATTAATTTGTGTATTGATAACAGCAGTTATCACAGAGGACTTTACAAAACCGTTTGAATTCGCCAACACAGATTAGAAAATCAGTTCAAACATTAACCCCTGGGGGGGAATGATTCCCCACATTGTGGAGGGCCGGACCTGTTTCCATCTGATTACAATTTTATTTAATTTAGAGCAATATATTTGAGCGTTAGCTATTTCAGTAAAAAAAAAAAAAAAGAAAGGATCCGTATTAATGAATAATTACCACAGCACATACTGTAGTTTGCTAACCCTTAGTTAACCCTTAGTTAGCAAACTATTGGTTCCAGTTCATTTAAACAAGGGGAGACAGTATGAACTTTGTGAATAGGTAAACGTCTGAGGGCCACATAGAACTTGAACTTCACGTTGTGCCTTACACAACGTGAGGCACAGAAGGTTTGGCCTCTTGTTGGAACTGAACGACAGAAATAGAAAGATAAACAGAAACATAAACTCACCGACGCCGTGGGCCCCGGCCTTACAGCTGTAGTGCAGCAGGGTCATGTCTGTGAGTCCATCGCGGTCGTTCACGTGGCAACCACGCTTCAGGATCTAGGCACAAAAAGAATGTTCTTTAGGGAAAGTTTCACAGGACCCTGGCCGGACCCGGACACGGCCTCGGACACGGACCCGGACTCTGGCCTGGACCCTGACCCGGGCCCTGTCAGGATCCTGGCCCCTGAAAAAAGCCCGGAAAAACTATTATTTTTTTATAAACTCATGGAATATGTAACAACATCTAATCACAAAAAAAGTTTTTCGGAATATTTTCTTATATCATATCATCTCTGCAAATTTGGTTTAAGATTTGCCAAGAGAAAGGATGAAGAAAATGTATGTAAAAAACAAGATGCAGTTTTCAGATGTGTATCATTTCTCGCAGCAGTGACAAAGGAGCTGTTTACACAGAGACGCTGCAATAGCATTAAAATGGAGTTGTGTATCGGTTTGGCCTTTCATTTACACGGAGACAGTGTTTCAGGACCTCCAGAGGGAACAGAACAGAGAGACTGCAGCTGTGTGAGGAGGAAGGTGAGAATTCTTGCACGTACATTTGGACATGCGCAGTCGAACAAACGTAAACAACAATGGCGGGGGTCGACTTATGCTAGCAAACCAAACCAAACCAAACCACAACTGTAGTTTCAGTTTCCATTTTTACTGCTGCGGTTAATTGCAGAATGATGTTGGTTCTTTCCCTTCTTTGACAAAGTGATTATACTGCTGGGGGTTGTGTGTTGTGTTGTAACGTTCCACTGCCCCCTACTGGTCAGGCGCTAGTACAATATGGTTTTCTGTGGTTCTGATTGTTTTTGCTAATAGCTTTGGAGCGTCTCCGTGTGAACGAGGCCTAAAGCCCAGTTTTAGTGGAACAGTGTAAATGACTCAGGACTGACCTCGGCCCCGATGATGTCGATCTTGTGCTGCACCTGTGGAACCCACTGCCGCACGATGGCGAACAGCTCCGGGACCGTGGTCTGAGGGTCCGACAGGATCAGGGCACAGCCGGGGTCGTTAGGGTCGAAGAAGGTGAAGGCTGAACACACAGAGACACTCAATACAGCATCTGCTTGTGTTTACAGGTGTGCAGAGGTTAGCCGCGCTTCTAAGTTAATTAATACAGGTGTGACGAGGTTAGCCATGCTTCTCAGTATAGGTGTGAATAGGTTAGCCAGGATTCCAAGTACATTAATACTGGTCTGGAGAGGTTAGCCACGCTTCTAAGTATAAGTGTGAAGAGGTTAACCATGCTTCTAAGTTCACAATTACAGGTTTGGAGGTGTTAGCAATGCTTCTAAGTAAACTAATAAAGGTCTCGAGAGGTTAGCCATGCTTCTAAGTAAACTAATAAAGGTCTCGAGGGGTTAGCCATGCTTCTAAGTAAACTAATAAAGGTCTTGAGAGGTTAGCCAGACTTCTAAGTACATCCTTCAGGTCTGAAGAGATTAGCCATGCTTCTAAGTACATTGATAAAGGTTTGGAGAGGTTACCCATGCTTCTAAGTGAATAAACATAGGACTGGCTCTTACTGTAGTCTTTGGGCAGTGGGGCCAGGGCAGAGGGGTGCACTTTGGGGGAGCGTGGCTCCTGCTCCGGGTCAACAGGGGCGTACTCCGGCTCCTCAGGGTCTTGGGGTTCCTCAGGCTCCTGGGGGCCCCTGTCCTCCAGGCCTGGCTCCTCCTGCGTCTCCTCCTCCCGCTCCAGCTCGGGCTCCTCCTGTTCTACTTCATCGTCACTCCTCTGTCCCATGTCGTCTTCCTGTCTGTCTCTCACAAGCTCCTCCTCTTTTGTCATGGTTACGGACCTTAAAGGACACACTGTGTGTGAATCATGTTTAAAGGGGACATGACTAAAACATGCACATCCCACAACATTCTCACACATTCACTCATTACACTCAGCATGTGTGAAAATCAAATGCTCAAAGTACCAGTATGTTGTATTATTAAAGTGTGTTGTGCAGTATTTATGACTGACAAGTTGTTGACACTTCTTGTTCCAAAGTTGAGGCTAAGTTACCAGACGTCTTTGAAAGAGCCACAAAGCTCCTCCTGATCCATCAGATAAAACTGCCTGAATGTAGACGGACCAGAGTGGTCAGACCGGGGCCTGCACTACATTTCCCAGAATGCTGCGGCTGCAGCTGCAACGAGCTAAACTGCTGTTGTGTCCTTAGGCAAGACACTTCAGTCTGGTGTGTGTATGAATGGTTGGTGGTGGTGGGAGGGGCCAATGGCACAGACCGGTTGCCTCGCTTCTGTCAGTGGGCCCCAGGGCAGCTGTGGCTACAGTAGTTTATCACCACCGTGTTTGGAGTTAAACGTCCTGAAAAGAGCTGAATAAAACCAATCTATTGTTATTATCATTATTATTGCACTTCCATTTCCATGTTAGAGCTCCAAAGGGTCGTCTGCCGCAGCCTGAGCTCTGAGCATGAGCTGTTAGGTCTGTGTCTATAGTACCATAGACATGTGTATAGTACCATAGACATGTGTATAGTACCATAGATGTGTGTTTAGTACCATAGACATGTGTATAGTACCATAGACATGTGTATAGTACCATAGATGTGTGTTTAGTACCATAGACATGTGTATAGTACCATAGACATGTGTATAGTACCATAGACATGTGTATAGTACCATAGATGTGTGTTTAGTACCATAGACATGTGTATAGTACCATAGACATGTGTATAGTACCATAGACATGTGTATAGTACCATAGACAGGTGTATAGTACCATAGATGTGTGTATAGTACCATAGACATGTGTATAGTACCATAGACGTGTGTAGTACCATAGATGTGTGTATAGTACCATAGACATGTGTATAGTACCATAGATGTGTGTATAGTACCATAGACATGTGTATAGTACCATAGACATGTGTATAGTACCATAGACATGTGTATAGTACCATAGACATGTGTATAGTACCATAGATGTGTGTATAGTACCATAGACATGTGTATAGTACCGTAGACATGTGTATAGTACCATAGACGTGTGTAGTACCATAGATGTGTGTATAGTACCATAGACATGTGTATAGTACCATAGACATGTGTATAGTACCATAGACATGTGTATAGTACCATAGACATGTGTATAGTACCATAGATGTGTGTATAGTACCATAGACATGTGTATAGTACCATAGACATGTGTATAGTACCATAGACGTGTGTATAGTACCATAAACATGTGTGTGTAGTACCATAGATGTGTGTATAGTACCATAGATGTGTGTATAATACCATAGATGTGTGTATAGTACCATAGACATGTGTATAGTACCATAGACATGTGTATAGTACCATAGACATGTGCATAGTACCATAGACATGTGTATAGTACCTTTAGACATGTGTACAGTACCATAGACATGTGTACAGTACCATAGACATGTGTACAGTACCATAGACATGTGTACAGTACCATAGACATGTGTATAGTACCATAGACATGTGCATAGTACCATAGACATGTGTATAGTACCTTTAGACATGTGTACAGTACCATAGACATGTGTACAGTACCATAGACATGTGTACAGTACCATAGACATGTGTATAGTACCATAGACATGTGTACAGTACCATAGACATGTGTACAGTACCATAGACATGTGTACAGTACCATAGACATGTGTATAGTACCTTTAGACATGTGTATAGTACCATAGACATGTGTACAGTACCATAGACATGTGTACAGTACCATAGACATGTGTACAGTACCATAGACATGTGTACAGTACCATAGACATGTGTACAGTACCATAGACATGTGTATAGTACCATAGACATGTGTACAGTACCATAGACATGTGTATAGTACCATAGACATGTGTACAGTACCATAGACATGTGTATAGTACCATAGACATGTGTATAGTACCATAGACATGTGTACAGTACCATAGACATGTGTATAGTACCATAGACATGTGTATAGTACCATAGACATGTGTATAGTACCATAGACATGTGTATAGTACCATAGACATGTGTACAGTACCATAGACATGTGTATAGTACCATAGACATGTGTACAGTACCATAGACATGTGTATAGTACCATAGACATGTGTATAGTACCATAGACATGTGTATAGTACCATAGACATGTGTACAGTACCATAGACATGTGTACAGTACCATAGACATGTGTATATGGTGTTCCATGTGCTGCAGCATCACATGTAGATCACATCTTTGTCGGTGTGTGTCGTGAGGCTTGGTTTGTGTCTTTCCTTCTGCTCTTTCCTCAGAGACTTTTCTCTGCCTCTTCTGCTCTACTGCGGCTCCGCTTGGTTTAAAACATGAACATTCCTTAATTATGAATGATTTAAGTGTTTTCTAAAAGGTCTTTACACTGAAAAACACTGACTTCTGCACAGACTTGTAACTTAGCTTCTTCTGTGTAAAAGGAAAGTCCCACTCCTCTCTCCACAGCCACATGCTCACACCTCATTTACTGTATATAAAAGTTGGTCCCTATGTCTGTTTTGCACGTCCCTTTTAGTACCCACTACCTCTTGCACTTGTGACGCTGTACCATATTCACTGGTCCCGATAAACTTCCTGCTCTTTAGGCTGAGTCTAATCAGGACTCTTTAATATTAGATAATAGAAATTGTGTTTAAATGTTTTGTCTATGTTTGAAAACTGCTTGTTGTGCTTGAATCAATCAAACAGGACAGTTTAAAAGAAACTGTATAAATATCCAGGTAAAAACAACAACATTCAGACAAACCAACAAATGTTTGAGTGTGTTTATAGCATTAGAGCTCCCCCCTGTGGTACATGGATGTAGCTGCAGCTTCCTTTCATTGATGTATGGTTTTTGGCTGTTTTCATTACTGTTCATAGGCTCATATTTCTAGAGAAGATTTGCTTTGTGTTTCCTTTCAGCTACACACACACACACACACACACACACACACACACATGGACCTAACTCCCGTTGTGTCCACTGGCAAGACACTTCACCCACATTGTCCAGTAGGTCTCGCAAATGAACTGAATTTCAATGTGGTAAATAAAGATAAGTATTAAGATTAAGAGATCCTTTATTCGTCCCACAGTGGAGAAATTTCAGTTAAAAATGTTTTCTGAACGAGATCACATCATAGAGTTTCTCTGAGGAGATCTCAAACATGCAGTTCATGCAAGGCTGCCCAGGAATTTACAGGATTTGGAGGCTTTTGAAAAGAAGAATGGGCAGCTTTATCCTCAGAGAGAGACCAGAGAGAGACCAGAGAGACACCAGAGGAGAGACCAGAAAGAGAGAGACCAGAGAGTAAGACCGAGAGAGAAACCAGAGGAGAGACCAGAGAGAGAGAGACCAGAGAGTGAGACTAGGGAGTGAGACCAGAGAGAGAGACCAGAGACACCAGAAGAGAGACCAGAGAGACACCAGAGGAAGAGAGAGATCAGAGGAGAGACCAGAGGATGAAAGAGATCAGAGAAGAGACCAGAGGATGAGAGACACCAGAGGAGAGACCAGAGAGGATACCACAAAAGACTCCAAGCTTCATAGATGCTAAAGGGCAACACACACTGCTGATAACTGGGGGATGGAGACTTATGAGCAGGGTCAGAAGTGGAGTTTCCAGCCACATCATCATTTGACAATAAAAACATGTTTTTTTGCAATGAGTTATCATTCATAATCTCCAGAATATGGACGGACATACAGTATACTTCTGTTGTGTGTGGACTTCGGCTACGGATGCAAAACAGTCCTCATTTTGAATAATACTAAAAATCATGCTTGGTTGATTTATGTTACTGTTAGTAACGTAGATTCATCTGATAATGTGTATTTTTTTTAAAGCTGATTCTGGCACTTTTCCTTATATTTCCTCAAATACATGAATGTTGGCTCTGTCACATTTTTAGATCAGCTTTTTCAGACAGAAAAGTCAAAAAGAGAGGACCATGCTCTCAAAACAAACAGTCTGATAATGAGTCACTGTGTCACTCACATTTGTTGCTCTTGATAAATATCGGACATCTCAGATTTGACTCCTGTGCAAATTTGGGAAAATATCTCACCTTTCTGCTTTCCTAATCTGTCTTTTTTACTTCACTTTCACCTATCAAGATGCTCCTCACACAGACACACACACACACGCGCACACACACACACACACACACACACACACACACACACACACACACACAGCACCCACACAGCACGCGGGGTGACGTGTCGTGACGTAGAAAGTGACGCGCTCGCGGCCATGGCTCCGTCCCCATCAGTCTCCATTTTACAGCAAAACAAACCCCCCCAGTCCTATCCTGCGAACTGGGGACCAGGCCACCTCAGTACCGGGCCTGCACCACCCATCAGCCGCCGAGGCCAGCACCAAACCTCCCCTTCACCCTCACCCTCACCCTCCATCTCCATCCTGCGCGCCGCTGTGCCAAAGTGCGCAGTCCAGGCCTCCCAGTCTACGCCCCAGTACGCGCACTCCAGCCCGGGCTCCACGCAGCTCCATGTGTCCCCAAACCATGGATCATGTTGTAATTGTAATGAAGATTAGGGTCATAAGATAAATACCTTTGTTCAAAACGCGAAAGCATCGTTTAATTAAAGCCAATGGAAGAAGAAAGTCCAGCACAACGCCTGTTTACAAACCCAACACGAGCGTAATTCCACCTTAACAGACTGTTAAGGTGTCATTTTTTAATAATAACTTTACTATCTTTTTTTTCATTTCCCCCCGCAACCTCGACAATACATTTAGAAGCATATTTTTGTCTATTCATATTTGAAAGGGCAGTTATCGTCCGAATATTGGTACCGTAACATTCTGAATATAAAGAGATATATAGATTTGATTGTAGATAGTGGTCACTTTGACAGCACCAGAGCATTACGCACCACTGCAATCATTTCTTACGCATTTTCGATGTTTTCCTGTTTGTCCATGGTGCGTGGCGTATGTTCGTATTATTCTCTCACACGTACACGCGTCAAAACACCGCTGATCGCCCACTTCCACGCGCATTAAACACAGATAAAGACACGGTGCCGAGTGTGGGAAAGAAAAACGGAGGAATAAAGGGTAATTTGCGGTATTTACCTGAGCTCCAGTCGCAGATGCTGTAGGCGAGCTGAGTCCTGGGGATGCTGTGTGTGTGGCCGCTGCGCATGCGCAAGGAGCTGCTCCTCCCGCCTCAGCACCAGCATCACAATGGCAAGGCAAGGCAGGATTATTTGTATAGCACAGTTCATCCACAAGGCAACTCAAAGTGCTCAATAAAAGAAGATAGAAACAATATAAGGCATTAAAATAAAATAAGTACATGAAAAAGAGTGAAGTACGAGTTTTAACCTCACATTTTCTAGAGGACTGTTCCAGATTTTAGCAGCATGAATCTGAAACACTGCCTCCTCATGTTTAGTCCTGACTCTGGGACCAGCAGGAGGCCAGTCCCTGTGCTCCTCAGAGTCACGCGATGAGGCAATTAATGACCACAAAACCCCTATGTTTGAAATGAAAGATTGACTTTACACTTTAAAAAACAATCAAATCACTGTATTTAACTTTTATTGTTTAACCTAATTCCTGCTAATAATTGAACCCCATATTTGTTTTATAAATGCAGGGTTGTAACAGGTACAAACAGATAATTTCAGTTTTTTGTGTATAGGCCTGTGTCCCTTTGTGTGTCTCTGCCTTATGTAAGAAACACATGCGCCTCTTTTACATATTGTCTCTCGCTCAGCTGTGAACTCCACACGAGCCACACGTGTGACGACATGAGAGGAGCAGGGAGTCATACATCAGCTGTAATGACAAATGATATGTTTACTGTTTAAAGACCATTACACTAAGAAGCTATAGAGATTGAAGATGTACCCAGTGTAATATGGACATACTTTATTTTTTCCAAGTACAACGATGGCATTAGTTTGTACAATGGACAGGTTTTTTCTATACCCCTCACCACGGCCCACCAACACATCTACCAGAATATGACCAGATGTTCCAGTAATGAATCTACACTAATTAGTCTATGGGCCATTTGAGTAATTATCTTTAAAAGCTCATTGTTAAATCACCACTTTTAATAAGATTGTTTTGGCCATGGAACACCTGAAGGCCCGCAGGTCAAATACCGCCCAGTGTCCATACTATATACAGTACCTTGCTAACATAAACTAGCCATCAAGATACTTTGACAGTGTCATCCAGCCAACCTCAGCTCCACCAATAGTCACGCTATAACTCACTGTAAAGCTCAGAACCTCTGGAATTCAGTAGTTAACAGTATTTGTATAAACTGACATGTTTTTGTCACTTATGTCGCTGTGGTGAAAATCATAACCCATCTTAAACGTCAGAATTCGAATCCAGCAGAAATCCAGTCTGGTGAGCTAGTGGCCCTCTCTCTGAGCTAAGTACATGATCACCTTTTCTCCACTGCATAAACTGCACTAGACAATAATAAAACACACCACACTTTTGTTTTTGCTCCCTTTTTTATGGACTAAAATATTTATTAAAATTTGCTACAGAACACTTCTCAAATATTGGTCACACATCTGTTGACCGCACTTCTTTGCCGAGAGGATCATCCCTCCACATCAAGAGAGCGACCAGACAGTTCAATCTTCATTTATCGGCCATAACCCGTCTGCAAAGGCCTTTCAGATAGTTTGGGACATCACAACATCACCACTGCAGACCAGAGTAAGAACCACACCAGCCCAGGACCTCCACCATACAGCACCGTCTTCTCCGGGACGCAGACCTCCAGCACCTTCAGCTCCAAGATCATCTGAAACAGCCAGACAGCTCGTTTGGGCAGGTGCGGACAAGAGGCCCATGGTGGTGTGGGCAGGGTGTGGGCAGGTGAGGGCAGGTGTGGGCAGGTGAGGGTGAGAGGCCCATGGTGGTGTGGACAGACATATGGTACAAATATTTTATTGATGTCATTTGGATTCACAGAGATAATGTGAGAGACACTGAGGCCTGTGTCTCGTTCACCCATCTTCATCACCTCATGGATGATGAAGATGTTACAGCTGAAAACATCCCAGTCTATCACAGCTCCCACAGTTTCCTCTTTCTAACCTGCTAACCATTCAGAGACAATTCTGTCACACTTACATTCACATTTTTTATTGATAGTGTTAGAAAAATGTCTTAAATGGTTAAATAATCTCAGGCGTCTGGAGGCACAGTTTGGAGACGCTCAGAGCTCAGAGTTTGGAGAAGACGACGGTCTCAGGGCCCTTCTTCTCCATGGAGGCCTGCGCAGACTTCATCACGTCCTGGGTCTGCAGCATGCTCATGTTCCATGCAGCCTGGAGGACAGCAGAGAGTCACACACCACTTTAAACATGACGACGGACTCTTCTTGTATGTTAGGACTTTTAGGGATTAGTTAGAAAGTTTTTAATGAAGTAAAATGTCCTGACTGCCTTTAATAGTTCAGACTCTCAAACTGGAATCAGCCCAAAAGACTCCATACTTAAAGGAACAAAAAAATCTATCCGTTTTTAACTTGTTGAACAAACTTTCATTTTGGGAACGGCTCCAGTCAAATGATTGACCCAGCAGTGTGTCAATCAAATTCTCTACTTCTACCAATAAATGGGAACGTCCTCCTCGTTTAATGTTGTTCTACTTCACATTGTAAATCATAAATGTATTTTTGAAGACACAAAAGATGTAACTGAATGTAAGCGTAAAAGAGTAACTAGTCGTAAGTTAACCTATTTTTACTTATAACATATGCATTAAGTTGCATAAAAATGGGAAATTACCAAGTGCATTAGTATGTGACAGGAGTTATTAAATCTTCTCTCCAGGCTTTGTGGACGTACACGGAGCACAGAGCTGGGAACACGAGGCGATAGTCATTAGACTTAGTGTTTTTGTATCGGTCAGACTGATTCAAAGTGCAGTTTTTATACTAGTGTGGAGACTGACACAGAGCAGCTCGTCTGTTGGTAGGAACTGAGGTCTTAACAGAGGTTTGTGCTCTCCGAGTACTGTTCAGGTGAGGCCTGTGTGAACAGTTTGTACCATGTAGTGGAGGCCCTCCTGGACGCTGTGGTCGCGGGAGTACACCAGGTTCACTTTGGTCCCCTGCACGGCCACGGGACTGCGGGCCGCGATCTGTCCGGCCATCTCCAGAGCGGCCGCCATCATCGCCTCTTTGTCCACGAAGACCCGACTGCAGCCAACACAGAGTTTACACCAGTTATATTCTGTCATAGTCTGGGACGCTGTGTCCAAACAACTGCTTTAGTTCCATTTTTAAAAGAGTGGTTTGTGACACTATATATTGTTTTAAAACCGTTTTTTGCAGATTAAAGCTAAGAACCTAATCTTAGATTCGATTTTGTAGGATTAATACACTTTGTTATTAATTATAACATGATGAGTGTAGTGAAAAAGCTTATAAAAAGACATGCTAAATTATTTCTCATTGCTTTGTGTCACGATAAGTTTTGAAATATTCACAATTTTCTATGGATGACTGTACAGTGTGCCAGGCCGGCCCCAGGCCTATCCTTTTATTGTTGAAAAAAAGAAATGATCTACATTTAATTTATATTAATGTAAACAAGTAATGGATATTGCATTTTACCTTATTATGAAATATATATTTATACCTACTGTAATATAAACCTTTTTAAGTAGTTATGTGGTCAATATCGGGGCCCCAGAAGACTGTTGCCTGGGGCCCCGGGGTACCCTTGGAACGCCACTGCTGACATACGTGTTCTTACTGATCAAGGCTCAATTATTCAGACTGTCTTTTAAACACATTTAACATTCATAAGTGCAGTGGCACTTTTTAAAAAGCTTTTTAACTGTTTTATTGTTTGAATGCAAAACATGTTTTAATTTTACGTGATTTTATTGTAAAGCACTTTGGTCGCCTTGAGTGTTGTAAAGGGCTCTTTATAAAAACAAAGAATGATGAATTGATTGAAGCCTTCATCGAGTATTGACACCTGAAGCAACGTTAACGGCAAAGTTAAAGGCTGGGATGGGTCGGAGGCCGCATTTAAATGTGAATCGGGCCAGGTGTGGCTCTTGGGCCGCACTTTACCCAGGTTTGTTCATGGATCTATGCATTTGACACATGTTTTTGACCCATGGCAGTGTCCATGCAGAGGAGTGTGCCCAGTTGCCTGCAGAAGCCTCACAGTAGTTAACCATCACTGGGTACTTCCACATGAGTGAGGCTTCGCACATGTGCAGAAGCCTGGCTCTGAATCATGTCCAGACGCGGAGGGACGAAGCACTGCTGCTGGGGACTGTGTAACTCCGACAGCAGATACCCGGAGCGTCTGCCCGAGGGGACGTTCTTCATCCCGTTCCCAAAGCCTGGGAAGGTCCGCGACACGATGACGGTGTTGGAGCGGGAGCTGGCGGAGCTGCGGACCCACAAAGCAAAGCGCTGGCAGCTTTTATGTGGCCGGTCCCGGTTCCAAAGCCTGGACCAGATCACCAGGAGCACCTACATATGCTCGCTGCACTTTGTTGGTGGAAAAGGCCCCAGGTCCGACAACGACGAGCCTGTGCTAGCGACGCTGACTGAGTCTGAGCTAATCAGGAAGCAGCGTGCCGCAAAATCCGAAACATCCAAAACAAAGTCTCTCAAAGAATATTTTCAGATAAAAGTAGAAAGTGTAATGCTATTAATCAATAAAACGTTATTAGTATAAGATTTGAGGGGCCTCTGTGCCATCTCTGTGCGGAGTGAGAGACAAACATCAATTGTAAAGCACTTTGTAACTCTGGTCTGTGAAATGTGCTATAAAAATAAAGATTACTTACTTACGTAACTGCAAGAGTTTTTGTCACTTGAATTCTAACGTGATACTGTTTTTGCAGAAGCTCAAGATGAAGAAAGTACATCCTTCTCAGAGCCAATGGAGGACGACACAAAGACTGAGGAAACTGCTGAACATGATGAAGACGGTTCATCTGAGCCTGATCTTAAGGACAACATCAAGACTGAGGAAATGGAGGTGCATGTGTTCGAGAGCCGCTGTCCTGACGTGAGGACGGTCGAAACATGTGAGAAAGCAACACAAACCATCTACAGCAAGTACGAAAAGGAAAAGGCAGAAGTATCAATGGGATCGACCCAAGTGTTGTCTTGAAGAACAGGACAAAAGCCAAGTATCTTATTGGACTGTTCCCAGAGCAGTTTGAAGCTGTGTTCTCATTTCTTGGACCTGCCAAACATTGTCTCAGATATTGGGGTTCTAAGGGACAGACGACTGAGGCCAAGACGTTGGAGAAAGATAGAAGAGGCCCTTCTCGACACTTCACTCCAAAGGACGAACTTTTCCTGACCCTTTTACGGCTCAAAAGAGGATTTTCATTGAAAACCATCGCTTACATGTTTGACATTTCATTATCATCAATTGGCAAGATTTTCAATACATGGATTAATTTTATGTTCTTGCATTTTAAGTCCATGAATGTCCCTGTGTTTCCCTCAAAAGACATCATTAAAACGTCCTCCGCAGGTGAGCGCTGCAGCATTGATAACGTCAGATGTTTTGTGGACTGCATAGAGTTCTCGTGTGCGACCCCCAGAGACGGTGGGCAGCGAGGCCGTGTGTTTTCCTCTTCTAAGCAGCGCACCACCATGAAGGCTCTGCTCGCAGTCACCCCCAACGGCGCCGTGTGCTTCGTGTCTGACCTTTATGGGGGAAGTGCGAGTGATGATCACATATTTGAGAAGTGTGGGATTCTGCAGCACATCGAGCCAGGGGACGTCCTGCTGCTGGACAAAGGCTTCAGCGTCCAGGACCTGCTCCAGTCCAGACAAGCTACGGCCCAAACCCCGACCTTCCTCAGACAGAGGGCCAACCCCAAAGCAGCAGAGAAGACCACGATGAGAGTGGCTCAGGCCCGAGTGCACGTGGAGCGCTTCAGAAAGAGACTCCAAAAGTTTGCTCTTCTCGGCAGAACGATACCTCGCCATCTCTGTCCCATTGCATCGCAGGCCGTTTATGTCGGATGTTGTTTAGTCAATTTTCAGGAAAACCTAAGCATTTGACATCTCACTAAACCCTCTTTGTATTTATTTAAAAAGTAACAAAAATTGCAGTGTTAAATTTAACTTAAAACCCAAGCCATGGTCTGTCTGTCTGCACACTGAATCTACGCTGACTGGACTGTGGGCAGAGATTTGAATGAGATGACCACATATACTGATAATGTATTTGAATAAACAAAATATTGGAGAAACTGGTTGAGTTTGAAATGATAAAACATTCAAACAAAGTAACTTTCAAATGAATTTCAGCCTTAATGTGTGTCGGTAATAAAAGTGTACCGCAGTAATAATGCCACTAACAAAGTCCCCATCTAAGTGTACTTATATACAGTTGGGAAAATAAGTATTTGGCAGATGGCAACTGTGTAAGTTGTCGAAAAATGCGAGAGGTTCTTAGGTTTGGTGTTCTTTTGATTCCCCATTATACAAGACCTATTGTAGACTGAAGACTAATTTTCCCACTTTGTTTCCATTGAAGTTAGTGTTTTACTTACACTAAATATTGTTCTTTTCTAACAGCTATTCTGTTCCTACTAACGTGTGCTGCAACACTGACCTTTCCCCACCGTGATACAATGTTCTCTTATCTTAATAGACCCACCATCAGTTGACAAGAAAATTGCTGTGGATGATTGTCATGAGTGTAAAGAGGTCCACACCTGACCAGTCCACAGCCGCAGGCCTCATCAGCGTACATCTTCCGGGCGGTGAGGGCCAGCTCATTCACCAAACTGTACAGAGAACACAGAGTCAGCCTGGGGCCTCAGCCTAAGGGCCTCAGGCTGGAGCCTCAGCCTGGAGCCTCAGCCTAAGAGCCTCAGCCTGGAGCCTCAGCCTGGAGCCTCAGCCTGGAGCCTCAGCCTGGAGCCTCAGCCTAAGGGCCTCAGCCTGGAGCCTCAGCCTGGAGTCTCAGCCTGGAGCCTCAGCCTGGAGCCTCAGCCTGGAGCCTCAGCCTGGGGCCTCAGCCTGGAGCCTCAGCCTGGGGCCTCAGCCTGGGCCTCAGCCTGGGGCCTCACCCTGGGGCCTCAGCCTGGAGTCTCAGCCTAAGGGTCTCAGCCTAAGGGCCTCAGCCTGGAGCCTCAGCCTGGAACCTCAGCCTGGAGCCTCAGCCTGGAGCCTCAGCCTGGAGCCTCAGCCTGGAGCCTCAGCCTGGGGCCTCAGCCTGGGGCCTCAGCCTGGGGCCTCACCCTGGGGCCTCAGCCTGGAGCCGCATTAATTCTCTGCATTCATGGTTTCACACTGACGCAGAGAAAATTGACAGAAATAGGCAGACAGAAAAATGGAGTTCACCAGAAAAAAAACTTTGGAGAACACCGCAACTTGAATTTTCCCTTGTGACATAAATAAGTGTTTATTAATAAACAAAAAAAACACAGAATTAAGAGTAAGAGTATTAATTGTAGTGCAGCTTTGTCATTAAACATTAACCAACTTCAACCACAACAAATCTAAAGGCACAGTGTAGATGCATAGATAAAGTGCATCCAGAAAGTATTCACAGTGCTTCACTTTTTCCACATTTTGTTATGTTACAGCCTTATTCCAAAATTGATTCAATTAATTTTCACCCCATATTGACAACATGAAAAACGTTTTTTTGATATTCTTGCAAATGTATTAAAAATTAAAAAACTAAGAAACCACATGTTCACAGCCTTTTTGCTTAATACTTTGTTGATGGACCTTTGGCAGCAAATACAGCCTCAAGTATTTTTAACTATGATGCCACAAGCTTGGCACACCTGTCTTTGGGAAGTTTTGCCCATTCCTTTTTGCAGCATCTCTCAAGCTCCAAGTTGGATGGGGAGTGTCAGTGCACAGCTATTTTCAGATCTCTCCAGAGATGTTCAATTGGATTCAAGTCTGGGCCATAGACCAAAATTGTGCTCTACTGGAGCTATCCAAAATGGCCGCAAGTGGTCCCGCCCACAAGAAAGAAAATTAAACGCATCTGCGCATGCGTCAGCCGGCGAGAGCTCTATTCATTTAAACGAGTGCCTTCAAAAATTCACAGCGAGTAAACTAGACTGGTCCAAAAAAATTCACCCCCCTCAGCATTGACACACATGTGGAACGGAGCTTTGGGCCAAGAGCCAACTTTTGGTCCATCGTTTTCGAGAGGTCTGCTAATGCTATATGTTAGCATTGGCTAATTCTACTTCTGGGTCCACCCCCACAGGCCCGGGGTGGAATTGCAGCATGTCAGCGCACGTCATTTTGGCCACTTTTGAGCCTGGACCCGCCCCCACTGGTCTGGGTCAGCACTAGATCATTTTTGGAATCAGGACGGAAGCGGAAGTAAATATAACAAACTACCTATTCATGCCTAAACTTAACCAGCCATTCCCATAAAATAACCCCAACCTTAACGATCTTACTCAGACGCCTAAAACGTAACCAGTCACCACTTAAGGACTTTTTAGTCTAAAACTTATTCAAAAGTAGGATTGTTACTTCCGGTTTTGTCCCGATTCCGTTTATGATCTAGTGCCGACCCACTGGTCTGGGCTCATACTTCACTGTAGGGATGGTATTGGCTTGGTGATGAGCAGTGCCTGGTTTCCTCCAAACATGACGCCTGGCATTCACGCCAAAGAGTTCAATCTTTGTCTCATCAGACCAGAGAATTTTTTTACTCATGGTCTGAGAATCCTTCAGGTGCCTTTTGGCAAACTCCAAACCAAGGAGCGGCTTCCGTCTGGCCACTCTACCAAACAGGCCTGATTTGTGGATTGCTGCAGCGTTCCTCTCTGACAAAGTGACCATGGGGTTCTTAGTCACCTCCCTGACTAAGGCCCTTCTCCCCTGATCGCTCAGTTTAGATGGCCGGCCATAGTCCTTGTGGTTCCAAACTTCTTCCATTTACGGATGATGGAGGCCACTGTGCTCATTGGGACCTTCAAAGCAGCAGAAATGTTTCTGTGCCCTTCCCCAAACTTGTGCCTCGAGACAATCCTGTTTCGGAGGTCTACGGACAATTCCTTTGACTTGATGCTTGGTTTGTGCTCTGACATGCACTGTCAACTGTGGGACCTTATATACAGTATACAGGTGTGTGCCTTTCCAAAGCAAGTCCAATCAACTGAATGTACCACAGGTGGACTCCAATGAAGCAGTAGAAGCATCTCAAGATGATCCGTGGAAACAGGATGCACCTGAGCTCAGTCTGAGCTTCATGGCAAAGGCTGTGAATATTTATGAACATGTGATTTATTCGTTTTTTATTTTTGCAAGAATCTCAAAGAAACTTTTTTCATGTTGTAAAAAAATGAATTTAATCCATTTTGGAACATAACAAAATGTGAAAACATTGAAGCGCTGTGAATACTTTCCGGACGCACTGTATATCCAAAGTCTAAGTACATGGCATGACTAAGTACATGGCAGACATGCACATCGGCCGTCTCCAGTGCTGGTTAAAAAAAAAGCTCTAGTGAATCAAGAAAATTAAATATAATATCAACAATAAACACATTATTTTCTAAACTATGTGTGCGACATGTGCTCACCTGCGACTGCCGATGACTTTGGGAAGTCTCTGCAGAGTCCCGACGTCTGCTGCGAGGCCAATGTCCACCTCCTGAGGGACAAGCACCGTGAGCCCAGACCCCACGACCTTTCACCCTGAACTACAAAGGGCTGCGACCAGTGGGACCCACCAGACCAGAACTCGAACTGCATGACTGAGTGTTAGAGCCAGCATGAATACTTTAGTTTGGAGCATAGAGTTATAAAGGACTACGTTTTGCAATTTGTCGTTTCTACAAAGTTAAAGTTAAGAATCTATATGAAATGAAAGATGCAGTCAGTAACGCATTTATTTAAATATTGTGGGAAAACGTCCCTAAACCCTAAAAGTAGTCAAGTTATCATGTGTTTTCAAATAGTAATGGAATTGACCAGATGTCTAGTCTCCAAAAATTAATGAAACGGACCGGTAAAAATAGACCAATGGGATTCCTTCATCCACAACGAACCAATGGGATGCGTTTACCCAATTCACCTTCCCATTTCTCGCGAGAGCACCGGAGTTATCGGATTTTCTAAGACCTAAAATGGCTGAACAGAAAATGGCAATTTCACGTTTGCTCCACTCTCCCTGTTAAAAGAAAATGCTGGATGTTTGGATTGGTGGAGAGGCGAGGGGAGGGGGGAGTGGTTTCCAGTTGGTGCTACGGCTAAGCTAACAACATTGCTTTCTGCACCTTTAACTGGCGTCATTAAAAGACTCATATGTAGGTTTTCATTGTTAGACACAAGATTCTGCTGCCACCGAGTGAACAGTGCATGTGCAGGATCCACAGCTCTACTTGTCTACTCTCTACACACGTCGCACACACTACGCACTATTATGGCAACAACTTGTAAAGTGTAAAACATAAGAGTTGACTATGAGGAAAGCTGGCTAAGGCTATGGAAATCTGGAAAGTTATGTGATGTTCTTAGCAGCAGTTTATACCAGAAGGAACACATGACAGAACGGCCTCACCTTCACCTGGAACCAGGCGTCCTGAGTGCACAGGCGGATGTCACAGGCTGTGATCAGGTCCACACCTGGAACGAACACACACACACACACACACACACAGACACACACAGACACACACACACACACACACACACAGACACACACACACACACAGTCTGCCCCTGATCACCTCTGACAGGAGAGACTAAATTACAGGAAAACTGCTGCTGATGAGGAGAGGATGAGAAAAGGGAAATGCCTGCCTACAGCTTCTACATTGGTTGGTCTCAAGAAACTCATGCAAACTCATATGAATACTTTTTCAAGAATACCTGATAGTCATGAACTTTTACCAAAAGGAAGAATTAAACTTGAGCTAAATGTTGTTGTGCACGGTCCCTTTCAAATACAGACTAAACTATCCAAACCCTGCATTGTAATCTTTAGAACTGAGTAAGAATGAGGCCGTGCTTCCCACCTCCTCCCACACATGCTCCGTGGACGGCGACGATCACGGGTTTAGGACACTGAAAAACAAATGCAAAAGAAGGTTTTTTATAAGGAATATCCATCACTTGCTTTTCTAGTAAGACGGTTTACTCTTGTCAGGAATATTCAAGTCATGATATAAATGAATCTTGAATTTCTGGTTTTTACATATTAGACAAAACCACCAAACCACACTACATCATTGTTCTTCATCAAAAACACACCTGAACTTGTTTTACACTACACTATCCACGGATGAATCCTCAAAATTCTGTTTTTTTCTGTATTTTCCTCTAAACTAGTTCGGAGAATTTCTCCAATCAAACAATGTTCATTAAAACTGACATTTTGGATTTTTACTGAACAGCAGAATGTCTATAGATGGAGGCGTTATCTTTATCCATTCAATCAAAAGTATCCTTTTTCTCACGTTCTAAAACATGACAAAGTAAATATTCTCAAACTATTCTCAAAAATAACAATATTATGTTTCTAAGTCTCATCAAATTCAAACTATAAAAGCCTATGAATGGCTATGGTAAATTAATGGAAAACTAATTTGTGGAAAAGTAAACCCAGTCCCACTGCTCAGACCGCTCACCTTCTCGATGACTGTGAACGTTTCCTGGTATTTGGCGATTATTTTGCGGATGTTCCAGGAGATTCGAGCCGTGTCGTCGCCTTCTGGCTGCAGCACGTCACTGGCCATATCCATGAGGTCAATACCTGCGCAAGACGTCACAGAGACATTCACAGTCACTCACCAAAGACTGGAGGCTTCATTAGGTAGTAGCTCTGAGTAATCTCCAATCACTCTCCATCTTTCATTTTTGCAGTAATAATAATTAATGTACAAAATCATGAAAACTAAGTGAACGCTGCGGAGAAGCCTCTTGACTCACCGGCCGTGAAGAGTTTCCCTGCTCCGCTCACCACCACCACTCTGCAGTCGGGGTCATCTGCGATCTCATTGAAGCACGTCACCATCTCACTGCAAAGCACCGCTAACAAACATGACTGTATGTACTAGGGGTGGGAACCTAAGGGTACCTCACGATACGATACACGATACAAAGCTCACGATAACGATATCATCACAATATGACGATTATCGATATGTTGGTCAGAAATATACAATATGCCAATTTATGGCATAAATAAAATAACAAATACACTTTTTTTCATGATAAATGGAAGGGAGATGCGTAATGTAGCCATATATGAAGTATTGATACCAATTCTTTTTTTAAATTGCAAAAATACTTGGCAAATGCATATCGATAATCGAATCGCGGGACAAAGTATCGCACACCCCTAGTATGTACGGCTGACACCAATTCATTATTCTCAGTTTAGACCAGGGCTTTCCAGGGGTAAAACATCGAAAGAAAAACATGTTATACCCATTTTAATATTGAACTCATCGTCCATTGATCTAATTTCACCTAAAATGTATATGTGTACCCAAAATATATGTGTAAAATGTACAACATTGATCTAAGGAGAGTAATAATGCTGTAGTAATAATGCTGAATCAAGAGACCAGGTAGACCTCAGTCTCCTCAGCAGGTCCTACAGACCTCGGTCTCCTCAGCAGGTCCTACAGACCTCAGTCTCCTCAGCAGGTCCTACAGACCTCGGTCTCCTCAGCAGGTCCTACAGACCTCGGTCTCCTCAGCAGGTCCTACAGACCTCGGTCTCCTCAGCAGGTCCTACAGACCTCGGTCTCCTCAGCAGGTCCTACAGACCTCGGTCTCCTCAGCAGGTCCTACAGACCTCAGTCTCCTCAGCAGGTCCTACAGACCTCGGTCTCCTCAGCAGGTCCTACAGACCTCGGTCTCCTCAGCAGGTCCTACAGACCTCGGTCACCTCAGTCTCCTCAGCAGGTCCTACAGACCTCGGTCTTCTCAGTATGTTCTTGCTTATTCAAACTGGAGAAATTCACAAAACTATATCAGAACCAATATTATTGTTTAAAAGAGAACGGAAAAAGTTCTGTCCATGACTTTTGTCAACAAGGACGGGTTTGTGGCAGACGTCCCTGATATTAGGAACCAAAAACAACTCTGAGTCCGTTTTGGATGAAAAAAAATATGATAATGAATGGTTAAAAGCATGTGTTCTTTAATATTAAAAATGCCCAGACAAGCAAAATACAAAAGATCAAGCCGTCTCACCTCCAGAAAGCGCGGTTCATGGCATTTCGCTTCTCGGGTCGGTTCATCTCCACGTGGGTGACGCAGGCAGAGGGCTGACTGACCAGCAGAGAGCTGTAGGACGACATGGCTCTGACCGCACAGCACCTGACTGACACAACACACACTCACTGTACAGCACCTGACTGACACAACACACACTCACTGCACAGCACCTGAATGACACAACACACACTCACTGCACAGCACCTGACTAACACAACACACACTCACTGCACAGCACCTGACTGACACAACACACACTCACTGCACAGTACCTGACTGACACAACACACACTCACTGCACAGCACCTGAATGACACAACACACACTCACTGCACAGCACCTGACTGACACAACACACACTCACTGCACAGCACCTGAATGACACAACACACACTCACTGCACAGCACCTGACACAACACACACACTCACTGCACAGCACCTGACTGACACAACACACACTCACTGCACAGCACCTGACACAACACACACTCACTGCACAGCACCTGAATGACACAACACACACTCACTGCACAGCACCTGACTGACACAACACACACTCACTGCACAGCACCTGACTGACACAACACACACTCACTGCACAGCACCTGACTGACACAACACACACTCACTGCACAGCACCTGACTGACACAACACACACTCACTGCACAGCACCTGACTGACACAACACACACTCACTGCACAGCACCTGAATGACACAACACACACTCACTGCACAGCACCTGACACAACACACACTCACTGCACAGCACCTGACTGACACAACACACACTCACTGCACAGCACCTGACTGACACAACACACACTCACTGCACAGCACCTGAATGACACAACACACACTCACTGTACAGCACCTGACTGACACAACACACACTCACTGCACAGCACCTGAATGACACAACACACACTCACTGCACAGCACCTGACTGACACAACACACACTCACTGCACAGCACCTGAATGACACAACACACACTCACTGCACAGCACCTGAATGACACAACACACACTCACTGCACAGCACCTGAATGACACAACACACACTCACTGCACAGCACCTGAATGACACAACACACACTCACTGCACAGCACCTGACACAACACACACTCACTGCACAGCACCTGACTGACACAACACACACTCACTGCACAGCACCTGACTGACACAACACACACTCACTGCACAGCACCTGAATGACACAACACACACTCACTGTACAGCACCTGACTGACACAACACACACTCACTGCACAGCACCTGAATGACACAACACACACTCACTGCACAGCACCTGACTGACACAACACACACTCACTGCACAGCACCTGAATGACACAACACACACTCACTGCACAGCACCTGAATGACACAACACACACTCACTGCACAGCACCTGAATGACACAACACACACTCACTGCACAGCACCTGAATGACACAACACACACTCACTGCACAGCACCTGAATGACACAACACACACTCACTGCACAGCACCTGACACAACACACACTCACTGCACAGCACCTGACTGACACAACACACACTCACTGCACAGCACCTGACACAACACACACTCACTGCACAGCACCTGAATGACACAACACACACTCACTGCACAGCACCTGACTGACACAACACACACTCACTGCACAGCACCTGACTGACACAACACACACTCACTGCACAGCACCTGACTGACACAACACACACTCACTGCACAGCACCTGACTGACACAACACACACTCACTGCACAGCACCTGACTGACACAACACACACTCACTGCACAGCACCTGAATGACACAACACACACTCACTGCACAGCACCTGACACAACACACACTCACTGCACAGCACCTGACTGACACAACACACACTCACTGCACAGCACCTGACTGACACAACACACACTCACTGCACAGCACCTGAATGACACAACACACACTCACTGTACAGCACCTGACTGACACAACACACACTCACTGCACAGCACCTGAATGACACAACACACACTCACTGCACAGCACCTGACTGACACAACACACACTCACTGCACAGCACCTGACACAACACACACTCACTGCACAGCACCTGACACAACACACACTCACTGCACAGCACCTGAATGACACAACACACACTCACTGCACAGCACCTGACACAACACACACTCACTGCACAGCACCTGACTGACACAACACACACTCACTGCACAGCACCTGACTGACACAACACACACTCACTGCACAGCACCTGAATGACACAACACACACTCACTGTACAGCACCTGACTGACACAACACACACTCACTGCACAGCACCTGAATGACACAACACACACTCACTGCACAGCACCTGACTGACACAACACACACTCACTGCACAGCACCTGAATGACACAACACACACTCACTGCACAGCACCTGAATGACACAACACACACTCACTGCACAGCACCTGACACAACACACACTCACTGCACAGCACCTGACTGACACAACACACACTCACTGCACAGCACCTGACTGACACAACACACACTCACTGCACAGCACCTGAATGACACAACACACACTCACTGCACAGCACCTGAATGACACAACACACACTCACTGCACAGCACCTGAATGACACAACACACACTCACTGCACAGCACCTGAATGACACAACACACACTCACTGCACAGCACCTGACTGACACAACACACACTCACTGCACAGCACCTGAATGACACAACACACACTCACTGCACAGCACCTGAATGACACAACACACACTCACTGCACAGCACCTGACTGACACAACACACACTCACTGCACAGCACCTGAATGACACAACACACACTCACTGCACAGCACCTGAATGACACAACACACACTCACTGCACAGCACCTGAATGACACAACACACACTCACTGCACAGCACCTGAATGACACAACACACACTCACTGCACAGCACCTGACACAACACACACTCACTGCACAGCACCTGACTGACACAACACACACTCACTGCACAGCACCTGACTGACACAACACACACTCACTGCACAGCACCTGAATGACACAACACACACTCACTGTACAGCACCTGACTGACACAACACACACTCACTGCACAGCACCTGAATGACACAACACACACTCACTGCACAGCACCTGACTGACACAACACACACTCACTGCACAGCACCTGAATGACACAACACACACTCACTGCACAGCACCTGAATGACACAACACACACTCACTGCACAGCACCTGAATGACACAACACACACTCACTGCACAGCACCTGAATGACACAACACACACTCACTGCACAGCACCTGAATGACACAACACACACTCACTGCACAGCACCTGACACAACACACACTCACTGCACAGCACCTGACTGACACAACACACACTCACTGCACAGCACCTGACACAACACACACTCACTGCACAGCACCTGAATGACACAACACACACTCACTGCACAGCACCTGACTGACACAACACACACTCACTGCACAGCACCTGACTGACACAACACACACTCACTGCACAGCACCTGACTGACACAACACACACTCACTGCACAGCACCTGACTGACACAACACACACTCACTGCACAGCACCTGACTGACACAACACACACTCACTGCACAGCACCTGAATGACACAACACACACTCACTGCACAGCACCTGACACAACACACACTCACTGCACAGCACCTGACTGACACAACACACACTCACTGCACAGCACCTGACTGACACAACACACACTCACTGCACAGCACCTGAATGACACAACACACACTCACTGTACAGCACCTGACTGACACAACACACACTCACTGCACAGCACCTGAATGACACAACACACACTCACTGCACAGCACCTGACTGACACAACACACACTCACTGCACAGCACCTGACACAACACACACTCACTGCACAGCACCTGACACAACACACACTCACTGCACAGCACCTGAATGACACAACACACACTCACTGCACAGCACCTGACACAACACACACTCACTGCACAGCACCTGACTGACACAACACACACTCACTGCACAGCACCTGACTGACACAACACACACTCACTGCACAGCACCTGAATGACACAACACACACTCACTGTACAGCACCTGACTGACACAACACACACTCACTGCACAGCACCTGAATGACACAACACACACTCACTGCACAGCACCTGACTGACACAACACACACTCACTGCACAGCACCTGAATGACACAACACACACTCACTGCACAGCACCTGAATGACACAACACACACTCACTGCACAGCACCTGACACAACACACACTCACTGCACAGCACCTGACTGACACAACACACACTCACTGCACAGCACCTGACTGACACAACACACACTCACTGCACAGCACCTGAATGACACAACACACACTCACTGCACAGCACCTGAATGACACAACACACACTCACTGCACAGCACCTGAATGACACAACACACACTCACTGCACAGCACCTGAATGACACAACACACACTCACTGCACAGCACCTGACTGACACAACACACACTCACTGCACAGCACCTGAATGACACAACACACACTCACTGCACAGCACCTGAATGACACAACACACACTCACTGTACAGCACCTGACTGACACAACACACACTCACTGTACAGCACCTGAATGACACAACACACACTCACTGCACAGCACCTGACTGACACAACACACACTCACTGTACAGCACCTGAATGACACAACACACACTCACTGTACAGCACCTGAATGACACAACACACACTCACTGTACAGCACCTGAATGACACAACACACACTCACTGCACAGCACCTGAATGACACAACACACACTCACTGCACAGCACCTGACTGACACAACACACACTCACTGTACAGCACCTGAATGACACAACACACACTCACTGTACAGCACCTGACTGACACAACACACACTCACTGTACAGCACCTGAATGACACAACACACACTCACTGTACAGCACCTGAATGACACAACACACACTCACTGCACAGGACCTGAATGACACAACACACACTCACTGCACAGCACCTGACTGACACAACACACACTCACTGTACAGCACCTGAATGACACAACACACACTCACTGTACAGCACCTGACTGACACAACACACACTCACTGTACAGCACCTGAATGACACAACACACACTCACTGTACAGCACCTGAATGACACAACACACACTCACTGTACAGCACATCAGATTAAATTTGATTCGATTTAAAAGTCTGAGGTGCATTAAATAGGATTATCATTGTCTGAAACTTATTCAAGTATCGTAATCTTGAATAAGTGAGGATGGTTGGAAGTTTATAAGGATCTGCTCTATCCAAGCCCTGTTCAAAACATTCACATCGGTATATTCTTGAGGGTTTGATTTAGTTGAACATGTTCTGAAATAAACATATTGAGTCATAAAGGAGTATATATTATTATTGTAGCAACACAGCACTAGAACAGAATCACACATCCCACAAACATAGAACACACAGTTGGTGAAGAACTTTGCCCAAAGACACAAGCACAGGACTGTGTGACTTTGGATGAGTCTTAAAGTGACAGCTCCTGCAGGACTGTCCGCACGGATCATCAAACTCACTTTATATACGAACTTATTATTAAGGCAGTTCTATTCGGAGGATCCAGGACGTGTGGATCACTGACCTGTGCTGACCGCAGACCGGGCTGAGGGCCACATGAGGCTGTGAGGAGGGGCTCAGAGAGCGGGGCAGAGGTACGGGGCACTGGGGCAGAGGTGACTGTGGCTCCGCGTGTGGTTCGCCCCTGGTTCGCCCCTGGTTCGCCCCTGGTTCGCCTCTGGTTCGCCTCTGGTTCGCCTCTGGTTCGCCTCTGGTTCGCCTCTGGTTCGCCTCTGGTTCGCCTCTGGTTCGCCCCTGGTTCGCCCCTGGTTCGCCCCTGGTTCGCCCCTGGTTCGCCCCTGGTTCGCCTCTGGTTCGCCTCTGGTTCGCCTCTGGTTCGCCTCTGGTTCGCCTCTGGTTCGCCTCTGGTTCGCCTCTGGTTCGCCTCTGGTTCGCCTCTGGTTCGCCTCTGGTTCGCCTCTGGTTCGCCTCTGGTTCGCCTCTGGTTCGCCTCTGGTTCGCCCCTGGTTCGCCCCTGGTTCGCCTCTGGTTCGCCTCTGGTTCGCCTCTGGTTCGCCTCTGGTTCGCCTCTGGTTCGCCTCTGGTTCGCCTCTGGTTCGCCTCTGGTTCGCCTCTGGTTCGCCTCTGGTTCGCCTCTGGTTCGCCTCTGGTTCGCCTCTGGTTCGCCCCTGGTTCGCCTCTGGTTCGCCTCTGGTTCGCCTCTGGTTCGCCTCTGGTTCGCCTCTGGTTCGCCTCTGGTTCGCCTCTGGTTCGCCTCTGGTTCGCCTCTGGTTCGCCTCTGGTTCGCCTCTGGTTCGCCTCTGGTTCGCCTCTGGTTCGCCTCTGGTTCGCCTCTGGTTCGCCTCTGGTTCGCCTCTCTCTGGTTCGCCTCTGGTTCGCCTCTGGTTCGCCTCTGGTTCGCCTCTGGTTCGCCTCTGGTTCGCCTCTGGTTCGCCTCTGGTTCGCCCCTGGTTCGCCCTGGTTCGCCTCTGGTTCGCCTCTGGTTCGCCTCTGGTTCGCCTCTGGTTCGCCTCTGGTTCGCCTCTGGTTCGCCTCTGGTTCGCCTCTGGTTCGCCTCTGGTTCGCCTCTGGTTCGCCTCTGGTTTCGCCTCTGGTTCGCCTCTGGTTCGCCTCTGGTTCGCCTCTGGTTCGCCTCTGGTTCGCCTCTGGTTCGCCTCTGGTTCGCCTCTGTTCGCCTCTGGTTCGCCTCTGGTTCGCCTCTGGTTCGCCTCTGGTTCGCCTCTGGTTCGCCTCTGGGTTCGCCTCTGGTTCGCCTCTGGTTCGCCTCTGGTTCGCCTCTGGTTCGCCTCTGTGTCTGGTTCGCCCCTGGTTCGCACCTGGTTCGCCTCTGGTTCGCCTCTGGTTCGCCCCTGGTTCGCCCCTGGTTCGCCTCTGGTTCGCCCCTGGTTCGCACCTGGTTCGCCTCTGGTTCGCCTCTGGTTCGCCCCTGGTTCGCACCTGGTTCGCCTCTGGTTCGCGTGTATTCTGCGTGTGACGTGCTGCCAAACTGTACTTAAATGGCCTTCTGGGTGCAGTCCGTTTGCCAGAGCTTCAAAGAGGCTCAGAATCAAGCGAAGCAGTTAGCTACACGTTAGCATATTAGCTTCATGTTAGCTTCACGTTAGCATGATATTAGCTTCACGTTAGCATGATATTAGCTTCAGTGTCACTCCCGTATTCGTCCCGGAAACCGGATTCGTCCGGAAGTTCAGTTTGATCCAATGAGCATACGCAGCAGTAGATTACGTCACGGAATCTGGACGGAAGCGGAAGTAAATATAAAAAACTACCTATTCATGCCTAAACTTAACCAGCCATTCCCATAAAATAACCCCAACCCAGCCTTAACCCTAAACTTAACCATCTTAATCAGACGCCTAAACTTAACCAGTCACCACTTAAGGACATATTAAACTTTTTGACATGCGCAAACTGAACTTCCGGACGAATCCGGTTTCCGTAACACAGGAGCCCGTTCTGCGGTCCAACAGCGCCATCGTGTGCTTTGGAGCGGTACTCATGTGCTTGCTCGTTGGAGTAATAAATGATTATTATTCATTCAGGCCCTGACTATTCCAGTTGTACATTCATAATAATTATAATAATAATAATAATGTATCGGCCATAAATAGAGCTTTTTTGTACACTTAAAACTCATGGCATATTTCTTTCACTCCAGACACGGTTAGCTAAGCTGCCCCGGGACTGACAGAAGCAAGGCAACAGTATTATAATTATAATAATAACCTAAATATGTCACAAACTACTGAAGTAGAAATAACCAAAATCAGTAGTTGCCAATCCCAATAACAATCTTTTGGAGTGCCACCTCTGCATACAGTGCCTTGCGAAAGTATTCGCCCCCCTTGAACCTTTCAACATTTCGCCACATTTCAGGCTTCAAACATAAATATGTAACATTTTATTTTTTTGTCATGAATCAACAAGTGGGACACAATCGTGAAGTGGAGCGAAATTTATTGGATAATTTAAACTTTTTTAACAAATAAAAAACGAAAAATGAAGCGCATGTTGTCTGATTGCCTGTAATACAGTTTTTATCAGTCGCTTTGGTGCATTTTTCACATCACTCTTCACATTTGCACAACAGTTTGTGCATTTATCAGAACAATTAGTTCAAACTGCAAAACCTCTTGGATAACCTGCAAAAGTGCGTCACTTATGGGCCTCATTCACGAACGGTTCTTAGGAACAGATTTACGTAAATCCTACTTACGCGGCTTTTACGAAGAAAGTGGCATTCACGAATATTTCTCGTAACCAGAATTTCTCTTGGGCAAGTACAAATCCTACGAGTCCTCAGGAGCACTCGTACGCATTCAGTGCCGACATGTTCACACGCCGGGGTTGTCCTCTTTGGTGAAGTTGAATAAAAATACAACATTCCAGTGATATGTCCGTCATATCGATGTATGTATTTATTTATTTGTAGTAATCTTTATTAGTAATCTTTATTTATATACCGCCTTTTTCACTGCAGATCTGGCCTACTTTTTAATTCATTTTGAAATGAAATGTGCCAACGCTTTATCAAATACATTGGAAATCTTGCCGTGTATTAGTGACCCCTTCCTATTTATAGGGGGCATTTCTTTATCCACGGGCCACAGAACAACGGCATATATACTGCTGCTGCAGGAGGTTACTGGGTCCGCGCTGAGTCTCTGCGCTGGTCTCTCCTATGGATCTATACGGGTCTGCACTGGTCTCTCCCATGGATCTATACGGGTCTGCACTGGTCTCTCCCATGGATCTAGACGGGTCTGCACTGGTCTCTCCCATGGATCTATACGGGTCTGCACTGGTCTCTCCCATATACGGGTCTGCACTGGTCTCTGCCATGGCTCGGGTCTGCACTGGTCTCTCTCCATACGGGTCCGTGCTGCATGCTCCTGGATCCATACGGGTCCGCGCTGGTCTCTCAAGTCTGGTCTATGCGGTCTATCTTCGGTCCGCGCTGGTCTCTGCGCACCGGTCTCTCCAGTCAGGTCACTCCAGTCTATGCGGTCTCTCCTATAGGTCCGCGCTGGTTTCTGTGTGCTGGTCACTCCAGTCTCTCCTCGGGTCTGCATTGGTCTCAGCGCTGGTCCGCGCTGGATCTCCTCCCAGGGTCCAAAATATTTTGAGATTAATCTCAAAACATTTTGAGATTCATCTTTAAAATAATACATAATATATTTTTAAATTAAGCTCATAACATTTTGAGATTAATCTCATCATATTCTTAGATTAATCTCATAATTTTGCTAGTTCGACTTTATTATCATAATATTTCGACTTTTAAGTCAACATTTTATAACTTTATTCTCAGTCTGGTAAAAGAAGAAAAAAGGGTGACTATTTTGCTTCGTGTAACTCTGCTTTAGGCCTGTTGCTGTTTCCTCTGGCGTCTGCACACGGCCCTGCAGTCCCTTATATGGGCATTAGTGGGCGGTTACTTATGCTAAGTACCTATGGTAATGAAGCACCTGGCACGCGCGCTGTACTTACGAGGAAATGGGATTCATCAATCTGAGAGAACAGCTGCGAACAATTCAGCGGCTTACGAGTGCGTTGATGAATCCCACGTGGGGACTTCTTAGAAATCTACTTAAGGACAACTTGAGAAGAAAGTTGAGTAGTTTCTTACGAAGTTATTCGTGAATGAGGCCCATGAACAACAGTCAAATGACTTAGTCACGTTTTCATTGTGAAAGTTTACTCTCTCTGTGTTTTCAATGTAAAAAAGTCAGATCTGGGTGACACTTGAGCACGACTATGCACACTATACACGACCTGTGCAGCCATTTACAGTAAAAACTACAGTAAAGTTACACAAAGACTATATATGTATGTATGGTATGCACTGTATGTGTGTACTGTATGTATGTATGTCTGTGTACTGTATGAATGTTTACTCCATGTCTTTCACATATTTACTGCTCTTTGCAATTCTACAGCATTGTGCAACAAAAATACAGTCACCTACATGTATTTCCGTAGAACAAACCATCAGAATATCATTATGGTAGAACTGTGGCAAATGTAAACAATAAAACACACACCTCGTCACGAGTGAATCTGAAATTTATCTGAGAGACATTGTTCAATTTAGGAAAGATTTACAGGAAAAAAAAGATAAAGGAATGTAGGATTTTGAACTAGTTCAGCAATGACGACCAAAGCGATGAAATGAGGGCTTTTGGTTTCATAGAGAAAGACTATTCAGAAGTCATAAGTATGTTTCATTTTGACTGACTGGACAGAAGCAAATTATAATGTTATAAAACAACAGAGAATTGTATGAAAGTAACTGATACATGAACAAAAGCATTTGTAAAGTGTTCAGAGGAGAAACTGCTGCGATGACGTCACATGACTCTGTGTTGTGTGGTTGAACTAATAGTTTTGAGAACATTAAGTCTGAGAAATGCTCCAAAGCGACTGAGAAAAACTGTAAAGCACACATGCATGTTTGCTCTTGTAAGTGTTTTGGGGAGAACCATTTCGAACTTATTTTCTTCAAAAAGAATAAAACTATACTAGCTATATCTAACACTTTCAACTTATCCAAAACATGATACATTTAAGTTTACCAAAGACACAATGTATCAGGCACAAGTGCCAGGGTTTATGACAGAGGGTGAGAGACTTCCTCTTCCTCCGGCCACAGCTCAGGGTTTGAGCACACTGTGTCATGAGGCTGGTCCTTGCTTCATAATGACCACAAAGACTGTGTAGGATTGGCTTCTGTTTGCTTCTCATAGTTTGGAAGTGTTGGTTAAAATGTGATTATTACTTTCATTAAACAACCTTATTTTGTTCGTCGCTAGTTCCAGAACAGATGCTGCTTCTGTTTTAACTTACAGTGACATCACTCGTCCTTCTTTCGTCCTACTGACCTGTAGTTTCTGTTTTAATGTCTTCAAAAAGACTTAAAGCAATGAAGTGGCGATAAAATATGTAAAAGCAAGTTTTGACCGAGCTTTAATGAGCCCAAAACTTAAACATGGTTTTAAAGGTGCGTTGCCACTGAATAGCAGTACCAGAGATCTCTTTAATAGAACTTTAAGGATCATTAGTGATATGTAAAACTATATCCATGTCTGTGTGACCTGATCCAGGCCTCACATAAAGCAGTTCACTTCTTGATTGTTGCTTTTGCTTCTGAAGTGATTTAGAATGTGTTCTAAGGTTTAGCTTGTGTCATACTTCACTGCAAAAGCGGTAACGCAATGACAAAATCCTCGAAAGTGGAAGATCTCAGATCTTTCAAGCCTCAGATAGTGAGTATTGCACAAAAAGATGTTGAGGAGTTTTCAATGTGAGTTACTAGAAGCCAGAGTTGGAACAAAACTTTTTCACTTCCCTGTTGAGCTTCATTGAGCTAAAGAAGTCCATCTATCGTCTATGCCTCACAGAAAGGTGGATTTTACTTTTTACCTTCTCCTCTGAGGGATTTACAGTATAACATTCAAAATCTAAGGACATAGAATACCATCAAACTCAAACCAACGAGTCCGGCCGCAGAGTCGACCGTCACAAAAAACAGTTTTTATGGAGGATGTACTGCTTCACAAAGTTTTAGTGATAAACGATTACATTGAAACTACTACTTGCCATTGACTAGAGCATGGATAATCTAATTAACCCTTTGTGCGCAAATGTAATCTTTTTACAAAAGTTTTGAAACCTTATTGCATACAGAACTTAGTCCACACCAGTGGGGGCGGGTCCCGGCTCAAAAATGTCCACGAACACGTGCTTGCAATGATGGGGGTGTACCCAGAAAGAGAATTATTCAATGCTGTTGTATGGCGTCTTCTGACCTCTCGAAAATGGTTTTACAGGATGGTCCAGAAGTCGGCTCTTGGTCCAAAGCTACGTTCTAGATGTGTCTCAATTTTTTGAGTCAGCCATTTTGAAACTGGCCACAGACAGCGAAAGTGATGGCACGTTAGTTTCAACGACGACGATAGGCGTGACTGCGTCCGTTAATATTAATAGTCTATGATCCACACAAAGTCCAATCACCTGAGACCGGTGTAATGTTCCCAGGCCTGCAAGGGGCGCTGTGACAAAACACACAAGGCTAGTCTCTGGAAGGATTCCAACCGAAGGAAGGCTTTGAGCTGAGCAGAACAGGGCGCTTGGTTCTACAGGAGAAACATTAGGAGTAGCAAGTCTGAGAGAAGGGAGATCATGTCTGACATCTCTGATAGCTCTGATACTTCGGGAGAGGGAATAACTGCCATTGACAAGGCAGAATCATATGTGAAGAGGTTCAAGGCACATGTGGACAAAGCGCTGAAGATCAATTCTAAGCTTAATGAGTCCAAGTATCAAAATGAGGCGGAGCTTCGTATCAAACACCAGAAAGTGTCCAACCTGCTTTCAGCTGTGGACGGTTTCAAAGAAGAGAACCGGCTTCTGAGGCAGAAGAATGAGAGGTGTTTTTTGCAGCTCAAGGACTTAGAAAGGGATTTCTGTGACATCAAGTCAAAACTTGAAACAACAGAGACCAAATTAGCGTCCAAAGAAGTTAAATTCCAGTCTTTAAAAGAGGAATGTTTTAGGCTCGTCTCAAATAATGACAGACTTATAAAAGAAAACCATAGCCAAAAAGCAGATATGAAAAAGATGTCAGTCCTACTGTCTGAGGCTGAAGACATGACCGAGACCATCAAACATCTGAAGGAAACCTATGCGGACCATGAACAGGCCCAAAACACTCTCTCTGAAAGAAACCATCTGTTGACAAAGGTGGTGGAGGAACTGAAGAATGATAATAACTTTCTTCAGGACAAGATGGAGCAGATTATAAAAGAAGCTTGTGATTATAAGACTAGCTTAGAGACAACAGAATCTCAAGAAGCTAGATTCCAATCTTTACTCTTGGAAAAGGGTGAACAATGTGTGAGGCTGGTCTCTGAAAATGATCAACTTTTGAAAGACAATATTGGCCAACGATATGAAATCAAAAGACTTAGAGGTTTACTGTCAGCTGCAAAGTCTGAGGCCAAAGACAAGGAGGACATTATTTCAGACCTGGAAAAGGAATTAGATTGTTGTAAGGAAGAAAAGGAGGAGATCAGAAAAGAGGCCAGTGCTTGTAGAGACAGTTTTGAGAAGGTAAAGGTCCAACTGTTAGCTGCAGAAGAGGCTGTTGATTGTTTAGAAGCAAAGATAAATGGGCTTGAGGAAGAAAAACAGGTTCTGAGAGACCAGAGCTACTTTCTCACTGAAGAAGTGTCTGAACTGAAATCTGCAAAAGCAACTCTTGAGCATAGAATAGAGAAGGAACAACACACTTTCCAACAACAACACAGTCAAATTAAGAAGCAACAGATGCAGATTTTTAAAGGAGAGGATTTAGTCCAAGATCTACAATGCCAACTGCAGGTCCACGAAAGTACAATTGTGGATCTTCAGAATCAGAAACAAGCCATCAATAAGGAACTTAATCAGATAAAATCAGAGTTTACAGATTTTAAAGATCAACTGGATGAAGCCGATTTAAATCTCAGTCAAAATCAGGATTATTGGCAAAGAAAACATGATTCTCTTCAAGACACTTACAATAAGATAACATTAGAAGTTACTCAGCTCAAGCGTCAAATGGAAGAGGCACAAATACTTCTCTATGAAAGAGAAGAAGTGATAGAGGAGAACAAAGTGAGCATAAGTGAATTGGAGAAAGAGGTAAAGGATCTTTACACACATCTGAACGAACGCAGGGATAGACTTAAGGAGCTACAACAACAAATAGCAAAGAAGAGAGAAGAAGAGTTGCTTCCAAACCTTGCAGAAGAGTTTTCAGCTGCAGAAGAAGTAGATCTAAGTTCAAACATGACTTTGGAAATAACACAACTGCTGGCAACTGTTGAAAATCTCCAAAACAATCTGAAATCATTAACGGGCCAAACTAGCCTTCTCTCAGATGAGGTGTTGGAACTGAAGCAGGGACTATGTCAGCTCCGAGCCAAGAACTGTTCAGACACGGAGACCATTGACACACTTAAATCCCAAATAGAAAGTCTTCAGTGTAAATATGAAGCAGCAAAGACTGAAATCACAGTCAAAGATCAGAAACTCAAAGAAGTAAGTAAGTATGTTTTTATTTATATACCACCTTTTCACTGCAGATCTGAGTCTCAAAGCGGTTTACAATTGTTAATTTTGGGCATTTGTCTCTCACTCCACACAGAGATTGGAGCAGGGCCAGTACAGGAGGCGCATGCCAGAACTATTGGACATATTTTTAGTGGTAGGGGAAACCGGAGTACCCGGAGGAAACCTACGCATACACGGGGAGAACATGCAAACTCCACTCAGAAAGGCCCTGGTCCGACCGGGATTCGAACCCAGGACTTTCTTGCTGAGAGGCGAGAGTGCTATCCACTCAGCCACCATGCCGCCCTCAAGAACACTTTGATCCAGAGGAATGGGGAGACCCGGAAAAGCAAGAGTTTTGGGAAAGCTGGTCAGAACTGCCTGATGCTGACTCAGGAAATGAAGGAGTCATCGCCGAGCAAGCTTTGGACGATGAAACTCTCTCAGTCGAGGGTGTCTCCGCTCCGGGAAGCACATTTGTTCGTGTTGTCAAGTCTGTAGTTAAAAAATGCATGTATGCTGGAACATGTGCACTAGCTGCTTACTTGGGTTACACTTACATCCTTTATGGCAGTGGATATGCACTGCGACCTTACGACTAAATCCATCCATCCATTTTTTCCCCTGAATCCATTTCCAGGTTGGGGGGGGGGACTTTTCCTCCAGGGCAGGTGTGGCAGTGTTGCCTTCTTGTGTCGTCACATCTGTCGATGACCAACATGACCATGTCCTTGACCACAACATCTACACCTGCTTCTGATGACCTGCATAGAGGACCCTTTAGTATCTCTTGGACTATGGAATATTATAGAATACTATAATAGCTCATAGTCCAAAGGGCCTGCAACAACAACAGTGCAGAGTTAGTACCGTCATACTGTATTAGCAAAGCACTCTGGGTAGGAATGCTGAAGCCTTTCTTAAATCGTTTGTTTACAGGACCACTTTTTTAAACTATTGTGGTCCAAATGTGCCTTGTTTGACTGAATATGAGAAAAATAAATAAATAAAAGTTAATAATAGACAATTTGGTTTGGGGTCATTCAACTTCTCGGGTGTCGCTGCATTAACGTAAATGAAAAAACAAGGTTCCACATTTGTGTGGAGTTGTTGAAGTGTTTTTGCAATGTTGCATAAAGCAGCTAATCTCTATTCTACTGTGATTTTCTCATCCTCAGTTCTCATCTACTCCTGTCCTCATGAGAGCATTCAGCTGCAGTCTGTTCACTGCTATTCACCCGTTGTCCCATTGTCTGTTTCATGACGCGATGATTGGGCCCCTGAATCTGTAAACCGGTTACAGGAGGGTCTGAGGACAGGGTTTGAACAGGACACGAATGAAGTAAGTAATCTTTATTTATATACCGCCTTTCACAAACCAGAGTCACAAAGCGGTTTACAGTTGTTATTTTTTGGGCATTTGTCTCTCACTCCACACAGAGATGGGAGCGGGGCCACCAGTACAGGAGGCGCATGCCAGACCTATTGTACATGTTTTTAGTGGTAGTGGAAACCGGAGTACCCGGAGGAAACCTTCACAGACACGGGGATAACATGCAAACTTCACTCAGAAAGGCCCTGTTCCGACCGGGAATCGAACCCAGGACCTTCTTACTGCCTTCGTGCCGCCCGAACATTGAATGGTAAACCCACCTCAATTTATGTTAATTTTTAACAAACATAAACATACACACAAACCCAGACGACAAAGAAACAAATATAGGAAACAATCTGTACATAACACAACATGAACTTAATACTGTCCAGTGTTGGTCTACAGAGTTCTAAACAGCAACGTCCAAAACCGTCATGATCCTGTTCCTGTCTGGGCTTTTGGCGGCTGGGCTAATCACTCATGTGTTTAATTATTGAATTTCCTTGTGTTCAAATCTGCTCTTGTTGAATAGGCTCTTTTGAAAACAAACACATGGGACACCACCGGCTGAAACTCTTCAGCCTTTATTAACAAAGCAAAGTCAAGTGAAATGTTGTTCTTATCTTATTGCATTATTTTGACCAAACTAGAGAGAGAGAACCACCTGCAGCCACTGGGGACGACACAGGACCCAGAGGAGAGAGGAGGCCCCAGAGGAGCCAGTCCCCCGCAGCCACAGCAGACCACTGTTCCCAGTGCAGAGTGCCCCTAGAGGAACCACTGGGGATACAAAAACAATAATAAAGTAAAACATTAAAATGTGAGACTAAAAGTCTAAAAATATCACAATACATATTAATGATAGAAACAACCATAATAAATAATAGTAATCTAAACATTTGATTGCAATTTATATATATTAACCAAAAGCTAATTTAAAAAGGTGTGTCATGAGCCTGCTTTTAAAAATATGAATGTTCTCTGCGGCTCTGAGCTCAAATACAGGAGACAATGTTCCCCACAGGGATACATAAAGTGCACATTTACATGTATATATATATATATATATATATATATATATATATATATATATATATATATATATATATATATATATATATATATATATATATATATATTGAAAGCCAATAATTCCCTTTGGCTGGCGTGTCCACAATTTGGTACAGAAATCAGACGAAGATATCCAAGTTTAACATCTGCATTTAATTATCTTTACAATCAGATACAGAATATTCAACAAAAAGGTGCTCCTAACTAATATGTCCCTCTCCTGGCCCTCGGCTGATTTCTCTCGTCTCTTCCCAAGCCAGAGCATTATGTTCAGGGAGCAGGGGGCGTGTCGTATCAGGGAGGTCCTGTGCCCAGGGTCCGATGACGTCACAGGTCTGAAACTGGTCTCTGGTCTGAGACTGGTCTGGTCTCTGCTTAAGCAAACAATGCCCCCACCCGTGCGGCGCCTGTGTAAACGCAGCTGCTGCGGGAGGGGGCTGCGGGGGATCCATAGGTCAAATTTGCCACACATGTGTTTATTCTGGGAGTCAATAATTGTCTGGCTTTTGTAAGCTGGTCCTCCTTTATGATTCTCGTACTTCTTGTGTCCTTGGGGTTTTTCCTGAGTGCACAGAGGTCTTTTTTTGGCTATGATGTTCAAATGGTCAAATATTGTCACATCTGAATAGTGTAGATTTAAAATATACAACAATATATATATTCTGGCACATTCAGTACGGAGCGCTGTACCTATTTTATGTATTATATAATAAACCTGTTGTTTGTCCTGAGCATAGACTGTATATATTAAGGTCCTAATAGTCCTGAGTCGACCTTTCCCGGAGCACACGGAGGCGGAAGTGCAGCTGTCTCACCGGAAGCTGCTCTTATTCTGAAAGATGTTATTGTTCCGTGTGTTCACGGCGCGGACATTCATCTGACCACTTTCACTTTCATCAGCTCCACACGGACTAGAGCCAGACTCAACTTTAACTCAGTCCCAGACCCCAGACCCCAGGTCCCAGGTCCCAGATCCGCGCTCCTCGGTAAGTCCACACGACAACACGCTGAAAGAGAAGTTCTGAGCCTCATCCTCCAGAGTGAGAGAGTGAATATACAAATATACTGGTTTATCCAGGTTCACCCAGGTTCACCCAGGTTTACCCAGGTTTAGCCAGGCTGGGGTCACTCACGATCTCTGTCACACAGACCCAGGACTGTGAGTGAGGAAAGTGTCTGTGTTATTATGAACTCACGGATTACACAATCTATTAATAAATAACAATCATTCGGTTCTAAAAACTAAAATGACTCACTTCTTGTGTCATGATTTATTCACACACATAAAAGTACCCATGAACTACTGCTGTTGCCACAGCTGCCCTGGGGCACACTGACAGAAAGGAGGCAAACAGTCTGCCATCGACCCCCACAAACCATTCACACACATTCCCAGAATGTAATATGTTTTTCTGTTTGGTAACATGTGTTATGTATGAATTATGTACCTCAGCCGTTCAATTGAAAAGTGTAGATTTCTGGTAGAGAACTTGTGTTGCTGTTGTTGGTGTGTCTCCATGACATGTTGTGTATCGTGTTGTGGTCGTCAGCTGTGGTCTGGGTCCAGCTCAGACGTGTCTGACCCTGTCCAGACTCCACACATTCCCCTGTGCAGCTGTGATCTGGAAATACCCAGTGCCCTCTCTGCACTCGTCTTCTTAGAGAAGGGTTTTACTTCTTCATAATATGTGTTACACTTGTTCCCTTCTCCCCCGAGCCAGGACTCTCCTGAATGAGAGACTCTGATTGACCTTGTACCTTTGTTTAGATTAATCTTGATAACCAATGAATACAACCTCGATTTAAATCATTTATTTTGTATGAAAATGTAATTTGGAAGTAAAACTAAATTATGATAACCCCATATTCAATAATGTTACAAAAACACAGCGACAAATACTACTACTTTTATCAGCATTAGATGTTAAGGTTTTCAAATGTCAAATGTCATGTCATTTTTTTGTCATTTTCTTCCCCTTTTATAAATCAATTTCTGGGGTGGTATTCAGAGCTGATCCTCCTGCAGGTGGTGGGTCCACGGGAAGATGGCTTCTCCTTCATTGGAGACATTGGCTTTGGTCTTTCAGGGGAGGAGGAGAGGGGGGGGGGGAGCTGAGGAGGAGAGGAGAACCGAGGAGGAGAGGGGAGAGCCGAGGAGGAGAACTGAGGAGGAGAGAGCTGAGGAGGAGAGAGCTGAGGAGGAGAGAGCTGAGGAGGAGAGGAGAACCGAGGAGGAGAGGGGAGAGCCGAGGAGGAGAGCTGAGGAGGAGAGAGCTGAGGAGGAGAGGAGAACCGAGGAGGAGAGGAGAGAGCCGAAGAGGAGAACCGAGGAGGAGAGAGGAGAGGGAAGGGGAGGGGAAAGAGCCGAGGAGGAGAGGAGAGAGCTGAAGAGGAGAACCGAGGAGGAGAGGGAAGGGGAGGGGAAAGAGCCGAGGAGGAGAGAGGAGAGGGAAGGGGAGGGGAAAGAGCCGAGGAGGAGAGGGGAGAGAAACGAGGAGGAGAGGAGAACCGAGGAGGAGAGAGGAGAGGGGAGAGCCGAGGAGGGAAGGGGAGGGGAAAGAGCCGAGGAGGAGAGGGGAGGGGAAAGAGCCGAGGAGGAGAGGGGAGAGAAACCAGGAGGAGAGGAGAGAGCTGAAGAGGAGAGGGGAGAGCCGAGGAGGAGAGGGGAGAGCTGAGGAGGAGAGGGGAGAGCCGAGGAGGAGAGGGGAGAGCCGAGGAGGAGAGGAGAGAGCCGAGGAGGAGAGGGGAGAGCCGAGGAGGAGAGGAGAGAGCCGAGGAGGAGAGGGGAGAGTCGAGGAGGAGAGGAGAGAGCCGAGGAGGAGAGGGGAGGGGAAAGAGCCGAGGAGGAGAGGGGAGAGAAACCAGGAGGAGAGGAGAGAGCTGAAGAGGAGAGGGGAGAGCCGAGGAGGAGAGGGGGAGAGCTGAGGAGGAGAGGGGAGAGCCGAGGAGGAGAGGGGAGAGCCGAGGAGGAGAGGAGAGAGCCGAGGAGGAGAGGGGAGAGCCGAGGAGGAGAGGAGAGAGCCGAGGAGGAGAGGGGAGAGTCGAGGAGGAGAGGAGAGAGCCGAGGAGGAGAGGGGAGAGTCGAGGAGGAGAGGGTGGAGAGGAGAAGAAAGGGAGAGGAGAGAGGCACTTTGACGCCCTGCTCTAGAGGCTGCAGAGTAACCTGGATGAGTGTGTTGCAGAGTGAAGATGGCGATCGCCCACATGGCCACAGAGTACGTGTTCAGCGACTTCCTGCTGAAGGAGCCGCACGCCGCTCGCTACCGGAACATCCGCACCGAGCTCGCCGCAGACAAACTGGTCACATGTGTCGCCGTGGGGCTGCCCCTGCTCCTCATCTCACTGGCTTTTGCTCAGGAGGTGTCTGTGGGTGAGTTTCTGTGGGTGAGGGGGGAGGGGAGGTGGAGAGGAGAGATGGGGAGGAGGGAGAAGAGAGCTGAGGAGGAAAGGAGAGTGGACGAAGGAGAAAAGATGGTAGGGAGGAGAGGAGAGATGGGGAAGAAAGGAGAGAGGAGAAGAGAGGAGAGGGGAGTAAAGGAGAGATGGGGGAGGGGAAAGAAGAGGGGGGAGGAGAGAAGAGAGGGGAAGAGAGGAGCGAGGGTTGAGAGGAGAGCAGAGATGGAGGGGGAGAGAGAAGAGAGGGGAGGAGAGGGGAGGAGAGAGGGAAGAGAGGGGAGGAGAGAAGAGAGAAGAAGAGAGGGGAGGAGAGGGGAGGCGAGGGGAGAGAGAAGAAGAGAGGGGAGGAGAGGGGAGAGAGAAGAAGAGAGGGGAGGAGAGGAGAGAGAGAAGAAGAGAGGGGAGGAGAGGGGAGAGAGGAGAAGAGAGGGAGGAGAGGAGAGGGGAGAGAGAAGAAGAGAGGGGGAGGAGAGGGGAGAGAGGAGAAGAGAGGGGAGAGAGGGGAGAGAGAAGAAGAGAGGGGAGAGAGGAGAAGAGAGGGGAGAGAGGGGAGAGGGAAGAAGAGAGGGGAGGAGAGGGGAGAGAGGAGAAGAGAGGGGAGGAGAGGAGAGGGAGAGGAAGAGAGGGGGAGAGAGGGGAGGGGAGGAGAGAGAGAGAGGGGAGGAGAGGAGAGAGGGAAGAGAGGAGACGAGAGGGGAGAGAGGAGAAGAGAGGGGAGGAGAGGAGAGAGGGAAGAGAGGGGGAGAGAGGGGGAGAGAGGGGAGGAGAGGAGAGGGGAATATTCTCTTTACAGTTTTGTTGATAGTACTCTGAATACTTTTAGTGATAGAATACAGATACTTTACATCATTCAAAAAGAATGACTGTAGTTCTTGATCATGCACTTCACCGTCTGCTGTAAAGAAATATCTATAAAGAAACTGTAGTGACTTCATAAACAACTAAAACAAACGTAAATCGTTAAGACATGTTCCATAACGAGATCAGTCTCACTCTGTCCATCGTGTACAAACCTGAGACGTCGCTATTAGCACATCACAAAGGCAAGGCAAGTTTATCTGTATAGCACAATTCATACACAAGGCAACTCAAAGTGCTGAACAAAAAAAGAAAGCATTAAAATAAAATAAATTATCACAGAACATTAAAAAGAAAGATACAAATATAAAATCCCTCAGTTGTATGCACAGCTAAACAGAACTGTCTTTAACCTGGTTTTAAACATTGTCAGAGAGGAGGCCTGTCTCACATCTTCAGGAAGATTGTTCACGATTTTAGCAGCATGAATCTGAAAAGCAGCCTCCCCATGTTTAGTTCTGACTCTGGGACCAGCAGGAGTCCAGTCCCTGTGCTCCTCAGAGTCCGGGCTGGTTCATATGGGACTAACATGTCACGACCACAATTATTCAGCCGACAGCTTTCTTTCACACATGAACCAAAGTTGAGATATATATAGAATAGAATATTTTTGACCTGGACAATCTTTAAACTGGCTCTCTACCTAGAAAGTTGTTTTATGTATTTATTTATGTATTTTTTTAATGTCTGGAACCTGAGGACTTGGTTATTTTATGACACAGTTTAACCGTTGTTCTGTGTCTCATGTGTCTCTGACAGGAACTCAGATCAGCTGCTTCTCTCCCTCAAACTTCTCCTGGAGACAAGCGGCATATGTGGACTCCTTCTGCTGGGCCGCCGTGCACACGCACACACTCCCCCTATGGCTACACAAGGTACTGCACCCGCACACAGGGTACTCCACAGATATTCATTAAAGAGCGACTAAACACCAATCAACTTTTTTTAACTCATAAACTGCATAAATATGTTTATTGTAGTGCTGTCTACATATCCTGGTCATTTTTTTGACATTTTAGTTCAAATTAGATAAAATATCACTTTTGAGCCAAAAAATGCTGTGTGGTGCCCTCTCCACCTTTTTGGTGGTACTACATTTGAATTTGGTTCTGGCCTCTCCATTGACTCTGAAGTTCTCTATGACATCAGTTGTTTTGTGTGACGTCAGTCTGTCAGAGCCAGTGATATAAACCCATTCAACTCTCACACACGCCCCAGCTGCAGTTTGGAGTATTCTGGCGCCATCTAGTGGATTAAAATTAAATTACATGAGTCATTCTGAGATTATTGAGTGTGATTAGGTTCAGGTGTGTAGCTTTACAATTATCTTAGTGTGTAATCAAGGGTGGAATGAGACTTTCTGGTGTGTAAACTATTGCTTTAAGCAGCAATGACAACTGTCTGTTTTTTTTGTGTGTGACAAGTGAGCTGTCAATCACAGCCCAGACCACGCCCAACTCTAAGCCCCCCTTCTTGTCCCTTGGTCCCCCAGGCAACGCCCTTTTTAGAGAACATTTTCAAATCTTCATGTGGGCGGAGTAAGGCTGGGCACAGGTGTTTAGTCGCTCTTTAAGCAAACTTTAGGAGTGTGAAAATGTAGGGGAAACTATGCTGGAAATTCTCCCCTTTAATATTTGTTGTTTGTTATATGTTTGCTTGCCTCATTGGGCTTCCATACTTTGGGAAAAAAGTGGATAAAAACAGGTTACTAGTAAACATTCTACTCTTCATCTGTTTTGGGTCACAGAGCCCCTCGTCCAGACCTCTCTGTAAACTTCAAAGTATTTAAATAATTTGCTAATTGTGACCAATATTGATTTTATTTTTATTTTTACGGATGGTGTTTTTGATGTGGTTCTCACAGTGGACAACTGCTATTCCTGCGGACTGAATACTGTAGTTTTCAGTGTCTCACTTTTTGGTGTCTCACTTACTGGTGTCTCACTCACTGGTGTCTGACTTGCTGGTGTCTCGCTAACTGGTGTCTCACTGACTGGTGTCTCACTGGCTGGTGTCTCACTGGCTGGTGTCTCACTGGCTGGTGTCTCACTGACTGGTGTCTCACTTGCTGGTGCGTGTCTGGTGTCTCACTTGCTGGTGCGTGTCTGGTGTCTCACTTGCTGGTGCGTGTCTGGTGTCTCACTTGCTGGTGCGTGTCTGGTGTCTTACTTGCTGGTGCGTGTCTGGTGTCTCACTTGCTGGTGCGTGTCTGGTGTCTTACTTGCTGGTGCGTGTCTGGTGTCTCACTTGCTGGTGCGTGTCTGGTGTCTCACTAGCTGGTGCGTGTCTGGTGTCTTACTTGCTGGTGCGTGTCTGGTGTCTCACTTGCTGGTGCGTGTCTGGTGTCTTACTTGCTGGTGCGTGTCTGGTGTCTCACTTGCTGGTTCGTGTCTGGTGTCTTACTTGCTGGTACGTGTCTGGTGTCTCTCTTGCTGGTGCGTGTCTGGTGTCTCACTTGCTGGTGCGTGTCTGGTGTCTCACTTGCTGGTGCGTGTCTGGTGTCTTACTTGCTGGTGCGTGTCTGGTGTCTTACTTGCTGGTATGTGTCTGGTGTCTTACTTACTGGTGCTTGTCTGGTGTCTCACTTGCTGGTACGTGTCTGGTGTCTGACTTGCTGGTGCGTGTCTGGTGTCTTACTTGCTGGTACGTGTCTGGTGTCTCACTTGCTGGTGCGTGTCTGGTGTCTTACTTGCTGGTGCGTGTCTGGTGTCTTACTTGCTGGTACGTGTCTGGTGTCTCACTTGCTGGTTCGTGTCTGGTGTCTCACTTGCTGGTGCGTGTCTGGTGTCTTACTTGCTGGTTCGTGTCTGGTGTCTGACTTGCTGGTGCGTGTCTGGTGTCTTACTTGCTGGTGCGTGTCTGGTGTCTTACTTGCTGGTACGTGTCTGGTTCTCACTTGCTGGTGCGTGTCTGGTGTCTTACTTGCTGGTGCGTGTCTGGTGTCTCACTTGCTGGTGCGTGTCTGGTGTCCTCACTTGCTGGTGCGTGTCTGGTGTCTTACTTGCTGGTGCGTGTCTGGTGTCTTACTTGCTGGTGCGTGTCTGGTGTCTCACTTGCTGGTGCGTGTCTGGTGTCTCACTTGCTGGTGCGTGTCTGGTGTCTTACTTGCTGGTGCGTGTCTGGTGTCTTACTTGCTGGTACGTGTCCGGTGTCTCACTTGCTGGTACGTGTCTGGTGTCTCACTTTCTGGTACGTGTCTGGTGTCTTACTTGCTGGTGCGTGTCTGGTGTCTTACTTGCTGGTGCGTGTCTGGTGTCTCACCGGCTGGTGCGTGTCTGACTTGCTGGTGCGTGTCTGGTGTCTGACTTGCTGGTACGTGTCTGGTGTCTTACTTGCTGGTGCGTGTCTGGTGTCTGACTTGCTGGTGCGTGTCTGGTGTCTTACTTGCTGGTGCGTGTCTGGTGTCTGACTTGCTGGTGCGTGTCTGGTGTCTTACTTGCTGGTGCGTGTCTGGTGTCTGACTTGCTGGTGTCTTGCTGGTGTCTCAGTGGCTGGTGCGTGTCTGGTGTCTCACCGGCTGGTGCGTGTCTGGTGTCTAACTTGCTGGTGTCTTGCTGGTCCCTGCAGTTCTTCCCGTACGTGCTGCTGCTGGTGGCCGTCCTCATGTACAGCCCGGCCCTGTTCTGGAGGTTCTCTGCGGCTCCTCTGCTGCAGTCGGACCTGGCCTTCATCATGGAGGAGCTGGACCGATGCTACAACAGAGCTGTCACCCTGGCCAAGCACCTGAGCTCCTCACAGAGGTAACACACACACACTGAGACTCACGCACACATACTGAGACACACACACACTGAGACACATGTACACACACACACACACAGACATACACACACACAGAGAGAGACAGACACTGAAATGCATGAAGACACACATACAGGCAGACATACAGACACACACACACACAGACACTGAAACACATGAACACAGATACCCAGAGACACACAGACACACACACACACAGACACTGAAACACAGACCCACAGATACCCAGAGACACACACACAGCCACACACAGCCACAGACAAACACTCAGATATCCAGAGACACACAACAACACACACACACACACACACACACTCAGCTCCTGTCTCCTCCACAGTGACCTGAGCGAGGGCTGCTTTAACTACCCCCTGGTGGAGCGCTTCCTGATGACCAAGCGCAGTGGGCGGAGCCTGCTGCTGTACTACCTGCTGTGCCGCGCTCTCACTCTGCTCACGCTGCTGTGCGCCTGCGTGTATCTGGGCTACTACCTGCGCCTGGCCACGCTCACGGACGAGTTCGGCTGCGGGCTGCGGGTGGGGCTGCTGCAGGACGACCTCAGCGTCCCGGAAAAGGTGCAGTGTAAGCTGATCGCGGTCGGCGTCTTCTCCCTGCTCAGGTGAACGCTCGCTTTGGGGTCATTCAACTCAACTCAACGTGTTTTTGTATAGCTGTAAATGACAACAGTAGTTATCGCTGACGACATTACAAAGCTGTCGATTTGCCAACATAGATCAGAGAATCAAATAGTTCGGACCGGTACTACTGTCTAACAGTGTAACAGTACTCTTACAACAGTCTGACAGTGTAGCAGTACTCTTACTACAGTGTGACAGTGTAGCAGTACTCTTACTACAGTCTGACAGTGTAGCAGTACTCTTACTACAGTCTGACAGTTTAGCAGTACTCTTACTACAGTCTGACAGTGTAACAGTACTCTTACTACAGTCTGACAGTGTAGCAATACTCTTACTACAGTTTGACAGTGTAGCAGTACTCTTACTACAGTCTGACAGTGTAACAGTACTCTTACTACAGTCTGACAGTATAACAGTACTCTTACTACAGTCTGGCAGTGCAACAGTACTCTTACTACAGTTTGACAGTGTAACAATACTCTTACTACAGTCTGACAGTTTAGCAGTACTCTTACTACAGTCTGACAGTTTAGCAGTACTCTTAATACAGTCTGACAGTGTAACAATACTCTTACTACAGTCTGACAGTGTAATAGTACTCTTACTACAGTCTGACAGTGCAACAATACTCTTACTACAGTCTGACAGTGTAACAGTACTCTTACTACAGTCTGACAGTGTAGCAGTACTCTTACTACAGTCTGACAGTGTAGCAGTACTCTTACTACAGTCTGACAGTGTTACTTGTGTCATGTTTGTCTCAGCATGGTGAACCTGATCGTGTTCGTGGCTCTGGTTCCCGTGGTGATTTACTCCAGTCTCCGCCCTCTCATATGTCATGATTGCGCCAAATTCCTGGAAACCTACCAATCACTGCCCACCGTGAGCGTCCTGCCCTCGCCCGGCGGCCAATGGGACGACCTGTCTCTGTACCTGCTGTTCATGGAGGAGAACATCAGCGAGCTCAAGTCCTACAAATATATCAAGGTAGGTCCAGGTCAAGGTCTATGTCCAGGTCCAGGTCTATGTCCAGGTCCAGGGAAAGTCAAGTCAAGATCATGTCAAGTTTTAGAATGTGAAATATCTTGACTTGAAAATCCATGAATAATTATTATAACATAAATCAGAGATGACTGTAATTAGTGGGGTGTCACGATTAAGATTTTCTATTGAAATCGATCGAAATTTCGTCATGTCTCGAGCCTCGAAATCAAATGGCACGTTCACACCGCCAACGCTGGAACGCAGCTTCCGCGCGCACCGGACGCACATTCTCTAATCTTCAGACGCAGGGGTGTTCAGACCAGAAGCACTATGTCCCCCATTGTCAACCCTGGTTTTGTCCTGGTTTAGTCCTGGTTTAGTCCTGGTTTAGTCCTGGTGTATCTCCTGTTTTGGCTGTTTACAGTATGTTCAGTCTGGTGGTTTAGACTTTTACTTGTATATTATGTGATTTTATGATGGAGGCCTATACTTGTTATGGAACTGTTCTGTGGCAGAAGTTTGAAGAATAATCCGTGTTGAGGATGTGAGATGTTCAGGTGAGTGTGTGGTCTGCTGCAGGTGTTGGAGATGCTCCGGAAGCGTGGAGGGGGTGCGGGGGAGGACTTTGACTCCATGGGGCTGCTGCAGACTCTCTGTTTGGTGAAGACCGATAATGTGGACGGACGACAGACCGCCACAAAGACCAACAACTGTGAGTCCAGTGGGCAACAGGCAGGGGGCAGCACGGAGCCGCCCACAGAGATGCAAGGTACAACTGAAGACACACACACACACATACAGAGGTACATATGCATCTTGTTGTGAGATCAATAAAGTTTATCTTATGTCGGCCACGCATGCTCTCTCCACCAGGGGGCAGTGTACATTAGGACACAGTACACACGCGCTTCTTCAAGTTCATGCTTTCTGCCATTTGAAAGTATTTCTGCCAATTTCAGTATGTATGCAGCAGATGCAGAGTCAATTATACGTATAGTTTTTTGGGGGATTTGAATGGTTTTCATGTACTTTAATCAATAAAGAGATCCATCAAAAATCTTCCAAATGTCCTCTGTGATGTCAACCCTGAAGCTGGAGGTCAAACAGGTTTAGGAGGAGGGTGGAAATATTTGTCCCAGTATTTGTCTTTTGTTTCTTTGTCTCATCCTCAGTTTTCACATGAAGGTTTCTCTCTAAGAGCAACTTTTCACATACAATCAGCGCTCAGGCCAAAAAGGCAGAAAGTGACTCATCAAATATTATTTACACAAAGACAATGTCATAATACTTTTCTGGAGGAAAAAGATAAAGTGCTCAAAAGTTAGGTACCCAAGCTTTAATGACCAATATCTTACAGTATCCACAATGTATATACAGTGTATGTATATATATATATATGTATATAGCGCATAAAAGTTTTGTTTTAACTCAATGCAAATTGCATAATTTACAAACATAATAACGAAATTATAAGCTATAATCTGAGCTCACATTTCTCAAAGGATTGTTCACACATTTGGAACACAATCTCCATTGTTTTACTTACATTTGGCTGAAATCATCATGTCTGAAACCTGAATGAGTTGCTCATTTTGTGACTTTGTAGATCCAGATAGATGGATAATAGTTTAGAAACAGTTCTGTTTACTTGTGCAAAAACTGAACGATTTCAATAGCACTTTTTTATATATTGTGATTATTTATGCACTTTGAGTTGCCTTGTGTAAGAACTGTGCTATGCAAGTAAACGTGTCTTGTCTTTTATCTTTTAAATATCTCTGTGGTGTTTCAGAGCTGCGTGGCCTTCTCAAAAATCACCAGAGCTGAGGACCAGCTGAGTATCTTCTGAGGACCAGCTGAGGACCAGCTGAGGACCAGCTGAGGACCCTGTGCCTTGACAAACTGGGATTAGTTTGGGGGGTTTGAATTGTGCCTTTTTGTATTTCAATTTTGTTTTGGTCTGACATTCTCAGTTGGGGCGTGGGGACAAGATGATTTGCACTTGAAGAGGAGGAGGAGGACATTTCAAAGCAGTGTCTGCAGTAAAAGTCAAATACAAACCAGATGGGATTTAAGCTGCCATTTTTAGTTTACGTTTACTGAAAGTCTCTCAAAAAATGTCTTTTGCTCATCGGTGCCTTTTAAGCCATGTGCACTGGTTTTATATGTATTGGTACGTTTTAAACACTGTTTACAGCTGTGTTGTGACAATGAATAAATTGACTTGTTAATTTAGTGCTGTTGAAGAAGATGACAAAGTCTGGGATCGCGTCTTTAATTCAGACAGAAGACATGTTTTATTGTCAATGGTAGAGACAGCACGAACAACACGAACACAGATACAACAGAATGCAAGTGTATTATACAGAGCGGAGGCATGGAGACCTCCAATCAGCAGCTTCCACAGTGCCATGTAGCTTGGCCTTCAGATAGACACAACAAGGGAAAAGTACAGGCTTCTGCACATTGATAGAATGATGAGTTCAACTTTAACAAAAGTTGCTTAAAAGTGTTATGAAATCTCACACTGTTGTTCATTACACCAAAAGTAACAACAAATCCTAATATATCCTCATCAATCAGTGGCCGGGACGATATTGATATTTTGAGTCTTATTGCAGCAAAATTATTGTGTAGAGCAACAAAATCACAGACCTCTTGTTGTAGAATATTTTGGAGATTATTAATCATGTTTATAATCTGAATATGGCAACATTTTCTGTTCAAACAGCGTCACAATGTTGTACTTTGTTTTAGGTAAGTCAATATATCAAGGGTAAAGTCTGTACATGCTTTTTCTGGAGGTGTAAAATAAACTGCAACTAATATAAACACGTCTAATGCCGTACTGTGGCAGATTACAGGATTGGACATACAGGTTTATACTTCCTGACACTTTATTAATCCCTATTGGTAGAAATTCGGGTCCAGGAGCAGCAGAAACTCATCCAACCAAACAAAACAAATAAATACATCATTCAAGTAGCAAACAATAGTAATAAGGTCACAGCAGCTGAGGTAGTGTAGCCGCTGGGTTGAAGCTGAAGGTTAGGGGTTTTAAACATATTGAAGAAGATGACAAAGTCTGGGATCGCGTCTTTAATTCAGACAGAAGACATGTTTTATTGTCGATGGTAGAGACAGCACGAACAACAGAATGCAAGTGTATTATACAGAGCGGAGGCATGGAGACCTCCAATCAGCAGCTGCCACAGTGCCATGTAGCTTGGCCTTCAGATAGACACAACAAGGGAAAAGTACAGGCTTCTGCACATTGATAGAATGATGAGTTTAACTTTAACAAAAGTTGCTTCAAAGTGTTATGAAATCTCACATTCCCCCCTCTGGTCATACATTCACGTGTGACCATCAGGATCGATAAACAGCAACATAACATCATAACTCAATACTTAAACTCGGTACTTCAAAAAACTCAGAACTCGGAATACTTCAAAAACTCAGAAAACTCATAAAACATTTTCAGATCTTTCATAAAACTTGTCAACAAAGCAAAATACCAAACTTCATCAGTCAATGTGGTTCCAGATATTGCTTTGAAAACAGTCTCTCCCACTTCTCCGTGTTGGTTCCTTCAGGCTGCATTTGTTGTGTTGAGCCATGAATTCTTCTGTGACGTGTCGTTCAAATCACACGTTTCAGCTTCAGTGTCCAGATTCAGAAATCCAATTCAGTCCAAATTATGTCCAAATTCAGAAATCCAGATTGTTCCAAATTGTTGTCCATGCAAAAGAGGACGCTGGTATTGTCCATGTCTCAGCAGCTCACAGCAGGGGCTGTGCAGATTGTCCAAGTGTGCTGGTCCAGGTTCTCTTAAGGTTTCTCAGTTTTGGCTTGAAAAAAAAAAAAAAAAAACACTTTTTGTGTAAAAAAAAAAGTAGTCTTCTGTTCTCTAGATGTTACAGACAAGGCCCGCATCCTTCCACCACCTGAAGAAGATGACAAAGTCTGGGATCGCGTCTTTAATTCAGACAGAAGACATGTTTTATTGTCGATGGTAGAGACAGCACGAACAACACGAACAACACGAACAACAGAATGCAAGTGTATTATACAGAGCGGAGGCATGGAGACCTCCAATCAGCAGCTTCCACAGTGCCATGTAGCTTGGCCTTCAGATAGACAAAACAAGGGAAAAGTACTGGCTTCTGCACATTGATAGATTGATGAGTTTAACTTTAACAAAAGTTGCTTCAAAGTGTTATGAAATCTCACAATATACATGCTAATTCAGCAAAAACACCTTCTTCCTTTTCATTTTTATTGACCTTTGTGAAATAGATTTTAAGTGGCATCTTTACTTGCTCTTATGAAGCATTCATAGCTACTTATCTCTGGATACGTTGTGTGCTCTTGTCCTGTTTATGCACTTATCTTTGGTGTGTAGCTGCCATGTCTCCATTTTTAAAGCACAACAAAAAGGAAGTGTAAATTGGCTGATTTTGAATTCTTGTTTTTAATGCATCTTAAAGTAAAAATAACTCATTTACATCGTATAATATAATAACATCTCTGGACCATACCACGTAAAAGATGTCCACATAATATAAGAAAAGATAAACCTTTATTCGTCCCTTAGTGGGGAGATTTCTCATCGTTGTGCACCTTACAACGGAATAGAAAGTGAGAGCACTCAGGTTCTGCACAGATCAAATAGGACCTATTATTTAAGATGATAAAAATCTAATAATATAATGAACTCTGGAGAAAATTTGATGTATTTACAGATGTTAATATTGTTTAGCAGAGAATATGACCAGTAATAACAGTAATCAGCTAGTGGAGGACATCTCCCGTCGTCTCACATGATTTATACATTTTGTCCGCGTATCTACATCTGCGCCTGATGAAGTAGATTATATTTCTGTTGTCTTTAAATGGAAAGGATAATATGTTTATTTTTTTTATTAACAAATACCGCTTACAGGCTGATCAACATTTTTAGAGCATATACAAAGCAAAGTTCAAGTGTGAAACAAAACAATAATTAGAAAAACGAGTCATTAAGGTACAATGAGATCAAAACACATTTCGAATGGAGAGCACGGATATATAATAATAACGGATATATATTTTAGTCAACGTTACTTCCGGATCCAGCGCGCCACAAAGAAGTCCCCCCTTGTACGCATGCGCAGAGTCGCACACAGCAGAGTCGCACACACACATGCACTGAGGCACCGCTCGTTCGCATCGCTTTCTTTTCTCCAGTTCTTTTCTCTAGTGTCCCACAAGCCGCGCTGTGTGCTGTGTCTGGCCGCTACACATCAGCGGACTGCCCCCTCTCCCTGGAAGACCTTTGAGACGAGCTGCTCATAGCGAGGTAAGGCAGCGCCGTAGCTTCAGCCTGCGGTCGCCATTGTTTGGCTGCAGCGGAGAAGGCCCAGAGCCGCGTGTGTGCTCGGCTGCTCCTGACTGCCTGACTGCCCCCCCCCGATGCCCGCATGGCTGCTCAGGGGGTTCGGGGGTATGAGCCAGAGCTTTGGACACCGCAAAGAACTCGTTGAAGAACCTGTTGCAGATAGTTTTTACATCCTCGTTGGTTTTATCTGGAGCGCAATCGACTTCCGTTTGTGCGTGTTGCTATTATTAGATAAACTGCTTCTGCAACAGACCCTTTATAGTAACTGCGTTCAACCAACTAATGCACCTTTTTATGTCTGCATCGAAAAAAGTACATGAAATCTGAAATGCATTGTTGGATAATGACTGAAATACGCTGTTAGATAATGACCCACTGAATGAACCATAAAGCGAAAGAGCATTTATATGTTCGGCCTGTAATCAGCTCCATCTTGTTTTGAACAATTCGACTTGAGAAATCGTAACCTTTCTCCCTGTTATCATACTTTGTGGAAGGTGCACCTGTATATATAAGCCGCACCACCTTAGTTTAAAAGAAAATCAATGTCCACATATTATGTTTGTATCTTTCTTTTTAATGTTCTGTGATTATTTATGATTTTAATGCTTTCTTGTTTTGTTCAGCACTTTGAATTGCCTTGTGTATGAATTGTGCTATATAAATAAACTTGCCTTCCCCATTAGTCGCACTTGAATATAAGCCGCAGGTTTTGATATTGTAGATGGACGACTGTTTGAACTGGTTGCACGATTTAATCATGAGGTGTTGAACAGGTTAAGTGTGTTAGCTTCCATGTTGTGCTGTAGTGTCCTGTAACTACTAAAAGTTGATGGCGTTCAAATAATAAGAAAAAAACTGTTCATAATCCGGCAATTGGACTATAAAATGCTAGTTTTATATTACGGTAGTTTCCTTAGTCAGTGAAGCAAAAGCTGCAGAAATCTTTTTGTGAGCAGTCTTGTATATGTTTATTTTATACTTAAATCGTGCTGTAAACACGGTGTGATCTTGCGTGTGTTCATATGAGGTTTTGAAACCGAGATATTGTTGGATTTGTCACACTGCCCATCAATGGCCTTCCTGGTCCTGCTATTTTTGCCTCAGAATTCTTTCACTACATTGGGGACGGCCGTCACATTTCCTTCTCTCTTGTCCCGTGTAGCTCAGTTAAAGTTGAAATGAAGCTGAAAGAATTTGTTACTTTTTGAGCACGGACAGCTTTTGTGTACAGCTGTGACACTCACACATCATTAAGCCAATAATTTATCCACTAAACCACTGAATGGCTTGTTTTGTCTACAGATCCAGGCCATGTCCTACTACTCTTCATCCCGGAGTTCTTCTAGAGTTCCAGATTGCAAAGTCTATGTGGGTGACTTGGGCAATGGTGCAGCCAAAGGAGAGCTGGAGAGAGCTTTCAGTTATTATGGCCCACTAAGGAGTGTGTGGGTGGCCAGGAACCCCCCTGGTTTTGCTTTTGTGGAGTTCGAAGATACCAGGGATGCAGAAGATGCTGTAAAAGGCATGGATGGAAAGTAAGTACCAGTAGCTCTCGTTAGCTAGTCTGTTCAGATTCCATCACGAATCCTGTGATCGGTGATTCGCAAAATGTGCCACTCACATGGATCAATCTTATCGCTTTTTAAAACTAATCAACAAAGTGAAAGCCCGACTCCACGCCCCTCATTAGTAAGTAAGTAAGCTTTATTTATATACCGCATTTCACAGACCAGAGTCACAAAGCGGTTTACAATTGTTATTTTTTGCACAAAACACACATCATCTGTCCCTCTTTTCCACGTCCTCTTATGTGTGCATGTGTTTAAACCACCACTGCAACTGACTCCCACAGTAAGGGTTTTGATCCACAGTGACATTCACTTTCAATAATTAATTATTGTGAAAAGATCAAAACAAATTCTTTTTAAAATGGTGAAAATTGTTTCCTTATCTGTAAATTCTGACATTATTCCATAAATTCTGACATTATTTAATGGCGATTATTGAAATTCAAAATGGATATGAATCTAATAAATCATGATCTACACCCGTTTTACGAAACGGCAGTCCCCCAAACTTACCCTGTTTGTTCCTGTTCCCAGGGTGCTTTGCGGCTCTCGAGTTCGGGTGGAGATGTCAACTGGCCTTTCCAGAAAGGGCCGTGGACGTCCGAGCCGGCGCCAGTTTGACCCCAGTGATCGCTGCTATCAATGTGGGGACAGGGGCCATTACGCTTACGACTGCTACCGCTTCAGCAAGAGAGGAGGAGGAGGAGGAGGAGGGGGAGGCGGTGGCGGCGGGGGAGGTGGTGGAGGAGGACGCCGCAGCAGGTGGGTGTTCTTCACCTATGTCTCCAATCCTGATCACACTAATCTACCACTGATAGAAACCACAGAGATATCACTGTTTGTCCTGTGTGCGTCATTCGTACAGTGAGGGTTCTCTTTAGCCCCATAAAGTTGAATACACTACTCCCATGCTCGTGGACAGTGAGACGTCTCTCTTGGCCTTTGAAGAGAGACATCCTTGATTATGGATCTTCTACATCAGGGGTCTCAAACCGGTTCCAGAAAGGGCCAGTGTGGCTGCACGTTTTTACTTCCAACAGTTCCAAACTGAGCAGGAGCACAAATCACTCCACCCATTTCCTCAGGTGAGTCTAGTTTAGGAAGTAAAACCTGCAGCCACACTGGCCCTTTCTGGAACCGTTTTGAGACCCCTGCGCTAGGGATGTACCAATCCAGAATGTTTGTAATCCGACACGTTAGCAGCCCTGTTTACAGTCACAGGGAATGAGGCTCAAGGAATATGTTCACAAGCAGTCTCCCCCATAGTTAGTCCTGGTGAAATCCTGGTTTATCTCCTGTTTTGTGTCCCCATGGCGGCTCAGTGCGGCCGCTCTCCGATAGCCGCACGGAGGAAAAAGTTCATCACTTGCTTTTGCCGCATGCACCGGGTCTCTGTATCCTCTGCCACACCGCACATGCTATGCCTCGCACGGACATGAAGAACCATTGACACCGCATTGAAAAACAATCTTTAGATCCATGGACGCTACGCATTGTGCGGTTGTTGTTTATGCATTTCCCAGAAAGTTTTGCGGTTTACGCTTGGCTGTGATAGGTCGAGTAGCCTCTACCTACATCCCCCAGAATGCCGCGCGCCTCTGACTCAGCTTTACTTCTTGTGTTTTCGTCCTGTTTTTTCTAACGGAGTGACGTTCAACTAACATTCTATCGACCCCGTTTTCTATTGATATCGAACACGTGTCTATCACAATATATCTTGTTGTTGTTTTTATCGACCAGCCCTAGTTTTACATTGTATTTAGTTTATGGCAGCCGTAAAGCGCGAGCTGCTGAAAAGTGACGTAAATCGGCTTCATATTTACCAAATCCGATATTATCCGATCCTTACAAAATACCCATATCGGCCCCCGATACCGATACTGAATATCGGATCGGTACATCCCTACCCTGCGCTACATGATCCAAAATCCAACACAAACTGATTTCACAGCTGCTTCATGGCCCATTGACGGCAACATCAGCTCCAGGTTTGAGATGTAAAGTAAATAATGAAACACAGGGCCTTTTACTCGGTCAGTGTTTCCCTTTGGGCTGGGACTGTAGCCTCCATGTCCATGTGCCAGTGTTTAAACAGTGTCTCTGTTCCAGGTCTCGGTCCCGCTCTCGTTCCCGCTCTCGCTCTCATGGACGCCGCTACCGTACTCGCTCTCGCAGCCGCAGTTACAGCCGGTAAGCTTTTGTCAGCCCTTGTAAGATCCCTTTTATGTCAATGAATGAGACTTACTACTTGCCTGAAATGGGGCTAGGTCTGGTTACTTGAATAGGAAACCACTGAGAATGAAGTCTGAATCTTTGAGGGGAAGAATAATGCAACGCCTTGCTTTTTCTGTTATTTCAAGTTTGTCTTTTTTTGCAGGAGTCGTCGTCGCTCTCCGTCCTACTCCAGGCGCAGAAGCAGGTGAGCACTCCCATGTTTCAGGACCATTCCATTATGTGTCCACTTTTGCAAAATTCCCTACAGAAAAATTACATTGTTTGTCTTGGGTTTACCACAAAGAATGGATAAAATACATTATATTCAATAGCTGAACAAAGCCACGTTAGTAAAAATGCCTAATCTAAAATTTTGCTTAAAAAGAAATCGCCCATTGTGCAAAATGAGCCATCCAATGAACATGAGCATAAAGGTCCAGTGGGGTAAAACAAGCTATTAACACTATTGGGAAGTGGGGGAACTAATGTGAAATGTGTTTGTCTTATTTCTAAGCCTTTTTATTCTTCTTCAGGTCTGGCTCCCCTGCACGCTCTAAATCCAGGACTCCGGCCAGAAGGTAGTTGGACTATCTGAAGCACACAGACTGCAGTCTTGTGCCTGAAATAGCTTTAGCTATGCTAAATGGATGTGCTTTTCCATCGTTCCAATTTGGGAATGTTTTGTAGTCGTTCCAGGTCTCGCTCTGGATCTGCACCCAGAAGGCGCTCAGTTTCTCGCTCCCGTTCTCGTTCACGCTCGACTCACAAGAGGAACAGGTAACTATCACTCCAGCTTCCTCTCTCCATTCATTTAGTGCAGTTGTTAGGCCTTGCATTAGTGAGATGCCATTCACAGTCGAGGCCTTCCTTCCCACATGCTGGGCTCTGAGGTCCTGCTACAGCCCTGTGTTTATGGCCCTCTGCACAGATGATACATTAGGCAGCGGTGCAGACATTTGTCTTAAGATCTACAGTATATTTGTGTGTTTATGCACAAGCACTGATGTGACATGGCTTAGTAACAGCTCTAGTGAACTGACAGGCTAGTCAGAATATAAGGTTGTTTACTGTATTATGTGTAGCTCCTGAAACTTGTCTAGTTGTAGCAATCTGTTTCACCTGTACAAAGCGTTAGCATAAAACACATTTTTGCAGCACAGTTTTGTTTATTTTTCATATTTTCTTTAAAGCATATGGTGGGACCTGAGCACTGCACTGACACTGCAGATGATCCCAGGCTCTGCCACTTGTCCGTGTGTCCGTCCTGCGGGAGGGTGACTTAGCGCTGAACTGAGAGCAGCCTCCTCCCGTAGCCAAGTGTGTTCGACCGGCGCACACATAGAGTCGTTCTTCTAGAGTCAGCCAGCCTTCAGACGTACTGGGGGCTGATCCACAGATTCCACACAGATCAGAGCTACACCACATAGAATCCATAATGCTACCTACCAGAACCGCACTACCTACCAGAGTTCTTCAGCCTCTTAGCTTCTGACAGTCAAAGAGAGAGCTGACGAGAGATCAGTCTTCAAGACCCTGCGCGGTGTCTCTCCAAGTTGTAGTCATCCGTCCTTCGCTTCTCTGTACTTGTTGTTTCTGCTACTGTCTCCAAAGGTAACCAAAAATCAACCCCCTGAAAACATGTTGATGGATAAAGCAAATATTGGCCTAGTTTAGATCAGACTGAGCCCATCACGCATGTCCAGAATGTGTTTGTGAGACCCCTACAGAGAAGTTTAAAGCAGCTGTGAGCTCCTCGGCTCATGAGGCACACTCAGGTTCATGGCGTGTTGTTATGACACACGGGGATGCACCGACGCCATCAGATTTCTTTGCAGATATTGGAAAGTGTGTTGGCTCAGGAATCTATTGACATATCCTGATGGAGCCTTTCTCCTATGATTAAGACCATTCTGACAGAAGGTTAGGGTCAAGTCTCTACTTGTTAAAGCTTAATTTGTAGTTTCTTCATAATAAAAGGCTTGTAAAATAACGTGGCTTTTGGAATCGAGGGGAAATGATGCTGTTTTAGACTTTAACTTCTGTTATCTGCAGATTTAAAATGGGTTTTGGACCTGGATCGGTGCATCCCTATTGACACACTGACGTTTAATGTACACAAACAGAAGCACAGAGCTGGACAAAATTGAGTGTCCTTGATTTGAACAAAATAATTTGTTCACTGAAATAACACAATCCCCAAATGTGGAGGAAACCGTTCCTAGCTAGCTTGACTTATTTGAATTTTTGTTTTGTTATTAACAGTGTAATATTAAATGTGGATTATCTTACTGGAAGCTGTCAGGTCACCTGTGTGGAATGTAATGCATTTCAAGCAGACCGAAATGAGTCTGACTAAAATCACAATGACATTAGTTCAGTCAAGATCTGCTATTTCAGTGAACTGTTTGAGTTTGTTTTTCTAACGAGAAGGAAACAATTTTGTCCTCCATCTGTTTGGACCTCTGACAGTGTAGCCACACTGATAGCTAGCATAAGATGGCCCTTTTCTACCAAGTGGCATGTTCAGTCCATGATGCGCTCTTTTCTTGTCCAGATTAACTGTCTGACATTTTAAATCTTTGACATTTGTGAACGTTTGCACAACATACTCAGCAGGTCTTTGGTGCGGGGTCTGACTGTGCCACTTGGTGGAACTGCGACGCACCTCTCCCCTGAGCAGAAAGTGCTAAGCACTAGTGTGAGGCTTGTCATAGAGTTGTTCTGTTTCTTACTGCTCCCTAACTTTTTGATCTCCATTTCAGTCGTTCCAGGTCGGCTAGCCCTGCCCGAAGCGCCACGCCAGCTGATGACTAAGAAGTTATTTTTCTGCGTGTAAACAGATCCTCAGCCCTTTAGTGTGTTCTCTAAAACCTATTCCAACCCTCCACATGTAGTACAATGCACTGAATACTGAGGGCTCTTCTGTATACTCGCCTGTTTTAAGGAGATGGTATGTAGACTGTCCTAACGAGTAGTGCGACTGAGAAAATCCAAGGTAAACTTGCATGCTCCCTGAGTTTTAATTTTTGCTTTGCCATGGATCTTTTGGAATGTCTGCTTTTATTTGTTAGGACTTTAAAGCCTCCAAGATTGTTTTAAATGACACCGTATTGTCCCGTTTTTGTGTGCATTTGTCACATTCCTGCTGTTTATTGTTCACTCCGCTGTGGACACAAACTTCACTTTGGACTGTGTGCTTCAGACCAGCTGAACATTTAAAGGCATCAATGCATTAGAGTTGATTTCTCAAAGCTTGTTTAAATTTGGTGGCAGTCTTATTTTGAAATAAATCTTCAATTTAAAATGTAATGTGTTTTTATTGAAGTCTTAACAGTGTGTTGTCTTTATACAAAGTAGTCCCAGGATTTTGAATCTCAGATATGCAAAAATTAACGTTCCGAGAGCAAAAGTAATGCACATAGTCATTTAAGAGATTTTTCCATTAAAGATTGTGACTTGCTGTCTACATTTTGAAGAATGGTTTAAAAACGAAGCATTGATACATTTTCCGGTTTGTCATTGGTGGCTAAGTACCATACACTAATAGCAGGTTCACAAATGACCTCAAACTAAAATAAAGCCTCCATCAAACCAAACAGTAGTTTTAACAGCACGTGCATTCAGCTGGACATGAAACTAGTTTGGGGAAGTAGAACACATGTAATAGTTGTCCGTTTGGTTACCTAACCCTGGAGTATGCTGCTTTGCTATGCTGTTTATAGAACATGTCTAGTAAGTCATGAGCACTGAAATTAAGTTACGGTACTTGACATTGATAATTGTTTCAATATCATACAATTTGTTTGCTAACAGCAAGTTGATTTGGCTTATTTCCTGAAACGTCTCAAAAACTTCAATTTAGTTTGTTCATAATTCATACAAAATTTTTCTCCATGTTTTGTAAAAATGGTTTCCTCGGTAGTTGTGCACTCCTCCCCAAAGGTGCCTGGGACATTGGAACCCCAGTCAACATAAAGATTTCTGGGTTTAGAGTGTCGCTTGTTTGGTAAGTACAAGACTCCATGTAGTGCCATGCCTGGGCGGGCCTGGAGCCGGTGGGCAGGGCCTGGGCTGAGTGAATCGGGCGGACACCCCCCAGCTCTTCCTTCTGCTTCTTCCTAAGCGGGACATCATGGCTACTGCAGCAAGCCGTTACTACAGCGAAGACGGAAGGGCAACAAAGAGGCAGAAAACCGACGGAATGGCCAGCGTGAGTTCCACTTCATGATAAGAACAACTGCCGCGCTCTTAGACGCGGAGAATGACGCGGACCGCGGTGTCTCACGCGGAGGCTGTGTGCGCTCGTGGTGTCGGGTGGACGCTCGTGCGGACATTCGTTAAAATAACGTGTAAACCTCCCAACGAAAACAATCATGGCAAATATAAACTTAATGGCTAAGTTTGAGTCAATAAGACCTTATTCATACAGATTTATCAGGCGAGAGGCTTGTCTTCTCTTTGTTCTAGCCGCTAGCATAGCATTTTGATTAGTTAGCTTGCTAGCGGATAGCATCCTGCAGCTAACGTTACATTCGCTTAAAAAAATCACGTTACCCGTGTAGCTAGAGGGTCTTCAAACCATGAAGACCACCTGTTTTAACCGTAGACTGTTTAGATGTGGCAACGTTTTACGTTATATACAACATAGTGCCATTTGAATGCCACATGAATTTCGTATTGTTCTATATAATCTAAGCTAGTTATAATGTGATTTTTATTTTAAATGCATGCAAGTGCTCTAAAGTTCTGTGGATTTGACAAATGTTTCCAGACTCGCAAATAGCAACTTGTTTTGACAAATTTGGTAAACTGGTTATTGTGGTGGTAAGACGGTCCACGACATTCAAATGGTATTTTTTCCATCTAACGAGGTAGTCGCTGGTTCCCACACTAGTTTATTTGAACTCTCATTTAATAAAACGTTTTGTATATGTTTAGTCATATCATTCATTTTTTGTGATATAATACAGAAGTGCAGAGGCTCTCCTCTAATGTGTTTATTTATGGGCCTCACAGAGTTACGAGGATCCTCATAAGCCTCTCCCATCTCTTGTGGTGCATGTACGGGGTCTTGTGGATGGTGTGGCTGAAGCAGACTTGGTGGAGGCTCTACAAGAATTTGGTACCATAAGGTGACTAAACGGTTTGACTGGTACTAGTGTAAAGTTTAGCAGTTCTGTTATTGTAATGCTCTATTTTTATTATCTAGCTATGTTGTTGTGATGCCCAAGAAGCGCCAAGCTCTTGTGGAATATGAGGACATGAATGGCTCGTCCACAGCCGTCACATACGCCGCTGACAATCAGGTTTACATCGCGGGCCATCCAGCATTTATCAACTACTCCACCAGCCAGAAGATCTCCCGGCCAGGGGACTCGGATGACTCTCGCAGTGTGAACAATGTCCTCCTCTTTACCATCATGAACCCCATTTACCCCATCACTACAGTAAATGATTTCTACTTTTCTCACTGGAAGCCGCGCTCCTAAACTGCACTCTGACCCACTGTACATTTGACTTCTCAGGATGTTCTCTATACCATCTGCAACAACTGTGGTCCAGTTCAGAGAATCGTCATATTTCGGAAAAATGGAGTCCAGGCCATGGTTGAATATCCTTTGTCACTGTTACTGTAGGATTAACGCTGCATAACTGAGTAACGTACATATTGTAGTTTGAATACGTCCTTAACACAATCTTACGTTTGACTCTGTGCAAAATGCTCAACGTGCAAAAGCTTCGCTCAATGGAGCAGATATCTACTCAGGCTGTTGCACTCTCAAGATTGAATATGCCAAGGTAATATCGCCTTTTCAGCTCATCAATCCAATCACTTTAGCCATTTTTCGTTATCAAGATGTTTTGAAATAAGCTTTGCTCCTAATGTCTTTGCTTTTCTATTCTCAGCCCACTCGCCTGAATGTGTTTAAGAATGATCAGGACACTTGGGATTACGCAAACCCAAACTTGGGAGGACCAGGTAATTTACAAACGCTTTAGTGCATTCCATACACTGTGGGTTAGGATTATCTTAATTTATGTTGTTGAATACCAAAAAAACTGTCATGTAACTCCCTGCTTAACTTTTCACTCCATTATTTCTTCAGCTGACAGTTTAAGCTCGGGTGGGCTTTCAACTAAATTACACTAAATTGCAATATGGCCAAAACATGACATTTTTGAGCAACTGTATATAATATTGATGTTGAAATGAGCAAGAAACAGCCTGAAAAAGTCACTGTAGTCAAGTCCAGACACACTATCAGGGGTCTCCAACCTTTTTCACCTGTTGAGCTAATTTCACAGGACTAAAATGGCAGAGAGCTACTCCTTTAAGCACCCGGGGGAAATTATAAATTGTCGTTATTTATCATTTATGACAAAGTTTGTTTGCATTTACAGTAGTGGTGGGAATGTGAATCATATATTGTGGAGTAGTCTGTATAATCATGTAAATTATAAATACTTTGGGGAGCTACTTGGAAGGATGTGGTGAGCAACTGGTACAAGGTGGAGACCCTTGTACTAGATAAAAGCAGTGTATTTTTCTGGGTAGCATTCTAGCTGAAAATGTGAGTGGGTTCTCGCAGTTCAGAGAGGAATTGGGGCTGAGATGAATCAAATGTATGGGATAGAGAAACGGTCCAATCTACATTACTGATGCAAAGGAGTAGATGTATGTAATCTGTGACTAGTCCCAAACACCAGGTGAGAGGGGTAGTCATTGGTACACTTTCTACGTCATCACTGATTGTCCAAGCACATGGACTTACAATCCCTGCGATGACCCAGTTTGGACTGATTCATTCACTGCTCAGCTTCCATTTCAATCTCACGAGGACAGCGCACACTTTCCGGGGGCTGATCTACATTGCAGCCCCCGACTCACGTCAACAGAAGGATCCCAGGATTCCACACATTCGAGCTGACAACATAAAAGAGCAGAACATTTACCAACACCACTGATGAGTTGCCACCAGAACTGCGCCACCCACTGCTGATGAAACGACACCAGAACTGATGAACCCCCACACCAGAACTGATGAACCCCCACACCAGAACTGATGAACCCCACACCAGAACACTGATGAACACGCTGATGAAACAACATTGTGACGGTTGAATGATGAAGACCGCATTTACAACAGTCACTCAGAATCCACTCAGGCCCATTCAACTTTTGCAACATGGAAATGCCTTGTAGTTATGGGGTTCAGTATACCATTTGCTGACTGCTGAGGTTCAGACCTGTATAACACCTTCCATGTGATGCAGGTTTGGCATTTTGCAGCCAAAGAGGAGCCAGCTTCTGTGCTCTGTGGCCTCCTCACAGCCTACCGATGCGTGCTTAAGTGGACTTTGCCAAACAAAATGCAAAAGATGGAGCCGGTGGCCTCAATATGAGCAGATTTCTCCTCAATGAAGATGTCTTTGCCAATCTGTGAGAAAGGACTAAATAAGTATGGGTGGAAGTGCTGTGTTTCTAGCTTGCCGTAAGTAACAAGAGCCTCCTTGAGAACACAGCAGCAACACCGCACACATGAGGGTCCAGCCCGATCACTGCTCCACACTAGTGATGTGCTATCATCATAACCCAACTGCCCATGTGCAAAGGTGAAGGTCGCTACTCACAAGGCACAATTGTGGAGGGGGGTAAAGCCTTGGTGTACACTGACTTGGACTGACCCTGACTCTGGCGCGCTGCCAATGGAGTGCAGTTGTTGTTTGGGTCTGTGCAAGGAGTTCAAAGTCTGTTATTACTAGACACAGCTGTTGAGCATTTTTGGTCATCAAACTCGTTCCTTGTGACCCAAAGCAGCTTTGGTTTGTAACATACAGACCGGTCTTTCCCCTCTGTGCCCAAAGCCAGTGTACGCCAGGCGCTGGGTTTCATGTATGATCAGAAAACATTGATTTTAGTTTCAGTGAGCGCTAAATGAAAATGTCAGTTTTCATTAGTTGCAGTCTACATATACAGTGCCTTGCAAAAGTATTCGGCCCCCTTGAACCTTTCAACATTTTGCCACATTTCAGGCTTCAAACATAAAGATATAAAAATAAATTATTTTTTTTCAAGAATCAACAAGTGGGACACAATCGTGGAGTGGAACGAATGTTATTGGATGATTTAAACTTTTAACAAATAAAAAAACTGAAAAGTGGGGCGTGCAATATTATTCGGCCCCCTTGCGCTAATACTTTGTAGCGCCACCTTTTGCTGCAATTACAGCTGCAAGTCCCTTGGGGTATGTCTCTATCAGTTTTGCACATCGAGAGACTGGAATTCTTGCCCATTCCAGTCCAGCAAAACAGCTGGAGCTCAGTGAGGTTGGATGGAGAGCGTTTGTGAACAGCAGTCTTCAGCTCTTTCCACAGATTCTCGATTGGATTCAGGTCTGGACTTTGACTTGGCCATTCTAACACCTGGATACGTCTATTTGTGAACCATTCCATTGTAGATTTGGCTTTATGTTTTGGATCATTGTCCTGTTGGAAGATAAATCTCCGTCCCAGTCTCAGGTCTTTTTCAGACGCCAACAGGTTTTCTTCCAGAATGGCCTGTATTTGGCTCCATCCATCTTCCCATCAATTTTAGCCATCTTCCCTGTCCCTGCTGAAGAAAAGCAGGCCCAAAGCATGATGCTGCCACCACCATGTTTGACAGTGGGGATGGTGTGTTCAGGGTGATGAGCTGTGTTGCTTTTACGCCAAACATATCGTTTTGCATTGTGGCCAAAAAGTTCGATTTTGGTTTAATCTGACCAGAGCACCTTCTTCCACATGTTTGGTGTGTCTCCCAGGTGGCTTGTGGCAAACTTTAAACGAGACTTTTAATTTATTTTTTAATTTTTATTTTTGAGAAATGGCTTTCTTCTTGCCACTCTTCCATAAAGGCCAGATTTGTGCAGTGCACGACTGATTGTTGTCCTATGGACAGACTCTCCCACCTCAGCTGTAGTTATTTGCAGTTCATCCAGAGTGATCATGGGCCTCTTGGCTGCATCTCTGATCAGTCTTCTCCTTGTTTGAGATGAAAGTTTGGAGGGACGGCCGGGTCTTGGTAGATTTGCAGTGGTCTGATACTCCTTCCATTTCAATATAACTGCTTGCACAGTGCTCCTTGAGATGTTTAAAGCTTGGGAAATCTTTTTGTATCCAAATCCGGCTTTAAACTTCTCCAACAGTATCTCGGACCTGCCTGGTGTGTTCCTTTGTCTTCATGGTTCTCTCTGCGCTTTAAACAGAACCCTGAGACTATCAAAGAGCAGGTGCATTTATACGGAGACTTGATTACACACAGGTGCATTCTATTTATCATCATCAGTCATTTAGGACAACATTGGATCATTCAAAGATCCTCACTGAACTTCTGGAGTGAGTTTGCTGCACTGAAAGTAAAGGGGCCGAATAATATTGCACGCCCCACTTTTCAGTTTTTTTATTTGTTAAAAAAGTTTAAATTATCCAATAAATTCCGTTCCACTTCACGATTGTGTCCCACTTGTTGTTGATTCATGACAAAACATTAAAATGTTATATCTTTATGTTTGAAGCCTGAAATTTGGCGAAATGTTGAAAGGTTCAAGGGGGCCGAATACTTTCGCAAGGCACTGTATACTGCTCATGTGCAGCGTATGTCACAACAGCTGTGTAATTGTCATAAATGTCTTTGTCAGAGGAACCAAATGGTGCATCAGTCAAGCGTCAGAGACAGCCTGCTCTTCTGGGGGACCACCCACCTGAATATGGTAAGTCTGATTGCAATGTTAGTAAAACTGATGTTCATTGGTCAGTCTTACTCACACGTTTGTTCCTTTGCAGCAGGAGGATATCATGGTGGTTATGATGAAGGCTATCCTCAACCACCTTATGAGGGCCGGCGCATGGGCCCGCCCATGAGAGGACGTGGAGGAAGGGGATATGCTCCCAACTATGGACCTCCACCGCCCCCACCCGGAGAGTACGGGGCCCATGCTGATTCCCCTGTGGTCATCGTCTATGGGCTCGAGCCAACAAAAATGAACGCTGACCGGGTCTTCAACATTTTTTGCCTTTATGGCAACATTGAGCGAGTGAGTGTCGTCATGAAAGAGGAAAACATTGTGGAGAAGTGGAGAGGTCTGAAGGTTTCAATGATTAAGACTCAAACGTTGATTCTTTCAGGTGAAATTCATGAAAAGTAAACCTGGGGCAGCGATGGTCGAGATGGGGGACTGCTTTGCTGTTGACCGTGCCTTAAGTCATCTCAACAACACTTTCCTCTTTGGACAAAAGTTGAACGTGTGGTGAGTACAGGAGCTGCTTTTCTGTGAGTTTGAAATGGCACCTTTCCTTCATTACTTTTGCATCTGTTTCGTAGTGTGTCCAAACAGCAGGCGATCGTGCCTGGGCAGTGCTACGATCTGGAAGATGGAACGAGCAGTTACAAGGATTTCCACGGCACCAGGAACAACCGCTTCACTTCTCCGGAACAGGCTGCCAAGAACCGCATTCAGCACCCCACCAACATGCTGCACTTCTTCAACGCGCCACCAGATGTCACTGTCGATGTGTTCAACCAGGTTTGAGAGATTTCCCAATGCTCTTGTTACTCCTCGTGTTGGAATGATTTGTCAAAGTAGGAAAAAAACACACTAAATTATTGTTTCAAGCTAAATTTGTATATGATCCTAAGACGCAAATATGTAGTCATCTCTGCTCCCGAGTCCCGACAGTGTTGTGTGGTCTCTTATTCTATACTATCTGTATTTTTTTCCCTGTTTTTAAGCAAACAGTATAATTTCAACATTTTCTCCATTTTTGTAATATTGTTTTCTAAATCTTTGAATTTTCTTAAGAGGAAAAGTCAATGTCAGCTTCTCCGGTAGATTTGTTTGAAATTCAATAAGATGCTTTGTGTTTAGAGCTTAGTGAAGGTGCGTTGTTTTGACACGAAGCGTTTACAGATAACCCGAGAGGTGAAGCATACTCCTGAGTGTGTGTGTTTGCAGATGTGTGAAGACGCCGGCGTGAAGAAGCCTGCAGAAGTGAAGATGTTCACCGGGAAAAGTAAGGCCTCATCATTCTCTGCTGATTGTGCTGAGAAACATACAATGACACTTTACCTTCGCCCCTGAGGTGGAGCCGCCCCCAGCGACCGCAGTGCCTCAGGCCTCCTGGAGTGGGATTCCATCAACGACGCCATGGAAGCTCTGTCCATGTTGAACCACCACCAGATGAAGAACACAGGTACTGGGCCCGCTCCGCTCTGAAACATCCTATCCAGCCTCAGGCCCTGTTTAGACAGAGACGCTGCAAAGCAATTTACAAAAACGACCAGGCTCTTGCAGCGTTCAACAACATCCTCCTCAGGCCACAGAGATGTGAAAGAACCAACATCATTCTGCAGTGAACAGCAGCTGCAAAAAGGGAAACTAAAATTACAGCTTCATGTGGTAAATGAATGAGGCTAGTGTAGCTGACTCATGCGCTAATTCGGTTTTTCACATTTTCCAGCCCCCGCGGCCATTTTGTAAAGCCCCATAGAAGCTAAAAGTGATGGCACATTAGTTTGAACGCCGGAGATGGGTGTGACAACATTCGTTAATATTTAGTGTTTGGTTTGGACGCAGGAGTAGAATCCTCTGTGTAGCGCTCGACGTTGTTATGGTGCTTTCAGACTGAATCATGCGTTGCGTCGGCTTTTAATGCTGTCCATGGTGACGCGCGTTCGAGCGTCACAACGCACGAATCTTGGGAAGCACGAACGGACTGTTCAGTAGAGACGCACGGACTGCGCGGGAAAGTCGAAGAAGAAGAGGAGGAGCGGAAAATGGACGCCCACGGGAGATAAACTTTGCTCAACCTTTCCTCGGAACGTTCGTGCAGCGACCAATCGGAGAGCCACAAAGTGGTCACGGGAACATCAGTGGTCTGAGCAAGCAGACTGAATACTGCAAACAGCCAAAACAGGAGCTACTAAACAACTTAAAACCAGGGTTGACAATGGGGGACTCTGTGCCTGTGAATATATGCGTTGTCATGCTCCTGTGACTTTATGCAACTGCTTCGAGTGTGTTTGCCGATGCGGAAGTACCATCAAATAATAAAATAAACTTATTGCGCACTTCCGTGAACACATAATACTGTTATATAAAGTCCGTGGAAGGTCTTCGAACCTAGGGATGTAAATTGATGACCGTTTAACCGGTGGTTGACCGTCACAGCGTTAACCGGTCAAAGCTGTTGGTTAAAAAAAGTGGAGAGGGGACGTCTCCCCTAGTTGCACGTTGTGACGAGCAGGTCCGTCTCTAGCTGTGTGCGCCCATGTATTAGTAAACTCCTGGCCGACTTTCATGACACACACACGTCCAGTCAAACCACATGGAACATGTTTGTGCTCATGGTCCTTGGCATTAGATCAGCTCCACACATGTCACTTGTACTTTAGCGAAGACCTGCCAGACGCGGCTCGTCACTTGCTGCTCTGACCATGTGAACGAGCCGTTGTTTGCTGCTAAAAAGTTTTGGTTTTAACCTGCAGCACAGAAGAATGGGAAGATTAAAAAAGCAGTTCTCTGTGTACAAAGGTGCCGGAGCTGTTGTGGGTTTTAGCGCCGCTGTCTCGGCTCTGATCCAGTAGAACGCAGAGCTGCACTTATGAAAAGTACGCGGCTCGAAATGGCTGTTATTTCTAAGAACATGGAATATTTTAAACTATGCGGTAAACCGGTTTCAACCGGTTAATGAGGCTCGGTGGTCGGTCATGAGAATTCATAGTTTTTTACATCCCTACTCTGAACACAGACACCCTGCAGAGCTGCATTATTGGAGATCTTTACACGAGAAGCCGCTAGCATAATTCTGTTAGCATCAGAGCCTGCCGGCTACTTCCGCCACTTCTGGCGCGCACCAGGACGTTCTGTTGTGAAGACCCCTGCGTCTGAAAACTAGAGAATGCGTGTCTGGTGAGCGAGGCTTCAGCCCTTGAGCGTTTGCGGTCTGAAAGTACCATCAATCGACCCGCAGCCATTGTTTTAGTTTTCTCGGCTTCGCATTTCCAAATGTACAGAGCAGCAGAGAAGTCACTGACTGAAGCTGTCTCCATGTAAACAGGAGGCCAAACCGATTCCAACTCTAACGTTTTACTGTCGCAGCTTCTCAGTCTAAACTGGGCCTTAGTGTAATGTTGTGTTTGTGTTGCAGCCTCAGTGTAATGTTGTGTTTGTGTTGCAGCTGGGCCCTACCCCTACACTCTGAAGTTGTGTTTCTCCACCGTGCAGCACGGCACCTCCAACATGTAGACCGGTTCCTTACATGTGGATGACGTCATTGTTTTGTATTATATCATGTTCCTTTGTATTCGCCGCTGTCCCTGGAATAAAACGTTATTTGAGTTGAGTTTCATTAAACAAGTTTAACTAGATCTGAGTTTATTTAAATGACCTGGTTTTAATGTTTTAATTATTTTGTTGTTTGAAAAGCAGACTGAGAGCTGCAGCCTTTTTTACTCTTTCTACCACTCTCTTTTGGTGAATTTTAGTGAATCAAAAATAAGATGAATAAATACGTTTTTGAGATGCCAAGTGTTGAAGTTTGTAACATGATTAATTCCCCGTGTTTCAGCTTGTTCCACTCTTTTCTGATAAATTCTAAACGTGTTTGCGGTGTGTGGAATTGCTGTTGAATAAAGAACCAGTGAGACCCATTGAAATGCTTGTTCTTGAATGTCGTGTGACTCGGTCCGGGCGGAAGTGGGTGTTCGGCGGTGATGCTGCGCACGCTGCTTCAGTCTCATTCATGTGATTGGTCCACACAGCCTCATCCACAGCTCCGCGGCCCTCCTGTTCCGCTCTGCCTGGGAACATGGCTGCTGAGGCGGCTCTGGGGCTCCGCAGCTCCGGCCCCACACTCTGCCCGAGCTTCGCGGTGGTCTGCTCTTTCCTCGACCGCTATGGAGCCGCGCTGGACCTCCCGGAGCTCTCCTTCCCGCAGATGGAGACGTATTTACGGGATACGTCGACAGGTTAGCGGCGTGAGCGGCTGTCGGTGTGGGGGACCGGGGCCAGGGCCAGAGGCTGTAAACACTGCGACATAAGTCACAGCAGCAGCATCCTCCACACGGGACAGGAGCTGCTCAGGGGCCCCAGCCTTTATACCTTTGGGCCCCAAAGCCTGACCCTATCCTGGGGTCGCACTGATCCTTCCTCTGAGGGGCACTTGAGGCTCAAGGGGGGTCTACATTACTCAACATAAATACAATCGAGAGGCCTCTTTCAGGATTTAAATTGGATTTCTGATTAAAATCACTTATTTGACTTAAAGCTGGGGAACCCAACTTTCAAACCACAAAAAATAACCAATGAAATATTCATGAAACTACTCCCTCAAAACAGTTTAGTTCTAGTTTGCACATGCTTGGCTTCTCAAATCTTCAGAACAGCTGTTTCAGACTGAAAAGTGAAAAAGAGGACCCCCCATAGAGTGACTTTTACAGTAGGATGAAAAGATACTTCATCTGACTGACTACAATAACTACTATCTGCTGTTTACATGTTTGATTCATGATAATTTAGGCCCCAGCTATTTTACATTTGTGAGAACAGATGAACTAATCTCTTAGAGTAAAGTAGACTCAGAACTATAATGGCGACATGGTTAGGGTTGTATAATTACTGTATTATTATGCCTGAATAAAGATATACACAATTCTCAGTTTATCTTTCAATTTGTGTTTTGGGCTTTTCCGAGGGCACAATAAGTTCCATCACATCCTGTTCATAAACATTTGATCATAGAAATCTCCCTGTTCCTCACTGTGCCCTGTCACTCCTGACTCCTGCTCCTTGTAAAACTCAATGTACAGTCTGAAACCAGAGGCTGCTTTCCTCTGCAAGGTCCAGTGTCCCCGTACATGTCATCGATGGTACTGTATATAAACACATGCGTCTATGGTCTATGGCCCCTCACCAGAGTCATGTGCTCAGGTCCTGATGGTATGAAATGTTAAGTCTGTTGTCTCTCCCAGTGCCCAGGCCCCTGGTGGAGCTCCACGTCAAGCTGCTCAGGAAGTTGGGAAAGATGGCGTCGGCTGACCGCTGGGAGAAGTACCTGGCCAAGGTGTGTGTGTGTGTGTGTGTGAGACATGCAGCCTGCTCTTAAGGCACAATGGGCAGAATAAGTGCCATTATCAATAATCTGATAAGTATCCTTCTGCATTACTAAAACTTTCCAATATTTGTTTTCACACAACTGACCTGCATTTTTTGGGACAACAGTGGCAATGGTTGGTGTGTTGTTTGAACCTGTGTCATCTTTGGCTCCAAGCAGGAGATGGGAATGTGTCAAAATTAAAGGGTTGAAAATGATCTTTTTAGGGTATAATATTTCTGACTTCATCAAACCTTTATACCAGAGGGAGTCACATTATGATGCACACCGACCATTTTGTATATTGTGTTGTTGCAATTTGTTATTTAGACGAACATTTAAAATCAGCAACATGACTGTAGCAAAGCCATCGCTCTGAGCTGCGCTGATGAAACCACAGGCTGGGAGTGGTGGACTTTTTGGTGTTCTTACATAAAGTTCTTCTCCAGGAGTCCAGCTCCGCGACGCGTCTGTGTCCTGAGAATACAGCAGTATCTGAGTACTTCTTTATCAGTGATCTTGTCAGCAGCAGTGTTTCATCATTGGGGAAGAATGTGAACTCAGGGTGAAGACAAGCACTGTGTCCCCCATTGTCAGTCCTGGTTTAGTCCTAGTTTAGTCCTGGTTTAGTCTTGGCTTTGCAATTGTTTTGGCTGTTTTTGAGTGCCTTCCTCCTGCTCTTAGCGGCTTGTGTCCATGTGACCACTTTGGTGCTCTCTGATTGATTACTGTAGAAAATATCAGGAGCTGGTGGTGGTGTGTGATGGCAGCTGTGGTGACCGGGGGTGTCCCTATCTTCTCCCACTAACAGCCACGAATGAAAAGGACTTGTAAATAGTTTAAAAAACACTACTATCAATTTGACCAAGTATAATATACTGGCTGGTTAGAAAAAAGAAAACATAGAAACAAATCGTATAAATTGTGGTTGAAGGAAAGTTACTAACATAGTGCTGCGTGATGATTGGCTGTTGACATAGTGCTGCTTGGGGATTGGCAGGTTGACATAGTGCTGCGTGATGATTGGCTGTTGACATAGTGCTGCTTGGGGATTGGCTGGGGACATAGTGCTGCATGGTGATTGGCTGTTGACATAGTGCTACGTGGTGATTGGCTGGGGACATTGTGCTGCGTGGGGATTGGCTGGGGACATTGTGCTGCGTGGTGATTGGCTGTTGACATGGTCCGGCATGGTGATTGGCTGTTGACATAGTGCTGCGTGGTGATTGGCTGTTGACATTGTGCTGCGTGGTGATTGGCTGTTGACATTGTGCTGCGTGGTGATTGGCTGTTGACATTGTGCTGCGTGGTGATTGGCTGTTGACATTGTGCTGCGTGGTGATTGGCTGGGGATATTCTTGTGCTGATTGCCTTGTTGTTGGACATTACTTTGCTACTGGCTCCAAACACACGGATGTAAATATATATATACAAACATTAATACAATTTTTCTTCTTTCCACTCCTTTTCGAGTTTGATTAATGTACAATTTTGTAATTAATTATTTTTTGAAAATTCTATGTTGTTAAATCTGATTATTAATGTTAGATATATATTGAACTTGAAATAAAATAAACACTCAACTTATATCAATAATTGCAAATACTTTACTGATGTGTGTTTTGTGTGCAGTTTTGCCTGGAGCTCAACAGTGCGTGGGCCTGGGAGATGGAGCACAGAGGCTACCAGGAGATGACCATGGAGTGCAAGTCGGGCATCCTCAAAGTACGTACCCCAAAACCAGGAAATCACTTCATAATTCAATTCCATTTATTTTGTATGGCCCTGAATCACAACAGTAGTTATCTCTCAGAGGACTTTGCAAAACTGTCGATTCACTAACACAGATCAAAGAATTAAACAGTTAAAACGCAAGAAATGCAATGATATAAAAAAGGGGCGGAGACCAAAGTCCGTAAATGTCGTTTAATGTGGAGTGTCCTTAGACCCTCCTGCATCAGAGGAAGAACTCTAAAAACCCAGTGAGAGAAAGGGAGAAACCTCGGGGAGGGGGCGGGGGTTGTGGATCCATGAGTCAGGCTGTAGAACGAGGACCAAGGCCACACCTTGCAATCTAAAACAAGATATGACAAACGTAAATTGTCTCATTATTATTTTGATTGGAGAAAAACATTGTGTTCTGTTTCTGCTTTAAAAGAGCAATACGTGCTATTGAGAAGAGGGGGATGGAAACTTCTGATCAGGGTCAGAAGAGGAGTTTCGTTAACGTTTTATGATTTTCTGTCTGGATTTATTTATTTATTCTATTTCATTTATTTTCTCTCTCACCTCTCACTCACGTCGCTCTCACTCCCCCCCCTCTCTCTCACTTGCACATCTCTCTCTCCCCTCTCTCTTACTCCTCTCTCTCTCACGCCTTTCACTCACTCCTCTCTCTCTTACCCATCTCGCTCAACCCTCTCTCACTCCCTCCTCTCCCCCCCCCCACCCCTCTCTCCCATGCCTCTCTCTGTCCAGTATCTCTGCGAGTGTCAGTTTGACGAGAACCTGAAGCTGAAGTGTGCAGTGAACGAGGAGGATCCAGAGAAAATGCGCCTGGAGCCGATCGGCCGCGACCGCAGAGGCCTCCTGTACTGGCTCCAGAGGGACCAGGACCACAACGTCCGGCTCTACACCGAGGAGCAGGACGACTGGGACGGCTCCAGCTGGAGGTGCATCGTCAGGTACCATCTCACAAACTCTCACCCTCTCACACACTCGCCCTCTCTCACACGCTCTCACCCTCTCACACACTTGCCCTCTCATACTCACCCTCCCACACATTCACACACTCACCCTCCCACACACTCTCACGCACACACACTCTCACGCACACACTCACCTGTCTCACACTGACACACACAACCAACTCACCCATCTCACGCTCTCACCATAACACACTCACCTGCACACATACTCACCCTCCCACACTCACACACACTTAACCCTCCTGCACTCACAACTCCCACACACTCACCCTCTCACACTCACCAACCCACACTTACCCTCACACAAACTCTCACACACACTCGCCCTCACACAAACTCTCACACACACTCGCCCTCACACACACTCTCACACACGCGCCCTCACACATACTCTCACACACGCGCCCTCACACACACTCTCACACACGCGCCCTCACACACACTCTCACACTCTTTCACACTCAACCTCTCACACACTCACACTTACCCTCACACTTACTCACCCTTTCACACACTCACCCTCACACACACTCACCCTCTCACACACTCACCCTGCCACACACTCACTTGTCCTACCAGTGGGGAGGTGTTTGTGCCAATGTGTGCCACAATGTGGAGCTAAAGGTGTGTTATTAACAACTGTAACATAGTTAAAGGTGTTATGCTCCCGTTAGAGTGCCCCCTGGTGGCCTCTGTGTGCACTGTGTAAAGCCTTGCTGTGTGATCTCTTCTCCCTCAGGTCTCGGGAGGATCTGGAGCTGGCTCTGAAGCTGCTGAAGGCCCAGGTGGAGGTCGGCCCAGAGCTCGTGGACCCTCTCTGCGCCACAGCCACACAGGGTAGGCCCCCCATCATGGTCTCATGCTGGGAGCTCCGTGGGAGCTCAATAAACCAGTCTGATGCAGGAGAATAAAATGGATTATCACATCATTTTTATGAACACATGTCATAATACCATTGAATTCTATACAACTTCAACAGCTGTCGTCTTGGAGGACTTTACAAAGTTGTAAAAGTTGTTTATGATCATAAGAATTTTTATCCATGTGTGTGAGGTTGAAAACAGAGGTGAAACTCTTCTGACCTTTTCTGTTCCAGACCACGGCCACCACGGCTCAGAGCCAGCTCCAGGTGCTGGTGTGTGGCCTTGTTCCATCAAGCAGGAGCCCTGTCCCCGAGGTACCACTGCTCCACAACACAAGTCCTAAACTGAACATTTATGTCTAAGAGCTTCAGTCAAATCTAAGCTTCAGGAGCACAAGGCTTTACTTTATCTTGATTCATATTCCCAGAGAAATCCTGATTTAAATGTATTCTTTTATAGCCCTGAACAGTTTATCTCGAAGAACTTAAAAAAAACTGTTTAATACGCCAGCACAGATCAGAAAATCAACAGTTCAACACAAGAAATGCAATGATATAAAAACACATAGAGCCATTGGTCCATAAGGAGCAGAGACCAGTGTTCATGAATGTTGTTGAATGATGAGTTGAGTGTCCTGGATCATCATCATCACTCATTTGAAATGAACGAACATGTTTGTTCAATAATAAAGCCTTATTACATGTACGCCTCCCAATGCCCCGTCTGAAGGTGATGGTACACGTCAGTCTCTTCAGTGGAGCATTTTGCTTCACATGCTTTAGGGAAGAGACGCGACGCTCACAGTCCTGCCCTGTCTCCCCCTGAACCCCTCCCTCTGAGTCTGCATGTGTCAACTAAACTCACTCATTATCACTCATTCGAATGTTATGTCCTTATATGGTCTGTTTCTGATAACAATGTTGTGTGGTTAAAGAGTCGTGGATCATCCTGAATAAACATCCTGAATACATGTAAAATAAACATGTATGAATGATTCTTCCTCTGTCCCCTCCTGACTTTGGTGTATGCTTCTCCTTCTGTGCAGAGGTCCAGGACATGCGTCCTAAGGTAGAGTCCGCAGAGGCTCCACTCAGCCACAAACCGCTTGTTTTGGACAACCGCGTGTCGACCATCACCGCAGTAACATCTCCCAACAGCAACGCCACGCCCAGAGCCGACTCTCACACCGGCATCGTGCGCAGCAGCCAGCAGGCCACCATGCCCCTGAAGAAACGGGAGCTCAAGCTTTCTCAGGACGACCACCTCAACAACCACCACTGCAGCACCATCGTCCCCAACCCCTCCGTCATCCGCTCCACCACCTCGCTCTGCCCCGCCCCCCCGCTGACCAACGGCCTCACCCCCAGTGCGGGGCGCGTGGCGGTCATCTGCAACCTGCACCAAAGCAACGCACAAGGAAGGGAGTCGGTGCTGGTTCAACAGACCGACGTCAGAATCAACTCTGTGCGTCCGTCTTCAGAGCCTCCCAAAGAGAAAGAGGCGTGTGTGGATGTGAGGCCCTCTGTGGATGTGAGACCCTCTGTGGATGTGAGGCCCTCTGTGGATGTGAGGCCCTCTGTGGATGTGAGGCCCTCTGTGGATGTGAGGCCCTCTGTGGATGTGAGGCCCTCTGTGGATGTGAGGCCCTCTGTGGATGTGAGGCCCTCTGTGGATGTGAGGCCCCCTGTGGATGTGAGGCCCCCTGTGGATGTGAGGCCCCCTGTGGATGTGAGGCCCCCTGTGGATGTGAGGCCCCCTGTGGATGTGAGGCCCTCTGTGGATGTGAGGCCCCCTGTGGATGTGAGGCCCTCTGTGGATGTGAGGCCCCCTGTGGATGTGAGGCCCTCTGTGGATGTGAGGCCCTCTGTGGACGTGAGGCCCTCTGTGGATGTGAGGCCCTCTGTGGATGTGAGGCCCTCTGTGGACCCGGCACAGACCCTGACAGAGAACAGGACTGAGCTCGCGGTGCAGAGGAGTCCAGACCCAGAGAAGGCCACGGTGAACGGCGCCCTGGGCTCTGGGACCGTCCCGGACACTCCTGTGGAGAAGGCGTCGTCAGAGCTGCAGAAGGAGGGCATTCGACTCAAGATTAAGGTGAGTCTTTCTGTATTTGCCACAGAAGTGAAAACTTGTCAGGATTTGAGGTTCTGTCCAGTGCACAGCGGCAGAACTGGCTTGGAACTATTGTGTTCATATTTTCAAATCAATCCATTCTTTTGCCTTCATGTTTTTATGCTTTAAAGCTGCCTCCTTTTCATGTTTACAAAAAGAGTCATGTAAGAAGAGAAAGGAACGAGTTACACAGATGTCCACCATGAGGAGATACCAGGAGACAGGCTAGTCCACCATGAGGAGATACCAGGAGACAGGCTAGTCCACCATGAGGAGATACCAGGAGACAGGCTGGTCCACCATGAGGAGATACCAGGAGACAGGCTGGTCCACCATGAGGAGATACCAGGAGACAGGCTAGTCCACCATGAGGAGATACCAGGAGACAGGCTAGTCCACCATGAGGAGATACCAGGAGACAGGCTAGTACACCATGAGGAGATACCAGGAGACAGGCTAGTCCACCATGAGGAGATACCAGGAGACAGGCTAGTACACCATGAGGAGATACCAGGAGACAGGCTAGTACACCATGAGGAGATACCAGGAGACAGGCTAGTCCACCATGAGGAGATACCAGGAGACAGGCTGGTCCACCATGAGGAGATACCAGGAGACAGGCTAGTCCACCATGAGGAGATACCAGGAGACAGGCTAGTCCACCATGAGGAGATACCAGGAGACAGGCTGGTCCACCATGAGGAGATACCAGGAGACAGGCTGGTCCACCATGAGGAGATACCAGGAGACAGGCTAGTCCACCATGAGGAGATACCAGGAGACAGGCTAGTCCACCATGAGGAGATACCAGGAGACAGGCTAGTACACCATGAGGAGATACCAGGAGACAGGCTAGTCCACCATGAGGAGATACCAGGAGACAGGCTAGTACACCATGAGGAGATACCAGGAGACAGGCTAGTACACCATGAGGAGATACCAGGAGACAGGCTAGTCCACCATGAGGAGATACCAGGAGACAGGCTAGTCCACCATGAGGAGATACCAGGAGACAGGCTAGTCCACCATGAGGAGATACCAGGAGACAGGCTATTCCACCATGAGGAGATACCAGGAGACAGGCTAGTCCACCATGAGGAGATACCAGGAGACAGGCTAGTCCACCATGAGGAGATACCAGGAGACAGGCTAGTCCACCATGAGGAGATACCAGGAGACAGGCTAGTCCACCATGAGGAGATACCAGGAGACAGGCTAGTCCACCATGAGGAGATACCAGGAGACAGGCTAGTCCACTATGAGGAGATACCAGGAGACAGGCTGGTCCACCATGAGGAGATACCAGGAGACAGGCTGGTCCACCATGAGGAGATACCAGGAGACAGGCTAGTCCACTATGAGGAGATACCAGGAGACAGGCTGGTCCACCATGAGGAGATACCAGGAGACAGGCTGGTCCACCATGAGGAGATACCAGGAGACAGGCTAGTCCACCATGAGGAGATACCAGGAGACAGGCTAGTCCACCATGAGGAGATACCAGGAGACAGGCTAGTCCACCATGAGGAGATACCAGGAGACAGGCTAGTCCACCATGAGGAGATACCAGGAGACAGGCTAGTCCACTATGAGGAGATACCAGGAGACAGGCTGGTCCACCATGAGGAGATACCAGGAGACAGGCTGGTCCACCATGAGGAGATACCAGGAGACAGGCTAGTCCACCATGAGGAGAGATACCAGGAGACAGGCTAGTCCACCATGAGGAGATACCAGGAGACAGGCTGGTCCACCATGAGGAGATACCAGGAGACAGGCTGGTCCACCATGAGGAGATACCAGGAGACAGGCTAGTCCACCATGAGGAGATACCAGGAGACAGGCTAGTCCACCATGAGGAGATACCAGGAGACAGGCTAGTACACCATGAGGAGATACCAGGAGACAGGCTAGTCCACCATGAGGAGATACCAGGAGACAGGCTAGTACACCATGAGGAGATACCAGGAGACAGGCTAGTACACCATGAGGAGATACCAGGAGACAGGCTAGTCCACCATGAGGAGATACCAGGAGACAGGCTGGTCCACCATGAGGAGATACCAGGAGACAGGCTAGTCCACCATGAGGAGATACCAGGAGACAGGCTAGTCCACCATGAGGAGATACCAGGAGACAGGCTGGTCCACCATGAGGAGATACCAGGAGACAGGCTGGTCCACCATGAGGAGATACCAGGAGACAGGCTAGTCCACCATGAGGAGATACCAGGAGACAGGCTAGTCCACCATGAGGAGATACCAGGAGACAGGCTAGTACACCATGAGGAGATACCAGGAGACAGGCTAGTCCACCATGAGGAGATACCAGGAGACAGGCTAGTACACCATGAGGAGATACCAGGAGACAGGCTAGTACACCATGAGGAGATACCAGGAGACAGGCTAGTCCACCATGAGGAGATACCAGGAGACAGGCTAGTCCACCATGAGGAGATACCAGGAGACAGGCTAGTCCACCATGAGGAGATACCAGGAGACAGGCTATTCCACCATGAGGAGATACCAGGAGACAGGCTAGTCCACCATGAGGAGATACCAGGAGACAGGCTAGTCCACCATGAGGAGATACCAGGAGACAGGCTAGTACACCATGAGGAGATACCAGGAGACAGGCTAGTCCACCATGAGGAGATACCAGGAGACAGGCTAGTCCACCATGAGGAGATACCAGGAGACAGGCTAGTCCACCATGAGGAGATACCAGGAGACAGGCTAGTACACCATGAGGAGATACCAGGAGACAGGCTAGTCCACCATGAGGAGATACCAGGAGACAGGCTAGTCCACCATGAGGAGATACCAGGAGACAGGCTAGTCCACCATGAGGAGATACCAGGAGACAGGCTAGTCCACCATGAGGAGATACCAGGAGACAGGCTAGTCCACCATGAGGAGATACCAGGAGACAGGCTAGTCCACCATGAGGAGATACCAGGAGACAGGCTAGTACACCATGAGGAGATACCAGGAGACAGGCTAGTCCACCATGAGGAGATACCAGGAGACAGGCTAGTACACCATGAGGAGATACCAGGAGACAGGCTAGTCCACCATGAGGAGATACCAGGAGACAGGCTAGTACACCATGAGGAGATACCAGGAGACAGGCTAGTCCACCATGAGGAGATACCAGGAGACAGGCTAGTCCACCATGAGGAGATTACCAGGAGACAGTCTAGTCCACCATGAGGAGATACCAGGAGACAGTCTAGTCCACCATGAGGAGATACCAGGAGACAGGCTAGTCCACCATGAGGAGATACCAGGAGACAGGCTAGTCCACCATGAGGAGATACCAGGAGACAGGCTAGTACACCATGAGGAGATACCAGGAGACAGGCTAGTCCACCATGAGGAGATACCAGGAGACAGGCTAGTCCACCATGAGGAGATACCAGGAGACAGGCTAGTACACCAGAAGACCAGGAGGCAAAGGTCGGAAACAATTCATAAGCGGGAGAGTTACTGTTCCTTCACAGAGGAGCAGGAGGAGGAGCAGGAGGAGATTTTCAGTTCAGACTCTTCTTTTATCCTACATGCCTTTATTCAATCAACAAAACCCCACAAACCCCTCACTCTTCACTCAAACATCTGAGTGAAGAGTGAGGGGTTTTGTGGTCCCTGAGGGTGACCATGTGTCGTCCTCTAGATCCCTCCTCGACACCAGAACAGGCTCCGAGGCAGAAGTGGGAAGCGCCAGGACAGAGGCCCAGAAGGAGAGAGGGAGGCCCCACTGAGGAGGTCCGCCCGTATCTGCAGGTAACACACACACACACACACACGCACACACATACACAGAGATAAACTTACATATATACACATATATACACATACACATACACGCACCTATGCTCACATACATACAAACACACACGCTCAAACTCATTTAAAATTCCAAATCTAATGACACAAGAAAATCCTCCATAGATTTGTTCTTATTGCATTTCTCTGACAGTTTGTACATCTCACTGTCGCAGCTGTATTGGCTTTGATTCCTCCAGGTTCCTACTGGTCAAATCCTGCCGTGCTCTGGCTCCACTAACACAAGCTTTGGACATGACCACACGTTAACTGCTGTGACATCACTTTATATCAGAGTGAAATGAGTCTGAGGTGTTTGAATGTGACGACAGGCCCAGCTCCAAGGCCGTGCAGAGCCAGCGGAGGAGGCGCGTCCATCAGCCCAGGACAGGAGTGCGGGGGAGGAGGAGGAGGAAGGTAAGGGCCATACACAGGACAGGACAGGTGTGGAGGAGGAGGAGGAGGGTAAGGGCCATACACAGGACAGGCGTGTGGGGGAGGAAGAGGAGGAGGAAGAGGAGGAGGAGGAGGAAGGTAAGGGCCATACACAGGACAGGTGTGTGAGGGAGGAGGAGGAGGATGCACAAGGCCGGTGTGCGGGGGAGGAGGAGGAGGATGCACAAGACCGGTGTGCGGGGGAGGAGGAGGAGGAGGAGGAGGATGCAGAGGACAGGTGTGTGGGGGAGGAAGAGGAGGAGGAGGATGCACAAGACCGGTGTGCGGGGGAGGAAGAGGATGCAGAGGACAGGTGTGTGGGGGAGGAGGAGGAGGATGCAGAGGACAGGTGTGTGGGGGAGGAGGAGGAGGAGGAGGATGCAGAGGACAGGTGTGTGGGGGAGGAGGAGGAGGAGGAGGATGCAGAGGACAGGTGTGCGGGGGAGGAGGAGGAGGAGTCTCAGATCCTGGGACATCAATCTGCTCGGCGTATCTTGTGTAAAACTCAAAGTAGCAGAAGCAGATTTCTTCCATTATGCTCCTTGTAAATGGAACACGTGTTCTGACACTGACCTTATCTGATCCATCCTCTGCTGAGAAATGTGCTTAACGTGGGACAAGAGGAAAATGACAAAGTCTGGGGTTGTGTCGTTCATTCAGACAGAAGACATGTTTTATTAGTGTATGTTACAGAATGCATGTGATAATATACAGCATGGAGGAATGGAGACCGTCCAATCCGCATTCGCCAACGTGCCAGTAGCTTGGCCTTCAGAAAACCAGCACATGCAATGGAAAAATACTGCCTTGAGCATATTGTTAGAACGACTGTTAGAACGAGTGTACCTTTCACCACAGTTACCTCAAAGTGTCATGAAATACACAAAGATGAATCAAAGTAAGAAATGTTGTATGAATAAATGGTGTGTCGTGTCGTTTAGATCCATGTCTTTATGAATCTTCTCACTCAGGGACGTCCCAATGCCACCAACAGAGCCAAAGTGAAGCTGGAGACACTGGAGGAGCCCAAGGAGGAGCCTGGGAAGGAACCTAAGGAGGAGGCGCAGGAGGAGGCCAGCCCAGCAGACGCATGTGCACGCTGTGGACTGGCCACTCTCCCAGAGCTGGTACTCTCTACACTCATCTGCAGAGGGCGCTGTTTACTGGGAATCTTGTTGTTGATATAATTAACAAACTATCTATAATCACAAGCTTGATGTGTGAGTCTGACACAGTATGTTGTTAACCGTAACAGCAGAGAATGAAAAACGAAATACTTTTATTGCCAATGAATTTAAGTAAGTCAGTAAGTTTTATTTATATAGCGCATTTTAAAGACCAAGGTCACCCAAAGCGCTTCACCATGCTCAGATTCCAGATATTATTCCAATTATTCGGCATTATTCCAATTATTCGGCACGGTGGCTGAGTGGATAGCACTCTCGCCTCTCAGCAAGAAGGTCCTGGGTTCGAATCCCGGTTGGACCAGGGCCTTTCTGAGTGGAGTTTGCATGTTCTCCCCGTGTCTGCGTAGGTTTCCTCCGGGTGCTCCGGTTTCCCCTACCACTAAAAATATGTACAATAGATCTGGCATGTGCCTCCTGTACTGGCACCCCCAATCCCAATAATCACAATTGTAAACCGCTTTGAGACTCCGATGTGCAGTGAAAAGGCGCTATATAAATAAAGATTACTTACTATTCCACACACGGTGATGACGGAAGCGAGTCGCCAAACACTCTGGACCATCAGCCCCAATCAACACCATCCATTCACTCTCTCATTTACATTTATACCTATTGTGCATATGAGCACCCGGAGGAAATCTACGCAAACACAGGGAGAACATGCAAACTCCACTCAGAAAAGCCCTGCTCCGACAGGGATTCGAACCCAGGACCTTCTTGCTGAGAAGCGATAATGCTAACCACTCAGCCACCGTGCCGCCCAGTGAAGTGAAGCCTGTTAAAAGCAGAATAGATTTCTACCTTCTCAGAATCATTCATTTCAATAGGAAACCAGGTCTTTTGAATCACCCCGGTATGATCTGTGTTTTGTGATGGTAAATAAGTGACGTGTGTGTGACGTGTGTGTGACGTGTGTGTGACGTGTGTGTAACGTGTGTGTAACGTGTGTGTAACGTGTGTGTAACGTGTGTGTAACGTGTGTGTAACGTGTGTGTAACGTGTGTGTAACGTGTTCCTCAGATCCTGTTGTGCGACAGCTGTGATGCAGGTATCCACACGGCCTGTCTGCGTCCTCCGCTCATGCTGGTCCCAGACGGAGAGTGGTTCTGCCCCCACTGCCAACACGTGAGTCCTCTGCACCTGTGTCCTCTGTCCTCTGCACCTCTGTCCTCTGTCCTCTGCTCATCTGCACCTGTGTCCTCTGCACCTTTGTCCTCTGTCCTCTGTCCTCTACACCTGTGTCCTCTGCACCTGTGTCCTCTGCACCCGTGTCCTCTACACCTGTGTCCTCTGCACCTGTGTCCTCTGCACCCGTGTCCTCTGCACCCGTGTCCTCTGCACCTGTGTCCTCTGCACCTCTGTCCTCTGCACCTGTGTCCTCTGCTCCTCTGTCCTCTGCACCTGTGTTCTCTGCACCTGTGTTCTCTGCACCTGTGTCCTCTGCACCTGTGTCCTCTGCACCTCTGTCCTCTGCACCTGTGTCCTCTGTCCTCTGCACCTCTGTCCTCTGTCCTCTGCACCTGTGTCCTCTGTCCGCTGCACCTCTGTCCTCTGTCCTCTGCACTTCTGTCCTCTGTACTCTGCACCTCTGTCCTCTGCACTTCTGTCCTCTGCACCTCTGTCCTCTGCACCTCTGTCCTCTGTCCTCTGCACCTCTGTCCTCTGCCCCTCTGTCCTCTGCACCTCTGTCCTCTGTACCTGTGTCCTCTGCACCTCTGTCCTCTGTCCGCTGCACCTCTGTCCTCTACACCTGTGTCCTCTACACCTGTGTCCTCTGCACCTGTGTCCTCTGCACCTGTGTCCTCTGCACCTCTGTCCTCTGCACCTGTGTCCTCTGCACCTGTGTCCTCTGCACCTGTGTCCTCTGCACTTCTGTCCTCTGCACCTGTGTCCTCTGCACCTCTGTCCTCTGCACCTGTGTCCTCTGCACCTCTGTCCTCTGTCCCCTGCACCTCTATCCTCTGTACCTGTGTCCTCTGCACCTGTGTCCTCTGTCCTCTGCACCTCTGTCCTCTGTCCTCTGCACTTCTGTCCTCTGTACTCTGCACCTCTGTCCTCTGCACTTCTGTACTCTGCACCTCTGTCCTCTGTACTCTGCACCTCTGTCCTCTGCCCCTCTGTCCTCTGCACCTCTGTCCGCTGCATCTCTGTCCTCTATACCTGTGTCCTCTACACCTGTGTCCTCTGCACCTGTGTCCTCTGCACCTGTATCCTCTGCACCTCTGTCCTCTGCACCTGTGTCCTCTGCACCTGTGTCCTCTGCACCTGTGTCCTCTGCACCTGTGTCCTCTGCACCTCTGTCCTCTGCACCTGTGTCCTCTGCACCTCTGTCCTCTGCACCTGTGTCCTCTGCACCTCTGTCCTCTGTCCCCTGCACCTCTGTACCTGTGTCCTCTGCACCTGTGTCCTCTGTCCTCTGCACCTCTGTCCTCTGCACCTCTGTCCTCTGCACTTTTGTACTCTGCACCTGTGTCCTCTGCACCTGTGTCCTCTGCACCTGTGTCCTCTGCACCTCTGTCCTCTGTCCTCTGCTCCTCTGTCCTCTGCACCTGTGTCCTCTGCACCTCTGTCCTCTGCACCTGTGTCCTCTGTCCTCTGCACCTCTGTCCTCTGTCCACTGCACCTCTGTCCTCTGTACCTGTGTCCTCTGCACCTGTGTCCTCTGTCCTCTGCACCTGTGTCCTCTGCACCTCTGTCCTCTGCACCTGTGTCCTCTGTCCTCTGCACCTCTGTCCTCTGTCCACTGCACCTCTGTCCTCTGCACCTCTGTCCTCTGTACCTGTGTCCTTTGCACCTGTGTCCTCTGTCCTCTGCACCTCTGTCCGCTGCACCTCTGTCCTCTGCACCTCTGTCCTCTGTACCTGTGTCCTCTGTACCTGTGTCCTCTGCACCTCTGTCCTCTGTCCTCTGCACTTCTGTCCTCTGTACTCTGCACCTCTGTCCTCTGCACCTCTGTCCTCTGCACCTCTGTCCTCTGTACCTGTGTCCTCTGCACCTCTGTCCTCTGTCCTCTGCACTTCTGTCCTCTGTACTCTGCACCTCTGTCCTCTGCACTTCTGTCCTCTGCACCTCTGTCCTCTGCACCTCTGTCCTCTGCACCTCTGTCCTCTGCACCTCTGTCCTCTGTACCTGTGTCCTCTGCACCTGTGTCCTCTGCACCTGTGTCCTCTGCACCTCTGTCCTCTGCACCTCTGTCCTCTGCACTTCTGTCCTCTGTACTCTGCACCTCTGTCCTCTGCACTTCTGTCCTCTGCACCTCTGTCCTCTGCACCTCTGTCCTCTGCACCTCTGTCCTCTGCACCTCTGTCCTCTGCACCTCTGTCCTCTGTACCTGTGTCCTCTGCACCTGTGTCCTCTGCACCTGTGTCCTCTGCACCTCTGTCCTCTGTCCTCTGCACCTCTGTCCTCTGTCCTCTGCACTTCTGTCCTCTGTACTCTGCACCTCTGTCCTCTGCACTTCTGTCCTCTGCACCTCTGTCCTCTGCACCTCTGTCCTCTGCACCTCTGTCCTCTGCACCTCTGTCCTCTGCACCTCTGTCCTCTGCACCTCTGTCCTCTGTACCTGTGTCCTCTGCACCTGTGTCCTCTGCACCTGTGTCCTCTGCACCTGTGTCCTCTGCACCTCTGTCCTCTGCTCCTCTGTCCTCTGCTCCTCTGTCCTCTGCACCTGTGTCCTCTGCACCTCTGTCCTCTGCACCTGTGTCCTCTGCACCTCTGTCCTCTGCACCTGTGTCCTCTGTCCTCTGCACCTCTGTCCTCTGTTCACTGCACCTCTGTCCTCTGCACCTCTGTCCTCTGCACCTGTGTCCTCTGCACGTGTGTCCTCTGCACCTCTGTCCTCTGCACCTGTGTCCTCTGTCCTCTGCACCTCTGTCCTCTGCTCCTCTGTCCTCTGCACCTGTGTCCTCTGCACCTGTGTCCTCTGCACCTCTGTCCTCTGCACCTGTGTCCTCTGCACCTCTGTCCTCTGCACCTGTGTCCTCTGTCCTCTGCACCTCTGTCCTCTGCACCTCTGTCCTCTGTTCCTGTGTCCTCTGCACCTGTGTCCTCTGTCCTCTGCACCTCTGTCCGCTGCACCTCTGTCCTCTGCACCTCTGTCCTCTGTACCTGTGTCCTCTGCACCTCTGTCCTCTGCACTTCTGTCCTCTGCACCTCTGTCCTCTGCACCTCTGTCCTCTGCACCTCTGTCCGCTGCACCTCTGTCCTCTGCACCTCTGTCCTCTGCACCTCTGTCCTCTGCCCCTCTGTCCTCTGCACCTCTGTCCTCTGCACCTCTGTTCGCTGCACCTCTGTCCTCTGCACCTCTGCCCGCTGCACCTCTGTCCTCTGCACCTCTGTCCTCTGCCCCTCTGTCCTCTGCCCCTCTGCACCTCTGTCCTCTGTCCTCTGCACCTCTGTCCTCTGCACCTCTGTCCTCTGCACCTCTGTCCTCTGCCCCTCTGTCCTCTGCCCCTCTGTCCTCTGCACCTCTGTCCTCTGCACCTCTGTCCTCTGCCCCTCTGTCCTCTGTCCTCTGCACCTCTGTCCTCTGCACCTCTGTCCTCTGCTCCTCTGTCAGGACGGTCACATGGTCTGGAGGGTTTTGCATGATGTGTGTATGTCTCATGAGTCTGTGTGCAGCTGTGGATCCAGAGCGTGATGTGTGTGTGTGTCATGAGTCTGTGTGCAGCTGTAGATCCAGAGCGTGATGTGTGTGTGTGTCCGCTGTCCCGCAGAAGCAGCTGTGTGAGCGTCTGGAGGAGCAGCTCAGCAGCTTGGACTGTGCCCTGAAGAGACAGGAGGTGGCGGACCGACGGTACGCACTCTCCCCATCCTCCCCCATCCTCCCCCACCTTAAAAATTAAGCTGCACCTGACTATAAGCTGCAGCCTTTAAATTGCAGGAAAAAAGTTGAGGCTTGGTGCAGTCAGGAAGAAGGAACAAACCCCTGTGTTACTGGTCCGTGTGGAAACCCCGAGTGTGTCTGCGAGAGGGACAAAGACTAATACATAGAATATATACAGAACGTGCAGAATTTTAATTATAAGTGAAAAACAGTTGACAGTGGACGGCTCGTGACTGGTGCAGTGGTAGCAGATGTTTCTCCTGATGCTGGTCTGATGATGGTCTGATGTGTCTGATGATGGTCTGATGTGTCTAATGATGTGTCTGATGATGTGTCTAATGATGTGTCTGATGATGTCTGATGATGTGTCTGATGATGTGTCTGATGATGTCTGATGATGGTCTGATGATGTGTCTGATGATGTCTGATGATGTCTGATGATGGTCTGATGATGTCTGATGATGGTCTATTGATGTGTCTGATGATGGTCTGATGATGTCTGATGATGGTCTGATGATGTGTCTGATGATGTCTGATGTGTCTGATGATGGTCTAATGATGTCTGATGATGGTCTGATGTGTCTGATGATGATGTCTGATGATGATGTCTGATGATGGTCTGATGATGGTCTAATGATGTGTCTGATGATGTGTCTGATGATGGTCTGATGATGTCTGATGTGTCTGATGATGGTCTGATGATGTGTCTGATGATGGTCTGATGTGTCTGATGATGTCTGATGATGGTCTGATGTGTCTGATGATGTCTGATGATGATGTCTGATGATGGTCTAATGATGGTCTGATGATGGTCTGTGATGTCTGATGATGTCTGATGATGGTCTGATGTGTCTGATGATGGTCTGATGATGTGTCTGATGATGATGTCTGATGATGGTCTGATGTGTCTGATGATGGTCTAATGATGGTCTGATGATGGTCTGATGATGTGTCTGATGATGGTCTGATGATGTGTCTGATGATGGTCTAATGATGGTCTGATGATGTGTCTGATGATGATGTCTGATGATGGTCTGATGTGTCTGATGATGTGTCTGATGATGGTCTAATGATGGTCTAATGATGGTCTGATGATGGTCTGATGATGGTCTGATGATGTGTCTGATGATGGTCTGATGATGTGTCTGATGATGGTCTAATGATGGTCTAATGATGTGTCTGGTGATGGTCTGATGATGTGTCTGATGATATCGTCTGATGATCTGATGTGTCTGATGTGTCTGATGATCTGATGTGTCTGATGATGGTCTGATGTGTCTGATGATGTGTCTGATGATGGTCTGATGATGTCTGATGATGGTCTAATGATGTGTCTGAAGATGTGTCTGATGATGATGTCTGATGATGGTCTGATGTGTCTGATGTGTCTGATGATGGTCTGATGATGTGTCTGATGATGGTCTGATGATGTGTCTGATGATGTATCTGATGATGATGTCTGATGATGGTCTGATGTGTCTGATGATGGTCTGATGTGTCTGATTATGTCTGATGATGGTCTGATGATGTGTCTGATGTGTCTGATTATGTCTGATGATGGTCTGATGTGTCTGATGATGGTCTGATGTGTCTGATTATGTCTGATGATGGTCTGATGATGTGTCTGATGATGGTCTGATGTGTCTGATGATGGTCTGATAATGTCTGATGATGGTCTGATGTGTCTGATGATGGTCTAATGATGGTCTGATGATGTCTGACGATGGTCTGATGTGTCTGATGATGGTCTGATGATGTGTCTGGTGATGGTCTGATGATGGTCTGATGATGTGTCTGATGATCTGGCTTGTCTGATGATCTGATGTGTCTGATGTGTCTGATGATCTGATGTGTCTGATGATGTGTCTGATGATCTGATGTGTCTGATGATCTGATGTGTCTGATGATCTGATGTGTCTGATGATCTGATGTGTCTGATGATGTGTCTGATGCTCTGATGTGTCTGATGATCTGATGTGTCTGATGATGTGTCTGATGGTCTGATGTGTCTGATGATCTGATGTGTCTGATGATCTGATGATGGTCTGATGATCTGATGTGACTGATGATGTGTCTGATGATCTGATGATCCTCCCCCACCTTAAAAATTAAGCTGCACCTGACTATAAGCTGCAGCCTTTAAATTGCAGGAAAAAAGTCGAGGCTTGGTGCAGTCAGGAAGAAGGAACAAACCCCTGTGTTCCTGGTCCGTGTGGAAACCCCGAGTGTGTCTGCGAGAGGGACAAAGACTAATACATAGAATATATACAGAACGTGCAGAATTTTAATTATAAGTGAAAAACAGTTGACAGTGGACGGCTCGTGACTGGTGCAGTGGTAGCAGATGTTTCTCCTGATGCTGGTCTGATGATGGTCTGATGTGTCTAATGATGTGTCTGATGATGTGTCTGATGATGTCTAATGATGTGTCTGATGATGTGTCTGATGATGTCTGATGATGTGTCTGATGATGTGTCTAATGATGTGTCTGATGATGTGTCTGATGATGTCTGATGATGGTCTGATGATGTCTGATTATGTCTGATGATGGTCTGATGATGGTCTAATGATGGTCTGATGATGTCTGATGATGGTCTGATGATGTGTCTGATGATGTGTCTGATGTGTCTGATGATGGTCTGATGATGTGTCTGATGATGTCTGATGATGGTCTGATGTGTCTGATGATGGTCTGATGATGGTCTGATGTGTCTGATGATGATGTCTGATGATGGTCTGATGATGGTCTAATGATGTGTCTGATGATGTCTGATGATGGTCTGATGATGTCTGATGTGTCTGATGATGGTCTGATGATGTGTCTGATGATGGTCTGATGTGTCTGATGATGTCTGATGATGGTCTAATGATGGTTTGATGATGGTCTGATGATGTCTGATGATGTCTGATGATGGTCTGATGTGTCTGATGATGATGTCTGATGATGGTCTGATGTGTCTGATGATGTGTCTGATGATGGTCTAATGATGGTCTGATGATGGTCTGATGATGTGTCTGATGATGGTCTGATGATGTGTCTGATGATGGTCTAATGATGGTCTGATGATGATGTCTGATGATGTCTGATGATGGTCTAATGATGGTCTGATGATGATGTCTGATGATGTCTGATGATGGTCTGATGTGTCTGATGATGGTCTGATGATGGTCTGATGATGTGTCTGATGATGGTCTGATGATTGTCTAATGATGTGTCTGATGATGGTCTGATGATGTGTCTGATGATGGTCTAATGATGGTCTGATGATGGTCTAATGATGTGTCTGGTGATGGTCTGATGATGTGTCTGATGATGGTCTAATGATGGTCTGATGATGGTCTAATGATGTGTCTGGTGATGGTCTGATGATGTGTCTGATGATCTGACGTGTCTGATGATGGTCTGTCGATGTCTGATGATGTGTCTGATGATGTCTGATGATGGTCTGATGATGTCTGATGATGGTCTAATGATGTGTCTGAAGATGTGTCTGATGATTATGTCTGATGATGGTCTGATGTGTCTGATGATGGTCTGATGATGTGTCTGTTGATGGTCTGATGATGTGTCTGATGATGTGTCTGATGATGATGTCTGATGATGGTCTGATGATGGTCTGATGTGTCTGATTATGTCTGATGATGGTCTGATGTGTCTGATGATGGTCTAATGATGGTCTGATGATGTCTGATGATGGTCTGATTAGGCCTGTCGCGATAGTCAATAAATCAATTAATTGCACGATAAATAAAATTTGCTCAATAACTTTTCTGGCCGCGATAAATCCCATTTGCAGCTTGTTTGTTTCCCCCGTCTCTCTCTCCCCCCCTCTCTCTCGGGTCAGAGAGCCGCAAAGTGGTCACGGGAACATTAGCGGTCTAGCAAGCAGACGGAAATTACTCAAAAATACAAAATACAGCCAAAACAGGACCTAAACCAGGACTTAACCAGGATTGACAATGGGGGACACAGTAGTTGTGAACATATGCCGGCAGCTGAGTTCTCATTCAGGCTTGATTAGTGACTATACTAGCGCAGCTAGCGTTAGCGTGTTTGCCGATGCAGAAGTACCGTACCAATAAAATAAACTTATGGCGCACCTCCGTGAACACATACTGCTGTTATATAAAGTCTCTAGAAGGTCTCTGAACACAGAGATGCTGCAGACTTGCATTCTTGGAGTAGAACTTTACACAAAAAACCCGCTAGCTTAGCTGTTAGCATCAAAGCCCGCCCCGCTACTTCCGGTGGGCGCTACCGCAGCAGGACTTCTGTACGCCCCATTGGTGAACCCACATGTCAGTCACTTGTCATTCGCCTGGTGTGTCTTAAGCCACACAAAGTCAACATGTTGGTATTTCTTTCTCGTAATCTGCCATAAAGTCTGAGAAATTATTGACATTTGAGGCATCTGTTTCATATTTTCTTTACAAAGGTCCAGGCAGTTTTATTCCTGGTCATTTTTTGTTAAGAGACTTGAGTATTTTATTTATTGTTTTTGGTTGTTTGTAAATTTATTGTGTTCTAGCGTTAAATATTCGTTAAAAATAAAAGTTTATTTCTCTTTGAAAAGGTGTACCTGCATGATCATTGTAATCGATGCAAATGATCTCAGAACGCCAATATAATCGCTTATCGCAATAATTTCTGAGACAATTAATCGTCCAGCAAAATTTGTTATCGTGACAGGCCTAGGTCTGATGTGTCTGATGATGGTCTGATGATGTGTCTGGTGATGGTCTGATGATGGTCTGATGATCTGATGTGTCTGATGTGTCTGATGATCTGATGTGTCTGATGATCTGATGTGTCTGATGGTCTGATGTGTCTGATGATCTGATGTGTCTGATGATCTGATGTGTCTGATGATCTGATGTGTCTGATGATCTGATGTGTCTGATGATCTGATGTGTCTGATGTGTCTGATGATGTGTCTGATGATCTGATGTGTCTGATGATCTGATGTGTCTGATGATCTGATGTGTCTGATGGTCTGATGTGTCTGATGATGGTCTAATGATGGTCTGATGATGGTCTGATGATGGTCTGATGATGTGTCTGATGATGGTCTGATGATTGTCTGATTATGTGTCTGATGATGGTCTGATGATGTGTCTGATGATGGTCTAATGATGGTCTGATGATGGTCTAATGATGTGTCTGGTGATGGTCTGATGATGTGTCTGATGATCTGATGTGTCTGATGATGTGTCTGATGATCTGACGTGTCTGATGATGTGTCTGATGATCTGATGTGTCTGATGATGTGTCTGATGATCTGACGTGTCTGATGATGTGTCTGATGATGGTCTGATGTGTCTGATGATGGTCTGTCGATGTCTGATGATGTGTCTGATGATGTCTGATGATGGTCTGATGATGTCTGATGATGGTCTAATGATGTGTCTGAAGATGTGTCTGATGATGATGTCTGATGATGGTCTGATGTGTCTGATGATGGTCTGATGATGTGTCTGTTGATGGTCTGATGATGTGTCTGATGATGTGTCTGATGATGATGTCTGATGTGTCTGATTATGTCTGATGATGGTCTGATGTGTCTGATGATGGTCTAATGATGGTCTGATGATGTCTGATGATGGTCTGATGTGTCTGATGATGGTCTGATGTGTCTGATGATGGTCTGATGATGTGTCTGGTGATGGTCTGATGATGTCTGATGATGGTCTGATGATGTGTCTGATGATCTGGTTTGTCTGATGATCTGATGTGTCTGATGTGTCTGATGATCTGATGTGTCTGATGATCTGATGTGTCTGATGGTCTGATGTGTCTGATGATCTGATGTGTCTGATGATCTGATGTGTCTGATGATCTGATGTGTCTGATGGTCTGATGATCTGATGTGTCTGATGATGTGTCTGATGATCTGATGTGTCTGATGATCTGATGTGTCTGATGATCTGATGATGTGTCTGATGGTCTGATGTGTCTGATGATCTGATGTGTCTGATGATCTGATGCTGGTCTGATGATCTGATGTGTCTGATGATCTGATGTGACTGATGTGTCTGATGATGTGTCTGATGATCTGATGTGTCTGATGATCTGATGATGTGTCTGATGATCTGATGTGTCTGATGATCTGATGATGTGTCTGATGGTCTGATGTGTCTGATGATCTGATGTGTCTGATGATCTGATGTGTCTGATGATCTGATGTGTCTGATGGTCTGATGATCTGATGTGTCTGATGATGTGTCTGATGATCTGATGTGTCTGATGATCTGATGTGTCTGATGATCTGATGATGTGTCTGATGGTCTGATGTGTCTGATGATGGTCTAATGATGGTCTGATGATGGTCTGATGATGGTCTGATGATGTGTCTGATGATGGTCTGATGATTGTCTGATTATGTGTCTGATGATGTGTCTGATGATGGTCTAATGATGGTCTGATGATGGTCTAATGATGTGTCTGGTGATGGTCTGATGATGTGTCTGATGATCTGATGTGTCTGATGATGTGTCTGATGATCTGACGTGTCTGATGATGTGTCTGATGATCTGATGTGTCTGATGATGTGTCTGATGATCTGACGTGTCTGATGATGTGTCTGATGATGGTCTGATGTGTCTGATGATGGTCTGTCGATGTCTGATGATGTGTCTGATGATGTCTGATGATGGTCTGATGATGTCTGATGATGGTCTAATGATGTGTCTGAAGATGTGTCTGATGATGATGTCTGATGATGGTCTGATGTGTCTGATGATGGTCTGATGATGTGTCTGTTGATGGTCTGATGATGTGTCTGATGATGTGTCTGATGATGATGTCTGATGTGTCTGATTATGTCTGATGATGGTCTGATGTCTGATGTGTCTGATGATGGTCTAATGATGGTCTGATGATGTCTGATGATGGTCTGATGTGTCTGATGATGGTCTGATGTGTCTGATGATGGTCTGATGATGTGTCTGGTGATGGTCTGATGATGTCTGATGATGGTCTGATGATGTGTCTGATGATCTGGTTTGTCTGATGATCTGATGTGTCTGATGTGTCTGATGATCTGATGTGTCTGATGATCTGATGTGTCTGATGGTCTGATGTGTCTGATGATCTGATGTGTCTGATGATCTGATGTGTCTGATGATCTGATGTGTCTGATGGTCTGATGATCTGATGTGTCTGATGATGTGTCTGATGATCTGATGTGTCTGATGATCTGATGTGTCTGATGATCTGATGATGTGTCTGATGGTCTGATGTGTCTGATGATCTGATGTGTCTGATGATCTGATGCTGGTCTGATGATCTGATGTGTCTGATGATCTGATGTGACTGATGTGTCTGATGATGTGTCTGATGATCTGATGTGTCTGATGATCTGATGATGTGTCTGATGATCTGATGTGTCTGATGATCTGATGATGTGTCTGATGGTCTGATGTGTCTGATGATCTGATGATGGTCTGATGATCTGATGTGTCTGATGATCTGATGTGACTGATGTGTCTGATGATCTGATGTGTCTGATGATCTGATGTGTGCAGGAGGGAGCGCCTGGTGTACGTGGGCATCAGCCTGGAGAACATCCTCCCGGTGAGACTCTGCCACGTGTCCAGAGGAAGTGTTTGTGTCCTCAGCCATGAAACAGTCCTTAATCAAAGCAGAACATAACGATTCATGAAGACATACGACAATGTTTAAGTTTAGCCTCAGAACAATTTAATGATGTTGTAGAAAAGAGAATTAAAGCAGCACTCTCTGTCTGCAGCAACATGAGCCGGTCTCTGCACCCTCCTGGAGCCAAGAGTGAGAATGGGTTTTATTAATGACACACAAACTGTTTAATGATCCATTCAAACACTTCATCTGTCAGTTGTTACTTTTATCTACAGTACCAAGGTTTGGACACACCTTCTCACTCATTCATGGGCGGCACGGTGGCTGAGTGGATAGCACTCTCGCCTCTCAGCAAGAAGGTCCTGGGTTCGAATCCCGGTCGGACCAGGGCCTTTCTGAGTGGAGTTTGCATGTTCTCCCCGTGTCTGCGTAGGTTTCCTCCGGGTACTCCGGTTTCCCCCACCACTAAAAATATGTCCAATAGGCATGTCTGGCATGCGCCTCCTGTACTGGCGACCCCGCTCCCATCTCTGTGTGGAGTGAGAGACAAATGCCCATAATTAACAATTGTGAACCGCTTTGAGACTCAGATCTGCAGTGAAAAGGTGGTATAAAAATAAAGATTACTTACTTACTTACTCATTCAAAGAGTTTTTTTTTATTTTTATGATTATGAAAATTGTAGATTTACACTGAAGGCATCAAAACTATGAATTCACTCATGTGGAATTATGTACATAATTAAAAAAAAAAGTATGAAACAACTTAAAATATGTTTCAGATTCTAGGTTCTTCAAAGTAGCACCTTTTGCTCTGATTACTGCTTCACTCTTGGCATTCTCTTGATGAGCTTCAAGAGGACCTGAAATGGTCTGAGTTCCCACAGATGCTTAGCACTTGTTGGCCCCTTCATTCTGTGGTCCAGCCCCAAAACCATCTGGATTGGGTTCAGATCCGGTGACTGTGGAGGTCATGTGGCCCAGCACCATCACTCTCCTTATTGGTCAAACAGCCCTTACACAGCCTGGTGTGGATCTACAGTCAATAGCCATGAAAAGAAAGGACACTCATTGAATGAGAAAGTGTGTCCGAACTTTTGGTCTGTATTGTACATTATTTCGATAAGATAAGCTTTATTGATCTCACAGTGGACAAGTGTACATGTCACATTTGGCACTCTCTCTGTGGACTACACTTGTTCTTTCTCCTCTGACCTCGCGCACATGTGTAATGCTGAGCGTGTTTGTGAAGAGTCATGTTGGTGCTGTGTGTTTGTTGGAGGAGCACAAAGCTGAAGAGAAGAACATCAAGAAGAAGGTGGTGGGGCGGAGGAGAGGGCGAGGGAGGAGGTCCACGAGGAGCAGGAAGCTCATCAGCTACAGGTACAACCAGCAACACCAGCAACAAACACACTCTGAAGGCTGGAACTTGGCTGTCTATGAAGCTGTGGCCATGGCATAGTGTAAGGAAGTGAGGAGGAGGAGATTAGGAGGATGTGAGGAGAGGAGAGAGGAGATGAGGAGAAGGGGAGGAAGAGGTGAGGACAAGAGATGAGAAGGAGGCGAGGACAGGAGATGATTAGAGGAGGTGAACAGATAAGATGAGATGAGATCCTTTTGGAAAAGAGAGAATGAGAGGTGGGGAGGAGGTGAGGATAAAGAGGTGCAGTAGGAGGTGCAGTCCTCTCACTCTCCTGTGACTCTCAGGTTCGATGACTTTGACGACGCCATCAACGAGGCCATCCAGGAGAACCGTGAGCTGAGCGGTGAGTCCGAGGATTCGCTGTGGTCAGGACACAAACAGATTCAAACTAAGACGTCTTTTCATGGTCAATATTTGTCCTATTTTAGGATTTTCTAATGAATGTTATTTTACATTTTCACAGTGCATTTCCTGTGCACTTGGGGGCGCTGGTGCAGCATAATGTAGAATTTTCAAATTTGGAAATAGCCAGAATCTAAAATGTAATTTTGCGTGCTTCCTATAGGGGAGTGCACTCACAGGATATTCTCCCTAAGAATTGGGACACTCCTGGATCTAAGGCACAATATGCAAATGACACAGCAGACGTGTTCCACGTCACACACATTATCAAAGTGTCTGATTTCACCACAGATAAGATCTGACACAGACATGACTTAATGAAACCAGTATTTATTGTTTTTTTTTCATTGTGGCGCAGCTTTGCCCGACAGCTCCTTTAACAACTGCTATCGTAATGCATCATGGGATCACCCTCGCTCGCAAGTGAGCTCCGGACCACAGTTGCGCTCAAGGGTGGTTTTTAAGGGTGTGAAGGCCCTCACCTCGTGTGTGTGTGTGTGTGGCGCCTTGTGACTGTCAAAGGCTCTATATAAATAATGAACACAAACACCATTCTATATGTTTTTCTAATAATTCATGTTGTATTCTTCACTGTATCTGTACTTTAGAGGCCTGATGTGTTTAATATCTAATAAGTATCCATTCTTTTCTGTTGTTTGAAGGAAGAGCCAGCAGAGCCTTGAGCCCAGTGTGTGGTGAGAGCCTGGAGCTGTCTGGGATGGTGAACAGGTCTGAGTGCCCCCGGCCCCTCGGCTGCTCTGGGCGTGTGAGGAAGAGCGTGAGGAAGAGGAGGAGGCTCAATGACCTGGAGAGTGACAGCACTGCAGCAGACAGCGAGGAGGACGAGTACATGCTCAGCCACAGGTACTCATACTATGACCTCATCCACAGTATATTTATGGTATGTCTTCAATCACACTACGATCTCAAAAGTATATTGTCACTTGTTCTGCGACTCGATGGGTGTCGCTCATTCTATGCATTGTTCATGTTATCCAAATATTTTCTTCTTAAAGGAGCAGTATGTAAAAATCTGGCCAAAAGTGGTACTGTAGCCTCTCCTGCTCTCACTGACTCAGGTTGCCAGATATGCAGACAAATCCAGCTGGGACCATAATATCTTTTTTATTTTTTATTGTTTGTTACACCAAATTAAATGCAGTTAGTTACAGTTGTTGACAAGAACAATTTGTTTAAAAAAAAAAAATATGTATACCACCCTCCCCAATTTGTCTCCAGGTTGACAGTGTATCTCATTGAATTATGTTTAGCTAAGTATAAAGGGTGGATAAGTAGATAAGTCCATAAAGAGAGAAAAATAAATTAATAGAAGTAAAAAAGTAAATAAATAAAAGTAATAAAGGGCACACACACATGTATTTGTATACATACATACATATATACATACATACATCCATCCATATTCATACATACACATACACCCTTGCATAGGGGGACCATAACAGCTGAATAGACAAATCTATAACCAACACCTTTTTCACAAAGATAGAAATCCTGGTTTTATTCCTTGTTTTGTCGTTAATGATTTGAGAAACATAACGAGACCTTTTTTAGTTCTGCGCCACATGGTACTTTACCAGTGAGATTAGCTCCACGCGGTGAGTTGTGGCGCCCGGATCACAGACTTTCTGATTGGTCAAACGGTGGAGGGCGGGACATCGGAAAGAAAACAATGACAATATTTAGGGGCTGGAAAAGTTATTTTGAAATTCCAATATCTCTGAACTACAGTTATCAGTTTGAGTAGTGTTGGAAAAGAACATGTTTTATTAAAGCCTTTGGACAGATTAGGGCCCTTTAATGATGACTTGACATGAAAATCTTACATATTGCTATTTTAAGGAATACCGTCAGATGTCCATGTTGTGCTTCAGCTCAGAGGAGGAGGAGGAGCCGGCCGTGTGGGGGCTGGAGGACGAGGTGTGCAGTGACAGCCTGAGCGGGGACAGAGCTGTGCGGAGACAGTCCCGGGGCAAGAGGACGTGTGTGCTGGACAGCCCCCAACACATGGGTATGTCCCGCTCTGGACACATGTCACATCTGCACGACAGCAAGTGGACTCTGCAACACTGTCTCTCAGCCTCAGACACACACAGCTCCAGCTTAATATTAAAGAGAAAAAATAGGCTCCGAGGCACAATTGACCTTAAAGTAAAAATCCTTTATTTACCCGGGACGCGACACGTTTTGACCACTTATGTCTTCACCAGGGCAGACAAAACTGAAAAAAAACATTTGTGACATGTTAGTGCCATATGAACCAACAGGGACAGGCCTCCTGCTGGTCCCAGAGTGAGGACTAAACATGGGGAAGCAGCATTTCAGATAAAATCTGGAGCAGTCTTTCTGAAAATGTGAGACAAGTTTCTTTTCTGGCAATGTACAAATCTAGGCTAATAACGGGTCTGTTTATCTGTGCAACAACTGAAGGATTTATCTTCACTCCTTTTAATGTGCTGTAATTATTTGTGATTTTAATGCCTTGTGCTGTTTCTATCTTGTTTTGTTTAGCACTTTGTGTTATTATTTTAGGAATTTCTATTTCACTTTAAAAAGCCTTTGATACCATTATTATATCATTATATCAAAGCGACACTTTGGACCAGATGCCTTCAGCACAGAATAAACTAGTGGGAGAGGTGTCGGGTCAGAGAGTGTTTTGGGATTGTTTGGTCATTTTGTTTGGTTTTGTGCATCTGCTCGGTCCCTCACTGAAACATGTTTATGTGAATGTGTCGGTACACATGGTGCTGTTGCAGGAGGCTCCAGTGGCAGTGACAGTGGAGAGGACAGCTCCAGGAGAGCCCTGAGTCTGCGCAGAGGACAGCAGCAGCAGGTCAACTACTGCGAGAGCTCCAGCTCCGACTGCGGAGCGCCCTCTGCTGTTCGGAGTGTGAAGAGACGGAGAGAGCACGAGTCCAGTGACTACAGTGAGGGTCAGCTGCACGCGTGTTCACTGTCACACACACACACACACACACACACATGCAGTCACACTTTCACACACACATGTAGTCGCACAAGCACACACACACACGCAGTTACACACTTTCACACACAGTCACACATCACCAAGAGTCACCACTGTGCGGCGAGACCATAGACTGTATATATTAACGGACAGAGTCACGTCTATCTCCGCCGTTCTAACTAATGGGCCAAAAAATGTGCTCTACTGGAGCTATCCAAAATGGCCGCGAGTGGTCCCGCCCACAAGAAAATTGTGAAAAAACGCATCTGCGCATGCGTCAGCCGGAGCAACTCCATTCATTTGAACGAGAGACTTCAAAAATTCACAGCAAGTAAACTAGAGTGGACCAAAACACCTCCCTCAGCAGTGACACACATGTGGAACGGAGCTTTGGGCCAAGAGCCAACTTTTGGACCATCCTGTAAAGACGTTTTCGAGAGGTCTGCCAATGCTATATGTTAGCATTGGCTAATTCTTCTTCCGGGTCCACCCCCACAGGCCCGGGGTGGTATTGCAGCATGTCAGCGCATGCCATTTTGGCCACTTTTGACCCGCCCCCACTGGGTGAGACCCTGTGTTTAGACATGAGCCCAGTAATGACCTGCAGCACTTTTGATATTCATCATAGGATGATATTTGATATTTATCATAGGATGATATTTGATATTTATCCTATGATGATAGTCATAGGCGTTGTCAGGTTCACATTGTGATAAAAGCTGCAGCTGAATGATCCCAAACTAAACTTGTGTGTTCTTTCAGCCTCTCCATTCTCCAGGGACTCTGAGGAGGAGTGTGCAGAGGAGGACGGAAAGAGGAGACGGCCCCTGGCCAGGCCCCGAAAGAGGAGGAGGCACCGGCCTCGATACAACCCTCTCACGGACCAAGACACATCCTCAGAGGAGGCCCCTGTGCAGGGCCGCAGAGCAGGGAGGACAGGACGCAAGCATCAAGGTCCTAAGCACAAGGGCCCCAAACATAAGGGCCACAAACACCACTTACAGGCCAAGTCCTGACAGCTCTGTAACAGCAGTGTGCGTGTGTTTGGATGTCTTACTTCTGTGACTCTAACAGAGACTAACATGTTATCATTGTTCTGCAGTAAGATGTGTCCATCTCTAAAACAAACCTGGACCAGTGTTTCTTTATTCATCTCTTATTTAAGACACTTTCAATGGACTTGAGGATCCCAGGCGTCAGAGGAACCCAGGCGTCAGAGGAACCCAGGCGTCAGAGGAACCCAGGCGTCAGAGGCCTGATGGGGCGTTCAGACCGCTGACGCTTGAACGCAGCTTCCAAGCACACTGGACGCACATTTACTACATTTCCGATGCAGAATGAAGTGCTGCCCTGTTTTTCCGCAGAGCTGAAGTGGCGGGTGGGCTTTGATGCTAACAGAGTTAAGCTAGCAGCTTTGTGTTTGAAGTTCTTCTCCAATAATGCAGCTCTGCAGCGTCTCTGTGTCTGAGACCTTCAGAGACTTCATATAACAGCAGTATGTGTTCACGGAGCTGCATCATAAGTTTGTTTTATTATTAAACGGTACTTCCGCATCGGCGAACACATTAGCATCACTTGTTTACAGTCACTGGAGAATGAGAACTCAGGCTGGAAGCATATGTTCACAAGCAATGTGTCCCCCATTGTCAATCCTGGTTTATCCATCCATCCATCCATTTTCTGCCCTTTAATCCATTTCTGGGTCAGGGGAAGTCTCATAGCACCAGCCCCTCACTGACCCTCTGCAGGTGGTGAGTCCACAGGAGGACGGCTGCTCTCTGAGTGTGAGCATAGCCTTGATCTTTCAGTGGGGGCTTTGGGCAAAGTGGGGTTAAGTGTCTTGCCCAAGGACACAACGATAGCAGTCATCAGTGGGAGTCGGTGGAGAAGGTGCAGTGTGCAATTGAACCCACGACCTTCAGGCCTGAAGGCCAATGCTCTACCAACTGAGCTACTGTCGCCCCCAATCCTGGTTTAGTCCTTGTTTAGTCCTTGTTTAGTCCTTGTTTAGTCCTGGTTTAGTCCTGGTTTAGTCCTGGTTTAGTCCTGGTTTAGTCCTGCTTTAGTCCTGGGTAGTCCTGGTTTAGTCCTGGTTTGGCTGTTTACGAGTATCTTCAGTCTGCTCGTGACTGCTAGTGACCACCTGACACTTTGCGGCTCTCTGATTGGTCGCTGCACATTGTGACCGGCAGAAAAAGTTCAGCAATGTCCATCTCCTGCAGCGAGCGGCCTCTGCTGCGCAGTCCGTGCGTGCCGCCACGCAGAGGCAATTCCACGCTCGAACGGATGTCACCATTGACTTCATTGAAAGTCGCCGCAAAGCATGATCCGGTCTGAACGTCCCATGAGTCTCTGGAGGGCGTGGTTTGGAGGTGACGAGCTTCCGTTGCTGTAAGAATCTTCTGACGCGACAGTGGAAAAGATTAACTTTGGCCTGAGGTTCCAAACAGAGGCATTTGATTCTTTTATTTATGTTGTAAGTTATTCAGTTTGTCTTTGTGCCACATGGGCTGATGGTCTGCCTTCAGCGTTTACAAAATAAATAGTTAGTAATAAAAAAGTAGGTCGTGTGGACATTCTGCTGCGGGCACAGGACACATGGTGTAAAGTAGTAAAGTCTAATCTGCTGTCATCCTCTGGTCGTACGAACATGTGCATATTGTGCTCTTGATAATCTCTGACTTCCATAAACAAGTCTGCTTTCCTTCTATTTTTTTTATTATTATTTTTTTTTTACAACTTAATAGTATATCAAAGCTGTCAAAATTCCAAGACTTGTTAAACATGGGATGGGTCAATGGGGTTTATAGAAATGGATTATTAAAAATACAGTCTGAATAACAGTGCTTTATTCTATTATAGTGTTTTCACAGACATTAAAAGTGTACGATAAACAAAATAAATATTACTTTAAATTGTCCAGATTGTTTTACTTCTCTCTCCGTCAGATAAATGACGTGGCTCGTGCAGGTGCAGAGCTCCTTCCTCAGCTCTTGGTCTCAGTGAGTGAAGGATGGAGGTGAAGAGGGAGCAGTGTCTGCAGTCAAAGCTTTCAATTTCCTACATTAACACGTTCACCTATTGTCCTGAACATAAAGTTGCGAGTTTCATCTGCAAAGGAGGAGAGGAGATTCTCCAAAGCCAGTCGAGGAGGTGAGAGGAGACGTCATGGCCACAGGGAGAAGGCCCCAGAGCCAGGATACATGTGTGTTGCAAAAGCTCTAAAACGTGAAATATTTTAGTGTTTACAACATAACAGCCAGCTGTGAAGAGAAGGCAAAATGAGATATTAATATCTTTAAAGTGGGACTTTGGTGCGAGGCCATGAATTGTAACAAGTGGCTCTGCTTTAAAGTGTATTCTCACATTAGGAACCATAAGGAATGGGGTGACCACTGTCCGTTAATGTCCCAGATCATCACTGTGAGGCTGTGTACCCAGGACTGAGGCTGTAGACCCAGGACTGAGGCTGTAGACCCAGGACTGAGGCTGTAGACCCAGGACTGAGGCTGTAGACCCAGGACTGAGGCTGTAGACCCAGGACTGAGGCTGTAGACCCAGGACTGAGGCTGTAGACCCAGGACTGAGGCTGTAGACCCAGGACTGAGGCTGTAGACCCAGGACTGAGGCTGTAGACCCAGGACTGAGGCTGTAGACCCAGGACTGAGGCTGTAGACCCAGGACTGAGGCTGTAGACCCAGGACTGAGGCTGTAGACCCAGGACTGAGGCTGTAGACCCAGGACTGAGGCTGTAGACCCAGGACTGAGGCTGTAGACCCAGGACTGAGGCTGTAGACCCAGGACTGAGGCTGTAGACCCAGGACTGAGGCTGTAGACCCAGGACTGAGGCTGTAGATCCAGGACTGAGGCTGTAGACCCAGGACTGAGGCTGTAAACCAGGACTGAGGCTGTAGACCCAGGACTGAGGCTGTAGACCCAGGACTGAGGCTGTAAACCAGGACTGAGGCTGTAGACCCAGGACTGAGGCTGTAGATCCAGGACTGAGGCTGTAGACCCAGGACTGAGGCTGTAGACCCAGGACTGAGGCTGTAAACCCAGGACTGAGGCTGTAGACCCAGGACTGAGGCTGTAAACCAGGACTGAGGCTGTAGACCCAGGACTGAGGCTGTAGATCCAGGACTGAGGCTGTAAACCCAGGACTGAGGCTGTAGACCCAGGACTGAGGCTGTAAACCAGGACTGAGGCTGTAGACCCAGGACTGAGGCTGTAGACCCAGGACTGAGGCTGTAGACCCAGGACTGAGGCTGTAGATCCAGGACTGAGGCTGTAGATCCAGGACGGAGGCTGCTGGTCCAGGACGGAGGGTGTAGAATCCGGACTTTGGCTGTAGATCCGATGGAACTGCAGCCACTGAATCCAGGCTGGGGACAACCAGTTCACATACAGAGAAAAATCCTAAATAAAATCTTAATCTTTGTGGCTGTAAACAAACAACTCCACACAAAGTTGTATTGGTACTTTTGCAAGCCACTTTATGCATAGCTTACATACACATTATCACAAATTTATGAAACTTCTCCTTCACACAGCAGGGACAGATAAGTCTGTCACTGAAGCTGCTCTCCAGAGCAGACAGAGTGTCCTGCAGGGGTTTGACACTTTGATGGTCCAGCATAGATGTTAGTTTTTCCAGGACCCTCCTGTCCCCCACCTGCTGCACTGTGGAACAGGCCAGAGCTGGACTTCTCCAGGTGGGACGATCATATGTCTATTGTTCGTCTTTTTAAAATGTGGGCTCTCCCTCTGCTGGAAGCATAGGGAGCTCCAGACAGAATGTTTCACACTTGTTTCCTTACATAGTTTCTGCTAAAGATATGATTTAATAAAATGAGGCTGTGTTAAATATAGCCAATAGTTAAAAACTTAGACTATATTTAGATGAAGTCCTTCAGTGGTCTACGGTATAGACTGTAAAAATTACTATAATATTGTTACAAACCGGAAGTGTGACTTCAGAGCACCGGATATTACGTCCCCGGAAACCCTCATGGCCCCAGTTTGAAGCTCCACAGCAGCTCCGCACATGTCGCACTAGTTTGGAACTGTCTCCTACGTCAGAGCACCGTACCCCCCGCAGAGCACCGTACCCCCCGCAGAGCACCGTACCCCCCGCAGAGCACCGTACCCCCCGCAGAGCACCGTACCCCCCGCAGAGCACCCTATCCCCCGCAGCACCGGGTCACAGCGCGTCCGTACTGCGCCCATACGCCTCCTCTCCCGGGCTGTGTGCTCTGCCTCCCGCTGCTCTCCCGCCTCTCTCCCGGTGTCATGGTGGTTCTCAAACAGCTGCCTCTTCCCTCCGAGGGCGTGCGGCACCAGCAGCCCGAGACCACCGCGGTGATGAACGGGGAGAGGCTCGGCTGCGGGACCCTGTTCGTGGCCGAAACGTAAGTGTGACGCACATTCACACAACCACAGGATCAGGGAGAACGTAAACAACGTCCCCTTATCCTCCTCATGTGTGTAGTATCAATACACTCTATGGTAGTATCAATACACTCTATGGTAGTATCAATACAGTCTATGGTAGTATCAATACAGTCTATGGTAGTATCAATACACTCTATGGTAGTATCAATACACTCTATGGTAGTATCAATACACTCTATGGTAGTATCAATACAGTCTATGGTAGTATCAATACAGTCTATGGTAGTATCAATACACTCTATGGTAGTATCAATACACTCTATGGTAGTATCAATACACTCTATGGTAGTATCAATACACTCTATGGTAGTATCAATACACTCTATGGTAGTATCAATACACTCTATGGTAGTATCAATACACTCTATGGTAGTATCAATACACTCTATGGTAGTATCAATACACTCTATGGTAGTATCAATACACTCTATGGTAGTATCAATACACTCTATGGTAGTATCAATACACTATGCAGTGTTTCCCACAGAGGGGGGGGGGGGGGGGGGGGAGGGAGTGGGGTACAGTGGTACAGTGGTACAGTGGTAGAGGACAATCTTGAGGTCATGAATCCAGTGAAATTAGTCGCACACCTTTTTACAGTAATAAGTTACAGTAGATCAAAAGTGACATGTTTTGACTATTTTGGAGGTATTTTGGACCAAAATGGCTACTTTACCTCAATATTTCTCAATATTTCTACAGTAAAAGTGTCTGGTCTTTGGTACAGTGGTAGAAGGCAATGTTGAGGTCATGAATCCAGTGAAATCAGTTGCACACCTTTTTACAGTGAAAAGTTACAGTAGATCAAATGTGACATGTTTTGACCATTTTTAGGCTATTTTGGACCAAAATGGCTACTTTAAATCAATATTTCTACAGTAAAAGTGTCTGGTCTTTGGTACAGTGGTAGAGGACAATCTTGAGGTCATGAATCCAGTGAAATTAGTCGCACACCTTTTTACAGTAAAAAGTTACAGTAGATCAAAAGTGACATGTTTTGACTATTTTGGAGGTATTTTGGACCAAAATGGCTACTTTACCTCAATATTTCTCAATATTTCTACAGTAAAAGTTTCTGGTCTTTGGTACAGTGGCAGAGGGCAATAATAAGGTCATGAGTCAAGTGAAATTAGTCGCACACCTTATTCCAGTAAATAGTTACAATACTTGAAAATTGCACTAGCGGACCAAATTGTGTACTTTATACATGTAAACAATAGAGTGGCTATCCTCCTGAGGACTCACAATCTGCCGGAGGAATCGTAGGGGGCTGGTGCTATGTGTGCCGGGTGGCATCTCTATAAGGTTTTAATCACAAAAACGTGTCTCCCAGACCCCAGCGCGCTTTCTGTTCGATAAAAATGGGTGACTCCGAAAGGACGTTCCGCTGTTACCGTAAGTTCTCAACAAAACGCGCACCGTCTTTTCCCCGATGCGGGCCGCATGTTCATAGAGCTGAAAGATGCGGGCCACTTTACCGCGGTAAATTAATAGACACAGCTGCTTACAGCGATGATCGCTGATGGAGACGGAGACACGCGGTGTGCACGAAGGGGAGGGGCTGTGTGTGTGTAGGTCTCTGTATGTGGGAGAGACGCGTAGCTTGAGTGAGAGTTACGAAGGGCCGCCACATTTTAAACCCCCCTCCCCGCTGTCAAATTGACCGCTGCGGCGGCACTAGACGATGCATGTTTTAAATAGCGTAACAAAAAAAATATATATATAATAATACGAAACGCAATTTGTGGCGGGCGGTCTCTAATATGTGGCGGTGCGCCACAGATTAGTCTATGTGTGGGAAACACTGCTATGGTAGTATCAATACACTCTATGGTAGTATCAATACACTCTATGGTAGTATCAATACACTATGGTAGTATCAATACACTCTATGGTAGTATCAATACACTCTATGGTAGTATCAATACACTCTATGGTAGTATCAATACACTATGGTAGTATCAATACACTATGGTAGTATCAATACAGTCTATGGTAGTATCAATACAGTCTATGGTAGTATCAATACAGTCTATGGTAGTATCAATACACTATGGTAGTATCAATACAGTCTATGGTAGTATCAATACACTCTATGGTAGTATCAATACACTATGGTAGTATCAATACACTCTATGGTAGTATCAATACACTCTATGGTAGTATCAATACACTCTATGGTAGTATCAATACACTCTATGGTAGTATCAATACACTATGGTAGTATCAATACACTCTATGGTAGTATCAATACACTATGGTAGTATCAATACACTATGGTAGTATCAATACACTATGGTAGTATCAATACACTATGGTAGTATCAATACACTCTATGGTAGTATCAATACTCTATGGTAGTATCAATACACTATGGTAGTATCAATACAGTCTATGGTAGTATCAATACAGTCTATGGTAGTATCAATACACTCTATGGTAGTATCAATACACTCTATGGTAGTATCAATACACTATGGTAGTATCAATACACTATGGTAGTATCAATACACTATGGTAGTATCAATACACTATGGTAGTATCAATACAGTCTATGGTAGTATCAATACAGTCTATGGTAGTATCAATACAGTCTATGGTAGTATCAATACAGTCTAGGGTAGTATCAATACACTCTAGGGTAGTATCAATACACTCTAGGGTAGTATCAATACACTCTAGGGTAGTATCACATACACACATAATGTAAATCCTCCAAACCTCACTCCAAGCACTGGTACTTTATGTTGTTATGAAGTCTCTGTTTCTAAAACCAAACCAAGAACTTTACTCATACACAGATGATCAAGCTGCCAACATGATGAATATGGTTTAAGATCGATCCTAAATGTTAAAGTAATCATGTTTGATGTAAAATCATTAAAGCCTACGTCCTGTTGTAGAGTTTGACTTTTTGTTTATTTAAGTTTGTAAAAGTTTATTTAGTTGTGATAGAACATGTTTATGAACACATCACTCCTGATTGTAGACCCACAGTCTCACTCACAACCACACACTCATTCACCCTGAACTATTGTACATATTTTTAGTGGTAGGGGAAACCGAAGCACCCGGAGGAAACCTACGCAGATGCGAGGAGAACTTTTAAACTCCACTCAGAAAGGCCCTGTTCCAGTTCCAACTGGGATTCAAATCCAGGACCTTCTTGATGAGAAGCGAGTGTTATCCACTCCTGCACCAAAGTGCCCAGCCCACATGGGCTTATGACACTGAAGCAACAACATGTGATGGCTGCAGATGTAAACATTCATGAAACAGGAAACCATTTCCATAAACATCAGGGCACAGCAGCTGTTTCCTCTTCAGGCTTTAGCGATGAAGGAAGCGAAGGAAAAAACTTCATTGTGATACATCCAGTTCATGATTTACCCTGAGGCCAAAAGACTCTGGATTAGAAGAATTTAGTGTAGAAGTCTAACAACTTCTGATAAAAGGTCTTAAATTGGATTAAGCCACATTCAAGGCCTTAGCTAATTTAAATATGAAATGTTTATTAATGCAAATATTAGACCAGCCATTTGTCAAAAACACATGAGATGCATGAATTTGGACCCAGTCACTTTGATCACTGATGGTGTTCACGGCCCGCTGCACTTCTTTAGCAAACCAACCCATTTATAGTGTTTGAAAGGTGTTCATACATAACAAAATCCTACCTTTTTTAATATTTTTTATCTAAATCTAATACAACTGCAATTATTGTCAGAACAATCCCAATTGGATAGTATTCCTAAATAATATAAGTTTGATAATATCTGCGATTATCATATTGCAAATACAACATGGATTTATCTGAGGTTTTCTCTCATAGACCAAACGTCATTGTTTAATTTCACCAGTCAAACTATTGTCAAAAACTTAAGTGTTGTTTTGCGGTTTATGCTTCAGGCCCTGTCCAGACCATTTCAGGAGTATTATCCAAAACATTAAGCTAAAGCGCACAATACACGGCTCTGGGTTCAGTCTTTAGTTTAATACAGTTTCAAAAGCATACGCTGCAGTCTCACTGTATGTTTCCATGTTTGGACCCTTCCCTGTGCAGGCGTCTGTCGTGGTTCGATGGCTCCGGTCTGGGCTTCTCTCTGGAGTACCCCTCCATCGGACTGCACGCCATCTCCAAAGACGTGAGCGCATACCCCCAGGAGCACCTCTACGTCATGGTCAACGGGGAACTCAGCGGTGAGCCATCCAAATGTCTAGACATTTTAGATGTTTACAAACAAGTCTGTCCTGTCTCTACGCCTGTCACGATAACACATTTTGCTGGACAATTAATTGTCTTGGAAATTATTGCGATAAGCGATAATATTGATTGCTTGAATATTGCGACAGGCCTACCTGTCTCCATGTGCGCAGACCTGCTCCTCTCTTTGGCCGCGCAAGAGCGGAACAGGCACATTAATCCTGGTCTCAAGTCTCTGCACTGGCTTCCTTTGGTCTTGTGAACAGACTTTAAAGCAGCTTGTTTACAAGTCTGACCAAGGTCTCTCGCCAAAGTACACAACTCTGACGCTGAGGGCAGAGGACTAAACATGGAGTCTGCACGATGCCATTATTCTGTAACAATCATCCTCAAAAAGTGAGTCTGGTTTCTTCTCTGACGATCAAATCTATGTTAAAGTTGTTTACCTCTCTAAACAACTAATGGATTTTTTTCTCCACTTTTACTGGATTTATTAAATTCAATGTATTTTTGTATAGCCCTAAATCCCCACTGCAGTCGTCTCAGAGGACTTTATGAAGTTGTGGTTCCTCAACAACAGATGAGAGAATCAGACAGTTCAGCGTCAGGAGATGCAGTCATAAAGACCTCATGGGACCATAGGGGTCAGGGACCACTGAAAACATTGGTTCATGACTGATGTTTTGTAAAACACATGGAATTGTCTTTAGTATGAATTGCACTATACATACACATGCTAATACATTTGTCCCTGTTTCAGAAGAAAATCAATCTGAAATGCCAGCTGAGGAGGATGAAGATGAAGAGGGCAAGGCCATCACCGAGCTGCGATTTGTGCCCTCGGACAAGAGCGCTCGTGAGTGAGGCCGTGTACACGTTTATTTAATCACAAACAACTCAATGGAGCAAAAAATGTACTCTTCCTCTTTGGCTTTAAGCTTTGTGCTATTCTCGGGTCAATTTGACTCGAGGATTGCACAAGGATTAAATACTTTAAAGAATCCTTTCCCAGGATACTTTAAAATGTTTTTAACATGGTTCAATGTTTGGAGTAATGTATTTTAAAAGTAATGTAATTACTGCAATGGTTTACTTATTGTGTGTGTGTGTGTGTGTGTGTGTGTGTGTGTGTGTCTGTGTGTGTGTGTGCAGTGGAGCCCATGTTCAGTGCCATGTGTGAGTGCCAGGCTCTGCACCCGGACCCTGACGACCAGGACTCGGATGAGGACTTCGAGGGCGATGAGTACGACGTGGAGGAGGCCGGTGAGAGATGATGTCGCACCTTTTGCTTCAGACAAACGTTCTGTGCACTTTCTTTGGGACTTTCCCTAAACTCAGACCAAAGTGTCCTGAAAATATTTTTCTTTCCCAAATACATCATTACATTAGATGTTTTACTATTATGGAGATGTAATATAATAATACATGTTTTAAAAGAATGAGCCGACACTAGTGACATTTGAAGAGTGAGGCCTGTGTCCATCATGAGAGGATTGTGTAGTCTAATAATTCACATATGATTTATGAGCTTGATATCGGAACTGGATCCATCTCAATCTTGTACTGTCTACTTTGTAATAATAAAGCTTTAACCAGTGAATAAATGGAAACCGTTGACTTGCATAAAACCAGAACAGGCCTGAACTTTAAAGTCAATCCGATATTTTAAAAAAGCACTGTACAAAGTCGAGCTGTAATGCGGCCCCTTCCAGAGGAGTCCTGGCCTTAGCCATCCGTAAACTCCAGTCTAGGGCTGCACCATATATCGAACAAATATCGTTATAATATATAGTCATTATTATTTTTCCCTTTATTAAAGACAACAAAACAGACCGACACATCAACAAGAACAACAAACAATGTATATAAATATATACATTTGAAGGTCATTAATGTAGGTGAAAGACAAAAATATTGCAATATCCTTCTCGCAATACTAAACACTCATATCAAATATTGCTATAATTTCCAATATTGTGCTGCCCTACTCCAGTCCATGATCCTCGGTTGAATCCCCGGCGACCAATCAGCGAGCGGGGGAGGCGGGTGTTCTAGGGAGATGTTGTGAGGTCAAGAGTTTGCGCCGAATTTGCTAATTGTAGTTTGGCAATGGCGGTGAATGCGATAGTAAAGTAATCTGTTCTGAAACTGAAGCCGAAAGCAAGATGAATGTTTAGTAAATGTCATGACAGGTTAACCCCTCCCCCGTTAACGGAGTCAATGGAGCAAATCCAGACCTTAATACGAAATAAAATTAGTACAATGGTGACAGTAAGACCAGAGGAGTCCCAACCGAGCCATACTTTTCCCAAACTCTCCTTGAAACTCTCCTTGTGTGTGTGTGTGGAGTATGAGCAGATAAAATCAGTGCTGTTGTTGCAGAGCTGGCCCAGGGCGACGTGCCGTCCTTCTACACGTGTGAGGAGGGTCTGTCCTCGCTGACGGTGGAGGGCCAGGCCACGCTGGAGCGGCTGGAGGGGATGCTGGCTCAGTCGGTGTCGCAGCAGTACCACATGGCCGGAGTGCGCACAGAGGACTCCGCCGCACAGTTTGAAGGTCGGTCACTTTGCATTTATCCCTTTAGTGTGTGTTTGGCCACATTCCTCACCCCTCAAGAACATCACAGTTTGACGATTGAAACGAAGCTGTGTGTTTGAAGTCCTCTGGGAGTCGTTTGTGTGTCAACAAATGTCAGGGAAATTCTTTTGAAATGTCCTTAAGTGATTTAGTGCAATTATACATTTTCAATCTAAGGAATAGTTCATAAAAACATGACTTGGAGACATACTTGACTCAATACCTGTTTAAATGTAAAACTCCTCAGTATAAGGCTGTACATATGAACTACCCACGAACACCAGTAGATGGCAGTATTTATACATGTGTTATTATAACAAGCCGGTCTTCAAGTTGCCTGCCCATTTAAATGAATGTCCTGTGCACGTCCCAAACATTAGCAGAAGTGAGGTGCTCTGGCCTGCTTTGGCCTGCTCTGGCCTTCCTGGTCCAGTGCAGTAGATGCAGTGGTTCGACTTCCGCAGGACCATTTGCACTGACGGCAGAGAGGGACATGTGAGTGTTCTGACCAATCAGATAATGAACACTAAGGTTTAGGGGAATCTACAAACCGCCCGTGTGTATTTTAGCTGCAGTACTGCGGGTGGCCTCTAGTCCATGTGCATTATTTTTCAAAACTGATCTTGAGTTCAGATCTCCAGTTAGATAATAGTCTTGCATGTATTTGTATTATGTTCATGGCTGAGAGTCTCACTGTTTGTACTTCTTTCCTCTATTTTGAGCTGAAAATGTGTAAATAAAAATGCATTTGTAAATACTGTAATACTGACCAACGTTTGCATAAAGTTAAGAGACAAAGTGAATCTAACGACTGTCGATCAGAGGGAGACGCTTATGAATAATTTCCATGACAGAACAGTGTTTATTTCTGTGATAGAATGACCTTGGCTTTATTTATTATCAAGCATAACTAGGTATTTATTTATAAATGTGGCTTCAGTCAAAGCATTGTTTTAGTACAACAAGTTCACAATGGTTTGAAATGAAGCCGTTTCTCCTCATTTTCTCTGCATTGGTTTGTGGAGAGTTGAATCCATCCACTCCTAACCTCCTTTTTATTGCATTTCATTTGGTAGTTTTTGTGCCTGGACTAGATTTAACTATCCATCCATCCATCCATTTTCTACCCTTTAATCCATTTCTGGGTCAGGGGGGCGGCAATCAGAGATGCCACCCAAGTCTCATAGCACCAGCCCCTCACTGACCCTCTGCAGGTGGTGAGTCCACAGGACTCACTAGATTTAACTAGTAATATAAAAAAGCATATCTATAATTGGAATATTTGCTCTGTGTCCCTCAGACGGGATGGAGGTGGAGGCGGCAGCGGAGGCCGGGCAGTTCGAGGACGCAGACGTGGATCACTGAGCCCAGGCCGGAGGAGCCCCTACCCCTGGGACCCCTACCCCTGGGACCCCTACCCCTGGGGCCACGCGCTTCACTTCATCCCCACGACAGCGTTTTGTACATGATTTACATTTTGTCTGAAAAGTCTGACTTTGTACCGAAGTTTGAATAAATAGCACTTGTTTTGTAGCGCTGTGTTCTTCTTGCTCTTATCGAGGTGTGACTCTGGAAAACATATAGTTCCTGGGAACTGAGAGTGTTGGGGATTTATCAGAGAAACCCAAAGTATGTAGAAGTTACAATCCCTGCATGTGAAGCACAGGTGTCCAATATGTCTGATTTTGTCTAATGAATGATCTCATTAATTTTATCTAAAACTATAGTACAATAGACGTTGCTGTGCACAGGAACTCTGTGAGAACCTCTACAGATAATGGAGTTGCAATTTAAAATTAAAGCCGCAAGCGGCGTCGAACGGCCCTTGGTGCACCGCGCACCAAGCCGCCCCGAATTAAGCCACCCCGCATCAAGCCACCCCGCACCAAGCCGCCCCGCATCAAGCCGCACCAAGCCGTCCCAAATTAAGCCACCCCGCATCAAGCCGCCCCGCACCGAGCCGCCCCGCATCAAGCCGTCCGAAATTAAATCGAGCCGCCCCGCACCAAGCCGTCCCGAATTAAGCCACCCCGCACAGAGCCGCCCCGCACAGAGCCGCGCCGCACCAAGCCGTCCGAAATTAAGCCGCCCCGCACCAAGCCACCCCGCATCGAGCCGCCCCGCATCAAGCCGCCCCGCATAGAGCCGCCCCGCACCAAGCCGTCCCGCATCAAACCGCCCCGCACCGAGCCGCCCCGTACCAAGCCGCCATGCATCAAGCCGCACCGCACCACGCCGCCCCGCACCAAGAGGATCTGCACCACGCCGCCCGCACCAAGCCGCAACGCGCCGCTCCACAACCCCCCGCACTACGCCGCACCACACCGTACCACGCAGCACCGTGCAACGAAGGTGGGGCCGCCGTGTGATTATTTGTTGCTGTTGCCAGAGAAGAACGTTAGTCAAATTGTAATTAATATGATGATTAGAGCTGTTTGGCACCCCATGTAAAACTTTGCCTCAATCTGTAGGGGGTGCTATTGGGCCAATTTCAAATATTTCACTTTCACCTGACCTAAACCCTGGAGTTGAACATTGGATTCAAGTTTTGTGCAAATCAGACTTTGTTTGTGCAAACGGGAGCAAATAGAATGTTGTGAAAAACGGTCCAAAAACACTTGCCGCTCCGTTGCTCAAACAACGTTTCACTGATCAAAAATCCTTGAGGTCATTTTGATGGTACATGTGTTTAGACCAGGCATGTCAAAGTCAAATACATCGGAGGGCCAAAAAAAAAAAGTTTGCTACGCGCCGAGGGCCGGACTGGTTCAATGTTTCTCAACATCCAGAGGCAGTGCCGGTGACACCTGTTGGCTCGATAAAATATGCTCTAAAGCCAATCCTCATACTGTACATATTAGATGTAATAGACATCTGAGAACATGAAAATAGTAAAAAAAAAAAAGAAAAGAAAAGCTCAAACTTGGTGAAATGTAAAAGAGCAGTCTGGACCTCTTTTCGGGGCGTTTTTTGATTAAATCTGCAGAATGGATTATACTTTGGGAAATACAAGTGGATATTCTTCTTCGATGAACAGTTACGGAGAGAAAGAGACTAAGCAAGGATGGGGAAACTCTAATTTGTTGGAGCAGCAGAAGACGAAAGGTAAAAAACAAATACAGACGTGATTTATTTTGTGCCCATATTATGCGTTATATCTTTTTAATGCAAAGTCTGATATTGTTTACACTTACATATAAATATATATATATATTTTTCCTCGTTTGCTCCCGCCGGCGGGGGCTAGCGAGCTTAAGGGGTCAATACATTGCCTCAATGGCAGGCAATGTCCCGGGGGCCATAGATAATTCATTCGCGGGCTTGACTTTGACACATGTGGTTTAGACAATGTGGAGTGATATGGAGGCCAATCGGTGAAACGGCCGAGGAGGAGTCTTTCCAACCGACATGTATGAAAATGATTGCGGATCATTTTTCCACTTTGCAGTGAAATTTATGGGCCCACTGAATGAAGATGTTTTCATTTTCTACCATAAATGATTCACACATTTCCTGATAATGTATAATTGTCTCCAGCCTTAACACGCTGCAGCAGTTAATCATTAACTGATAAATCACAGGTAACAAATATCGACGAGTGCAGATGAACTGTTTCAGCTCTAGGCCCTCAACATCAGCCTGAAGATAAAAGTACACTCTGTAGTTTCCGGGTCGCTCTGGTCATCTGCCGGAGACTCTCCTCTGACTGTCACGTGATCCTCTCAGAATCTGACCCAGCAGTGCACGCGGCCCCTGAGTGCAGGTGTGTCACGTGATGATGACGTGGGTTCACCTCCAGCGTTCAGATTTCCACACTTCCAGCCAATCATAGAACAGCACGGAGCCCAGCATCCCTGCAGCAGTGACACAGAACAGTCTAGAGTAGAGTTCACCACAAGATGCTGACACGCGCACACTTACCGAGCACGGGCCCCAGCCAGTACACGACACAGTACTCCGGGAGCGAGGGGCCCTCACAGCGGAACTGTGTGGAGAAGGCCAGCGCGGGGTTGTAGACCGCGCCTGTGCGCGCCCCCCCTGCACACACACACGCGCACACACACACACAGAGTTACTATGGTGATAGGACAAACATGACAACATGCACAGGACGCGCACCTGCGTACACTGCGGTGGTGATGACTGCAGCTACCGCGTGCACGCGGTATTTCAACTCTAGAGTGCGCGTGTGCGTGACAGCCGTTTGCACAGCGAACGCGCACGCAAGTTCCACCGCGGCGGCAGTGAGTGGCGCGTCCACGGGGCTCGTGCATCGAAACCCACTGGCTTCATGGCGCACGTGCATCCCGGACAGACCGAGACTCCACGCGAGCGGCATGAGGACGCGCGCAGCAGCGGCTGCAGCAAACTGACACGCGCACTTGCAGAGAGCCGCGGCGGGCACGAGCCTCTGGCGGTACGTGTGCACGAGCGTGCACGCGGGATTCCCAGTGGCGCCTCTGAACGTGAGCCCGTGCACCACCGCCACCACGTACGTCAGGGTGTGCGCGAGGCGTCGCTCGATCCTCCCCACCTCCGACAGGACGCGCAGCTCGTGCGTGCAGCAGCAGAGCTGCAGTGTGCACACAAATTCTGCCGCGTGCGCGTACAGCGCGCTGTGTCCCGGGAGCCTCCTGAGCAGCATCCTGCGGAGAGCGTCACTGAGCAGCACCACTCCCGAGAGCAGCAGCAGAGACACCAGCAGGTCCGTGCGCTCTGCCGCCCATGCCGCTCCTTCTGCCGCTCCCTCTGCCGCTCCTCTTGCCGCTCCCTCTGCCGCTCTGTCTTCAGCCATGTTCCACTTCCCGGAGGAGGAAAACCGCAGATACAATGTCGGTGCTCACGTGGGTCCGTACGTAACGTGGGTTCACCTCCCTCTCCTTTTCCTTTCTCGTTCACTGAAGTGCCCCATACAGATCCAAGTCAGTGCCATCAGCCTATACCAGCCTACAGGACAGTACCAGCCTACAGGGTAGTACCAGCAGGGGCGTAACACCAAATTCGGGGCCCTCTACACTCTCAATGTCAGTGGGGCCCTACTCATGCCATTGTACATTGGGTTTGCAAAATGAAAATTAATTTATGAATGAAAATAAAATAAAATTCTTTGAATATAAACACAGCTATGGTGTTTTAATCTATATAAGATTATAGTGTAACCATTAATGACTGGTTCTGTCGTGTACAACCTGAAGCGAGGCCATCGGCCCCTCCCATCACTTGTGTGTGTGTCATTCACACACACACACACACACACACACACACACACCTGACTCATTCTAGGCAGGTGTCATTCTAGGTGAAGTGTCTTGCCAAAGGACACAACAGTTTGGCACTTTACAGCCTCAGCCGCCCCACTGTGTGGTCTGACCATAGCAGTGTAAAACTGTCAAACAGAAAAACATTATTTATCTACCCCATACAAGGGGGTGAGAAAATGCCACTGTAGCCACAGCTGCCCAAGGGCAGACTGACAAATGCACAGTAATACAGTGGGTCATTGACCCCCAATCACCCTCATTCATGCACACACCAAGGGCACTTTACAACTGCCCCACTGTGGGTGGCACCTGGTGTTCCCAGAGGTCTCCCATCACAGCACTGCCTTGCTTAGCTTCTGGGATTGTTGCTTCATACAGGGAAGAAAAAAGTAGATCTAAAAACCAGTCTCACTGAAGTGGCACAAACAGAGAGTTGTCATAGTGACAGGACTAAGCAGGACTCCAGGGGACCAGAGGAGATCGAGGTGGCAGCAGAAATGTGGATTTGGTCCCTGAGGGTTGTGCACCGCTGATGTCACTGTGAGCATAAGACCAAAACAAAGCTCACAGAAAGAGAAACACCAGAGAAGAGGAACACATCCTCAGGTGGTGCCACCTTCAGGTGACAGGCTGACCCTGGGAGACTTCAGAAGTTAAGCAGGCCATGACCTGATTCGTACTGTGATGGGAGACCTCAGGGAACACTGCAGCTGTTAAGTGTCCAACGGTTGTGTCCTTAGGCAAGATATTTCCCCACATTGGCCAGTACAGGGTAGATAAGCAAAAAACCATGCACTTTGGTTAAAGTAAAGATTATAGAAGAACCAAGAGGCGAAACTCAAGAGAACATCCCATTGCAACAAACTCAGCTGTAACAAGCCTCAGCGCCGCCATCTTGTTCTGGACGCAACAGAGCCACAGGTTCCAGAACAGAAGCGGATTATTATTGTCCTTGACAAGACTCAACAGTATTCAAGAAGCATCCTGTAGTCTCTCCTGAAGTCACCTCCACACACACCTATAATTAACCAGGAGAGGGGAAGAGGCACGGGCCCCTGGGGGCCCCTGAGCTCGCTCATGTGTGGAGACTGATATAAATAAGCTGTGTATATTGCGACCCCAAAGCCCCACAGAAACTCCCCCAGATCCAGCTCAGCGTCATCAGCACCTCGCGTTGCTTAGCTCCTCACGCAGCGGCCCCCGGGACAAAAACAGTAGCATCACACTGTGTCCTGTGCGGAACCATTTCTATACAACTCTGCAACTACACACACAACTCTACGACTACACACACAACTCTGCAACTACACACACATCTGACAAACTGTTCAATCAGATCGGGACACCCTAGTGGCCAGTAGAAGTACTGATAGTTCATTTACACAGTAGTTATGGATGGGTTAGACAAAAAAATCTTGTTGAGTGAAAGTAACATTTTCCTGAGGCATGATTATCTTTGTCCATTTTAGGACTTACCATTAGTATTTTTGTAAACATGTTAGTGTAAACGTCTCTTTACACTGAAGCACTTTACTGAGACAATAAACTGGTGAATAACTGTACTCAGTGGTTTTCTAACAGCAGTCGTCTTGTCGTGTTGACTCAGGAGGGATTCTATCACTAAGGAAGAAATGGTCTTTGAAACAAACAAATTTGTGAACAATTATTAATAGAAAATGGTCTATTTAGACAAACATGAATGGCTTTAAGGAGAGTTCATACAAAACGGCTTTAAAGGTCAAATATGATTATATAATAAGAAAATAGATCTAAATCTTACATGGATGGTCAACAACAGTCATTTAACAAAGAGATTTGTTGTAAAAGTCAGAAAATTGATCTGTCCTTGGCATCGTAGTCCGAGGGTTTGTCACAGGTTCATGAGGTGGAGCCACAAACAAAGGTCTGTTTTTGATGTTCTGATAAACTTCAAACTCAAACAGTTTGTCTTTTGTTCTGGAACAGTTCTTTGATGTGAAGCCCGACTCCACTGTAGTGTTTTTATGTCACGTTACTTTATGTGGTTCATGAGCGATCGATGTGTCCCAGCACATGGGCCCTGTGGGGGTGGGGTGATGGAAACATACAAGGGAGGAGGGGGGAGAGAGAGGGAGGAGGGGGGAGAGAGAGGGAGGAGGGTGGAGAGAGAGGGAGGAGGGTGGAGAGAGAGGGAGGAGGGTGTAGAGAGAGGGAGGAGGCGGGTAATCAGCAGCCATCAGCCTCAGAGACGGAAGACAGTCAGAGGGTACAGGTCTACAGGAGGAGAGCAGGGGACCAGAGGAGGACAGGTCTTCAAAGGCTGCTGAAGGAGGAGACATGGACGACACCAGGAAACAAACTTGTGAATCGATGGTTCTGAACTTCTCTGAGGACCGCGCTCTGACTGAGGTAATGAGGAGGAAAAGTACTAAAGTAACATTAGAAGGGATTATTATCTGATCTCCTGCAGAAACCAGAAGTTTGCGGTGTAAAAAGAGATGCAAGGATTTTCTTTGTTTAAAAATATAATTAAGTACCAATTACCAGAATCATTTTCATTTGCTCCAAACCATCTAACTGAGAGAGGCATCGTTTCAGGACATTTGTTGCTTTCCACAAAGTCAGGAGTAGAATAGTGTGAGCTCCTTTTACTGAGCGACTGAAAGAATGAAGTTGGTATCTTGAAAATAGAAAAGTTGAGCCTCCTATGGTTTCTCTGGGTGTTTATATTGTTTAAATGCTCCGATCACATGTGTTTTTGCCCTCCTCCTCCACATGCTGCTGTTTGTCTGAGTGTGACGTCTACTACAGACTGTGCTAATCACTCAAATGCTGTTCGCTGACCTATCAGAAACCTAGAAAGTTATGACATCATCATGTGTGTGCCCACGTTGTTTAAAGACATAAACAATGTGTGCAACTTCTAACTGTGTCAACGATACTTGCCAGAAATACCAAAGAAGCACACATCGCTGGCCCAAACACGCCTGAATGAATGTTTATGTCTCAATCATAAGCCATGACACTTATCCATCTAAAGTCCTGGTGTAGCAGTGATGGCTCCTCCAAGACCCACGTGTCCCAGGTCAAATTAGGTCTTTTGTCTTATTAGTCCAGCTATTCTTATTATTTTCCTTTGAAAGATTGGACATAAAAGACTTTTGATTCAGCTCACGTCTCGATCTGATATAATGATCATAATATTTGATCAACATGGCTTTGCTCTCCCACAGATGATGCGTATGCGTGTATCCTCACTGAAGCGCTCGGGTCAGAAGCGGCAGGAGGGCGAGCGGCTGCTGCTTCCTGATGAGGCCGTGTACCGCCTGGACTTCTCTCACCAAGACCTGAAATTCCAGCGCTGGAACTTCTCGCTGAGGGCCTACGGCAGAGTCACCATCACGGGCATCTCTCAGCACTGGACGCCCGACCTCACCCACCTGATGAGCCGGCAGCTGCTGGAGCCCATCGGCACCTTCTGGAGGAACGCAGCCGACCCCCCCGACCTGCCGCTGAAGTGCCTGGAGGCCGACATGCAGGAGTTTGGGGAGAGAATCGCGGAGCTGGCCAAGGTGCGCCGGGTCATGTACTTCCTCCTGGCCTTCAAGGAGGGAGCAGAGGCGGATAACCTGAGCTGTGCCATCCACTTCTCTGTAAACACATGAACTCTCCACCATCAGACCTTTCCCTCCCTCCTCTGCTGCATACTATAGACCCACCATGTCACAACCATTGCATTCTTAGTCAGTCTCGGGCTGGGCCAAAGCTCTGGTAACGCCAAGTTGAAGGAACTGTATGTAGTATTTTGAGGTTTTTCTCCAACAGTATGGCCATTCAGCCTTTAGAATCCAAATCTAATTCGTCTTGCGTAAAATCAGCATCAAGTTGTTTGCATCCATGATTACTGTTTTGATACGTGTGAGTCTGACTGCTAACAGCCCAAGCTGAGGAAGCTGTCTGACTTCTGTGCATGTGAACAATGTCAGGGCAGTGTCTGTGATAAAGGCCTCTCCTGGACACAGCTGAGCGTTCACATGTCCAGCCTCTCAGACCATTTCTTCAAATTGAAACTTACATTTGAATGGGAGTCAAAACATCTCCATCTCTAAAGGACTGTCCAAATGTATGTTAAATTCCAAATGTTACATACAGTTCCTAAAACCAATCACATATTTTCTGTAACAGCCTCAACTCGATCGCTGTAAACTCTGGATGTTCTGAACGCATCGTAATGATTTGAATCTCCCTCAACGTGCAAACTCTGTGGCGTTTTTAATGATTTGTCGCTTTGGCATTCTCTGTGTGTTCAATAAACTGCAGCTGTGTGTTCGTACTTCTGTGGGTCCCAGTCACATCTTCATTCAAAACTGCACAAATACTTGCAATAGAGTCGTATTTTCAATGTTTGTGGTTGCAATGAGAAAATACAAAACGCCGCAAACAAAAAGGGACGAAAGAAAAGCAAAAAATGGCTTGATTTTTGTGAATGTTGAAGCTTTGTCAGTGTCACATGTATCTGTTTCATCATCTGTATAAACTCTCACACTATGTTTTACGAATCTGATCTGAAAATGTAGAAAGAAGAGAGTATCTATGGTTGTACTGTAGTTTGTACAAGGTTAGTACTTTAAACACGTACGGAGGTAATGGCCTGCTTTTTCAAATGGAAGTTGTCATTATTACTCGGGACAAAATTAAACGTTTTAAACATACACAATATAAAAAATCCTGATGAACTCCTGATGCTGGTTAGAAATATTGCTAAATTGTGCAGAGTAATTATTCAATCAGAAACTATTCAAGGTAGAGCATCACGCTACATTTCCCAATCATGGTCGGCAGCGTAAACATCAGGGGACCAAGTACTGAGCCTTGAAGGACCCCTGAGGGACAAACTTGCAGCGATTCACTAAGAAACTGTATAATAATAATAATACATCTTTTCATAAACAATGTTTATGTTTACAAAGCGCTGCACAGTCAGGATAATAAACAATAAAACAGTCATAATTACACAAAGTCAAAATAACTAGATTGAATAGTAGATACAGGAAAACAAAGCAGACGGTAAAATACAACATGTGATATTTAAAAAGCTGTTTGATAAAAGTGGGTTTTAAGAAGTGATTTAAAAGAAGATTCTGATGATGCAGCCTTTTCTCCTCGGGGCAGGTGGTTCCAAAGCCGAGGAGCACGGAACCAAACTGTGGCTCAGGAGTAAAGAGTCGACCTCTGCCATTTTCATTCTCTCTCTGCAAGGATTTAGAGATTCTGGGCATTCATTATAATTTAAATTGCCACATGTTTATAAAGGTGTAATTTGTGAGTATATTTGTGTTATATCCAAGCGCATTGAGGTTTTACTGTTATAGAAATATGTTGGATTTGTTGCTCTGTTGTGAAAGTGGCTCCAGAATGGAACGGTTGGAGATTCCTGAAGGTTTAAACCAATAAAAAGTCATCGTCAATGTTCCACGTGTCTCTCGGTCGACTGCCTGATTCGTATTGAGTGGTGTGACCCCCCCCCACCACCCCCCCCCCCCACCCTCACCCCCCATCACCCTCACCCCCACCTCCCCATCCAGCCTCCTGAGGGCACACATGACACCACTTCATCACACACACGCATGCCAACACATAGACACACACACATATACACATACACACACGTAAATACACATACACACACACACACACACTATTTTTTCTTCCTGTCTGTAGTTATGGTGATTATCTCTTTCATGGAATAGATTTTGTACATTCAGATTCGGAGGCAGAGATTTGTAAAAGTTGCTTAAGATTAACAAAATGAATCAAGATCATTAACTAACCCAGAGGTATTTGTTATAAAACAAACCATTATCATCACCAAACACTGAAGGCAAATTTTAAATTACTTACGATAGATAGACACGTAGGCACACAGACATTTTTACTCACTGCATCTTAAAATCACTGTGTATCTTTAGTGTAATGTCTGTGTCTGTATTTTGTAAGTAGTCGTTCGATCTGTGGCGCCCTCTGGTGGCCAAAGTGACGTATGCTCATAAAGACATTGCTGACATGATGCATTAATCTTTAACAGTCCTGAGCAGACAGACAGGTGCACATCATGTGAGAGGCGCCCTTTGCTCCTGCTCCGGACTGTCCACTCTCCCACCGTTTGACTTTTTTCAGACTTTTACGCAGACAAAAGCTTTTAGCCACTGGGATAAGCTGTCTGCGTTGGGGCCCTTCTCCCTCAGCAGTGTCCACATCCACAGTGCAGCAGACCTCACACCGGCCTGGACACAATGCTGCAGGTGGGCCTGGTTCTGCTGGTGGTTCTGTGCAGGTCCACGTGGTCGGGAGCGCCCTGTGGAGACCCAGAGGAGGAGCACCCGGAGGAGTGTGGAGGCAGAGCTCTGGCAGGTGGGCAGCCCAGGCATGACGTGTATTGATTTTGTGTGATAGTTATGTGCAGTGTGTAGCTCCAGTCTCTAAAGTCTCTGGAACTTCTTTCTGGCTCCACTTGGTACAAACATCTGCATCTGACTGAAGGCTATCTCAGTGTCTGCGTGTTTCCTCCAGGTGCTCCGGTTTCCCCTACCACTAAAAACATGTAGAATAGGTTTGAATGTAATGAGTGAGTGAATGGATGGTGTTGATTGGGGGCTGATGGTCCAGTGTGTTCGACGTCTCGCTTCCGTCATCACTGTGTGGAATGAATGGAATAATATCTGAACTCTGAACAATTGTAAAGCGCTTTGGGTGACCTTCATTCTGTAAAATGCGCAATATAAATAAACATTACTTATTTACTTACTCCTTTAGTCCTTGATCCTGGTATCTAGTAATCAGCTCGATTCAGGAAGTGTGTCTCTGTGAGGGGGAGAAGTATGGACTCTGTGGGAGCTGTGCTGGAGAGAAGGGGCTCTAATGCAGTGCATCCTGGGTAACTCCAGACACCCTCTGCATGACACTATGGCCGCTCAGAGGAGTAACCGTAGCAACAGGCTCCTATCACTGCGCTGCCGAACGGAACGTTTCAAGAGATCTGTCAGACTGTACAACAAACCTGGATGAGTCTTCTGCTACTGGGCACCTGAATTTCTCCTACGGGGATCAATAAATTATCTATCTATCTATGGATCTATCTATCTCTCTCTCTTTCTCTCTCTCTCTTTCTCTTTCTCTATCTATCTATCTCTCTCTCTCTTTCTCTCTGTCTCTCTCTTTCTCTATCTATCTATCTTTCTCTCTTTCTCTTTCTCTCTTTCTCTCTCTCTTTTTCTCTCTCTCTCTCTCTCTCTATCTATCTATCTAACTACACTCCTCTTTGTCTGTTTGCAGGTGTGCTCTGGCCCCAGCAGAGAGGTCAGGGGTCTCAACAGGAGGTGGGCGTCCCTTGGGAGCGCCTGGTGGGGGCCGTGGCAGCCTCTGTGCTCGTCACGTTCGTGGTGGGCTTCAGCGCTGGAGCTCTGGGCAGGACACATGTGCTCAGGTGGGACACGTAGGACCCCTACTCCAGCTTTGAGCTCCTCCCGGTCTCACACCCTCTGTTTCAGGTGCCTCCACGCTGTCAGGAGACCAACCCGCCAAACCCAGGGGCCCCCGGTCAAACCCAGGCGCAGCTTCAGACCGACCTCAACCGTACAGCCCCCCATCTACCTGGAGATATATGACATCACAGACCACAGTGGCAAGACAGAGGGAGGGGACAGGGGAGAGACAGAGACACAGGGAGGGGACAGGAGAGAGACAGAAACACAGGGAGGGGACAGGGGAGAGACAGAGACACAGGGAGGGGACAGGAGAGAGACAGAGACACAGGGGGGGACAGGGGAGAGACAGAAACACAGGGAGGGGACAGGGGAGAGACAGAGACACAGGGAGGGGACAGGGGAGAGACAGAGACACAGGGAGGGGACAGGGGAGAGACAGAGACACAGGGAGGGGACAGGGGAGAGACACAGGGAGGGGACAAGGGAGAGACACAGGGAGGGGACAGGGGAGAGACAGAGACACAGGGAGGGGACACGGGAGAGACACAGGGAGGGGACAAGGGAGAGACACAGGGAGGGGACAGGGGAGAGACACAGGGAGGGGACAGGGGAGAGACAGAGACACAGGGAGGGGACAGGAGAGAGACACAGGGAGGAGACAGGGGAGAGACAGAGACACAGGGAGGGGACAGGAGAGAGACACAGGGAGGAGACAGGAGAGAGACAGAGACACAGGGAGGGGACAGGAGAGAGACACAGGGAGGAGACAGGAGAGAGACAGAGACACAGGGAGGGGACAGGAGAGAGACTCAGGGAGGAGACAGGAGAGAGACAGAGACACAGGGAGGGGACAGGAGAGAGACACAGGGAGGAGACAGGAGAGAGACAGAGACACAGGGAGGGGACAGGGGAGAGACAGAGACACAGGGAGGGGACAGGAGAGAGACAGAGACACAGGGAGGGGACAGGAGAGAGACACAGGGAGGAGACAGGAGAGAGACAGAGACACAGGGAGGGGACAGGGGAGAGACACAGGGAGGGGACAGGAGAGAGACAGAGACACAGGGAGGGGACAGGAGAGAGACACAGGGAGGAGACAGGAGAGAGACAGAGACACAGGGAGGGGACAGGAGAGAGACTCAGGGAGGAGACAGGAGAGAGACAGAGACACAGGGAGGGGACAGGAGAGAGACACAGGGAGGAGACAGGAGAGAGACAGAGACACAGGGAGGGGACAGGGGAGAGACAGAGACACAGGGAGGGGACAGGAGAGAGACAGAGACACAGGGAGGGGACAGGAGAGAGACACAGGGAGGAGACAGGAGAGAGACAGAGACACAGGGAGGGGACAGGGGAGAGACACAGGGAGGGGACAGGGGAGAGACAGAGACACAGGGAGGGGACAGGGGAGAGACAGAGACACAGGGAGGGGACAGGGGAGAGACAGAGACACAGGGAGGGGACAGGAGAGAGACACAGGGAGGAGACAGGAGAGAGACAGAGACACAGGGAAGGGACAGGAGAGAGACAGAGAGGGGAGGAGAGGAGGGCCTTGAGACATGTGACATCACAGACCACAGCACCAAGACAGAGGGAGGGGACAGGGGAGGGACAGAGACACAGGGAGGGGACAGGGCAGAGACAGAGACACAGGGAGGGGACGGGAGAGAGACAGAGACAGAGGGAGGGGGCAGGAGAGAGACAGAGAGGGGAGGAGACGGGGGCCTTGAGACATGTGACATCACAGACCACTGTGCCAAGACACAGGGAGGGGAAAAGAGAGGGGCAGGGGTAAGAGCAGCAGAGAGGGGAGAGTCTCAGGGAGGAACAGAGACGGGAAGAGAGAGAGGTGCAATCAGAGAGGAAGGAGGAGCAGAGACGAAAGCAGAGGACAGAGGTTCTGGGGGAGGGATAGAGGGTGGTTTTGCAGAAAAAGAAGGTATGGAGGAGGGAGGAGCAGAAGAAGAGGAAGACTGGGAGGAAGAAGAGCAAGAGGAGGGAGAAGCAGAGAAGGAGCAGTCGGACGCTGACGCCAGCAGGGGGCGCCGTGTGCGTGTCATCCGTGTGTATCAGTACGATGAGGAGGGGCAGCGGTATCCACACCTCTCAGGGGCCCCGGCTCCGGCCCCGGGGCCCACAGTCACGCCGCGCTCCCGCTCCCTCTCTCGGCTCCACGCCATCATGTCTGCGGCCACAGAGGGGCCCATGGGGTCGGAGGGGGCCCAGACTTTTGAAACCATCCCCTGATCTGGATCTTTCTCCCAACGTCAGCAGTGTCACGTGATCAGCTGTGACCGTTTGAACACTTCACCATCATGTAAAAAGATGAAAACACAAAAACATTCACCCATTTATCGTTGGAGTTTGTTTGTTTTGCATTTTCGAATGATTGAGCCGCTCTGGGGAGATCTCAAACATGGAGTTCGTGCAAGGCATCCCTGGAATTTACAGGAACTGGAGCTTCATGTCAAGAGGAAAAAGACTGGGGGAAAGGTGGTTGTTCAGTCAAAGTTTTTACTAATGTATATGAAAATAAAGACAGATTTATTGAAATGATTAAAGGGCAATACACACTATTGAGAACGCATAATGACAAAGAGAAAGTAAAAATACAATTGATTTAATTGTCAATAAATGGCTTCACACTGACACTAACATGTATATACTGTGCAGCTGCTGAGAATCCTCTTCTGTCAAAGCAATAAACTCAGACTCTGTTCTTTCTAATGTGAAGGTCTGCTCTGTATGAGGAGGAGTTTCATCAGGCCTCAGATCTGTGGTCAGAGAACCGGAACTAGACGGCTGAGATCCTTGAAACATGATTGTAGAATGTGGAAAAAACATCAGATTAAAGTGATTTTCTGCAGTTTGTCAGAAAGAGAGAGAGAGAGGTACTTGATTTGAAAAAAAAAAACGACGCAAGCTCCTCCCCCTTCCTTTCTGATTGGTCTATGCCTACGTTTCTGTAACACTTTTAAATGTTAATCAGAGAACATATTATACATATACATTATTAATACACATGCACGGAGGTTTTCAGAATTATTTGTGAACGTTTTAATGAAAAAAAAAAAAAAAACAATTGCACAAAAAAAGCGATTGCGGCAAACCCGGAACAAGCTATTATTATGAATTGCACATTATAGGACACATCTGCAGAGGATCTGATTATGGATATAGGTTCAGTATATAAATGATTATGGATATAGGTTCAGTATATAAATGATTATGGATATAGGTTCAGTATATAAATGATTATGGATATAGGTTCAGTATATAAATGATTATGGATATAGGTTCAGTATATAAATGATTATGGATATAGGTTCAGTATATAAATGATTATGGATATAGGTTCAGTATATAAATGATTATGGATATAGGTTCAGTATATAAATGATTATGGATATAGGTTCAGTATATAAATGATTATGGATATAGGCTCAGTATATAAATGATTATGGATATAGGTTCAGTATATAAATGATTATGGATATAGGTTCAGTATATAAATGATTATGGATATAGGTTCAGTATATAAATGATTATGGATATAGGTTCAGTATATAAATGATTATGGATATAGGCTCAGTATATAAATGATTATGGATATAGGTTCAGTATATACATAAGTACCTCAGCGCAGATGTTCAGAATTCTTTGTTCCGCGAAAACAAACAACTGAGCATGAGCAGCTACGAGCATCAGCGCTGATGATTTTTTTTTTTTTTTTTTTTTTATTCTTTATTTGAATTGGGACAGTGCACATTAATCAACATGTGTTTTTTCAACATGTAAATGCGCCGGAGTTAGCCATATAGGCTAATTTTCATCCGTAGTCCCATGGCAGCTTGATGTCAAGATAGGTAGTATAGGACATACAACAGGCACAAACATACAGCAGAAACACCATCACAGAGACATAAAAAGACAGTGAAAGAAGAATACAACATATAGTTAAAAATCCAAGGAATATATAAGAATTTGTTCAACTAAAAAATCAGAAAAGGGACAATACACACAACACCATAATCTTCCACACAGCAAGACATGTATCAGTGTTTGGTGACTTTAGTTCATGTTGTGTTCACATGTCTGATTGTCCAAAAGCCACTTCTTCACAGAGTTCCTAAAAATGTGAAATGAGGTCAGGTTCCTCAATTCTGTTGGAATCAAGTTCCAGGAATGTGCTGCGCGTACTGAGTAGGCAGATTGTCCAAATGAAGTCTTTCTAAATGGGATTCTACAGTCTCCTCTGCTTGATGAGCGCGTGTTTTTATTTACATTCAGCTGTATAAACTCCTGTAATGGAGGCGGTGCAAGTCCATTTAGGGTTTTATAGACCATAATTACATCAGAGTACATTATCAACTGATCCCACTTTAAGAAATTATGTTTGGTAAAAACTTTACAGTGGTGATATGAATTATTCTTTTTGTCTAATGTTTTTACTGTCTGCTTATAAAGTCTTTCTATGTGCAACAGTGTAGTCTTGTTGGCCTGAGACCAACTCGTCATACAGTAATTAATATGCGAGAGAATTGTGGCGTTTAGGTATAATTTTGAAACATCAGTTGTTAAGTTATTTCTAATGTGTTTAAAATTCACTAAATTGAATTTAATTTTGTTCCTCAATTTCTTAACATGTTTTTTAAATGATAATTGAGAATCCATGGTGACACCTAAATACTTGTACTCTTGCACCACTTGTAGTGCTTGCCCATTCACCAAAACTATTGGATCGCTCTCTTTAGTTGCCGACTTAGAGAAGAACATACACATAGTTTTATCAGTATTTAAGTGTAATTTTGAATTTTTTAACCAGTCACAGACTGACACCATTACAGATGACAGCTTCTCTGCCGCCAGCTGTTTCGTTTTTGCGTGAACATAAATGATGGTGTCGTCAGCATATAACTGACATGATGCTTCAGAACATACATCAGGTAAATCATTGATAAATAAACTGAAGAGTAAAGGGCCAAGGGTTGAGCCCTGGGGCACACCTATAGAGTTATACATTACTTCAGATGTTTCGTTATTAACCCTGACGCACTGTTTCCTGTCACCCATTGTAGCACCTTAGGTGAAAAGTTAAATTTAGATAATTTAGCAATTAATATGTCTGAGTTGACATATTGACAGCCCTTGGTATGACTCGATTGGTTAACGTGGACGGCATCGTGGATTCTGAGCTATAGCTAAGAGAAGGGAAGGCGGGACTTAACTGTAATATTAGAATTAGTAAAATGACTTATTTTATATCAACATTTAAGGACAGGAGGTCAATTTAACACATTTCCTAAAATGTGTAATTCATTTAGAGTTTCAGACTATCACTTTAATTTCCCCTACATCTCTTCTAGAAAATGGGTCAAAATGATCCAAAATGACTCAAACCTTCGCTTATCCTAAAACTAGCTCTACTTTTTTGAAAGCCTAATAGTGTCAAACATTGGACACGCATATACGGTATGATTTTTGAAAAAACAAAGTTATTTCAGTTATTTGTAGCTGCTTACACAATAATGTCGATTGTAGGAGCCTGCTCTCCAGAATTAGCCCATCAGCTATTTTTCATCCAAAGTCCTGTGTCTCCTGAAAGAAAAAAACATATTTGCTACAGAGACAGTTACAATAATGTGAGTTCTTTACAATTTTTTTAAGGATAAGACAAGAAAAAGTTCACTCACACATCATTAAACAAATGATACACAAACATATGAGACAGACACACAACGCACACAGACATAGACCAGAGCTTCCTGTGGCCCAGAGAATAGACTCTAAAGCAGCTCTGTTTGTTACAAGTCTCTCCATGGGTCCATCTGTTAGTGACATATGAACCAACTCTGAGGAGCACAGGGACGGGCCTCCTGCTGGGACTCTGAGGAGCACAGGGACGGGCCTCCTGCTGGGACTCTGAGGAGCACAGGGACGGGCCTCCTGCTGGGACTCTGAGGAGCACAGGGACTGGACTCCTGCTGGGACTGTGAGGAGCACAGGGACTGGACTCCTGCTGGGACTCTGAGGAGCACAGGGACTGGACTCCTGCTGGGACTCTGAGGAGCACAGGGACGGGCCTCCTGCTGGGACTCTGAGGAGCACAGGGACGGGCCTCCTGCTGGGACTCTGAGGAGCACAGGGACTGGACTCCTGCTGGGACTGTGAGGAGCACAGGGACTGGACTCCTGCTGGGACTCTGAGGAGCACAGGGACTGGACTCCTGCTGGGACTCTGAGGAGCACAGGGACTGGACTCCTTCTGGGACTCTGAGGAGCACAGGGACTGCCTCCTTCTGGGACTCTGAGGAGCACAGGGACTGCCTCCTGCTGGTCCCAGAGTCAGGACTAAACATGGGGAGGCTGCACTTCAGATTCATGCTGCTAAAATCTTACTGAAAAAGGAAGACAGGCTTCTACTCTGGTCTACCACTGGGTCCGCCTCTGGGTCTGGGTCCGCCTCTGGGTCTGGGTCCGCCTCTGGGTCCGCCTCTGGGATGGCTCTGTGCTCCGGAGCTGGTCTGGGTCACTCCTCTGCAGACCGGGCTGATCCGTGTTGTCCCAGGACCTCTGTGAGCTGTGGCCAGGACTGTGGTGAGTCCTGCTTTTCTATTGGTGTACACCTGGTTTAGAATGAGTTTAGTCCTGGTTTAGTCCTGGTTTGGAATGGGTTTAGTCCTGGTTTAGAATGGGTTTAGAATGGGTTTAGTCCTGGTTTAGAATGAGTTTAGTCCTGGTTTAGAATGGGTTTAGAATGGGTTTAGTCCTGGTTTAGAATGGGTTTAGAATGGGTTTAGTCCTGGTTTAGAATGAGTTTAGTCCTGGTTTAGAATGGGTTTAGAATGGGTTTAGTCCTGGTTTAGAATGGGTTTAGAATGGGTTTAGTCCTGGTTTAGAATGTGTTTAGTCCTGGTTTAGAATGTGTTTAGTCCTTGTTTAGAATGGGGTTAGTCCTGGTTTAGAATGGGTTTAGTCCTGGTTTAGTCCTGGTTTAGAATGGGGTTAGTCCTGGTTTAGAATGTGTTTAGTCCTGGTTTAGAATGGGTTTAGTCCTGGTTTAGAATGTGTTTAGTCCTGGTTTAGAATGGGTTTAGTCCTGGTTTAGAATGGGTTTAGTCCTGGTCTAGTCCTGGTTTAGTCCTGGCTTAGAATGGGTTTAGTCCTGGTTTAGAATGGGTTTAGTCCTGGTTACCAGTCTAAACACGTTGAGTACCGGACCTGGAAGGTTTAGAACAGATGTGGAGC